ATATGTTTTATATTATTATTAAGGAAGAATAAGAGCTTAGAATTAGGATCCAGATAGTAGTATTAAAAGGTGTTCTATAGTCTATTTTAATTACCTTAAGTTTATTTATTCTATTTAACTAAGAGACTATAAATCTTTCTGAAGACCTGATTAGTAGGGAAGGCTTTTATAATATCCTTAAGAAGAGTAAGCTTAATATTAAAGGTCGTAGTAACTTTGCCTTATACTTCCTTTGTAAATATAGCCATATCTACTTAGTCCTTTACAAGCAGTACTACGTCTACCTAGTCCTCTATAGTCAGTACCACGCTTACCTAGTCTTTCACAGGCGGTACCACGCTTACCTTATCTATAGTAATCTCTTAAGTATTATCTGTAAATCTGACCTTCTTTTTACTATAAGATCTAATCTAAACTAGAAGATATAATATATAGTAAAGAATAAGGGCTAAAGCTATTTATATGATAGAATAAAGAGCCTTTTAGATTAGTATCCGGGATAAGGTATTAATATTAGTATAGGACTTTCCTAGTTAATAAATAATAGTTATAGAGAAAGCGAACTTTTAAAGGAATAGACACTAATTTACTAGATAGTTAGACTATTTACCCTGAACCGCGCCCTTATCTTAGAAGGCTTAGATTATTAAGCTATAATCTATATAAACTATAAGCTTCCTGCTATTAACGAACTATAGTAATTTCTATAAAGCCTAAACTAAACCGCCGGTCTCTAATTCTATAAGCTAGTAATATTATTCAGCTAGTATTAGATCTCTAGATAAATATAAGACTAGCCTTTTAACGCTATTATTACTAACTTAGTAAATAGTAATACTGTATCCTATTTCTTTATTTCTATTAATATATAAGATAAAGAGCTTAGAGAAGTCTAGAAAAGCTAAGGTAGGAGCTAAATATAGATAGTCTTAGAGAGTCTTAAACGCGTCTTTATATTTTTAGAGAAGCTCCTTATCCCTGTTAATAGACTCTAGTAGGGTCTTTTTTATAGTATAAGTCCTACGGGGTACCTTCTTAATAAGACTACCCTTAAAGCTTATAATCTTCGCTATTTAAAGCGGCCTATTAATAGTAGTGTAGTAAGAGACGAATTTATAGTAGTACTTAAAGAACCCTAAGATTATATCTAACTCTTATAAGGTACTAAGGAATTAAATAGCTTTAATAGCTTCTACTTTTTCCTTTATTATACTTATACCTAGCTGATCTACCTAGTAGCCTAAGGCCTTAATACTTAATTAGGTAAAATAATATTTAGATAGCGATAGTATAACCCTTAATTAGTATAAGAGAGTTAATATAGTATAGAGGTCCTTGATATAAGTATTAATATCCTTTAAGAAGATAATAATATTATTAATATAAACTAGAATAAATTACTAAAGGTATTTACTAAAGAGTTTCTTTATATAATATTAGAAGAACGTGAGAGAATTAGTGAGGCTTATAGTACTAACTATAAATTATTTATAACTGTGATATTAGGTAATAAAAGCTATCTTCTATCGATTTTCTTCGAGTATAAGCTACTAAAAAAAGCTTTTTATAATATCTAGAGCTAAAAAGACTAAAGTACTATTTATAGCTAATAGAATATTATCCTACCTTAGTAGAGGATAAGTATCTAGAAACAGCTTAGTATTCACGCGGCGAAGATTAATAATAACTCTAAGCTTATTATCGTAGTAAACTATAAACACTAGTGACGCTACTAAGTAAGGCTTCCCTAGTAGAATATCCTTAATAACACTTATAGCTTTAAGAGGGTCTAGAATTAAATCTATATTCTATTTATTCTTTACTAATATATTAAAGGGTACTTACTTAAGATTATTTAGAGGTACACTTTCTTTAAAAGGAATAGGTATCTTAATACTATTATTAAACTATCTTAATTCTCTGCGGAATAAAGAGCTATTATCGCGGATTACCTTAAGAATCTTCTAGTAAGCTTCTTCTTCTTATATTTTAGATATATAAGCCTCGGAAATATCGATATACTTCTCTATTAGTAATACTAGGAATAAGTAGTTATCTGGAGTCTTCCTTTCTTTATCTGAGCTAAGAGGTTCTAAACCTTAGAAGACTTCTATAAGACTTAGATAGACTCCGGTAGGTTCTAAGTTATTATTAACGCGGTCTAGTAGTCTTAGGATTTATCTGCGTACTATATTAATAGGAGTAAGGCTGAAGTTAAAGTAAGGGATAGGCGCGGTATAGCTATTAGTAATATTTTTAATAAGGGATCTGAATATACTAAGAGTAAGGTTACCTTAAGATTTAGGTATTATTAAGTACCTGTTTTAATATATTAGAAGGAGTTAGTATTAAATCTTTAGGTTAACCCTAGTGCTAAGATAAACTACTACGGATTCTGTAGTATATATAATAGCTTAAGAAAGTTCTAAGGTCTTCTTTATCGTGTAAGAGAATCGAAACTTTTTAGAGTTCTACTAAAAGTAATCTATATCCCCGGACTTCTTCCTATATATAATATCTATACTATTTTTCTTAAGAAAAGAATTTAAGAGTAGAATACTATACGCTAATTAATCTACTAAGTAGACTTCCGCTTAGAACTAGAAAATATTCCTTTTAACTAAGTATAGAAAAAAAGGAAGAAGTATATATTCTAATACTATAAGGCCTTAACTAATACCTGAGAGACTGATTTTATAAGGTCCTATATAGATAGGTACCTTAGGAAACTTCTATTATAGTATCTCGCGTGATATTAGAGAAATTCCTACTCTAGAGTTAGAGTAGAAGTCTTAAGCTATACTTAGTAAAGAGAATAGGACGCTTTAGGCCTTTTAGAAGAAAGTATACGCTTATCTATCGATATAGTAAATATATTAAGGAATAAGCGTAAGTAGAGATAATAGTACTAGTAATAATAGTAAAGGAGTTAAAGTACTTATAAGAATAGAATTAATAATAGACGAATTAAGCGTGTATTAATTTATTAAAGCGATATTATAAGTAGTAATATAGTTATCTTCTAAAAAAGTTAGATCCTTAAGTAGGGAGGTTACTCTGATCTTAAGTAACCGCCTAGATTATTTTCCGGTTTAGTAAACTTAGGGGATAATACCTTATCTATTATCTATATAGGCTCTATAGTGTATACTTCCGATTAGTATATCTCTTATAGCGTGTTATTAACTACTACTATATCCTTATATTTAGTTATATAAGCTAAGACTTACGTAGTAAGCTTTATGTTATTCTTTCTCTTATACGGATTAAGCGGGCACTAAGAATTAATATAAGTAAAAGATTTATAATAAGTATAAAGGTAATAAGGTCGGAAAGTGTTTAGAGTAGAATAAGCCGAGATTACTAGAACTACTAGGACTACTAGCGTTAATAAGGTAGTTTAAGAGTCGCCGGGCGTAGTTAGTCTTTAATCTAAAGGTAGAATAGCTAGTTGTTCTATAGTAGCCTCTAGAATATATTATATTACTTCCCGAGGGATAAACTTAGGTTATAGAGCGCTATAAACTTAGGTTTAGTCCCTCGAGTTAGTAGCTCTATAATTCTAACTATTAAAGTTCTTTCGTTTATACTCTACTATTATAGTAATTATTTATTATACCTCTTAGAACTAGTCCTTCGCAGACTATTTAGCGTTTATTACTTTAGTTATAAACTTATCTATTAAAGTATAGTTTAATAAGTATATATTTAACTTTAAGATAGGATCTAACTTAAAGTAGATTTAGTAAACCTTTAATCCTTTATCCGCTTCTCTAGCTTTGTTATATAACTTAAGCTTCTTTATAATATAGTCGCGGGCGTCCTTTATAGCTCTATCCTTACTATTAAATCTATATTAGAGGTCGTTAGTAGCTTAGAGAGTCTAAGAAACGTCTCTATAAAATCGTAAGCTAAGCTTCTTAACTTATAGGCTTAGGTTAGTATTTATCTTAATTCGAACAGAAGCTAGAAGGCTATCAAACTAGTCTTAAGCTAAGTTCTTTATTATAAGAGGAAGTAATCTAAGGATTTATTAATTTTTATAAGTAGTAGCTAAGTAGTTAAGATAATTCAAGTATAAAGTAATAAGTATAGTACTATTAAAAGTTATATCTACGGCCTTAATATATATAGCTCGTGTTTCTAGCTTAATAGTACTTCTAGGTATAAACTTACTATAAAGAGGAGTATCTACCTCTAGTTAATAGTATAGGGTAATAACAGGGACTATAAGGTTGTCTTCTTCTAGTATCACTAAAGGGCCCTTTTAAAAGCGGACTATAAAAATCTGCTAAGTATTATATGATCTACTAAAGTAAGTGAGATATATAATATCTATAATAGCCTTAGTCTCTAAGTTAACGCGTCAATTAATACTAACTATCCTAAGAGCTACTATAGCTATTTGAAAGTCCGTTAGATATAGAATCTCCTTAGCCTCTACGAAAGTTTTATTTCCTTTGATATTAGCGAGGTTATAAACTATTTTAACTTAAGTAGCGTCTATAAGCTATTATTCGAAGATATATGTAGCGATATTATCTAAGTCTTAAATTCCTTCTTTTTCTATATTCTCTTACTCCTTCCTTTTTTAGTAACTCTAAGGGCTACGAGCTAGGACTAGAGATATATCCCTCTTAATATAATAAGCGGTTCTTAGAGCTATTAGAGGAGTAGAGGGTTCACGTTTAAAGAGATCCTTAGATAGTAGTTAAAGAGGTATAGAAAGGGTCGATATTAAGCTTAGGCTACTAAGTCTACTAGAGCTAGAGATAAATCTACTGTTTTTATCTCTACTTCTATATTTCTTCTTCTTATTATTTAGTATTTAGCCTTACTATAAAGAGATAGTTAGGAAAAAGGATACGCTAATTCTATTCCCTATACTTATATAAGATCTATAGAGTCGGATATCAGATACTAGATAAATAGCAGTATAGTTATTCGTGCGGGGTCGTTCAGGTGTAAAACAAGGTTAAATTCAAGGATTTTAGAATCGATCGAGTTTTAAGAGTTATTAGAATTACTACTATATAAACCTTATACTTAGCTGCTAGAGGGGTCTCAGGGGCTGAATTATATAGTATTAGTACATCTAAGGAGAGAAAGGAGAAAGAGAGCGTAGGGCTCTCCTAATGTAGGTAACTAAGCTAGTGCACGTGACCCACAACAGAATCAATGGACCCGACATAGCAATCCAGATTGGATGAGGCTCTTTGAGTTCGGCTTCCTTGTTTGTATTCGGATGGTTTGGGATTATTTGAAATTCGACCTTTTAGGAGGTAAGTTTTGAGAATTTAGAAATGATTTCTCTTGCGGCTTTTGGTATTGTTCTGTTGTTTCTGAGGTATGTCGGATGGAGTTTTCTGGATGATATTTTTTAAAAATGCTTTTGTCGGTTATTTTAGCCGTACCAAATATATTGAGCTTCTGCGGTGACATACCTGTAATCATTAATCAGCTAGTCTCACTTGGCCGTCGAGGTTGTTTTAATGTGGCCTGAAACAGGACTGAGAAAGTGAAATTGAGACTTAGTCCTGAATTTCAAAGAATGCTTGTAGCTTAGCTACCCCTTTGAACTGGCCATGATCACGGTATTTCTCTATCTCCAACACAGCTAAAAATCTCTTCCACGCCATCCACTGGGGTCCCCATCCCCACAGCCCCCTCCTCCCTTTGGTCGCGGGAAGGGCACTTTGCCACTTTCAACTTCAGTAGCATAGATACTGTCAGACAGATCTTTATCAACACCGCCAAACTCCAATAGTGTTCTCAGAACATCACGACTACCGTAAAGCTTTGCACGCAGGACTGGATTGTTGTGCTGATCATCGCTATTCGGTGGGACCCCCAACTCCAACAGTACCCTTGCAACTGGCTCACGATTCTTCTCCGCCGCATCCAACAGAGCTTCCATAGCGACTGAGATTGATTTTCCATAGGCAAGCTTATTAAAATCCACTCCAAGATCAATAAGAGGTCGAATAAGACGAGTGTGTGGCATGGCACCCCCCATCAGCCAGGACTTCAATGTGTATTTTGAGAAGTCTCCAACTTTGTATAGAATACGAACGCATTCGAGATGTCCTCGTTGTACAGCAAGATCCATGGCAGGTTTGATCTCGAAGAGCCTCATTTCCGGCCGGTTGTATAGACTAGGCGTATTATCAATCAGAAATTGGACGATCTCTGTAAAGCCTCGCATCGCTGCCATCTGAAGGCCAGAACGTGGACATCCTAACGCGAACTGCGTAAGTTCAGTGTCTGCCGGAACACCCATGCTAATCATCTTCTTCACAACTTCTAGACGACCTTGTCTGCATGCTGTAAGAAACATCAGGGTTTTCTCATGTAGTGGAATATCTGGGAGTGTCGCGAGCAATGCTTCGATCACTTCGATGCTCCCTCCACGACATGCGGAGATTAGACCGTAGCAACAATCGGAGAATCTTTCATCCAATGGTAAATCCTTCTGGGTTTCGAGTAAGGTGTGCACTATCCCGATGTGTCCAGCAAGTGCTGCTACGCCGAGAGCATTACCGTGAGTACTGTAAAAATCACCCCACAGTTTGCCTTGTATCTCATCTGGAGCGGCCAGAAGACGTGCATCCACTTGAACGGCCCTTGGATCTGCACCTCGAGACAGCAGGATCTTCACAAGGTCGGCGCGACCCCATCGTGCAGCTAATTGTAAAGTCCTGCCGAAGATTGGGCTTTCAAAATTGATATCGATTTTGTCATCTTCGAGTAGAAGTTGGACTGTTGGCATATGATTAATGATAATGAAGGCGCATAATAGAGTTTGTCTCTCTTCATCCACCTGTTCGGATTCCATGCGAGTCTTGCATCCGGGCCAGCTCTGTGCAAACTTATGATCCATGTCCCAGTCGAGATAGTCGGCCGCAGCTTCATACACCTGCAGAGCAAGTTGTGTTCTCTCCAAATCTGGCACAGGAGATATGTCATGGATTGCATTAAGTACATGCCTCAAACATTGAAGAGCTGGTTCGACATCGGCCGATTGCATTCGGGCTTCGATGAAACGACTCATCATGGGTGGCGAAACTCGTCGGTAGTGGCCCCAACGATGGCTGACCCTATTCTCGGGAGGTATGATCCATTTATCAAGCCAGCAGTGAAAGGATCCATTTCGAGATCCGATATAACTGTCTGTCAGAGCATGAATGATAGAATCGGCGAAGAATTCTAGAACGTCTCAGTGAAAGATTTCCGCACTTGGCTTTCGATGGTTTACTCACGGTTGACAACACGCAGGCGTATGATCTTTGGTGGCCCTATAAGATCCAATAGAGTAGCAAAGATATGGTCGATGAGTTCCGCGGTTAGGTCTGGTAGCTTCATGATACTATGTGTTTGTTGAACAAGGCGTGAGGTGAGTGGTTGTAGAACGGCGATGTGATCTCATCGGTCTGTCATACAATTTCAGAGTTGAAAGGGAACAGGCTGACAGTTAGATTAGTTTCAAACAGAATTGAATTCAGGATTCGAGGGCAGTCTATTTGTAGGGCAGAGTTGAGTTGGAAACTTATAAATAGCCTCCTGAGGACGTTGGTAAGATGTGATGTGAAGGGAGCGGGGCAGTGCTGGCATCACGTGCATGCAATGTCAACACAGTGTGACCTCTTTACCATTGGGACAACATAGGGAAGGAAAGCGCAAGAGAAAAATAGGCAGAAAACAAAAGGAAGTTATAAATCACTTCTGTGAAGACTAAGCTAAATCAATGGTAGACATTTGATACCCCTTTGTAGAGGTGTTCAAGATTTTGGCACAGCCATGACGGCCTGCATGAACTGTTGGGTGTTCAGTGGTAGTTTTCTTTACCTCCAGAACAGCGCAACAAGCTTTTGTTGGCTACTACATGAGATCGAATTGCTTCATTTATTCGCCATTCTGATTCAACATTTGAGGGACCTTCATGTCCTCAGAAGAAGTCACATGAATCCCCCTGGCAGGAAATCCTCGATATACGAATTCCAACATAAACCTCTTCGTATATATAGGCGAGATATTTTCATTAGTAGTAAGCAATAAGCCTTCACCGTGCTTCGACGCATCTTTCCCATCTAACAACAAATTATTGATTGCTGCCGTCGATAGCCAGAAGACAGACTATTCCATCCACAAAGACAACCTCCTTCAACGTCTTTAACATGCGCGTGACTCTTTAAGCTTAACTATTAGCGTTGGTTCGCCACTTGAGTGAATTAAAAGACTGAGAAAGTCGGCTTTCTGTGAAAAGAATTCCCAATACCCAATAAAAATGTATTACCTAATTCGACAGAATACCAAAATGCTGTAAACCAAAAGCCCCAACGCCCAAGGAAAAGATCACCCAAGGCCCACTGAACATTTCAAAAGCAACGAAAACTCCCCGTAAATAAGATGACAAAATTGATAGCTAACATCTCGTCGCTGAAAACAAAAAGAATGAATGTATGTTCATGAGCCTAGGGCTTGCTTTCTCTCGCCTCCAATGATGCTGTTCTCCGAGCTGTGTGAGAGAATTTATTCGCCTGCAAGTGGTTCGTCCGTGCAGCTGTCGCATTTCTCATGATTACACGGTACCAACTGACAATATAGTTTACCTTCCCTTGGATCACCGTATTGGAGCTCGGCGTATCCTCGAGCGGCCGCACATACACAGCAACGCCATCGTCTTCGCGTCACAACTGGGACTGGTGCCTTGTCTTTCTGACGCTTGCCTTTGTGGCCTTGCTTTGCTTTAGAGCTACTCATTATACTTATAGTGATATGGATAAGTTGATCTTGATTCTCTGAGGGACAGCTTTATGGAACGCCAGTATAATAACTAAGGTCAGTTTTGTGAGGTTGTTGATAAGTTTGCGGTGAGTGTGTGACTCTTTGTAATTTGTATGTTTTCAGTGGAACATGAAAATTTGGTCAAATTAACAGGAAAGGTCAAGAATTTATAGATCTACTGGTTTGTCTACCACTCTTTATGAACTAAATTGAGAAGTACCCGGAGTAGAAATCTTCCGGTCATAAAGAAGGTACTGTAGGTGTCTATTTCAGGAACAAAGACAAGGAGAAGGGTCGTTGTGAAGTTCTATTCTAGACCTTACTTTACAAATTAAGCATCCATATCATTCACGGTAAAAACAGCTAATCTAATTGGAGTGGCGTGAAAACTGCGAGAACCTACCAAATCATAGTCCTGCAATGCTTACAATTACGTTGCTCTGTGGTACGTTTTCTATAATAAGTCGGCTTTCTTCTGTGTAATTCTAATTTCAGACATAGAAAGCAAATACTGGACTTCTTTGTAACGTCTTCAAGTTGCCACTTTATCCATTGATTGCCATCGCAGCGTGCCAGGGAGTAATGAAAGCTAATCGCCATTCCCTCAAGTCACCTGATTGTCAAACCCACCTTCATCGTCTCTTTCTCTTTCACGTTCACAGCCTGGTTTCTCATCACCGACTAGCGTACAAGGAATAAACATCAGACAACCCTCCTCACTGGCGAATGGCCCATACACCATTCCCGGGTCCCTATACGCATAACAACCTTTCAAATACGTCTCACCTTTCGGAACATCCTTCAGGTCTCCTTCCACGATTATAAATCTCTTCGATGTGATCATGCAGCGACTCCCTAGCATTGAGTGATCCAGGATCGTGCTTTTGCAAGAGAGTACGACGACCTGTGGATGGGTCGGTGTTCAGAACCATTTCGTAGATTTTTTCTCGATTTGGACACAGGTTCGGTCGGGGTGTGAGGTTGCGTGGTGGAATTCTAGTTGTTCCATTTTGGAGATGGTGGAGTATATCGACGAATGTTCGCATCGAACGAGTCGATTGGAGCGGACTTTGAATTGATGAGAGTTGGATGTTTCCGTAATATGAGAGTCACCTAGGTAGCGAGTCACTTAGGTAGAGATGATTGGAAAGGGAATGAGCGTATAATGTGAAAAGGCAGTCGCTGGGATGTGACTAATAAGATCAAGATTCACTAGGCATATATTTATCGGCGAGCTCTTATACATCAAATTGCTGACACTCCCTCAGTGGTCAATCGCGAAAATCCCCACAACACGATTCCCGAAGCGAACCCCACCAACCCCCGGCTAAGCGACAAATGGTGCCAGTAAACAACAAAATGCAAAGTAGAAAATTTTCCACTGCGATGGCTTTCACTTTTGTCACCGTGACTAAATATAGATGAAATATACAAAGCTATGAAATTTGGGACATGACCGCGACAAATAGAAGAGGATATCGGTACCAGAAAAGGCAAGATCGCCGACTTCGGCAGCAACCCGGGAATAGCCTTTTTTCGGCACATAAATCCGCTCCCGCCACTATCCGGACCCCCACCTTACATAAGAATCAACATCCTCTTTTAACGTGCCCGCTCCTTTCCTTCAATTCCAAGACGAAGCGAATCGAATGAAAACAAAGCCAACTTGGAATAAACGTCCATTTCACATTCACTCACCAAAATGACCGACCCAGAGAAGGGACCTGATCCGCCCCCGGCAAATGGCGTTCTTGAAGAAGAGGAGAATGAGGAGTCTTCGCCAAACTTAGTTCAAGCCACAACCACAGCATCTGAAATTCCCTACAGCATATTCACCACCCCTCAAAAAGCCTTAATCATAACTCTCGTCTCAATAGCAGCCACCTTCTCCGGCTTCGCCTCCAATATCTACTTCCCCGCCATCCCGCTACTCTCACGCTCCCTGAACGTCTCACCCGAACTTATAAATCTAACTGTGACATCCTACATGATCCTTCAAGGCTTATCCCCCTCTATCTGGGGAGCCGTCGCAGACGTCCATGGTCGACGTGTCACGTATATTATCACTTTCACGATTTTCATCGGCGCTTGTATTGGGCTTGCTGAAACGAGGCATTATTATCAGTTGGTCATCCTGAGGTGTTTGCAGAGTGCGGGGAGCGCGAGTACGATTGCTATTGGAGCGGGAGTTGTAGGTGATGTGACGAAGAGGGAGGAGAGGGGTGGGTGGATGGGTGTTTACCAGGCGGGACTTTTGGCACCAGTTGCGGTTGCGCCTGTGCTTGGAGGAATCTTTGCTCAGACTCTGGGGTGGACGGCAATCTTTTGGTTCTTGACGATTTATGCGGGGGCATTTCTTGTCGTTCTCATCGTTGTCCTACCGGAAACTTTGCGAGCCATGGTTGGGAACGGGTCGAGACCCGTGACGGGGTTGTCGAATTCATTGCTATCGTATATCCAACGACGACGCCATCCCCTTTCTCCAGAAGAAGAAGCAGATTTACAGCGCACGATGACTTCCGCTTCGGGATCTAATGGATCGATGAAGAAACTCCCAGTCGATATCCTTGGCCCGATCAAGATAATCTTCAGCATCGAAGTCTCCTTCGCCATCCTCTTCCTCTCCATTTACTACACTGTCTGGCAAATGACCGTGGCGGTAATGTCTACTCTCTTTGCGCGGACATACCACCTCTCCTCGCTGCACATCGGATTGACGTTCATTGGGAATGGAGTCGGCTGTATCATTGGGACGCTTACGACTGGGAAGTTTCTGGATATGGATTATGCGAGGTTCAAGAAGGGGTTTAATGGTGCCGCGGAAGATTTTCCACTAGAGAAAGCGAGACTGAGAACATTGTATCTTTGGAGTGTGCTACAAATGGGGGCGTGCTTGGTGTTTGGTTGGACCCTAGAGAAAGGAGTACATATTGCGGTTCCGATTATTTGTACATTTGTGCTGGGGTGGGCGGCGACAAGTATCATTAGTGTGGTATCGACATTCATGGTCGATGTTTATCCAAAGAAGGGTGCCAGTGCTACAGCAGCGTTGAATCTGCTGCGGTGTTTGATGGGTGCGGGAGGTACAGCGGCAGTATTGCCAATTGTTAATGCAATTGGAGCTGGATGGACGTTTACCCTATTGGTGGGTATCATGGTTGTAGCCTTGGGCCTGGTGGAGGTACAAATTAGGAGGGGATTGGGGTGGAGAAAGAGACGGGTGAGGAAAGACTCCGAGAAGGAGAGGCTAAGGGAGATACACAACACAGGAACAATGAAAAGACGTAACGAAACGACGTGACGATCTAATGGATATCGAAATATGCGAGGATGTAATGTTCATAGAGCAAAAGAGTGGACTATCTATAGACAATTTGTCGACCGCTCACCGTGGAGATGCCTCTACAAAGCGGTCAAATCAGACACTCCTATATATCTTAATGCTACACATTGTCCCACACGAAGGAAAAGCCAAGCAGCCAGCCACGAGACGCTGCAAGAGATAGCCCCGCCACGAGTCAAATGATCAATGCCAACAGACTTAAAACTGGGCGATCGAGGTGACTAAAAGAGCAAATACTTTGGTGGAGCATACCGGAGTTCAAAACTAGATCAGAAGATATTTCTAGTACGAGTACTCAGCTCAAGAATCAAGTTCAGCAGAATCCGGGTTCGCTTCGTGATGTTGTTATTCAGAAGTCCTCCAGCTCGATAAAGGTTTGGAGTTTAAGTGGAGACGCCTGCAGGTGCGGGAACTACTCCGCAAACAGCCTAGCGCATCAATAAGAAATATTTTGGCCTGCAAGATGGAAGAGTGTTTGTGTTAAAATGCCGAAAATCAACTTTCCATGATACACAGTGATCGAGTAAAAGAGTGCTGCCGTTGAAGCGGGATTCGTTTCCTCTCTTCATAGCATTCCATTCATCCTTGGTCAGCCTGTTGACCGAAAAGAAAAAATCGGCTGCAGCAGCGTCGCTCCGATAACGCTAAGATTAGCCACGCCCTGCGGACATCACTCGCTCATTGAGTCACTTCTCCATTAAAACCCTCACCCTCTCTCTCCATGATACCCATTGTACAATATACTTCCTCATAATGGCTCTCCGAATATCTGCAAAGCGATTGGCAGCTACTCTTCAAGCTAGCAATGCATCAACATCCGTCAATGGCATCCTGAAGAGGAATGCATCGCAAGCAGCTGCTGCGGCTTCAAATCTGCCAGAGGCTACCAGAAATGAAATCTACGTATATCACATGGTTGCTTTGGAAATACAGTACTGACGATATCTTGTATAGCGCGAAGCCAGCCTCTCAAACCCCGATCCTGCCGCAGACTCCCCCACAGCAGCTCTGGTCAACGAACAAGCCCCATTCATGGTCAAGACCTATGTCCGCCCCCGACCAATCTTCGTGAAAGGAGAGGGGTGTTATCTTTGGGACGTTGAGAACAGGAAATATCTCGATTTTACAGCGGGAATAGCAGTCAATGCATTGGGACACTGCGATCCAGAAATCAGCCGTATCATTGCTGATCAGGTACGCGATCCAAAATAAATATGCCTCAATCAACCCCGCCCTTCCTAACATTGCTTCCTGCAGGCAAAAACACTCATCCATACCTCGAATCTATACCACAACCCTTGGACCGGTACCCTTTCCGAACTCCTAGTCCAGAAGACCCTCGAGTCGGGATCTATGCACGATGCGCGTGCCGTATTTATCTGCAACTCTGGCACCGAAGCCAACGAAGCAGCCATAAAGTTCGCTCGCAAGTCAGGCAAAGTCTTGGATCCCTCCGGCGCCAAACACGAAGTCGTATCATTCAATGGCGCATTCCATGGCCGGACCATGGGTGCCCTATCCGCGACACCAAACCCGAAATACCAGAAACCATTCTCGCCTATGCTTCCCGGATTCAAATATGGTACATACAATGATGTAGCTGCTATCAATGAGCTAGTCACAGACAAGACATGCGGTGTGATCGTGGAGCCCATACAGGGCGAAGGTGGAGTCATTGTCGGATCAGAGGAGTTCCTAGTAGCTCTCGCAAAGCGCTGTAGGGAAGTCGGCGCGGTCTTGATATACGACGAGATCCAATGTGGTCTGGGACGTACAGGCAAATTCTGGGCTCACGCCTCCCTCCCAAAGGTCGCCCATCCAGATATAATCACCACTGCCAAAGCCCTCGGCAATGGCTTCCCCATCGGCGCAACTATCGTCAACGGTTCAGTAAGCGAGAAGATCGTAGTAGGCGACCACGGAACCACATTCGGCGGCAACCCCCTCGGTGCTCGTCTAGCTCACTACATCGTCAGCCGACTTTCTGACCCTAAACTTCTCGCCAATGTAGGAACCAAGAGTGCGCTCTTCAAGAAGCATTTCGCTGCTCTGCAGACCAAATATCCTGAACTTGTCAAGGAGATCAGAGGTAGGGGTCTACATTTGGGGTTGCAGCTTACTCAGGATCCGACGCCTATTGTGACAGCTGCTAGGGAGAGGGGGTTGTTGATCATCACGGCAGGGACGAACACTTTGAGATTCGTGCCAAGTTTGACGATTACGGAGGGGGAGATCGAGGAGGGAATGAAGGTCCTGGATGAGGCTATGAATGTTGCGATTAACGGGGAGGGACCGGCTTGGGAGCAGGTTCATGGGGAGGTTGACTCGCCGAACTAATTGCTGTTATCGAAGAGTGGTAGATGATGAGGTTGATTTGGTGCATATATGGAGTTTGGAGTTGGGGTATAAATAAAAGTTCTGTTCTGCAATTTGTGCAGGATAGGACGCTGCAATCTATTTCGAGCATCGGATCTGTTCACGACATCTTACTTCCTTTGTTTCTTCTCTGCACTCTCGTCAACCTGCTATTCTTGGTCCCCAGACTTCCTTGCTCATGCTATTTTGTTCCATGGCGCTTTCATGTTTGGCATCTGAATGCTGACAGGGAAAGGTATGACGTGTTATAAGGGAGATTTGGGAGAGAGGAAGACCTCGCGGGATGGTCAAGTCGAAGCTTTGAGGTCATGCGAATGATTGGAATCTAAGGACACAATCAAGGTAAAATATATGGGTTCCAATTCCAGTTTGTATACATTTATGTACATCTCGTCGAATCATGACTTTCTGCTAAAGTACAGTACAGCAAGAGGGTATGAGAAGAAGGTTGGCACAACAGTTAATCCGTACCTCTGTTCACCTAAGCGGCGAAGATCAAGGCACGTCGGTTGTTGTTATTGTTGTTGCGGCCATTGCCATTCCCGTTCCCATTCCCGTTACGTCCGTTGCCATTGGTAGCACCATTGCCATTGGTAGCACCGTTACCGTTTCCGCCAGCGTTGCCATCGGTAGCAGCATCGTCGTTGGTAGCGGCGTCATCATTCGCAGCATTTCCGTTGCCATTCCTTCCGGCAGCACCATTTCCGTTCTTGGTGGCCGCATTGCCGTTGCCATTGCCATTTCCATTTGCATTCGCGTTTCCATTTGCTTTTCCATTTGCGTTTCCATTTGCGTTTCCATTTGCGTTGCCATTTCCATTTGCATTTCCATTGCCGTTGCCCTTCTTTCCACCACCAGCAGCAGTGTTCTTCGCCGCTGGAGCAGCAGCTGGAGCTGTAGCTAGAGCCGCAGAATCGATATCGAGGAGTGCGTCTACAATTTCGACGCCTTGGTCATCGACGGTTGCGGCGTTGGCGAGGCCTCTGTTGGCATCAGCGAGGTCGAGTTGGTCCTGTTGGACTTGTGCGAGAACACCTTCGAGTGTCTGCGCTGTGTCGATGGTGTTGGCGGAGTTTTCGCTGGCGACGGTGTCTTCCTGCTGGACTGCGAAGCAGCTTCCAAAAGGTCCTGCGGCGGCGGTGTTGAAGCAGCGGATAGTACAGACATTTCCGGTGGAAGCTATTGGGTGTCAGTGTTTGGTTACTTTCTTTGCATAGTGAAACTTACCTCCAATACAAGCCATATCAGCAGGCATCTCAACAGAGAGGTTGATGATGCCATTCTCTGGGGCAGATTCGGTGACAGTCAGGTTCGTCTGGCCATTGAAACCGTTGGCATTTCCCTTGAGATCCATATCACAAGTATATGGGCCATCGCCATTCGCGTCGACCCGGTTGATAGCAACATCGACTGTGCTTCCTTTACTAACGGAGGTGACAGTCTTGGCGATCAACTGACCCTCAGTCTGCTCGCCAATATCGATGTTACCTCCCAACAGGGTCCGTCCACATTCGTTGACGACGTTAGTGGTGATCTCGTCGATATTGATAATATTCGCATCATTTGCTGTGAGGTCGACTTGGAGTGGTAAACTAGCAGGCGATCCTTTGTTTCCTTGCGCGGACTGAATGACTCCCTGAGCAGAAGCCACCGAGACAATGGCTGGAGCCCAGCAAAGCATCTGAATTAAAGAGGGCATTTTGGTTGAGATGTTGATTGGTTGAGTGGTATAAAAGTATACTGAACTTTGTGTTGAAATCTTCAAAGCTATAAAAAGGTGCACAGCACAGGTAGAAGGAAGCGAAAAGTGTAATTAAAGGTTGAACGAAAGGAATTCAGTCAGGCCAGCCGGCAAAAGTTTCAAAGAAGCAGATGAGTTGAGAAAAAACAGAAAACGAACTGAAAGCAAGAGTCAGCGAACACGGGACGACACCCAATTATACATGCGAGGATCTTGAGATGGCAGGCACATCATGCAGCTCTTGGCAAGTGGCTCTCAAACATCGTCGCTCTCAACGCAGACATCAGGTGGCGTGTGTTTTGTGGATCGACAGGCTGGAAGCAGAGCATTTGAAGAGCAGAATTGGTAGAAATGCCCATAAAGGAGGGAGATCATACTGCAGCGTGGAACGGATGTCGTCGCGAGCAGGTGGAGCCGAGTGGATTCGCGCTGGGTGAGTTCTAGGTGAGAAGGTGGAACCGGTGGATCGACCGCGAGACGGGACCTTGTTTGGACGTTTGACAGATCCCGATGCATGTCCGTACCAGTCGGCTTTGTCTACTGTGCTAATCAATGAGTGTGAAAAGTAATAAGTATATACAGCTTAGTATAAGCCACTCTACACTGACTGTTGACTCTTCGGCAACACATCTGGTCAGGCAATTGTCCTAAAATACCTAGAGGGGGATGTGGATAACACGTGACACGCTACTGGGATCTCCTTTCTTAACCGAGATGTTTGAAACAACAAAACTCGGCTGCTTTCCCACTCTTCGACACATTTGATCCACAGTGGCCTGGGCAGTGAACATCCTCAAACATCACATCACATCACTTCTTGATATAGGCGCCGCGCAAAGCTTATGCGGCTGTGCAAAACTTCCTCTCCATATTATAATGTCCAGCGACAGCGGTACTCCTTTCATGTTCTCTCTCACCCCGTACAAAGATGCAAAGTAGGATCTTAGCATTTCTTCTAGGCAGTTGGCCTTGAGAGTTGAGTCTTCAACAGTAGTCTATTTAAAGATATGTCATCCATAAGGCCTTCAGAAGTTTTCATCGGATGAAACCCATATGGGCCGATTCCTCCTTCTCGATCGCAACACCAGTTTAGGAATTCTGAGACCAGAAAAAGACTGACGGCTGAAGGGAAACGTAAGCCGGAAAGCAGGATTGACGTGACGGTTGGCGTTGTCAATCTTGTCATGATCCACAGAATTGAACTTTAAAACGAGGTCTGACCATTGATATCGCGTCGACCTGCATGATGTGTGGGCTTATGGTTGATGCTAATCTGGGCAGGTCTGGTAGAAGTTTGGGTGAAGAAAGAGTTTCTGGTTGAGCCAAGAGTAGATACCATCTAATGACTACTCTAGCTACTTTCTCATCTCTGAGGATGTTATCATACATGTCCTTTTCATGACATTTATGGCGCCTCCAATACCGCAATCAGGAATACATTGACATCGCTTTGACTCGAAAACTGGCCGCCAAATGCTATAAAAACATCATTCCATGCAACAATGACGCCGTTTTCCCCTGAATTCCCTAACCCGAATCTCCAACGAACGTCCGCACAAGCAGAAATTTGGATCAAGCTGTTTCAGTACCTCAAGTGCGTCCTTTGACCCAAGCTCATAAGTCTCTTACTTGATTCTCGATAATTTCGCTCGTAAAAGCACCAAAGATCCCAGGCCATCGATCTCGATATCCAGGGATATATAAGACATCATGTCTCTTCATAGGTAGCTGATATTGGGATACTGGGTTAGGGCTGAGCTCAGGCGGTTGGCAATTGCATCTCGATGTCCTCACATCACGTGACTATTGGGCCCCGTTTTTCACCATCACATAAGTCCTCCTTTTTCTCCTCTGGATTTGACAGAAGAAGTGATACTTTCAGTTTCTGTCTTTGGCTCATTCCAAATGGCTAAAGCTATCTTTATTTCTGTACCTTCACCACAAGAACCTGATCCTTAATTTGCACACTTTCTCACCGCTGCCCAAAGCTCGCTTGCAATCCAAAGTCAACAGCACTGTTTGTATGTGCCTAGATCATCAGAGTGTCAAAATGTCATACTGTCCAGATGAAACGAACGCAGGTAGGTGACGAGATCACCAGAAAATTCCGTTCATACACTATTTGAGCTAAATAGAAAGTCCAAAGAAAGCGCCAGGTAGTGGAAGCACTAAACTTTTAGTGATTCAGTTTTAGAAGCCTTAAGAAAGTTCAAAAAGTGTGCAGCAGGTTGTTTTGTTTACATTGCTCCTGGCCTCCCGGTTGTGGTCTCTTGGATGCCAGACTTTAGTGTCGCCAATTGCTGACTCAGCACTGCGAAACAAGGTCGTCGTCATCGTCTATCAACTCACTTCACCATCATATCAGAGTCATCACTTGCCATATCAAAATGCGGAGCTTCATAAAGAACATTCGTGGTAAAGCCGAAGACTACGTCTCTCAGCAGCATCTCAGACAACCCAGCAACTCCTATGATTCAACCCACACTGCCTCGGAACTCACCGCAAACACATATTCCTATTTCCACTCCACCAAAAATAATCAATTTCAAGCAAAAGTCAAGTCCGAAAGCACATTAGGGGAGAATGATCATTTTGGATATGTGGTATGGCCAGTGATAATTATGGTCCACGCCACAGCCGAAACACTACCACCTCGCAAAACCCATGAAGCGATATCATGCTTGCAGGCGTATTGGAACCCTCAACGCCGAGGCTTTTGTGCATGGAAGATGTTTCCTGGAAACGAAGACATCTATTACGACGACAACGCTCATGCAGCTCAAGCACTGATCAGCGCCTACAAAGCAACTCATGAGCGGAAGTACCTTCAGCAAGCCAAGACCATTCTAACTGATCTGATCATGCCTTCTGCGCAAAAGGACGGAGGTGTGCCATGGCATACGAACAATAAGAATTGCAGAAATGCTTGTTCTACTGGTCCGGCGGCTGTTGCTGCTTTGAGAATTTGTGCTATCGAGAAAGATGATCAATTAGCGGCTTTCGCGGAAAGAGCCCTGAAGTGGTTGATTACTTCACTCAGAGATCCTGAGGATGGACTTATTTGGGATAGTCTGGTGTTCAATGCAGACGGGTCTCCCAATATCAACAAGATGAAATGGACCTACAATACCGGGTTTGCGATCCACGGATTCACATTACTCTACCAGCGCACGGAAAATCCAGAAGATTTGAAAATGGCTGTCAGTCTTGCAGAAGCAGCTTTGAATCCTCAAAATTCCATGTTTGACCACACGCTTCAAGATCCACAGAAACGAATGTATTCAGACAGCTCATTCTTCCTGCACCACCTCGTGGATGGGTATAGGGTGCTTTCAAAATATGCTTTAAGAGACAGACTCAGAAACGAAATCTGTCGGATTGCTTCATGGGGCCGAGAATTCATGTTCGATCCTAACGATGGCTTGTATTTCCGTGGCAGCTGTCCGTACTCCATCTCGGAAGAGCTGAGAGCGAAGTTTAATCGGAAGTTCGGCGTGAATAAGGAGCTGTCTGTCAATGGTCAGGAGAGGGACGAGCATGGGAATTTGTGTAAGACATTGATTGGCTGTGCGGCTTGGGCAAGGATTCTTCATGCCGCAGGGGAAATCAATTCATCTTGAATGTATGTAATGTTTACATCCGAGAATTTGCACTGCAAATTTGTTTCGAGCTTCAATTCTGCGATTTATCCTGCTAAGAGCACTTCCAGAAGAAGATGTTGTTCCACATAGCCATTTGAATTTGTCGTATCTTTGGTACCCCGCACTCAGAAAGAGTCACATACTCCTCTGCTATGATCTTACTCGAGCTTCTAAATCCCACGGAAGTCGTTCACCTGGACTTAGAGCGACCTGAAAGGTAGATCTATTCGATATGTGCTGCTATCTATATTCTGGAAGAATAAATATTTCCAAGTACTGATATTTGAATCCTAAAGAATTGACACAGAACAAGAATCATCCCTCTCTTCACAACAACAAAATTCCGTCATCTTTAGCCAACCTCAACTCCAACCCAACATGGGCCTCCCTACCACCCTCAAGCGGTCCGGATCCCAACACATCCCCTCCAACACCATCGACACATAACTCGAAGTCTTCATCAATACCACTCAACAAAGCACCAACTAGCACTCCAATCATCATCGGGCCAAACGAGTTCTTCGCAGGACACTCAAATTTCCCCATCCCAAAAGGCTTGAAAGCCATCTTGTCAAAGTTCTTCTCCTCCCAGCGAGCCGGTCGAAACTCCAGGGCGTCGTCACCCCACTTGATAGGATCGCGGTGGATGTGTTCGATGTCGATGGCGACTAGCTCATCCGAGAGTTGGCGATTGATGCGTCTGGTCGGTGGGTAGAGACGGAGTGTTTCGTCGACAATGTGGCGTACTGTGACGGCGGATGATGGGAGTGGTATTTCGAAGATTTGCTGGCTTGGTTGATTGAGAAATTGGTCAATGACTGATTTGTAGACCAAAGCATCTGATGGTTTAGCTCGAAACCGGACTTCAAGAAAGCAGTGCAGCACCACTCGCCAAAGGGTCTCATATGCCGGTAGGATCCAGTTGAGCGGATTGTCCTTGTCTGTAGTCTGCTCAAGTTGTTGGAAGCCAGCTCGAGGGCGGGTGAAGGAGTTGAGCTTGCTGATGAGTTGTTCCTTGTCGTTGAACAACTTCACTGTATCGTCGCCGCTGCATGCTTTGGATGCAAGCCACAGAGAGTTGATCTTGGCTGTGATAAATCCGACGTCTTCATCGGATGGCATGTCGCTTCCAGGGAAGAAATTCATGACCACGATCCGAAAAACCAGACTTTGCACGAGCCTGATCAGCGGAAGCGTGAGGATTCCGCTGTCTTCTCGAAGAGGGTTGAGAGTACTGTCGGCTATATTTTGTGCAGTATTTGAAAGTTCCACCCACCCGTGGTCTTTCGTCCTAATCAGCTCCTTGGCTTTGCTAACAAAAGCTCGATGGTAATCGACGTCTGTCGTGGTGAAGGCATTGTTAATACCAAATGCCGCGACAAGTCGTTTGTTGGGGATAGCACGAGATTCGAGAGTCGAGATGCGGAGAATGCGACGGACATGCAGGATATTGTGGATACGTCGAGGACAAGTATGCCGTCCAGAGGATGGCCGAATATACATGGCGACCAAGCAGCAAACCAGGAAGATGACTGGGATGACTAGTGAGAACATGTTGAGATATTCTTCGATTGGGATTCTCTTCCGAGCTGTTGTCATGGACTAGACAGGGCTATATGTAGCTTATCCTGTAGCACTTCGATTGCTGTAGCATATGATATGTAGATAGATACTTAAAGACCATATAGCGCTCGGCATTAGTTCATTCATGTGATTCGTTCTGTATCCTTTGACTTCCATATGAAAGGGAGAGTCTCTGTCTCATACATTCTGGCTTCTTGTTGAGATGTGATATCGTGGGTCTGTGCATATGCAAGCCGCCGAAGTTATGTTGCGTTTGTTCTTCGTTCGCGAGGCGATGAAGAGCTCACAGTACGAGGACCAAACAACTAAATGTCCGGACTGGAAACAAGTGATTGGGAGTTGACAGACGGGGTGCTTTTCAACGTAAAATGGGATATGAGACCTATCACACAGCAAGGGGTTGCTCTCTCTAACGTACGTAAGTCTCTAAGATACGTCTGATGACCAGTCCTCGCGACTCCAAGGGAACAATTCCAGTTCCAAGATCTTGACAAGCTCAAAGTCAGCATCTATAGAAACTTCAACAAGTTCGGCGGTAAGTCCGTTGACTAGTGCTGGTCTGATAGCAACACGTAACTCATCCCCACTTTCAAGGAATCCCTTCCAACGATCAAACCAGGGAGGTCGCTGCCGATTTCCGATTTTCCAATAACCCTCCTCTCCCTCGATCATGTGACTGAGGTCTTCAGGTCCTAGATCAACAAGGACATCGTAGAAAACCTCTTCCTGAATACTATGGACCTAGATCCCAAACGTTTTACCAAGTTGATTCTGGAATAACAAGGCTTTCCCAGGTGCAGTGTTTGTGTTCATAGTGAAGCGAGCAGGTTGACCATCGATGGTCCAGTCTTTTAAAGAAACAGCCATTTTACCCACATGCCCTGAAATTACCTGTGATTGAATTCTTCTCTGGAAGACAAACATAATTTCACTGGACAGGGGCCATCTTCTGCCGTGGTAGAGATGGAGGCGTTCTGGCTGTTGAATGTATACTACCTCGGGCTCTCCGGTAACCAACTCCATGTTGACAGGTTCAATCATATTCGGCCGGACACGTACATACGTTCGAGTGTTTGGCAACCGTCTGAGATAGATCCCGACCGGACTCCAGCGACGTGATACTTTCATTCGACAGTTCAGCACCGCCAAGAAAGTGCCGTTTGAGGGAATCAGATGAAGTTTCATTTTCAAACCAATGTTAGTCATCGAAGACTCTGACTGGTCAGCCGAGGAACCCCGGAGTATATTGTGGGCAGATGAAAACATTCCAGGAGTATTAGCCAATGCCTGACTCTCGTGCCAGATATCGGTGGCATTTAGAGTCCAATGTTTCCACGCCAGAATCGAATGGTCGCCAGAGGTCTTCAGTATTTCCAGCTGTAGTCTCTTGAAAGCCATACATCCTTCACCATAGATCATTGGCATATTGACCCCAAAAAGACCCATCAGGCAATACGCCATGTCTTCCGTTCGCTCAGTTCTACGGCTTGAAGCCCACGCCATCTTTTGTGCGATGCTGAAATCCGCCCTCAGGTCTCGATTCCCCTGAAGAGCCGTCTGAGGGATAGACGTCGCACGAAAGATTGCTGTCTTTAAACTCGACTTCGTTCCAATCTCTTTCCAATCGTTTCCATAGAAGACGACAATCTCCGGAGCAATAAGTTCCTGCAACGTCCAACCACGCTTGAACCACTCGCTCGCGCAAAACTTCGACCGTTGAGCCGCCGGATCCTCATCACTTGGAACATCTACAAGATACGCATAGCACACCTGCGCATCTAGATAATAATTGAACATCGAATTGATAGCCTCTGTTAGCTCGACATGGTTCTTCTTATCGATGCAGCAAGTGTCGATCCAGACATACTCGAAGCCGAACGATGCCGCAACTTCGCAGCATTTCAAAATTTTCTGGTAGCCGACTTTGGGGATGAGTGATGGTTTCAAAGATGGGTTTTGCATCTCTTCGAACGAGACCTCGTCTGCTCCCCATCGGTGAGACAGAATCGCATAGGGGGGGATTTTAGGGTGGGAGAATCGAGGAAAGGATTCTACTTCGTGGGTGCTCGTGTTGATTAAACGCATCGCATTTTACTTTGGCGGTAACAAGCTGGAGTCTTCAGCAACAGCTATGATTGTGGCAGGAATGGGATGCTGACGAGGTTCGGAATTTGGAGATGCTCGGCTGCAGCCTGATGATGGATTGGCTGAGCTGATGATTGGCTGACCTGCATAGAGGGATAAGTCACATGTTATATGGCTTTCGCGCCTCTCTGAAGGAAAATTGTCTTATGAATTTAAGTCTTATAATCAGGTATCTTCTTCATTGCTTTACTTCTGCGACTTTCGTAGTGATACCAGCACGCAGAGTCAGATTCAGTTGCACGTGATGTTTACTTCGGTCTCCCAGCTTCGCGTAGGTAGAAGGACAGCCTTTCTATCACGGCGATATTCCTGGGCAAAAGGACTTGTCGAGAGATATCAAATATATACTCATGTACTGATAGAATTATCGAGTGATGCTCAAAGATCGCTACTAACCATAGATTAACACCAAACAGGGAACTCGAATCGATCCTTTCCTCTGCGAGTATCAGCTAAGCGAGCCCCTCGTCAAGTCTACATGTATCTTACATCTTTCGAAGTCTCGATCACTTCATCTCGCCTCCTCACAAGCGAGACACCCGCAAGCTACCTTTAATTCCTCCTCCAGTTCCATATTCAATATTCCTCGCCCTACCCACCCCCCAGCCAATCCTTCATTCCCCCTTTACCCCCTCTATCTGTACCCCCTACCAACTCCACGCACAATATACACCTCCAGCAAAGACGCTACACCCCATAACCATCGTCGCATTTCCCTCATGTCCCCTCCCACCAAGTAATCCACACCTCCCCTCCACCCTCCCCACCATATCTTGTACCCCCTCGACCAACTCTTCGGCAAGCAGAACCCCAAGTCCAGATACCCAGTCACCTTTTCGGCCGTTGTCATCTTTAGCTGGTGGAGGTGGACAGCATTTATGGCAGGGTTGGTGAGGTGTTGAAGAGGGAGATGGAGATGGAGATAGGGAGGGAGATGCAGGGAGGATGACGAGGGGTGTGGTAAGTGTTAGGGTTTGTGTTTGTGTTTGGGAAGAGGCGGGTGGTGTTGTGGTTTGGTCGGTGCAGTCTGATGACCATGATGTTGATGTCGTTGTTGGCGAAGGCAGTAAATATGAAGGATTTGTAGTGTAGACCACCGGATTGGTGTATGATTGAGCTGGCGTGCTAGCTGGTGGGTAGTAGAGTGGTGGTGAGGGGGAGTTGACGGCGGTGTTGATCGGCTGGTAGTAAGTTGGTGTTGGAGGCTCTGGGTCGGCGTCCAAAGTTTCTGTGGCATCTGCTGGGATATAGGATGCTGGATATGCGACAGTCCGGCTTGTGAGAAAGAGGAGGATGGAGAATGCGATGGGAATGTGCATCTCGCACGTGGATCTGGAATAATACTTGAAGCTTGTGATCTAGAAAGTAGAGTTCATCCAATTCTGTATGCGTAGGAAGCAATAATCGGAATAACAAATAAAAGTTTCAAGACAAACAAGAACGAGCAGTGGGTAGCAAAAAGCGTGCTCAAAGTATGAGAACAATTCAAGATATAATCTTTCCCAGAAACTTGAAAGTATCAACATAGCTTGATGGCAACATATTAACCATTAACACCACACACCCAGCCAACAACCGAAGCTTTCAAGCATGTCAATAATGACTCTAACCTCAAAAAAGAGAATACGCTTTGTATTGCATGGAACACACGAGGACCAAACTAAAAATAGAGCACAGCGACATTGACAGCAACACGTTCATGCAGCTTGCCTATATCCCGCTCTTGACATTCCCAGCCGAGCCGAAAAACAAACATGTTCGGAAATGTATGAAAAGGCTAAAAGAGGTAACATGGTCGGCACTCATTGTTTGCTTCAGTTTCTTCCACAGCCTTATCTCCGTTCGTCTTCTTGCAAGCTTCCCAAACACACCCACTCTCCTAGTCATAACCCCAAAGCCCAGATAATCCACCAAGCTTCCAGGCTGTGTTCTACCCCACAACCGGCTGGCATTTATACATATTCCCCTTCTTCTACTCCCCAAAAATCAAATTAGCATTTTTTCCCTCCAAAACACACCCCCCATATATCAATTCTCAAAGACACAAAAAAAAAACGGTTCAAACCTACATCCTTACAACACCCCGGAAACCCAAACCTCGTCCCCTGAAACACACACGTATACTCATTCTTCACCGTCACATTCCTCGCAATCATCGGGAACGGCTGATAGCCTATTGTGTCCCTCCCCGTCAGCAAGCATCTCAACTACCATCGAATAATCCATTTTTTCCCTTTATTTGACATTTAAAAAATATAGGAAGAGCGTAAGAGAAAACGGGTAGGGGGAATAGGGATGAAAGAAAGGACGTACAATCCGTGCCATCAAACTTCCCTCTCTTGACTTGCGTGACGGAATCACAGCATGAGGCGCGGTAGAGCGTGTGTTCGTTTTTGGGACAGTGCCATGCTGTTGCTGGGGTTGATAGTAGGCTGGTTGTGATTGTTATTAGGAGCGGGAGGGGGAGGGGGAGGGGGAGGTGCATCGTTCTTGGAGTGTTTGTTCTTGGTGTTGCTAGGACTGGAACAAGGACGGCAGGGAGTGTTTGTCGTTTGTGATTGTGGGTGATGTGCGTGGGGATGAGGTGGTGGATAAGTGTTAGCGTGTTTGCTACGATAGCGAAAAAAAAAGAATGAAAAAAATAGTGGAAACTAAGGAGCGAGAAGAATGAATATGATTATTAGGTTCAGACTTAAGAACTGGCAGGGGGAAAATGGTTCGATCCAGAGAGTGACAGAGGCAGCGAGAAAGAGAAATAAGAAGCGTAACCTACAGCTCTACTTATACTTATACCTATCTACCCCCATACCAACACCCCCCCCCCCCCCCCCCCCCCCCCCCCCCCCCACCCTCATCTCGCACTCTCATCCTAGCTCTCCCTTCTTCCCCTCTTCCCTTCTCCTCCAAAAAGACAAAAGCACCCCCTCACACTCCTCTACAAGAAACGATCTGCAGCAGCCTATCACATTCAATCCCAAACATAAGTTAAATCTCCACACCATCACACAGCCCCGCACAAGATACAAATGAGATAAACATACAACTGCAGGCGACCTCGCAGAGCCGGGCGGTAGCATGAACACATGATTTCCGATAGAAAGCCCAAGCGATAAAGGACTTCACTCATCTCATCTCATCTCATCCCATCTCGTAAGACCTGCTAAATACACATTACACAGCATGCTAGGTAGGGAGTGAGAGCTAGCTGCCATATTGCATAATCTACATTTGTGTACCACCGGCTGTCAAGTTGGCTAGCAAGCTGCAAGCTGAATAGCATAGCGAATGGAGACTGCAGGCGGCGAGAACCCCGCCTATAGGTACTGCTCCTCACTATTTAGGTAGGTAACTTACCAGTCCCGATTCTCGATACCGACTGTTCGCTCTACATGACAACTGAAGAGAAGGAAAGAAAGGGAGGGGAAGGGAAACCGCACAGCACAAGCTGACCTGAAGAAAATTCATGAACAACCACAACGAACAAAGTCCATTATGCACCCACCCGGAACTCGATAGATAACAGCAAGGTTATTGGGTGGAACATAGAGGAGACGTGAATTTCGGGTACCTGCTTTGTATGACATGATCGCCATTTCGATATTCATAACTTCCGAGCCGTCCGTATAGTAATTCATCTCATTGCACTGTAGCCCGAACCAATCGATATCCGCACGGGAGGATGGGGGAAAGGACGGAAAGAAGGGCGAAGAGGGTCTGGTTCCCAAAACCACGCTTGCTTGCTTGCAATTGAATGTATCTGCCGATCGTATTCCAAATTCCCGATTTCCAATTCTCCGATTCTCCAAATTCCAGACTCCGTCGCCTACCTGCTTGCCTTCCATGCATGCATGCATCCATCAATCAATCAATCAATCAATCAATCATCCTGCACATCCCCACGTCCCGTCAACGGGCCCGCAAGACCCAACATCCTCCTCCCTAGTAAATCATCCTCACTCGCCAAACTAACCATACTCTTCCTCCTCTCCATCCCTCCACTCCCACCCGCACCTTCACTCTTCTCTCTCTGTCTCCTCTCCCCCCTCTCCCTCAACTGCTCCCTCAACAACACTTCCTTCCTCCTCCTCTCCTCTTCCTTCAACTTCTGCTTCGTCCCCTCACCCGCACCCGCACCCGCCTTCCCCTTCCCCTTAGACGAACTCATACTCATCTCCAGCCCCATATCCTCATCACCTGAGCTCTCGACCGTTTTCCTGCGTTGATGGTGCAAGTTTGCGGAACTGCGGTACCCACCCGCGGGAGTGAGTGCCCCGCCGCGGAGGTCACGTTCCTCTGCTGCGGCGAAGATATGTTCGATCCAGCGGGAGCAGCGGTGGATGTATTTCCATCCTTCTGGGAAGACGCCTACGAACTGGAGGAAGCCGTGAGAGATACCTGGGATTAAAGCTACTTCGACGACGTCGCGGTCGTCAAATTCTTTGTGGAGGCGAATGTCGGCAGCTTGGTCTGCTAGGTATTTGGCTGCTTTCGCGCGGCGGATGCGGCCTGCAAAGATGACGGTGTCGTCGACCAAGGGGTCGCGCTCGCCCGTGAGGAAGTAAGTTTTGGGGAATTGAGAGAGTATTGAGTCGGGTGCGAGGATGGGTGAGAGGAGGTAGTCTTGAGAGAAGTCGGGGCGGTTGTGAGGGCCGATGTAGAGGATAATCATTGCTCGCATCATTTCTGGTGAGAGGATTCGATCGTTGAAGTAAGAGATCATACTTGCCATGGCAAGTCGTGTCTTGAGCGGTTCGGGATGATGAGAGGGCGATTGCTGAGATACAGACTGTTTTCGAGCAACTGGTGGTGAGAGGACGCTGGGAGCTGCGGTGGAGTATTGTGGAGATGGTAGAGTAATAGATAGCGGAGCAGGACTATCTGCCAATGGAGGCGTGGTAAGTTTAGGTGGTGTGTGCTCTTCATCTTCTGAATGATGAGGGGTTCCTGCCGCCATAGTATATTGCATACTCTTCTGACGAATGAATGTTCGATTCGTCTTCCTCATCCTCCTATCCTTGATCAAGGACATTTGCTCGTCTGACATCCAATTGCCGATATTCATATCCAGCCCGGGGTATATCAAAACCAGGCCATCTGGGATTTGAGGTGCTTGCTGACCATGAAATTGGCGTGTGTTGAAAAATCCAGCCTCAATGATCATGATTGTAAGGCCAGTAGCAAGGTTTCCGCCAGCACTATCGCCTGTAATCACGATTTTCGGAGCCACTTCTCCCGAAAGCCCTAAACATCTTCCTCTACTCGCCATGATTGTGCTGTAAACATCAAAACACTCGTTGAGTGCATATGGGTATGGGAACTCGGGTGCTTTCTTGTAATCCAGACTCAGTACTGGCAAACCAGTTCTCCCTGCCCACGCAAAGAGCTTGTCGTCGTTGGTTCGAGGGTCCATCGCAACAAAACCTCCTCCTGGTATATCCAACACAACCTTGGTATGCTTCTTCAGAGTCGAAAGAGGTCCGTCAAAATACAACCATCCATGCACAGGTTCCTTGTAATCCGAGCTCGCCGGTCGTGGTATCCTGATCTGCCGAGGAGGGTACCTCATGAATCTAGGTCGCAACAAGTTCGTGAGGAAGCTCAGGTATGGTGTCGTCCCCTTATTCCAGCTGACCCGTAGATGTTCCACGGTCAGCATCCCTCTGACCTTGCGCACTTTCTCATCTGCCTGCTCTGCCGCAATGAGATAGTATCCCGTAAAGACAATACTAGCAAGATCTCTCAACCACTTCCGCCGTATCCGCATCGCAGACCAGAACCCCGCATCCAGCGCTGTTGTGACCCATGTTGCGCGAAAGTAGGATCGAGTGTATAGGTTTGCGAGTGGTTCGGGGCATTCGAGTCCAAGTAACTTCCCAAGATTCCGCGCAATGTAGAGGTAGAGGAGGGTCAACACGAGCGTCTGCCATGGTGTGAGGATTGTGGAGAGTCGTCGCGATATCTTCCTCAGAGTTGGTGGGCCATGTTTGTGCCCTCTGCGATACAATTAGTACCCTTTGTGTACAGTGGCGGATTGACATACCGGAAGAGGTAGAACGACCAGAACGAAACCACGGCCAGGACTTGTATCTTTCTAAATTGCACAGAGGGTCGACCCAGAACATGATCTGTAGGCTTCGAATTAGCAAGACGGTACTACCCGTGGTCTGCAACTGTCTTACCTATCATCTTGACATAGGATATGTTTTGTACAGAGCAGAACCCGAGGAGAGTTCCGTGAAGAGCAAAACAAAGAGATTCACATGTGAACCCAAGAAAAAGAAACAAGCTTCACTGGTGGGGAACCATGCTAAACCAAAACCAAAACGAGTCTATCCGATGTCTAGTCCGGTAGAAGTATCCCAATGCACATGCAGATTGAGTGATAGAAAGGGTTCGAGTCAGAAAGTAAGCTGGTGTCACGACTCTCGGATCATGGCAGAGTCGTGTGTTTTGGGAGCGCAGACGACTCGTCGACAACACGAAGAGCTTGTGGTGCGTATGACCAGAAATATGCAAGCTACTTTGACCTCGGCCTATGTTCCTGCGGCGGAAATCGAAGGCTCATCGAATGAGAAGCGCGGGAGAGCGGCTTACAGAGTGCACTGGACCATGGGGAAGATGGAGAGGACGACGATTGGACGTGGCGGGGTGCTTGAAGTGAGGAATGTACTCGTAAGCATGTGAAGACAACCATGACTAAGCACTAAAACGTGATATTCAGTGGACTGATTGGCAATGTGGTTGGAAACGTATATAGATACTAAGGACTTCAGATATCTTAAATGTATATTTTCATTGGACAGTGTTGGTAAGAATACCTAGGTGATTTGAATCTTTGACAGGTTGTAACAGGCGACGGGTAAATATATACTTACCAGGTAGGCGTAGGTAAAGTAGACCAGCCGCAGCGGAAGAAAAGACAGTTTGACACAATTAAATACCGTCACTATCTTTCTGCCAATGAGAAGAATGGAATTCTCGCAGAGCCCTCTGTGCTTGGCCAGGAGTACGGAAGTGGCACATTGTCACTTTCCGGAGAGTCTTTGCTCAGAACATGGAAATGGAAGGATAATAAATAAGATCAGGTGACCATCTTCATCGGCCATTCCCGAGTCAGCCTCGTCTTTCTTTGGTATCCAATCGCATAGGTAAGGTAGCACGGCACGGCAGGCGTTCCTCTCAGCCTTGTCAACGTCCAGTTGTCAACTCTAGGTACTTTAGGTTTTGTCCGTCCAACTATCCATCAAAGGCAATCCTTTGTCCCTGTCTCTTCGCTTCATTCTTTGCCATCTTCAGATCTCATCATCTGACTATGAAATGAATTTTCATGGTGCAATAATAGGGGCCAGACAGAACCTTCTTATTGCCTTTGCCCAAATCGCAAATGACTCGCTGACGGTTCGTCTCGTATTGCGTACCTCGACTCGTAATGAATGGAATGTCCTTTCCCGCCTTCCCTTGGCGATTTTATGAAGCGGGATTTATCCAATGATCTTGGCCCTGCAGGAGGCGGGTACCTCCTCTTCCTTTCCTCTCCTCTCTCCTGCCCATATCTTCCTCGGTTCGGGAGATGCATTCTCGACTGCACCGTATTGCATCGCATTGCATTGCATTGCATTGCATTGCACAGGTTTCTCACTCACCGGCGACGTGATGATTCCATTCCGATCTTCTCCCAGAGTCCCAGCGATGCATCGCATCCCTTCCTATTATTCGTAAGTCCATTTCAGATATGATACACCTGTCTCTAAGATCTTCCCTCACCCACGATGATCGCTTCAGGGCATGATGCTTCTCGTTCATTTTGGCCATGTGGATCAGCACTCTCTTTTGTGTTTTGATTTGACGATTGTTTCACGCCGGCACCCGGGAACACCGTACAGTATGGTATGGACACAAATTGCCCGCTTGAAGCCCGAGCCCACTACTCTACTGCAGGGGAACGCCGACCAGTGGGTTGAAACAAGTTCGAGACTCGTCCGCGTTGTTCCCCTGAACTGAACTGAACTGAACTGTGCATCCAGAGCGAGCGGCGGTCCAGTGACTCTAGTCAGGCTAGTCAGGCTAGTCAGGCTAATCCAGACTTCCCGGGCGCCACTGCACGCCTCCCGCAGGGGGCGCTGACAGGCACGCAAGCCAGGAGCCAGGAGCCAGGAGCCAGGAGCCAGGCCTGCCCGCCGGCACCCGAAAGTCAAAATTCTTAAACATGAGAAGGGAAATCTGTGGTCTCAACGCAAAAACTCCTACAGCCATGAACTCAATATTGGCCCTTGGTATTCGATTTTTTTTTTTTTTCTTTTTTTTTCAATCCATACTCAGCCTCCCGTCTCCCCGTCTCCCATCATATCACATCACAACAATATCTCACTGCATCCAGATCCACTGCTCCAATTTGACGTGGAATCCTCCAAGTGGCCCGAGCCGTCCCAAACTTCAGCCTCGCCTAGGGGGCCTGCACATTTTATCCACCCCCATGTATTTTTAACCTCATTGCGCCAACATCCCAGAGGTTCTCACACCTAACATCCAATTAACTTTTAAACCTCGGGTTGAGTCTCCATCAAACATGCAGGGCAGCCGATGAGATGGCCAGAAGTAGCATTAGTACACGTCCAATATACCCATCAGACGTTTCTAAAACGGCCAAGACCAACCGGGAACCCGTAAGCTGATGGCTCGAAAACTGGGGGCGGAAGGATTCCCCTGGATTAGAGACGTCCTTGCATTACTAGGGTACGTCGTCTAGATTTTTTCTTTCTTCTCTTGAGCTCTCATCTTTATAACCAGAGCTTCCTCGTCTGCGCATTTTCCTGCTTTCTTTCCTGCTAATCGTTTCTCAACCTTTTGTTTACTCAAGGCAGCTCGACGTGGGAAGTTTCCTTCGCTGTAAATCGAGTTTAATTGCTACTACCGCTTTCGTTTTTTCCCTTTTTTGTTTTCTTTAACGCATCACTATGTCGGACGATGCTGCTCCATCTGGCGGAGCAGGTGGTGGTAATGCACCGGCACACGCACACGCAGACGCAATCCATCACTATGATGTCCCACAAGTACCAGTCAATGCATCCAGGAGATCGACATGGACGAAAGACATGACGGATGTGCATGTCAGTGGCACACAAACACCTATGAGTGGCATGAACAGAATGAGTCGTCTTGAGCCGGGTCTCGACCACTACTTCGTGAGTTAAAAATCATTCAATTGGCATTTCTGGAGCTAATTGATCTCAAGGTCGGCCCTCGAAACATGGACGGCCATTCCAAACTTCCTTACTTCATGCGAATGCACGGCAGTGTGACGCCTCGAATGCTTCTCCCTTTAGCAATCATCGGAGCATGGGCAACATGTATAACCTGCATATCTCAATTCGTGTATCCACGTACGTTCTACCCTCAAAACTTGCAGGTGATACCTCCTAACAAGCACCTTAGTCGCCGTCAACACCCTCCTCCTTACAGTTCTCGGTTTCGTGGTCGGTCTCGCCCTCTCCTTCCGCAGCACAACCGCATACGAGCGATACTCCGATGGCCGCAAAGCATGGGCAACCCTTTCCGTACAAGCTCGCAACCTCGCCCGTAACATTTGGGTTCACGTCGACGAACGACCTGAGTTTGAAAAGGAAGACCTCCTCTCCAAAGTGACAGCCATCAACATGATCCTCGCCTTCGCTGTCTCCCTCAAGCACAAGCTCCGCTTCGAGCCATACGCCCACTACCCCGACATCCACTCTCTGATTTCCCACCTGGACACCTTCGCCCTCGCCGCACACAAAGCCGAAAACACCGTCGAAAAGAAACACTCCCCCTGGAAAGCCATCGGAATCTACCTCGGCATCCCCTTCGCGGAATCCAACCCCCGCAAAGTCCTCAAGCGGGCCGACCGACCATTGGGAAACCTCCCCCTCGAAATCCTCACTTACATCGCCGCCTACATCGAAGAGGTTTCCGTAAACGGCACGCTCAAGAACCCCGTTATCACAGGCCAAATCATGACCGCCGTCGCCGCACTCACAGACACGCAATCCTCCGCTGAGCGCGTCCTGACAACTCCCCTTCCAGTCGGATACAACATCCTGATCTCCCAAATCGTCCTCCTCTACGTCTACCTCCTCCCCTTCCAACTCTACGACGCCCTAAAATGGATCACCATCCCCGGCACCATCGCCGCCGCCTACATCATCCTCGGTCTTGCCGCCATCGGCAACGAGCTCGAGAACCCCTTCGGAAACGACGTCAACGATCTCCCTCTCGATGACTACTGCAGGGAATTAGCAGCCGAGTTAAACACCCTGACAAGCGTGCCTGCGCCGAGGTTCAGCGATGTGGTGAGAGGGTGTGGTGGGACCACGGAGAATAAGGTGCTTTGGCCGTTGAGCGAGGGCGGGTTTGATCAGTGGCATGGGAGGAGTATGAGGGATATTAGGAGTGCGTTGAAGAGTAAGGTTATTGCGGGGGATAAGCTGGCGGCTTCGGATGGGGGGAGTTTGGTGACGGTTTGAAGCGGATAGAAATTCGAATTCTGAGCTTGGGGAGATCAGTGTCAGTCTTGAGATCCTGGAGCCCGAGGCGGCTGATCGGATCGGACTCGACTGGTCTTCGCTATTCTTGGATTCTTGTTCTATTTGTCTCGTCTCATTTCGTGTTGAATTTGTGAATACCGGGCTTGCTGTGCTTGTGTACAAGCGATGGAGCATGGGAAAATTGCGGATTGTGCATATTTATTTCTTTAACGTTGGCATTCCTAAGCTGACAATTGCATTTGGTGGCGTTTTTAATTTAATATGATATGATATCATCGCATCGAATCATTTGTTTACATTCTCTATTTGCTACGCACAAGACCTTTAGTGATTGTTGTACTGCTGTGATTATGCTTTGAACTTTCGAACTTAAAGTTCGCTTGTTCGTTTTGCTATGTTCGCCTGGCGATATTGGTTGTCTTCCAGTGCTGAAGGGATTGAAGCATCTGCCGGTACATCAATTCAGGCGGGATACTAATCACGTAACAAACATTGATACAAAGCAGTGTATATGAAAATCATATTGAATCACGAATAAGAGCACTTTACCACCATTTATGGAACCTACGTCTACTCTCCCCATCCCCACCTTCGCTCACTCACCTCCTCCAACAAATCCATCTCCACTCACTCCCCATCCCACGGCCTAACCACAACCTTAACCCCACTCACACCACTCTTATTCAACTCCAAGGCCTCATCCACCATCCCCAACCCCCCCTCCACAACCCTCACCCTATTCGGCACAAACCTCCCCTTCGCAATCCACCCCTCCTCCCCACCCAACGCCCTCATCAACGGCTCACTCAAATACCTCAAATCCTCCTGACTCCCCAACCCCAGAACCTGCCTAATCTCCACCTTCCTCTCCCCCTTCTCCCCCAACCTCGCAGCCTCCTCATCCGGACGATCCGGATGCACAGTATGCAGCGTCACCAAACAACTCCCCTCCCCCCTCCTCCTCACAGCCTGCAGGATCTCCACACCAAGCCTCTGCGTACCAGGCGCAGAAATAGCATCAAACACAAACGCCACTTCCAGATCTCCAATCACCGAGGCGAAATCTTGAACTCCGCAAACCTTCCTATCAAGCACGATATCCGCGCCTAGCTTTTCAACCAAGGCGATGTTATCTCCTCCGGAATTCGTAACGATCTTCTCGAAGCCAGAGAGTTTAGCGAGTTGCACCGCATACTGCCCCACGGAACTCGCTCCCCCCAGAATCACCACCGCCTTCCCTTTCCCAACTTGATCCCCGCCAGTGGACCAAGGTGGAGACATGCCGTATCCGATGGTGTGGTAGAATGCTGTTACTACAGCCATGGTAGCGAGGGAGATTCCCGCTGCGGCTTCGAAGGAGATGAATGTGGATGTGGATGCGGATGGGTTGGATGGGTTTTTGGAGGAGGGGATAAGAGAGATCAGCGAGGAGGGCATGCTGCAGTATTGTTGGAAGGTGCTGGATTGAGGGGTGCCGATTATGCCTTGGAAGAAGACTCGGTCGCCGGGTGAGAAGTCCGTTACTGCGCTTCCTAGGGAGATGATCGTGCCCGAGGCGTCGGAGCCGAGGATTGCGGGCTGGAAGGGATGGATGAGTGTCAGTTCAGTTTGGTAGACGTTCTGAGGTTTATTCTGTGACGTGGAGAGTTGTGGAAAGGAGGAAAGGAAAGGAAAGGAAAAGAAAGGAAAGGAAAGGAAAGGAAAAGAAAAGGAAAGTGAGGGGAGGGGAGGGAGAGGATGAAGTGGAGGGAGATGTACATAGCCTGGCAAGAAGAGGTCGTAATCTCGCATTTTCCAGTCGACGGGGTTTATAGCCGTGGCTTCGATCTTAATCGCTACTTCATCTGGTTTTAGGGGTGGGAGGGAGCGTGTTTCGATCGTATGTTGCGCTTTGGGAGACAGTAGGACGGCGGCCTTGTAGTTCGAGGGAGACGACATTTTTGATTTGTTGAATGAATTGGGATGAGTGGTTATGAGCGTGAACCGATTGATGCTGGGCTCCAATCTGACTTTGATGGCGATGATAAGTATTGGCTCCGAATTGTTTTGGTCGAGAATGAGACTCCATATTCTCCGGGACCCTACTTCTTATATCCCTTTAGAGGATCTGATGTTAAGATCAACGACGTAGGAAATTCTAAGCTTACCAATTATCCTCCCGCTCGAAAACACCGAACTTGGCAGCTACATCAGAATTGGAGCCGTTCTTGCCAAAATCATCTCAGCGCAGCCTCTGCAAAACCACAAACGCTAAACGAGAAGTATCATGACGTGATGTGGTAATATTCAAATGCAAGGTTTCTGCTTAACTCCACGCAGTTTTATCCTCGCCAAGTCTTTGAGCTCCGACGAATATCTCGGCCTTGACCTTTCTCGCGATAAAAGGAAGACAATTGCATCTATGATACGCAATTGAGCAGGTTTTGAGAGCGCTTCATGTGCAATGTTTCTGGAATGGTAACGGGAATGTTTACAAATCAAGCTGCTGCAGTGCTGATCGATACCTATGCATTCTCGCCTGCCTTGGCTCTTTTCTTGGGGCGAGCCGAGCGAGGCGAGCTAAGCGAGGGATACGCAGGCAGGTTAAACGTCAACGTCGATGTGCAAGAACGATAAGAGAGAGATATGGCGCAATCTCTGTCATTCAAAACTTGGTGCTAGAGTAAAAATAAAGTTCTCAATGTCTGGACTAGAATGAGGTTTAGATGCCGAGCTGTACTACAAGCTCCTGATTGGACTCTTGCGAGTTCGCCAAGCGCAACAAAGTGTGCCGAGGAGAAGAGGTATAAGGAAGTTGTTGATTATGGTGGTTTTGTAATTAATCTTGGAAAATATTGGGAGGTCAGTGGGAAGATAACGGCTGTGCAGGAGGGTGTGATGTGTGTGAAGAGCTTTAAGAATGTGATGCCGACGAGAGATGGCTATGACAAAATCTTTGTTATCATTCCTTAAGCGAGTATCTACGTCCTCATTCTAACGAACAGCGACACGAAAATCTTATTTTTTTCCGTATCATTCCAATACGGAGACTTTTGCGTGTTAAATCTATTCTGAACTCTGAGTAAATTCTCATGTATTCCGAGATCCGACCTGAGGCGTTATTTGACCTGGTTGATTGGTTCTTGAGAGCAGGGGTATTGCATCCCTGTTCGGGCTGGGATACGATCAAGCTCGTTGCAAGAGAAGAAAATAGTTCTCAAATTAGATCCAAATTTATAAATAAGATGAGAGAAGTGAAATTGTGAAGTGTGAATTAATCAGTAGATGAAGGCTGATGATGATGAAGTAGTTGAGTTCTGGGACCCTGGAAATGGTTGGAAGCATTTGACCTCGTGACTGTCTTACCCGACGTGCATTGCCAAGCACTTGCAGCGGACGTCGTTTTGGTAAAGCGTCCCGACGATTTTGAAACACCTGAAAGACATGATCAAAGTCAGAAAACAAATCATTGATTTACCATCCACAGATTAGCTACTCACTTGTGCTTGCGATTAGCTGCAAAAAAGTGCAGTCGAGCTGGGGATCTCCTGCTTCTGCTTCTGCTCGGCAACCCCGCACTTGCATGTTTCATTAAGTCTTCCTCATACCTCTTACGAAGAAAAATGTCTCTCGAGGATTTATACAAAGACCTAGCTATAAGCAAAGAGGAAGGTGCACTAAACACCACCCCTCTCCCTGCTTTCAACTTTCCCGAACTTCCGGAGGCTATCACTACGGCTCATGACAAGGCAAACTGGAAAACCTTGGGCGAGATCCTCAACAAATGCAACGGACATGTCGCGACTTTGGATGGGATCGTCAATGATCTGGTGTCCGCCAGTGAAAATTTTCGCTATATTGGTGACTCTGTCAGGTGGATGAAGACTGAGCTGGAACGCATGTGCGAGATGCCACCATTGGCTGCTGAGGAGAGCGAGACCTCTTCGGAGTCAGAAGAAGAATCCGAGGAAGAGATCAAGCCTGTAAATGATGACAATTCTAGTACCCTAAGTAACGATAACGCCGCCTCGGACGCCAGTTCAGTTGAATCAAGAGCATCAGAGACAGAACGCATGTTCTGCCCTTCAGAAATGTACGATTGGTCGGAAATTGAGGAAGATGTCCATATGCTACAAGATATCATCATCATGAACCCCCTGATGGCCATTTATGAGATTCTTGATATGAAGACTACATCTGAGTCTGACTTTGACGACTTATTCGCTCAGCCGATTATAGCAAACTGGGACGGAGAGATGGTGGAGACTCTGCTCGAAGCCCTAGGATTTCTAGCTCAGCTATTGTTGAAAACATTTGAGCCCAACATAGCCAGACCGCCGGTGAGCGTTGAGAGGGTCGGAGGGACGAGACAGGAAAGCACTGGTACCGAATCAGCACGACCATACCCAAGCCCAAAGATGACCGATGCGCATGAAATTCGAATTCTTGAGCTGCTACCTGGTTTGAAGGATGAACCAATACAAGGCTTACTCACCATCGAGCATCTGTGGGACGACCCTCGATATGAAGCTTTATCATATGCGTGGGGAACCTCCACTACAACAAGGCCAATTAAGTTGAACAAGACAGAGTTTGATATCACCCCCAACCTCGAGACAGCACTTCTTCATCTAAGAGACGAGAAAGAATCACGACGTCTATGGATCGATGCCTTGTGTATCAATCAAAGCGATCCAATTGAGAAGCAAGCCCAAGTCAAACTGATGAGCGACATTTACCCTGCGGCGGAGAATGTGCTGTGCTGGCTTGGCCCTGAAGCAGACGACAGTGACTTGGTCTTTCAACGACTACAAGAATTAGCCGAGTTCAAGAAGGCTTCTGGGTCAGATTCTGACGACGAAAATGACTCTGATTCGGATGAGCAATCTGATGCTGAAGTCTGGTTCGAAAAGCAAAGCTTCCTAAGCGCTTTATTCAAGCTTCTATCTAGAGCCTGGTGGTCTCGCCTGTGGACTTGCCAAGAGTTCGCCCTCACGCTGCGTGATCCACAAATTATTTGTGGGGAAAAAACCATGCCCTGTAAGTTGAAAAACATGGTAGAAAGAAGATGTAATGCCAAAGAGTATGTGCTGATTGTTGTTCAGGGTCTCTGTTCCGTCTTGCAGCAAGACAACAAGCGCTGCGGATGGCTAATCCGATGATGCTCCAGGGTAAAACTGGAATGACCGAACTTGATCCGACTACTTTCTGGGAGACGTATGAGATATTGTATGGATTCTTAGCAGCCTGCATCCTCCGTAATAGTAGTGGATTTGCCGGCTTGCCCAGAACATCGCTATTCCATCCCCTCTATGCAATGACCATTCTCACGCGACGATATCGATGTCTAGACAGTCGGGATAATCTCTTCGGACTATTGAGTTTCCTACTGGAGCCTCATCGAGCGCTGCTCCCTCCAAATTATCTACAACCGGCAGAAACCGTCAATACCAAATTCAGTGCGGCAGCACTAGCAGTCTCGAGATCCGGTCGTCTGTATAGCTACCTATCGGTGGGGAGCCACTCTTGCGGGAAACTTCCTTCTTGGGTATTTGACCTGTCTTCTCGCATTGTAGATGGAGAATTCAATCCATCTACTATGCTTATGCCTCGTGGCAAAGATCATTTCTTCAGCGCTTCCAAAAGACGCAAGGCACAATGTATCCCACTCGGACCAAGATTGATGATACGCGGTGTGCTGGTAGATCTGATCGAGTCAGTGTCAAATGTCAATGATGGACAGGCCGTCAATCCAGCCAGCATGTACTCCAATCTTATCAAATTTCGGGCTTTGGCTGCGAGGAAAAGTGTTATGGATATCCCTCCTGGCCATCCAGTCTTCAAGTTCAAGAACCTGCGAGCAGCAGATCCTATCACCGACGTCACAACCTGCGGAATGTGTAGCGAAGAAGACTTTCATAGTGCTTTTAGAAGATGGATTCCTTCTGGCAAAGCTGATGGCGTTCCTCCAAATGCTGCAGAGTCGCAAAAAAACCCGCCTTCATCCTCATCTTCATCGGCTCCATCGTCTTCGTCTGTAGAGAGTAAAGAGACTGAAGAGAACATTCAATTAATCCTCTATTCTATCGTGGGTCGGAAACTGCTCATCACGCGCTCTGGCTTTTTCGGCATCGGTGTGAAGGAGATCCGGGCTGGAGACATACTGGTTGTCCTCTTTGGCTTCGATGTTCCAATGGTATTGAGAGATTGCGGTGGCTACTTCTCGATGGTGGGAGCGGCTCGAGTGGGTGGAATCATGGAGGGAAAACTCATGGAGTTTGTGGAAGATGGAACTTTGCAAGAAAGGACTTTCCTTATCAGGTGAGTATTGAAGTCTAGAAAGGTGCCGAAAATCGGAAACGAATGGAATGACAGGCGAGAGCGTGTTTGCTCAATATACCATCACCAGGTGTCTACCAGGGAGATTTTTTATCATTCTGAAGACCATGTCCGAAAAATCGCAATGAGAATTACAAGGGACGAATTGAGTTAATGTTTCCGTAGGCCATAAGGGATTAGTCAAAATTGCTTTGATTTTTTGTGGCAAGACAGATACCGAAACATCTGAAAATTCTTGTGGGTGAATTGACTACTATGGAAAGACAAATGAAGGTGAATATCGATTGAACCAAAGAACGTTCTCGTAAGCGATACCACTACCATTACTCCACAAATCAAATTTTCTACAACCCCTTCTGTGCAGCATTACTAGAGCTCACCTCGCGATCACGAAGAGCACCAAACAAATCGCAATGCTCTGCCCGTACTCGCGATGCCATTTCATTTCGACATCTCATGGGCTGGTCACCTGACAGATACTGTCACAAGTGCTCTTCTCCTTCCGCTGGTCTACCTCCTCGAATTTCTCACCGAAGACCTCCCTCGAGTAGGCATCTACGTCGTCAAGATCTACTTTCAATGTGCTAGCATCATCTTCTCTACGACCATTTACTGCTCTCGCCTTCTTCTTGCTAGCTTCGTACAATACATCGCAATCACCCTTGTCTGGATCCAAATGAGTCTCCGGCTCAGCCTCATCGCCTCCACGATCTACATCCTGGGTCGCTTCCTCCAGATACTGTGCGAGTTCTTTATCAAAAACCCTGTCTACACGGTATTGGCAGCTATGGGAATCCTAATACTGCGGGAATTGTTCAGATACTTGGTCCCGATCTTGACGTGGGCACAGTTGGTTGATCGAGGTATCCAGGCGATGATATTCAAGATGAAGTCAATGGCAGCGAAGAAGAAGATGAACAGGAAGTTTGTGGTTGTTCGAAGGTCACAAATGATTGATGAGGGCACACAGACTGTTAAGGCTTGGGATAGGGTCAAGGAGAAGGTCAAGCTCAAGGAGATACAAAGGCCCGATGGTCACCCAAATAAATCCGACGAGGACTGGGAGACGGATTCAGAAGATGAACATGAGGAGATACCTGGAAGAAGAATGGTATGATTGCTATAGCATGTAATCCTTACCCTAGCATGGGATATGATGGGAATGCTATCGGACAGCTTCCCAGTTAGTGCATAGGTACTGGGCAGCGTGGTGGATGTACGTGAACCGAGCGAAACTGCAAATCCAATGAAAAAATCCTACTAAATCACAGCATTAAACCCCAAGACTGTTCAAATGTTTGATAAGTTCGTGCATTTAATGTTGTTGCTTGAGCAGGTTGTGTACCTATGCACCTGTGGCCGACATCATTCATTGTTTTCTTCTCGCTTAGCTTTCTTCCGCGATAGACTGGAGATATGTCGCGCGTTCATAACACGTCTAGGGTCGCGCCACCAACAAAAAAACATCTATGAAGTGTGACAACCTTATTCTACATATCAGCTGTCAATCGCCCGACATGGACTTCTCTGCCTCAAGCAATACAGTCGAGCTCCAGATCCCATCTCTCCTCACGAGCATCTATAACGCTACGATCTATATCGTCTCGCTCCTGTTCCTTCTAGGCTACGAATATCCAAAAACATCATTTGGCATTGGAATGCTACTTGTATTTATCCTCCTCTACACAATGCTCAACTCCATCATTCACGCCTTCTTCACCACTGCCGTCCATCGCCTTCCGCTGGCTATCGCACTTGTCTTGGTTGTTGTCGCGTGGTATCTACATCGGTTGATCCAAGAATACGACATGAGTGTACTGACGGATGCTGTTACTGCTGCGGAACTGGCCGCTGTGGAACAAGCCAAGTTCCTGGAATACGATGACGAGGGTAGCTGTGAGGGTGGTGGCAGCAGCAATGGGAAGGAACTTGGATATTTTGGAAAGATAAGAGAAAGGGCGAGATCTGGGGGACTGGATACAGATGTCTGGCAGGGAGGTCAGAGGGTGAAGAGGACAGGTTGGACGCCGGAGAGTGCGTAGAGGGATGGTAAACAAGGGCTGTGTGGAGGAGGCACGTGAGGAGGAACCACTATTGGGGACGACTAAAGGCTCCTATCGGAACAAACAATCGTCAGACTTGTGGGTATACTCATACGCTGTTGCTATTTCGCGGGATTTTAAATCGTTGCACCCAAGTGCTTCTCTGCAACCACTGTCACGTGCAGTGATCAAAAATCTACGCTTACATAAACTAGTTCAGGGGCTGACAGTGCCGTAAGCAAATTTAAGCATTCCTCGGCAGGCACCAACTCAACTTCCAAGACATCAACCAGACACATATTTCATTGTCGTATATCATTACTTTCTTCTTGATCTCAGAGCACCAACAATGTCGCGAGAATTGGATACATATGTCGCCCCTAAGCCGGAACCGCCTCAGCCAGGCCACCCGGCCTTGTCAACACAACTACTCTACCAGGGTCTGCGCTTCGATGTCTTGCGGCTCCTTCTCCCATTCGTCTCCCACCTCTTCTTCCGCTTCATGCTCTTCGTGATGCTCTACGTCTTTTCTGTGCCGCATCTACTCAAAGATGCCGACTGTATTCGCCTCGTTAAACTCATCCCTGTCTATTGGGTTCTCAACATTCTGGTCAGACAGTCGATGCGGATGGTTGTGCTGGTCAGTTACAGCTCGCGTGTATTGGGGATTACACTTTTGCTCGGACTGGTTATTGGTGGTCTGGGGTTCGGGTGGAATTTCATCCTCAGGAAGAGGCTGCATTTGAGATTTACTTGGCCCCAGTGGATCGCTATGTTTGGGATGGCTTGGCTGCTTGTTGGTGTTGATCTGGGCGGTGGAGCGTAAGTGACTGCCCCTGTGGCTGAGAGCTCCTTCTATATGGATTTCGACTTACTTTTCCTTACAGCGGCGGTGGAGGTGATCCTGGGTTTGGGTTTATGATGCTAGGTGCCATTCTGAGACCGTATGGAGGATGATGGCTCAGTGCTGCCTAGCCTGCCTTATTGGGCAAATGACTCACCCCGATTCACGCATATTTTTTGAGGGGAATTTATTATGGCTACGACTATGTTATGATTCTGCTAGATTCAATAGACCGAGGTGCTGTCTCGAAATATTCTGCCCGTTTTAGGAAATTCTTCTGTCACCGACTAGGTGAATGGCTCAAATTAGAAGTCATGGCCAAATCCCCGCTCATAAGCGAAAGACTCCGCTGTTAGATTGCATACAATCAAACATGACAATTTAGTCAACTAAAACTCAATCATCGAGAACTTTAAAGCTCGGGACACGTTCCACATTCGAAGCACAGACACAGACCTCGTTTGTTTCAACATCAGTACCAGAATTCAACTACAATGGCCGGCTCTGCAAAACTCTTGTGGCTTCAACACCTTCCCGGCGATACGAATTCCACTCTCGCGATCATCGATGATCTTTTCCCTGGTGATCTACTGAAGCTGTTCTCCGCCTGTGCGTTGTTCTCAGTTATCATGATCCAATTCCGTATCGCACGGGGCTTCTTCCAGGATTCTTTGCTCGCATTTGATGTGTACTATGCAATCTACATGGAGTCTATCCGGATTGTCACTCTGATCAAGACTATCGTTTCCTGGAACTCGATGATAAGCTGGGTGGGCCTCCCCGATATCCTTACATCGATGATCATCCTTTCCATCGAGTTCTTGGTCCTCTGGAAACGGAGTGAGGATCTTAATAGATGGCGGATTTTCACGATGGTAATGGTACTTGAGTACCCTCAGATATTTAACAGACTTTGGATCTATTGCAGCAGCACTGATACATGCGATGTGCTTATCGCTATAGCTGATATAATATACTTTTGTAGTAGTATATTGCTTCTTGCTGTCTTTTCCTCCTGGTACTACGAACTGGCTCTCCGGCGCATTGGTGGAAGAGTGGCTTGAGAAGTTTCGTCTGTTGAACCAGGATTGAAATAGTTGGAGAGAGATAGCGGCATAGGTACTGAGGATTTGCAGAGAAAAGAACAAATACCTTTATGGAGATATACTATCTTACGTGGCAATCCTCCCATTGATGACATGTCTGTACAACAGAGAGTACCACACGAAAAGCTCTTTTATTGCATCTGATTGATGTGTCTCGTCTAAGTCGTACCTTTTTGTCATGTTCTGTGTTGTTTTTGGGACTATCAGACCCATAGTCATGGCTTTCGTCCAAAGTGGCCCACCCTACATAATCATATGATCATCTCTTGAAACAAACCGTCCCAACTTCTCTCCAAGGCCACAAGCATACCACCAAATTCTTTTACACAATGTTTTCCCCTTTCTCGCCCTCATGCAGGATGTGGTTCCAGCCCTCTGGCATATCCACGCTCCCTCCATGGACATCAGAAACGTTATCATGGCCGTCTTGCTTACTTGACACCTCGCAGTCATCTTTTCTCGCATTCTTCTCATCACGTACATTGTATATATATATCTCGATCATATTCGTCTGCTTTGATTCTGTATGCCTCTCGTAGCTTTGGGAGTCTGATTACAGCAACAATCACTCGTTCCACTGTAACTATGCTCCGATTCATTCTCCAAAATAAAGATGCCCAATCTTATCTTATGCTCTTCTTAGCCAAACCGATGTTACTAGACACTCTGGGAGAAGTCAATCGAACCCAAACGCCATCGATAGAGACAACCGGAACTACGAAATAGTCACTGAATGCAGGAAAGAAGATGATCGCTTGTTCTCTCGCGTCTTTGAAATCACCTTCTTTCGAGTCGCTTTTTTCAACCAGGTCTGTCACCTTCTCAAAGGCTCAAAGCACAACACCCCACACAACAAGCCTCCATTTCTCGATCTCTCGTCGCGACACCACAAACTCCTGCACACAATCTCAGTCACGAGCAGAAACAGGTCTGCAAGAACATCAATATGGGTTCCCCAGTTATTCTTCCAACCCTCATCGCTTTTCTCCTTGGCATTGTTGTCTCGATCTTGTACCGTCTATACCGCCTTCACTCTCACACCGAAGTCATCGTCAAGCAATCAGTCGAGCCTCTTCAAAACAACTCCTCCGTTGCCACGTCTGCTTCTGTTCCAGCTACTGTTGCTTTCACCAAGTCCGAACCAAGTCCGAAATCAAAATCAAAGTCTCAGTCTAAAACCAAAAACGTGTCTACAAATACCACGGCTACAAATATTGCCGCTCGATCTGCTACTCAGGCAGAAGACTCGCTTTCGTTCAAGGAGAAGGTTGATATGATTGGAAAATGGGCCGAGGAGATTGAAGATGCTGGCGAGTTTACGATTTCCTTGGATATGGGAAAGAAGCGAAAGTATATGGGCGGACTGTTCGCTGAGAGGATTGTAGTTGAGGGATTTAGGGCTCATGAAAAGAAGTTTCGGGTCCTGTGAGAAACATCGAAAGGATTAGGAACTCATTCTCACTGGAGGGAACTGCACTCTATGGAATTCCTTTCTGTTAGAGCGGAGATAGATTGATTCAGGGGACACTTGTGGAGTGACTTCTGGGTGTGTGTGCTCTTCAGGCTTTCTGACCAGATGGCTTATTGCAATTGTAGCTACCGGCAGGCTGCAAATGATGGAGCGAAGTATTGGACGAAGAAAAACATAAAACAGGAAAACAATTACATCACATAGTAGTGATTGGCCTCCTGTGAACAAGTCAAATCAAAATAAACGGGCGAAATACACCTCCCTTCGCTCCTACTAGTTCCGCACTAGTCCCAGTTGAGAGAGCTAACCGGGCGACGCGCTAGTTAAAACAATGGCCGGACATACGAAAACCTATTCTTCTCCTTCTCGAATCACAAAAGTTCCATCTCAAAATCATAAAAGAGCTGTACTGACTTGTATGATCCTAATTACCATATCACCTCCAGCCTTGCAACTCACTCAGTCGCTTCCAACCTCTGAAAAATGGCAGACCCACCTTGGCAATATGCGCTCTTCCTCCTCCTCAGCATCATCTTGACTTTCATTCTTACTGGTACCAGCCTCAGAACATACTTAGACGACATCAGTTTGGCAGATGGAGCTTTCAAGAACAGAAATATCTTTGAACAGTTCAGAGAAGATGATATAGATGCTGCCGTGTTCAAGGCTTCCTCCCAGCGTCATGTTCCAACTGCCGAAGTACCGGAGCTGCTACCTATGACAAGATCCATCATTCTAAAGCGTGATGTGACTCCAGGTAAGAAACTGTTCCCTTCAATCTCCCAATTCTCTTTTCTTCTACGTCCCGAGCACAGAATACCTCAACTAACATTGTTAAGTAGACTTCCCCTTCTACGACCATGAAGTAGCAAATCTCGCCGACGCGACTTCAGCTAAGTTGAAGAACTTCCACACCTGTCTTCACAAGCAAATGGGCTACCAAGAAACCAGCCGCCGCAAGCTTCATGCCGCCAATCAACTGTGCCTCTTTGAGGCCTTCACCGACTTGGAGGTATTGTTGGATGCCAGAGGTGTAAATGAGGTTGGATATGGAGGACTCGGTCTTGGTGATGATATCTGGGAGGAAGAAGGAGCTCACTACGTTAGGGCTGGACGTGCCCAAGGTGGTGGATGGTTCCTCGTGCGGAATGGGGAGAAGCAAGATGTTGTTAACCAGGAATCCTGGGCACATTACGTTCCCAATCAGCCCTAGGTGTCCGCATTCTGATTATGAGAATGAATAGAACGCAGGATATAGAGAGCCTGGGTGCTGATAATTGAGAGGATTTGGAATGGTCTGACAACTGTTCCTGTACTACTAGCGGTGTTTTGACTCTTCCGATGTTTGTGCTGGAGCGGGAATTGCGGTGGCTCTTCTAGATCTCGATTGAATGAATTTAGTCAAGAACTCACGACCTGAAGTGAAGCGAATGCGCATTGCTCGATCTTAAGTGCTCTCTTTGTCAATAACACATCCTACAACAATTTAGCCGCGAATCGATTACCAACACCGACACCAACACACGCACGCACCTCACCAAATCTCTGTGCCCCCATCAACCATCTCCCACCCAAACACCATTAAACCACACTCAAATTTCAAAAATGACAATGGTCCAAACGATCAATACTCTCCTCCTTCTCAACCTCCTCATCTTCTCGCTCGGTCTCATCCACCCAAGACCGACCAAGGACATTACCATCACAGTTGTTGCAGGCCACTACCACAACGTCACCTCGATCTCAGCGAAACACAGCACCGCTACCACTACCTCAGCCCTCTTCACCACCTCTCATCGCCCAACGCCAACCGTCATTCTCGCCCCAGCTCCTGTCGACTCTGCCAATTCAATGAGAAACCAGTTCCGATTCTGGATCGCACAAAAGCTTCGAAATGATTGAAAAAGTTGGAGGACGATGGCCACAACGGACAGATCTGAATGCGGCGGAGTGGACGGAAGGTCTGCTGTCTTAGGCTGGCTTTGGAAAGTTATGCGTGGTGCTGTGAAATCTGGGGTGCATTTTCGGGGTCTTGGTGGATCAATGTCATACATGATCGCGATAAACTGTCACCCGTGCAAGGATTGTGCAACGCTGTGACTGGAAGCCATGCCAAGAATAGAAGATCTGCCTCCCAAATGGCGTAGGTCGGCGTGATATATATGCCCTCCAATACCCTCTGATCGTTTCCTGCTGACTTTCATTACTGTTTTTGTTGAACGTTTAACTTGGGTCTTCCAATCTTGCTTTTCTTACCATGAAACTTGTTCTTCTACTCGCATTCTCTCTCGTCTTAGTTCCAAGTCTGGCGAAAGTCCATTGTCCCAACATCATTGAGCAAGTCAAAGCTTGCTGTCCCATGGGCCTGATAGGCATTTTGAGCGAAACCCAAGCTGGCTTTCTCTGTACGACCTTTGCTGTCCCTTCTCCTTTAGGCTCCCAGGTATTTCTAGAGTCAGCTTAACAGAAGGGCTGACTTGGCTTTTTAACTTCAGGTAACCTGATAGGCGGTGCTCCATGTTTAGGGAAATATTTGGCTTGCTGTACAGTGCGTATCGTCATATTTATTCTTTAGAGCGGAAATTGAGTCTGTGAACTGACATCGAAAATGCAGGGGATGAAATCTGCCGACTGTGAAGGCTTGGCTGGTGTCACAATGGTGGGAGACCCGAAACCATCAGCGGCATCCTAATCCATGTTCTTGTGCTGGGATTCTGAGAAACAGAGTCGATCTTCTGGCAAGCTGTGAGAGACTTTGGTGATATGGGTGATTGGCTTTTGGTGTTGTGAAAGTTCTATATCACGACCTAGCTGACTGATCCAAAGATACATATCGATCCATTGAGCTTGGTGTATTCTCCTAAGAAGTTCAGGTCGGTGGTTGTAATTCTGCGAAAGTTGAGCGAAAGGTAATAGCAATCCTTCAGATGTCCTCTGAGTTCAGATCGTCAAGAACCTGCCTCGCACCTTCTTTCCCACTCCTCAACGCCCCTTCCATGTACCCCCGCCACTCGGTAGCGAATTCCGTGCCAATGAAGTGCAGCCCTTCAGCTTGCTCATTAGCAGCATCAACGGTAAGCTGCAATCCAGGTGGCCGAGTAGCAAATGGACAGCCCCATCCAGCCCACGGATCTTCAGTCCAATCCGACGTGATCGAGTCAAGGAACTCTTCCTTCAGAGCCTCATATCCCACAGCAAACAAGGAACCCAGTTGTTGCAGAACGACTTCAATTCTGTCTTTTTGGTCAAGGCCGAGCCACTTTCTCCCTGGACCAGCACAGAGAAAGCAGGTTAGTGCAAAGTTGTTTTGCTCTGAAACAGAAGTGTCTCTACAGTGGTTGATCGGTCCTCGGAAGCTCTGTGCTAGGCCACAGGCGCCTTGGTGTTTCCAGAAAGGAGTTTTGAAAAGACAGATAAGCTTCACGAATGTGCCGTAGTGAACTGATCGTGTGTACAGTGCCTTTAAAAATGGAAGGGGAGGATTGAAAGTGATATTTTTATAGGCCGGTGAAGGAATGCTGATGACGACTGTCTGGCATTTGAGGGTTGTGCCTTTGCTAGTGGTAATGGTATATGAGCCTACGGATCTCTGAACGACGCCGGTAACTGCTGTGTCGAGTTTAATTACTTCTGCGGGGAGGAGTTTTGACATCTCGTTGGCGATCGACTGCGTTCCTTCTTTCAAGCGAAGATACTGGGCTCCGTGTTTGCCATCATACCGTAAATTTACGAGTCCAAGCCCCTGATATTAGAAAACCAGTTGAGGTTAGCGCATGAAATCGAAGTTGGTGGCTGAAGTCTTCACACTTTGAAGTGGGAACTCGGAGACAACCTCCATGCAATGATGGACATGGAGTTCCGGGTACTGATCAAGACATTTCGATAAAGAAACTACTTACACCACGGCAGACCTCCAAGTATGCAAGAGCAGAAACATCACCAGGATCCTGGCCCAGTGTCCCTCTGGACCATACCCTCGCAGTGAAGAGTGCTTCAGCACAGGCACCCAAGTCTTTGCAGTACTGCTCAAAGGACATACCATCCAGATAATCGCATAACGGCTTCTCGAAAGTCTCTGGATCCAGCGAAGCCTTTTCGACTCCATCTCTCAACATCGCAATATTGCGTTGTGTCTCCTCACTAAACTTCGGCGACTCACCAAAGGGGAACATATGACAATTTCCATCCACATCTTCAGCAGCCACCAAACCGTCAATATTTTGAACGACGGGTGTCAATCCAAACTTCTTTATATATTCCCAGACATGAGACTGATTGGTGTTGTTGAGCCACGCTGCACCGAATTCTTGGATGCCTTTCCCGTCTGATCGTTCTACTGAGTTGGTCTTGCCTCCTACTCGGGACCGAGCTTCGAGTATGACAAAGGACCGATTCGCCGAATGGAGATCCAGCGCCGCTTGAAGACCGCTGAGACCTGCACCGATAATTACTGTGTCGAGAAATTTGGACATTGCTGCTAGAGGGCGATTATTGCGATTCTTGTGCGAGGCTCGTCCGGGGGCGCTACATCGGTATTCGAAAGCTTCAAGACATATGTATTCATGATGTGTTACATATAGTAAATGCTCATGAAGTTTGGACTCCTTCTTATTTACATCCTGGCAAGAAGGGCTGACAAGCGTGAGCGATGATTACGAGCGGGATGAGGGGTAGACGCTACTTGGCTCGCTGACTAAGCTACTTAGATCAGAAATTCAAGCTTCTGCCGTGATTCAAGGGAAGCTTTTTATTCGAGTTTTAAGTACAGAAGCTGAATGGGAAAGACCAAAGCAATAGTCGGAATAATAATACATTACCCCACGTGCGCCACTATCCAGGCAAGCTGTACAGTAAGAGATTTAGGCTAAATTCAGCGAGGACAAGGCCAAAGCCCTACGGGGGTTTTTTTACAGACACTGTCTGCACTTCCTACAGACATTGTCTGTAAATAGGTATTTTAGACGGATTTTCTGTCTGCATTTTGGTTAATTGTCTGTATTTTTCTTAGCTAGAAACTCTAATTTTAATTAATTTTTGAAAATTTAGAGTGAAAATGCAGACATTATCTGTAATTTAAGGGAAATACAGCTATTGTCTGTATTTTAAGAGTTTTCTGACTAATAAAGTTAACTTCCCCCCTCTTGTTTCCCCCTATCTTTTTCTTCCCTTCCCTTTTCCTACTCTCTCTCCCTCTTTTAAGGTCTCCCTTTAAAGGTAAGTCTCTCTCCCCTCCTAAGGTAGGTCTCCCTCCCTCCTAAGGTAAGTCTCCCTCCCTCCTAAGGTAGGTCTCTCTCTCACCCCTCCCAAGGTAGGTCTCCCTCTCACCCCTCTAAAGGTAGGTCTCCCTCTCACCCCTCTAAAGGTAGGTCTCCCTCTCACCCCTTTAAAGGTAGGTCTCCCTCTCACCTCTCTAAGGTAAGTCTCCCTCCCTCCTAAGGTAGGTAGGTCTCCCTCCCTCTTAAGGTAGGTCTCCCTCCCTCCCCTCCTAAGGTAAGTCTCCCTTCCGAGTGTTCCGGAGGTAGGTAGTAAAAGGTCTGTGTTTAACTTTATATTGAAACATAAAAAGTCCGAGGTACCTAAACTCTTATACCCTGACACACGCTAATTTGTCTGCATTTTTTTAATGAAATTGTAGCAGATATTGTCTGAATTTTGTCTGCATTTTACTGTGTTTTGCTACTACTAGGAATACAGACAAAATGCAGACAATTTACAGACGTTGTCTGCATGAAAAACCCCGTAGGGAAGCTACTGCCGGGTATTCAATTCTCCTACCAGTCGTTGGAGTTAGCCATCAAAAGAAGGAAACTATAGACCATCTACGTCCAGCTCAAGTCAGCGATATCGATCGGAACATACCACAGAGGCTGGCTGCCTGGCCTTATTCTATTGCCGCTTCCAAGAAGCTGAATTGTGGTCCAAAGTAGATATTCTTGAATATTATCATCGTTGGCAGTGAGGGAACTTCCATTAGTAGTCGCAACTAACCCTTAAGATCATTGAGTTCCTCCTACAGAGATTTAGTAATCGCTCGTTCATCATGGCTGGGAAAGCTCTCACAATTCTATGTCTCAATTCCTTGAATGTCATACGACACACCAGCTTCGGCGGTATGACATGCTGGCCTGATGCAGTCTTTGCTCTTGGACCTAATGCCCGTACGATATCCCGAACGGCATAACCATCCATATTCCCTGGAGGTCCGCTCTTCCGAGCTAAGATGATATTCCGTGGTTGTCCAAGGAGCTTGAAAGTATCTGGAGTAAGACATAGTTCCCAAGCATGATTGATTGCAAGGAAGAGAGGTGCTTTAATGGCCTTGGACTGGTCCACAAGCTGATGTCGAAGAGGGCTCGAATATGAACTGAAGTTGGCACCAAAGAATTTCTCGAATAGTGGCAGGCTGTGGAATAGAAGCGAATCACGCGCTGGGTCAAAGTAGATCGCACGTCCCCTCAGGTTCTTGCGAAAAGATCTCTTGTAATTGAAGAATATCTTGGCCCATTGGCGTGCTTCGGACGAGATGTACATAATGGCAGGGAAATCGTAAGATAGCATGAAATCGCGTCGATTTCCACCTGGGCGGCCACTACTCGGCTCTTTGACCTCAATTACTCGGCGATCTGGGATCATGAGTGAGTATATCATGCAACGCAGCTCATATGGAAGTTTTTCGAAGAGATGGAACGTTAGGGCCTTTTCGGCATTCAATGTGCGGAGCTTAGCTTTGCTCAGTCTCTACAGTCTCTCGATCAGCGTGAGACAATAGGAAGGGTGATTGAAAAAACCTACATTAACTTGACCGTAAGTGAGCTTCAATCGCTGATGAGATGACTTGATCATTGGTCCTTTAGAGGACGTAGGGAAAGGTCTACGGCCAACCACAAGGGGGAATTTTAATGACATGCTGCTCAAAGTATCAACATCTGGATTTGGAACCCCAAAAGAACGCTGATGGTTGCCAGGGCATTCTGAAAAACTCTTGTGTGTTCCCCTCGGTAAGGAGGACCGCGACCTGCCATCGACAGTCACCTAACTTTAATCAGCGCTGAAGTATTGTCTGCTAAGGTGCACATGATACTCACGATTTGATGTCCTGAAAGAGCCATGGTGATGAGAACTTGTGGGTTTTGGTCTTGGTGCACGCTCTCGACGTACAAGGGCAATTCTGGAATTTGATCGAGGAAACCATTCAAGCTGAAGCGGAAGCATCGAGAACTTATACATGACCTACAACGTGAGTCAAGTCAGTACTACAATCACATATTATGGATTCAGCACTTTCAGTCAACGGAAGTTGGTGATAAAGACAATGAATGTCCATCTTCTGCTGTGAGAATAACTGATCAAGAATTTGGTCCTTGGATATTCAAACGTTGAACCACTTTCTGACATTGAGAGTTTATCACAAGTAGAGTAGCAATCTTTCATTGCGTTCTCAGTTGCTTGTACTGAACCCCAAGGAGGTATTCACTGGTCACGTGAGAGAACCTGTGACTTTCCTCCTCTCCCATTGTCCTGCGGGGTATTGAATGGCCTTGTTGCCTCTTCTCCAAATAAAGAGCTTTTACGCAGCAAAAGAAGCTACTTCACCTCCAGCTTTCTCGATAGACAGCAGCGTCAATACTAATGAAGATTCTCACCAAGGCTTGTCGGCTCCAGTGAGGGAAATCTCCACGACAATCAACCCGTACAGGACGATTCGAGTTCAACTTCGAAGAAGCCGTCCGAAACCTCCCTGTCACATACGTAGATTTCTTCGAAACCTTCTACGACGATGGTCTTTTCCTGCAAAACTAGGAGCGGCGCCTGGAACAGCCAGTTGAGCCTTGGACATTGGCAAGTGGGATATCCGAATCATATCTGGGCCTGCAAGCATAATGGGGAGCATCAGGGGGGGGATTGTCTGCTAGGAGTGGTCTGTTTTCTGCTATCTGGATAAACTGGTGGAATGGCGTTGCGTGATCCATGGTGGAACACATCAGGCTCCTCAGAAGGATGACTTCCCAATTGTCACAGCGAGAACTGCACAAGCAAAAGCGCTGTACTTGAACTTTTTACATGTTATTTGTATTTCCAAGTGAAGAAATGTTTGCGTGACCATAATCAAAACGGAGTGCGGAGCTGCGCATGTACAGCTGCTTTGCGGTCTACCTTTGATTACCCGACCTGGTGCTCTTACTCACATGGTGTAAGCACCCAGAAATAGCCTAGGTCAATCCAATTTCAATGCATCAGAGGCTGAGTCCAATGTAATTCCAGCATCTTTGATCATGAACTGATATTCGAATGTGGTAATCTTGATATGCTGCCAACACTTTGCTCAACTCACCGCCACCTAGTTACTTAATCTTCCTACCGAGGACCCCAACACTCAAATTTGTCTACAGACAGGCCGACTAGCACCAGTACATCTGATCGTTGTCAAGTCATCGATCTTAATCCACTCACCCCTGGTAACAAGATTATTGTCCCAGAGGAAGTCCACTGAGGGAAATGTAAATCCATCAACATCCGTCCCCCTGTTTTGACCACATCCTCCACATCCAGCGGCGCCGTTGGACAGCAGAGTCTGCTGCTTGCATTTGATTGGGTTGGGACTTGAGAATTTGTCAGTTGACACTCTTCGTCATTACACGCAGACGCGTTCGACTGTAGACACTTACTACTTCGGCCAGTTATAGAATTTGCACAAGTTGGGCGCATTTTTATCGTTAGGATTTGTCGTGAACCTTGCTGTCTGACCAGAGTCGTTGATTACTCGACCTGTTTGAGATTGATTAGCAAGTCTACTTTTGTAGGATTCATCGGAATGAGACGCTTACCACAACGGTATTGTCCCCCAAAATACGTGCGTTGGCCAGCTTCCGCTGTGGCTGACCAAAATGCAGCCGCAGGAGCAACTTTCAGAAGCTTCATTTTGAACTGGAATTTTCCGATTGTGGATGCTTGCAAAATGAAAGACGGTATGTTTTGTAAAGGCTTCGTTCGGGTCAAAACTCCCCGGGACAGGCTGTCTTTATATCGTTGTCAACACATCCCAACGACGGTCTATTTATGTCACTACTTAAAGCGAAAACTAAAATGATGACCCGTCTCTTCACATTTCCTCCGATTTTACCTCTGATTACTTTTTACGGAGATACAGTCCCAAATATGGAAGGCAACACAGAATCGTTGGCCACTTGGCATAGAGCTGAACATCAAGCGAGCAATCAAAGAACGAAGACAAGGATCGTTCCGTTTTCTCAGGCTGCTTCCGCCATGCCTCCTGGAAAATCAAGAGATGAACCCCAGGATTCTTATGGTCGGGATTCTGGAAACCGCATCTAGAAGCTCCACGAAGCGCCCAGCTGAAACACATGGACATTCCTTCAGCATCTCCTAGCCTGCCAAACGCTGTACATCAATTTAAGAGTGCCTAAAAATAGCTAAGCGAAGCTGGATGGAACGCCATCTTTTTCCTGCCGGACCTGCCCAACCACGCCTGTCATCCGCCAGGCAGAGAAACAAACCCATTGTTAGAGGAGGTTTTGATCCTGGAATGTTATTGACCGTTGACTAATTTACAAAGCCTGCATATCCAGTCTCTGATTCCCCGTCCAAAACAAGGATGAGCATCACACTTTTGTAGTTCCACCCTTCTCCATGGCCTCAACCCAGTACTGGCGTAAAGTACAGACTACCACTGCCTTCGTTTGTGCTCTCCACGATTCCGATGTTGGACCAGCTAAATTGAATTTTCAAGACTCATTCTGGCCCTCAGAAAACATTGTGTCCTCCATAAAAGTATGCCCAGTACCTCCATGCTGTGCTTACTTGCTCCGATGTCTTCACGTGGAGGAGGCCCTTCCTTGGAGACGTGCAGATCGACGTTTTGGCGCGACAACAGGCTTAGGTTTGGGTTTGGGGCCAAGCTTTGGATTATGGAGGATGTTCTGCTGAAGTTAGAATCTCGATGAACGTTCAGTTGGGATTTATCCACTTACGAGCTTGGTTTGGAACTGCTTGATGGTGGAACACTTTACGGTTGGACCGAAGTAACCATTTAAACCGTTCGAATACTGTCGCTCCCAACGGTCTCGCCATTTTTGCTCCTCCATTGCCTTCGAGTTAGCTGGCGCGACCTTCGATGTAATCATCTGCAAGTAATCAGGGTTGCCAAGAGCTTCAAGGTCTTGGCCGCGACAAGGGAGACCGCAAAAGCTGCGTTGACACACGGCAATAGCCAAAACTTTCTTGTGTACGGGCAACAAAGCTGGTAGAAAGTATCTACCCTCAACATGGCAGGTTCCTATGAACTGAAGTAAAGTCGGATACTTATCAAAGACGAGAGCATCGATGTCAAAGTTGAAGTGGATCTGTCTTCCGTTCATTTGAGGGCCAAAGGCGTAATCGTAATATCTTTGTGCACACTGGCGACTCTCCTGGTTGATTCGAAGTTGGCTTGGAATCACGTAACGGGCAACGAGCCTACTCCAATTGTTTAATAACCATACTTTAGAGATGTTGATTAGTCGTGGCAGGTTGAGGGCACAGCTTGACCACCAGATCATTCTTCGAAGCTCAATCGGCAGCTTGGGGAAGAGCGAGAAGGCTCCTCTCTCAACTGGGACTGAGAGTGTAGTCTCCATAGTGGCGATGGAAAGATTGTCAGACATGTTGCTGGGAAGTTTTCGACTGGTGATAGACTGTTTTTGGGGTGGCGGCTTGATTTGGCAGATGGAATGAGTTGTTCCGTGGCAACAGGATGGGCTGCTTGCTTTTGTGGCTTTGGATGGGAGTTATCGATGTTGAAGATATCAAGCTGACTTAATCTGGTCTCCAGAGGGAGAGACGCCGCGAGGTACCACAGCTGGGACAGAATTGAAAGACGTGAGGATAAGTATTTGGGGTCAGAAAGGTCGGAAACTTGGACAATCTGCGGAGTGTTACGGGTGAAGAAGTCCGTTTGGTAAAGAAAAACAGCGGGGAATTACGGCAAGGATATTTATGGAGATCGATCAAATCATTTCGTGAGGTGCGGCTGCCTGCAGGAGGTGGAAATATCTTTGAAAGGAGGCGGTGCGGGGTACACTGTGTTTGCTAGACCAGTTGAGACAGATGAACCATACCGATAGCTATTGCGTAGAAATAACATTGATACTTGGCACAAGGGAGCTTCAATACCCCTTGTCCCAGAAATCAGGACCTGATGGTATGCTCAACTGTCTCGGGCGTGTGCAGATACACCATGCAGGCAGGCCTACCTAGGCACATGACCAACGGGCGCTGAGATTCAAAGCTAAGAAAAAGGAAGCATTCCAATTACCCGGCCCTCCTTACTCAGTTTGAGGGTGAGTTTATCACAAGTCTAGGTCGGTCGATATACCTAAGCTATGTTGAATCGTACCAGAGTAAACATAGAGAACGGGCTAGGTTTAGAAGTAGAGGAAATTTCGCATTTACTCTTATAGACTTGTTTTTACAATTTGTCTTTCCTTTCTATTGGGCGTAGATCTACACGTGGATTCTAGTGCATCCTATTCGTGTGTCTAATTAACAACACTTCGAGAAAAACGATCCACGGCTCAAAAAGCCACCACCCGAAGTACTACCACTAGAAACGTAATATGGTCAGTAAATCACTACGCCCATAGTCTTCGCCAAGATTGACCCCTCCATACACATCCAGACCTTTTCCCGTGTATTTGACGACTAGAACGGAGCAGTTGTTGGTTTCTCATTGTAAACCAAGTTTCTCCTGCTATATTTAATCAGAGTCTTTGCGATAAGACAGAATAGAGGCCTACCAGTCTTGTCTCCATCTCCCATACGTCAGGGCTGAAACTTCAGAACATGGGTAAACCTCTCCATTCCTGACGTGACCATTGGTGCGAGTCCAGAACTCTTTGATCCATCCTGCATTTGTTTCATCCAATCCAAGATCTGACCCTTGTTCACGGACGAGAATAACGTGCGATGGCTGTCCTAATATCCTCAGACTTCGAGCACCCAATCGCTTCGCGGTGGTCAGTTCTTCAAATGACAGAGCGAAAAGCCTCCGGCCAGGTTGGTAGAAGAGACGGACTTGAGGGTAGAGGTGTCCATCGAAAAAGAAGTCGTTAATTGCGTCAAAGCCTTTGAATGACAGAGCATCTCTAGAGAAGTTGAAGTACATCCCGTCTCCCTCATGAGCATTCTTAGTGAAGGCGATCTCGAACTCGGGCAGAGCAGCAAGCCGAGACTCTGAGCAGGCATGAAGGATAGCTGGTGGCTTAGTAAAGAAAGTTACAGCTTTCAGCCAGGGAGCAACTTCAATCATTCCAATCATCACAAATTGAGGAACTATAGCAGCCTCCTTCCATATCATGTTCCTCAACTCCAACGGAAGCTTTGGGAATCTCTTAAATTCCCCTCTCTCGCCCACGAGCGAAGTATCTCCCATTGTATCGGCTGGTGTCTCTGTTGTCTTTGGCATGTATCTCGTTTTAACTTTCAAGTTTATTGACTGTTTGGAATAATTGGCAGGTGTAGGTCCAACTGCAGTAGAATTCTTCGCATGCATAGATTCGCTCTTCTTTGACGGCCGTGATCTTATATTGTTGGTGTGTCGAGGTGGGACCTCGAGATTTTTGGTGACGTTCGAAGTTCAAACTCGGTCGCGTTAGGAGAAGTGGCATTTGAAGCTCGGCTGGAATTTTGAAGAGGCGATTCGTGGCTGAAAATCGCTTGAATTTTCCCTTCAAGCGGAATATGTCAACACTAGTTCTCCGCCACACTGCAGAACAGGTAAGAAGGAATAAACTGATTGATCAGAAGTTAAAGTACAGCCTGGTGACTAAATGACTATCGTACAATTATAGTATCGAAGGGAAGGCTATCTGGACGTCGTCGTAACTATAAATTTAGCCTATTTTACCGTTGATGGGTGTATGCTTTATGGCCAGCATGACGAACGGAATATCTTTGATCTGCTCACTACGACACTTAAGACATTCGATAGTGAATGAAACTAGTCTTGAGATAGTTGAGCAGTTATTAAGGAGGTTTCGCGCCACCTTTCTGGTCCTATCGACGCTCAACATCAACACAAAACCACAACGCAGATTCAAAGTCTGAATTGACAGTCGATTCTGAGCCACATTACCTCTTCTGAAGCAAACAATAGACTTGAAGGATACGAGACGACAAGTAAGTTATTGAATTATAATGTCGAACTCCAATACATCTCGCATGGGCGCGAGCTAACATAAGTGAGTAGTGAAATCCTCCACCATCAAGATAGCTGCATTCCAGCCACTTGTCAATTCTCGCAAGAAAGCCGTAGCCAAACTCGCTGAATTCAAAATATACCCAAAGCTGCCCCTTGAGCTCAAAGACATGATCGTCACCTTTGCGACACCAACTGCTCCAAAGGCTGTTATTATCAGTGTTGAAGAGATCAAACTGCAAGATGGCCGACGTGCCGACCGAGCCAAAGCAAGCTATGCTAAACCTGCCCTTCTGGACGTGGATAAGAACTCGCGCAGAGTTGTTCTCAAGATGTTTACAGCGGCTTTCACCATCAATCTACAAGGGGGCCCGGTCTACTTCAACTTCAAAACCGATGCCTTGGTCTATGACTGCCGCAGATCCATGCAGATATTCAACGGATTTGACCTGTGGGACTGGTATGGACTCGAACCTCCATGCGATGTGTCTCCCAACCAGCATCCAATCCTCATGATTGGATTTATACACCCAGGTTATTACTGGCTCTCGCCACAACTCTTGAACATGATGGGCAGGCCAGCATATGTCACGTTTCTTCACAAATCTGGGGTCGTCCACGCCAGGGTCACAAGGACATGGCATTTAGCATGACTAATTCTTTTCAGGACTTCAGGAACAGTGAGCACAAACTGTCTGAGACCTATAAACTTCCCAAGATTTCTTTCAAGACACCTTTGCAGATGCTCAAGTGGTTGGTACGTTTGACCCAATTATCTCCTTCCCGACTCTCCTCCTCCCAAATACAATGCAGACTATTGGCAGGCAAAGACTAACATAATCTTAGGACGAGATCAAGAATACTACCACTGAGGAAGAGACCCGTCGTATCAAGGAGATCGAGGCAATTCGGGACATTCGGGTCGTTGACTGAGCTGTTGTGCGAAGCTGGGGTGCCTATTACAACCTAATCAAGCCATACAATGTCTACGTGCTCTCATACGTGGATGAACTGGTTGTGGTTGGACTGGTGCATACCGTGGGATTCCTGCGAATTCCTTATCTTCGCACTGGAGGAGGAATGCTAGCTTGATCGACGCACGAATCTCGTTTGGAGCTAATTGAGGCGTTACTTCCTGAATTCTTGCAGCACATTACCGGCGCTGTTATGCTTGAACTTAGCACAAGACAGTCTACTCGAGCTTGAGGACAGAGTAAATATATTTGAGGGCCTTGGTCGATGCTACCCTCTAGCACCTACCTAGTCCTTCTAAGCTTAGTACAAAGTCTGGCAAATAGAACGATGATCGGTGGCAAATATCCATATATCAGTGTGACTTCACAGCCAAAATTAATCACTTTTAGCTTCCCTGCCGTCTACGGATGTGTGACTTACCAGCCATGATTCACCACTGATGTTCTGCACGTGACCTTTCGGATCCTTTTTCGCCAAATCAGGATTTCGGTAAACAAACCGTTGACCCGCCGAATTCACCTTTTGATCCATTGACAATAGGAAGGTCACGGCCCGATTTCGCTGTCAAAGACAATAGGAAGGATTCTTGACTGAGCAAATCATCCCTAACTCCTGCTTCCTCCACGTTCCTCTTGCAATTTCACCCCAGTTCGCACCCTTGTCTCGCAAAGGCATGCACGTAGCCACAAAGCATCCCAAACTCAGATTCGACGACGACTTTGACGTATGTAGACTTTCTCCGGTAGTCTGAACAGTGTTCTAACAAACTACAAGATTATTTTGAGTCAATCAACCACCAAATCCGTCCACCTACTGCTTCCAATTCAGTTCCAAAACCCTTTCGCGCGATGTCCAAACGCTCAAAGAGAAGACAACGACAACGTCAGCGCCGCTTCGCAGCGTCTGCTGAGTATGAGACCATGGGTACGACCGAACAAGGCGTCGTAGAAGAACAAGCTGCAGAACCCGTTGGACTCCAATACGGCAAGGAAGATCCCATCGGCTTCCGCACCATCGCAGATGGCTACATCCCCATGGAGAAATTCATGTTCTTCCCAAAGCTGCCTCTTGAACTCCGCCGTTTTGTTTGGAATCGTCTCCTTCCCGAGCCTCAGAGCATCTACATGATCAGCAACGGCCACACGCAGAAGCTCACCGTCGGCAGCATTACCAGAAACACCTACATCTACCGCGCCGCAGCCTCGTATAAAGTCCCACTTCTTCTCAGCGTCTGCAAGGAGACTCGCCAGGAAGTCATGTTCCACCATCCTCCATGCTTTGCAACCAACTTCGGTGGAGTCCCTATCTATTACAACCGTAAGATCGACCTGCTGCACTTCGACAACCCTGACGCGCTTCTTCACTTCCATGGCGGTTCCGCTCCCAACTACCTGCCTCGTAGCATCACCAGAGGCTTCCGGCTGAACATGTACGAGTTCTACAACACTGTCTCGCAGATCGCTGTTGGCAACGTTCGCGCACAAGAGGGTATGCTGGGTGCTATATTCAACCAGATGAAGGCCCTCAAGGTCGTCTTATTAGCCGATAAACTCTGCCGTCCTCAGGGCAAGAGCATCATCAACGATTACTGCCATGGTATCAAAGATCTGGAGATGGGATGGGAGGAATACACCATTGATCGCAAGACTGAGAATAAGGTAGAGATCAAGCTTGTTAATTTTGATGAGTTCAAGGAGACCATCTTGGGCTGGAAGGTATGTTCTACTTGGTGTCAACTAGAAGATAGATAATGACTAACTTATACCCAGGGGCGTATCATCTCCGAGGAAGAAGAGGGTGCGAGGAAAGCCGAGGAAGCGGAAGCCGCTGTTCTGCAAAGTGCTACTGCAACCCAACAACCACAAGTCTCTGCAGCAAGCAACCAATCCAACGCAGGCAACACCAACCCGACCAACACTCCACAGTCTTGAGTTTGTATGGTGCTGAAGCTCAGCCATGGTTAGTTGCGGCGAAGAGTTACTTACGGATGGTCGAAAGCTGGGGGATAGGTGGTAACTGATAATTCTGTTCTTGTTATTTGGTATTGCGAAAACATCTCAGGATCATGGTGGCTACCCTAGTGGTTCTTTTCGGGTTTGAATGAGCAAGCTGGCAAACTTTGAGCAGATGTGGGTGCCTTCGATCGTTTTGAATCTGCCACCCAGTAGGTAGTCAAATAATAGAAAGCCATTGATATTACCTTCTTTTTTGTCCATCGCCACAGCTTTGTTCTTTGTTTGAAAGACTCATCTATGCTCTTGTGTTTGGTAGGTTGCATGCCTGCAGACATGCGCTGATTTTCTATGCTGCAAGCAAGTCTAGCGGAAGATTGCCCCCAGCGAAATATCGGCCTCAGTTCAACCAGAAGGTCTCTTTTATAATGAGTCTTGTAGCTCGACGCCAAGTCATGGTTTACGCGTCCCCTTCGCCCAAATGGTCTCCTCGGCGGAGCAGCACCTTCTTTCTCTGAAGCTATGCTGGACTGCTTACATGCTCTTATGCCAAGATCATTGCCTCTTATGGAACGTGTTCCTCGCGCACACACACATAGATATTCCGTGGACGTCTAACGCTACGATCTTGCTTTGGACCTTTTCTTGCCCTCGACTAATTTTGGATTCTTCAAGGCCCTCGCTAAGTATTTGCGATGTACTATCGTTCCTTCCTCCATCAGCGCGAACATGCACACGAATGATCCGCAATGATCGCTTAGTCTGCGATATCGGGAGTATGGGTGCCACGTTTATGCGGATGCTTGCTTCTTCACTCTATATCCTTTAGTCAACTTCTTTCTTATCTATTATTTCTAGGTTCAGTATTACTAGTATTGATTACTCTCATCATCCTTATCGTTCATGTTATGGCTTCTTCGTCTCACCGAAAGTTCAATCAATATATCATCTATACTTTTAATACCCGTAAGTACTAGTTGCGGAGCCATAACTGATTTATTACGACTTTCTCAGTCCCGAAACATCGCATTGGGACGATTTCTTCTTGCAAACATTTGAGGCTGACCAGACTATACCCCCAGATTTACCTTGCTGCTATCATTACTGCCCAGTCTTCCGACATAGGAAGACACACAGAAGACATTATCGTTCAATAAAACATGAAAGCCATGTATTTCGACTGTCTAGAGAGCATGGAGCAGCTCCGATTTCATCAGGAAAACCCAAACCCAGAACGAGAACGCAACTCACCAATACCGAAACCTGTATTTCCTATACAAATGAAGTATCCCACTCTTCAGCAAATAGCTGTAATGGCAATTTCGAGAATCACCGTTTCGCAAGTCGATGATAATTTAAGCGAATGCCTGGAGTCCTGAATCGGAAGACCAGACGAATATCAAGATGGAAGCTGAAGTCATCGAGAGGGTGCTCTCGGGTATCTAGACCATTTTCAAAATCTCTCCAGATCTCCAGAATCCTTCCAAGCTTCCTAAAAACAGCAAACAGCATCAATGGCAGTATCAGAGTCAATCTCCGAGACGGAAGTCCAAACGAACTTCGCCAGATTCCCAAAGCTACCATTGGAGCTTCGAGAGGAAATCTTTAGCTACCAGCTTCCTGGCCCGAGAGTGGTGGAGATCGTCGAGAGAAATATCCCAGCTAGCACGACCCAGCCCGTAGAAAATCACTTGGATCTTCTCCGATCGTCCATTGGGAGTTTCAATACACCACCAATTCTCTTGTCGATCAGTAAAGAGTCCCGAGCTCTATTTAAGAGAAAGTATCGACTAGCATTTGAGCATATTCTTGTTCATCCAGGTCAGTCATTCGATCTTGAAATCTCTTTAGCGAAGTCAGCGGTACAACCGAAGTTTGAACATATGATCTCAGTGGTGGCGGTCATTACGCTGGAGCTGATCATTGAATAGTATATATCAACTTTAAGATCGATGTTGTAGCTTGTACCAGCACCACGGTCTGGACGACATTCATGACTATGGCTCTGTCGACCGGACAGTCACAGATCGAGTTCGATCCAATTACAACTCTCGCACTACCTGCCCCAACTACGACTTATGACTCTCGGGCCCTGGTTGGCTTGGCTCTACAAGCAGCAATGGACTTCCCCGGACTGAAGAAGCTGATGATGATTGAGCCACGTATGTATTGGGCCCAACTTACCCAATCACCGGTCGTCGCCCTCCACCAGGAGGAGTTGAGCGACCTCATTACTCTTCATCTGCAGATTTCATTCCGTGGAGTAGACCGTGGAGAGCATTGGAAAGCGTGTGAGGTAGAGATCTTAACGGAATGTGCATTGAGATCGAGATACCCGGATGTTTGAGTAAGTTGTTGCCATCGACCTCGTATCAAACACAGATTCGCTGACAATCGGCGAAGAACACCAGGAATCCAAGCTGATTATGTACTGGTTTGAAAGGAACGAACATCAGAGTCTACGAGGAACCAATAGGAAAAAGCAGACCCCATGCAGACAAGACGATACCGAGGATAGTAAGAGCACCAAGAATACCAGCAGCAGGATTGACATAGCGAATCGACACGTGTGAATTTCATCTCAACGCAGTGTTTTGCTTACAAGTGATTGTTGTTGTTTATTTTCTCATTCCGACGATTGTAGATACTATCTCATGGCAGCATGAACCACCATTTTTGTCTTTCTTTCATTAGCTTTTCGCCTTCCAGAATCTTCTGTCGATTCGGACTTGAGGTCTTGTAGCCAGAGATGATCGGCAGGGGGTTCTTCAACTACCCTCATTTGAGAGAAAGTCCAAATCAAAGCAGGAAACGCAAAGATTATCATTTCATTGGCAACAGTGCTTTGTGATAAACTCAGACATCCTTCTGGCGATCTAGAGATGATTCATCTTTACGGGAAGAACATATTATCCAGCTCATTATCCTCTGGCTCTCATATGTCAGGGAATACGCAGAAAAGACAAGAATTCACTATACGTTCGAAGTGAATATATTTAACGCCGTCAGAAAAGAGTAAAAATAGGTAACTAAACACGAGCAATGCACTGATCAATAGCTTGACTCTGATACTGACTCGTGGGTAGCTGAGAACGAGAGATCCAACAGGTGACATGAGTTACGTCACGTGATGACCGAACCGAACACGCTTGTTGAGTTTGCTTACCTCATCTTGAGTTCCTCCTTCCCTTACTTGGCCCTCGCTGACCCAAAAACATCTACGCGGACTGTGAGCTCGTACTTTCTATATTACTCGCAACTCGAAAATTCCGTGACGATGGACAAAACCGTGAGTTCAAAGTCCAAAGTACATAAGTCCATTGACATGCTGCCGCCTGTATCATCGGATCGAATTGACAATCAATCCAAGGTCAGAGACACACTGGCGAGCTCAATGCTCTCAACGGCTGTGCGAGAGAAGTCTGTCTCCGCAGACATCCAAGTCCCCCTGAGTTCCAATAGCACAGCCGATAGTCAACAAGCTTCTACCTCAACCTCTGCCGGTCCAATCGAGGCATTCCCTCTCTTTCCAAAACTTCCGCTCGACATTCGATTCATGATTTACGACCTACTCATCTCAAATCCTCGAGTCATCAAAATTCGTAGCGGTTCCCTCTTTCGCGGCCGTCGTGGAACTTATATGTTAGCAGTGAAAGGTTCAGCCCCTCCCATTATACAAGTCAACACAGAGGCTCGAACTCTGGGCCGAAAGAAGCTGGACCAGCCTTTCATCCAAACCCTAGGTTGCTGTGTCTATGTCAACTTTGAAACTGACCTCCTCTACTTCGATGAGCCAATGGACACTCTGTTCTGGAATATGGCGGATAAACTGACAACAGAAGATGACGAGCAAGCACTTTTGCAAATTCTCTCTTCCAAGTTGCGATATTGCGTGTTCCGAATGCCTACGACATGGCCTCCTCAACACTTGGATAAGTTCAAGAGCCTCCAAATTATGATACTTGATACGCCGTCTCGTGTCGTCCATAAAGATTACATCCATTCTCTGAGGAATGCCAAGGCTCGCATCAACAAGTTGATGTGCGATCAGAAGGAGGCTAGTGGGGGCAAAAACACCCTGGCTGTACGTCTTACATCTGCAAGGTTTATCAAAAATACACTTTCACCAAATTGGGTCAGTGTTTACCCCCTTCACTTATGATGCCTTGCTGACAATTCTAGTCAACCATTGTCGACCTTGAGATTCTTGAGCAGCACTGTGCGAATTTGCGTCGTTAACGCTCTAGTTCAGACGTGAACTCTTACGGTATTCATTCTCTGTTGACTGACGAAATAGCGAGAATCTCAAGAGCTTGATTGGGAGGAGATTCTTTCTGTGTTTGTTGGAAAGTGGCAGGCTCTCAGAATGGTAATATAACCGAGGTATCGTGAGAATTGAGATAGACGTGGACACTGGCCGGGAAAGATTCTCAGATTTGCAGTGTGGGCTTTACTTAAACAGAACTCATCAACCAAAGCCTCACCAACCCATGCTTATGGTAGTTCTCCTGTATTGATTATTCTCTCGGCTTTCTCTTCCATATTAGCGTTAATGTATCTCGTCTTAGCCATCCTTGCTGACGATAACATCCTCACCGACAGTATCATTTAATCGCAAGTTTTCAGGAGGACTTGCTGACGTTGGAATTTAACATTCAGGACCCGACTCTTGGTCGCGCCGGGAGTGAATATTATGCCCTCGATATCATTAATCATGACAAACTATATCCCATTTCAGAATTCGCCGTCGACCATATAGTCAGTCGCAAAACGTTTTGAATGGAATGAATCAATCAACTTCACATTCAGCGGTACTTTCAAAGGCTTACCGGCATCTTGAGCTACCTTGTGATTCCTACTCTCAACCATAACTACAACTACCAGTCTCGAACTTTTTGCGAAGCAAAGAAGTGTCACTTCAAACTGCCGTCACTACAACCCATTGAGCACGTATGTCAGAATTCACAGCGAAGCACATTTGTTGATTTCATTTCATGCTGACCAGCCTATCAGACGATATACCAGATTTGACCTCCTATATCAAACACTATATTGTTCATATCATGTCCGCCCCGATTAAAGGCTCCACTGACATCGTCATGGCCAATATCAACGGCAACGCCCAACTTGAGGTATTCGACAAGTTCATATTGTACCCAGAGCTACCCAAGGAGCTCCGCCTCCAGATTATCGAGATCGCTATCGATGGTGCCGAAGCACGTACCTGAGTAGCTGCAATGACCGGAAAGCATCTTGCCTGCAAGAACGGGTCACAGGTGCTTTGTATTTTTGGAGGCCAGCTCAAAATCACCTCCTTCATCGTCCCCGCTCTCCTCCACGTCAACAAGGAATTTCGCCTCGCAACTCTCAAGTCCTATCAACTCGCCTTTAGCAGCCCTCGCAAGAAGAACCCCATTTACTTCAATTTTTCGAAGGAGAGGCTAGCAGTTGAAGGCCTCGAGACGCTGCTCAAGATCAAAGACTGCTCGAGTGCCTCGGCTTGGAAGAAGGTCGAGAACCAGTTACGCTTTCTTATCATCCGCCGAGGATTGTACCACGAGGGATCCAAGAGCCTTCTACCTATTATTGCTTCATTTAATAAGCTAGAGAGTTTTGTGCACCAGGATCTGAATGCCTATCCGATTCAATGTTTCAATAGCCGGCAGGCTAATAGGAGATTGAGGATGACTCTGGAGAATAACTGGAGCAAGAGTCATGAGTATGAGGAGTTGGTCGCTTCGTCTGAGAGAGAGGCTAGTTTGGTTCAGGAGCCGCTGGAGAAGAAGGTTTATGTCTTGCCAAAGGTTGAGGTCTCGAGCCTCGAGGATATGACGCGCATGTTCAAGCGAAACATAGAATTGATGTAGTCTTGGGGCAATATATTGGATATGGTTGTACTTGTTAAGCCCCGGGCTAGGAGGACGGTTGCTCATTATGGTTTTACTTACCTGCGACTACTTTCATTCATAGTGCGTAACTATTCTACGATGGAATGAGAAGAATGGAAATGAACACAACCAGATCCTCTTACCTGTTTGCGACCCTGTGACATTTTTGCACTTATCATACGCTGTATCTGCTCTCTCTCCTTTGTACCAGCGTTGCATTACTCGTTTACTTTATCAAAAACAAAACACTCCGTTGTAGTCCTCATCAGTATGTCCAACTTCAAGCTCCTTCCTGCGCCATATTCCAGAAAAGACTTTCCGATGCTCATCTCAATACCGGCTAACACTCTCAACGAAAGAGGCTGCAGCTCCCATCAACTGGATGTTCTGACGTGGAAGGAATCTGACCAGTGGCAAAATTGCGTTAGAGCCACGGCGATCCATCCAATGATCCTCCAGGTGAGTCCGAATCTCTCTTTCTCGGCTGTAAACTGTTTTCAGTGGAGTTCCTGCCAGTCGCGCAAGCTCCTCCATGACCAAAGTGTCAACCCAAGCGAAGTGTTTGAGGATGTGGTACAAGTCTTCATAACTTTGAGAAGATCCTGCCACGACGACATTCCTCTAAAGTAGTACGATATTCAGCTCGGAATGTCACATGTGGCCTTCGTGGATTTTGCGAGGCAGGAGAAGAGAAATTTGGGAAGACCTACAGGACCGTCCTTTCCAAATGCACGAGCCAAATATTCCTCTTCCTCAGCATCTCGCTGTTCATAGTCACCAAGCGGGCCTAGAAGCGATTCCAAAGCCTTCGCATTTTCAAAGAAGAGGGTATCGTCAACGAAGTTGAAGTACAGGCGAATATATCTTAGGCGGAAGCCAGTGAGATAACGTTCACCCAATGTCATCTTACGTGATTCTTTACAAACACTAGCAAGTGGAGATATGAACATGGTGGCCTTGGCGCGGAGGATTGTTTCGATACTTTTTTCGCCCGTGATTTCGTTGTGGACTTGAGCGAGAAAGTTGTCGGGTGAGATTTTGATTATGCGTCGTTGAGGGAAACTGCGAGGTATCAGCACTGTAATAATACAAAAAAACCGCTACTGAATTTTCGTCTTGTGGAGGAAGGAATAATGATGCTTACCCATACTCGCAATAGATCTTTTGCTGAAGCTCCAAAGGCAGCCATATGAAGTTGGGAAAGGCTTGAGGATGACCTGAGTCATCACTGGTTGGATCTGGGCAAGAGCCGCCTTGATGAGGAGTTGCGGAGCTGATATTGGTAACCGACTGAAGCTGAACCGCTCTAGTGTCAGAGGCACGAGAGATCTCTTGGGCCGCTTCTTGTGCACCTTGTTGTGCAAGCTCAAGATCGCTCAGCGTGTCAGCGGTGATAACCATGTCTGCGAAAGTTCCAGGAAAGCCACGTTCTGAGCTCATCGCTACTTCATGTCAGTCAATGCACTCTTTTAGAGAAGACTTTCATACCTCGGGTCGCCGCGCTGGTATTTGGACTATTGTTGTTTCGAAGAGCTTCAAACTTCGAAGAGCTTTAAACTTCTAGACTTGAGGCGGCACCCGAGGTAACTAGCGCGGACAGTCCCGTCACTAGCGTGCTCGCTTCAAGAACAAATGAAATATTTTGCCACTTGACGCGGTCTGCGTGGAGAAATCAAACCAGTCATTAATTTAGTTGATTGAACAAAAAAGTTGAATAAAGGTGGCGCTTGTTGTGGCGCCTAATTTGCAGGTGTGAAGTCCACAAATTAATTTTAAGGTTACAAAACCGTCAGTAAATTCAAGAAGGGCAATGAGGAAATCCCCAAAGTAGGTAATCAATAATACGAGAAGGTTATTTTAAAGGGAATCGTGACAGTTACAAAAATCGTTTATTTAAAGTCCAGCAGAACAATATCTTCATTGCTTGCTTGTGGTCAACCCAAAGATGAAGCACTTTAAAGACGCCAGAATAAAGACAGAGCAGATTCTAGGACATATTTTCTGGCAGCTTGAAGGATTCCAGTGAAAACAGGTCCTGTGGTGCTCTTTGGGGGTTGGAAAGCCAACAGTAGAATTAATTAAGAGGGAGATAACGAAGGAAAAGGACTAAAGGCCATGATTTGGAAGCAATACTCTCAGCTTGCTTTCACATTCTCGATCATTCCCAAAACCTTAACAAAACAGCAACGGAGCCAAAATCACTAATGCACTTCTTGAATGCCAAGTGTTTCCAATTACCAAAAGTCCTAAGTACACCATTGGTTAGCGTTAAAATCACCAAACTGTAGTACTCGGGCCACTTACCCAATCTTCCATAACTTTATTTACATCCTTGAATGTGAGATTAATTACTGTTGGCACGCCTTGCATAGTTTGCTTGTGTCGCTCATAACATTCTTCACCGGTAGCCGTAGCCTCCTGGTTGAGCTTCCGATCGTACAAATCGATGAAGCCAGTAGGAACTTGATTTGGGAAGATGTAGATGCAAACTGGGCCGAGCCACAGCTTACGCAGCTTTTCTAAGTATCGGAAAATCTCAGCGAAGGTATTGGGATCTGTGGCCACAACGACATGCTGCAGATTGTCAAACGCCTCCTTATGATCAGCAACCAGCATCGTGGGATCTTTCGGACCAGAATCCATAGAGAGGAAAAAATACATGGTTTTGAAGTCTGAGAAGGCGATTCTGTCCTTTTCGAAGTTGAAATAGATTGCTCCATTCTTGAGACGTTTTTCAAAGCACAATTTGTATGTCTTTATCGCTTCCTCTCGAGACTCTTTGCACGCGTGCAGCAGTGCCGGAATAGTGTATGAAGCCACAGTGATGCTCTCGTGAGGCGAATGGTTACATGTGCGGATCACTTCGATATTCCTGGGGGGTAGATCACTGACGGCAATGGCGAATACCGATTGGCGCAATTCAAGTGGAAGGTTTGGGAATAGCTTGAAATCGTTAAGGACAGGAGTGGTTCCCAAGACTTTCCATGATTCCATTTCGACACCCTTTTGATTGATCTCAAGGTCTTGCATATGTTGTCGAATGTGAGGACGATTCCTGAACCTAATTGCGAGGCGTGCAGATCTGCATGTGCTATTAGCTTTCTGCTAGATTTGAAAATGAGGAATTCTTAGACCCGGCTAAGCTGAAAACCAACGGAATAGACTTATTCTGCAATGACCTTTAGTATCTCGCAACACTACTATTACCGGATTTCTTACAACTAAATGAAGGAATGAGATGTTGTGACGAACAAAGTACAGATCCTGATGGATGTTGTGAGACTATGTCCTCTGTGCAGCCTGATCGAGACCAGAGTTGATGAAACCTTTGTTTGTTTCGCGCTTATTAACTAAAATCTCATATGGGAAATTCCGCCTAGCAATGAAATCAGACGCTAAAATAATCGGAGGCTCTGGCCGTCTAGTGGATTCTGCACCGGGAACTACGTCACGGCGACTCGATTGGGCCTGATTAGTTCATGTAACGAGCTATTCACAAGAACGCATCTTACTTGGATAATACAAAGATGTATGAGATTGGCATAGCACTAGTAAGCATCGTAGAAAATCAATCTGCTGAACTCTACAGGTGAATAGTATTATCTATCAACATTACCTCACCAACCACGGCACATCAGCTAGACTTTTCCAGCCTGGGATAAAGTCCGTTCGTGGTTAGACAGCTCATGGTACTGAATCTCAGCTTCCCGACACTACATGAGGATTGGTGCGTGACATTGAACTCTCACAGCATCTCAGTGAACCACACCGTGTACAGTGTTTATAACCGCGAGTCACAGGTAGTTTAATTGGCCAATCCAAGAATGAATCAGGGCAGAGTCATACTTGATCTACACAAAGTTTGTTAGAGCATTTATAAGAGTTACAGCAATAATATCAGTCAATAGACTCTTCACTTCTTGAATATTCTTTCCATTTATTGACATGAATTTTTCGGCGCCAAATTAAGCGAGACTTGGCGCGCTAGGCAGTTTCGATCTCTTTAAAGTCGACCTACCATCCGCACCGCACCATCTTCGCCTTCAAATTAACATCGGAAACATCCACAGTACTCTGATCCGACCTTAAAATGAGTGGTGGTGATCAACCACTTGTTATAAATTCCATATCGTGCCTGTGAGTCTTCTCAATAGACGCAGCACAATCCTTGCACAGTTAAAGTAAGTTTCTTCGACTTTCATCACAGATCACAGCCAAGACGTTCGCGGCAGAGTGCTAAGAATTACTCCAGGAGACAGTCTCTCTAAAGCGCAGTTTCGATAATGATCAATAACTCGCCACGCCCGGTTATGCCGAAAATTGCCGACAGTGTCGACTCGTCGATTCGAGCGTTATCTACTCATACCTTACCTGCCGCCATTGAATGTCCTGCTTCTGATGCCTTTACCTTGTTTCCAAATCTTCCATTAGAGCTTCGCTTAATCGTCTGGAAGATGTTGGTTGTACAACCCAGGGTCATTACTGTCAACCATCCGGCTAAAGGTATCGCGGAAGGCAGATCTTCGAGGTTTTCCTTCTCCAGCACACTTCCAGTCATCTTACAGATCTGCAATGAGGCAAGAGCTGTTGGTCTAAAATATTATGACCTACTTCTTAGGAAAGAACTTGGAGGTCGAACCATATATATCAAGTGGGAGGCTGACACCTTGATGTTTCCATCCCCTTGCTCGTTAATCTCGTTCTTCCTGGATATCGATAAGTTGCAACTGGAGTCCACAAACTCAAACAAAGAATGGTGTGAAGTAATAACTTGCTTGAAATCCGTCATAGTTAGGGCTGAAGGACTCAGCGACCTATATCTATACAAATTCACACTGATCCACTGTCCGACTCTGGAGCGAATCAAGATCTGGGCTTCGCCATCGATTATGTCGTTTTTCATAAACGATTTTCGAAAGAAAATCCCTGCTTGGGTCAAAGAGAAAAGTCCCGAGGCACGAATACCATCGGTTGAATTTATCTTCGGCGATGGGTTGGAGCAGATGTTGGCAAGTCTGTGAGCATACCCACCAGTGTCCAATCACAAGGCTTATTTATTGCTTTGCTGTCATTTTTTATCTATAGTCGCTATTGGAGTGCAGATCGGAGTATGAAGGGCCTGTGGTAGCTTATAGAGACCTAGGAGCAGTTCAGCAATGCGGAAAGTTGGAAACACTTTAGCTCAGCTGCTGTGGCCTTTGGCTTTCAGAAGTGAGAGTTAAATCGTAATGGTGGGACTTCATCTTGATCCATCTGAAAAAACATTTGAAATTTTGCATGTTAGTGTCCTGCTAAATTCAAAAGTGAACTGATCCTTATAATTCACCCACCATAAGCGAGGATTTCCCTCCCACAGCCCACGGCAATCCCAAATCCCAATCCCCGTTCTTCCGTCTCTAAGCAACCAACATCAATTATCCAATCACTTCATCACAATTAAATATTCGTCTAAAAATCAATCACAATGTCTTCTCCGTCTCTTCTCGACCTCCTCAAAAACGATGCCGCTTTCATCGGCTCTCCTATACTCTCCTCCGTAAGTCCCATCCTATCCTCTAACCTCCCACTATCAACCATCTTCAGTCCCATATACTAACAGAATAAATCACCAGTCTCCCGTTTCGGAGATTCTCTCTCCTCGTCCGGTCCGCCGAGTGAGCTTCGACGCTCTCGTCCGTCTTGCTGCTGCCTTCGAGCCGGCACCTATCACCACCCCCACCACCACCACTACCACAGTTACCAGCGCCCTCGCCGCCAACAAGCGAGCCATTGGCCGGAACAGGAAGTTGCTCTCTGGTTCAACACCAGAGTATAAAGGTCTGGGTGGGAAGTTTGGGGTTATTGGGGGTGTGAGGGGAGTGGGCGTTGTTGGGGGTGAGAGGGGGTGAGCAGATGAGGGAGAAGAGGAAGCGTCTTCAAGCACAGAGCTCTGTTCTCTAAGTTCACAATTTCATCTTCCACAGGAAGTAGGAAAAAGTGAGGGAGGGGGCTGATGCCTGGATGGGTGGATGGGTGGATGGATAGATGAATGAGATGGTTCTCTGCCCGTCGTATTCTTGCCTTTGCTTACTTGTGTGATGGCTGTCGTGCTTGGCTTTTCTCGCTGTGACAAGCTCTTCGTCCGGACCTTTCCAAGTTGATATGCCTTAGCCCAGTCATTGTGTCGTAATCCGCCCCCAACATTCGAGTTGATCCAAGGTATTTTAAGCACTGAATTGAGCCTCATCATCGCGCGTTCTTCTCCTTCGACGTGTTGGTTCTGGAGGCTCAAAGCTTGTGTTAACGGTTTGGCCGGCCACATTCCGACGCCAATAGGCAGTCCATTTCCAAGAAGACAGAACAGTCCTTTTAACCACTATAGGTTCATCTCGCAAACTCTAAATCGGTCCAATATATAATAACATGTACCCAGAAGTTTTTTCGTGACTCCATTGGAGCCTTGGTGGGAAGGAAGATCTCTGCTGTCGCAATTCAAAGTCGAAGGTGAATTCCTGATTTCAGGATAGAGACACCTCGACTCTCGATATCAAGGAAGCTCTTGGAACCGAAGAGATCTAGCACGCCTTTTCTTGATATGTGCCGCAGTTGCTTACAGAATGAAGTTCAGACTCAAATATTGGTGATGTCTGGTAGAGGCGAGGGTGATGGGCAACCACCCGCGAGCAATGTGGCAATGGTCAAAGGCTATACCTAGATGTCTGCCACAGTTAAAATAAGAAAAAACTCTCTGCATACTCTAGAGTACTCAATAAGATGATCGCAAGGCTGGCCTCTGCTCTTCTCTACTTCGGAGTGGCCTGCATCCAGCACACACTTGCCCAGGATCGGGTACTCGACTCTATCCCGATTTACCTAATAATCGTAGTTAGGGAGCGAAATGATCGCTTTTCTACCAACATTCAGTACAGTCGAATTAAGGCAACATATGTTTTAAGGGTCATACAACCGAGCCTGAAAAGAGACTAACAGCTCTCACCTGAGGGCTGGCTGAGGATAAACAAAGGTTAGCCCTTTGTACCAAGCATCTGCATACTGGCGATCCGGGTATGTGAATGTGAAAGTTTTGTATATTTTTGAGATTCTCTATGTCTGAAAATGAAAGGTCTCATAATATTTTTGGTTTTCAAGGAGGATGATATGGGTCTGTAGGTAAGCGAGGACTGGTCAACATAAGGCACAGTTATTGAACTTAAAAGCATCTTAGGCAGGGACTTTGAAAGAAAAGGGCATATTTAAAAATCATAACTATAAGTAGAAGTATGTGCTAGATGTCTTAGCATTTAATTTTCACCTTTTCTCATGAGTCGTTGCTGTCTACATGCTTTTGTTGCTGTTTTGACTGCGATGTCGTGAGAAAGCTGGCCTTGCGGGAGTCGAGATTGACCCCCCACTATGTCGCCACGTGCTCTTCCCCAAGCATAAACAACCTCGATTGTCAATCTCGTCAACTCTAATCCACAAACAATGAGCTTCCAAACAAGCAGCATGGACTACACATTCGAGTCCCTCACCTTACTCGACAAGTTCACCCTCTTCCGCAAACTCCCGCTTGAGATTCGGCGCAAGGTCTGGCGTGACTCAACAGAGGGTCGTATTGTCACCATCAAGGATGCCAGTACTTGGGTCACCATCCATAGTGTTCAAGAGTGGGTTTATCGTGTTCGTGCCGTCTACACGCTTCCAGTAATCCTGTCAATCTGCCGCGAGTCCCGCGATGAAGCCAGGAAGATGTACCATTGGACCTTCGGCCATCGTCTCCCCCACCCCATCCCATTCAGCTTCTGTATCGATACTCTTCTGATCGACGGCCCCGATGGTGCTTGTACCTTTAATACCTTCGTTGATCCACCAGAGGTTAAAGATCAGTTTCTCGCTCACCAAGAACTCCTGCTCATGCACGCCAACTTGCAGACCCTGATCGTAGCAGGTGATGACATGTACCTCTACACCTCCGAAGACGTTGCTGGTTTCTACAATCTGCGACTCCTCGTTCTCCCTTGGAAGACTGCCGGCAACGACAATCAGCTCCGTGCCTGGATGCAGGGAATCTGGCAGCGCAAGCTGATGGAGGCTAAGGTTGAACTGACAGCTAAATTGGAGCTCAAGCAGGCTGCTATCTTAGCTGCTGCTGAAGAGGCAAAAGCTAGGTTGGCTGCTGAGATGGAAGATATGAGCGACGAGGAGAGAGAGGAAGCCTTCCGGAAGGCGGACACGGATAAGCATATCATGGCTATTGAAGAGGGTAGAGAGCTGCAGCGGTTGAGGAAGACCAAGACTGAAGTTATGTTTACGAACGGGCTGGGTGTTGAGGCCTGGCTTGGTGAGGGCATTGAGGTAAGTCACTCGAAGAATGTTTGATTATAAATTGGATTTACTGATATCTGCACAGATTACGAAGCCTATAGTCAAGACAATCGGCAACTTGAAATCTTGCACCCAATGATGATGTATCAGCTACTCGCGAAGTGGTTGCACAACGGAGGATGACAAGAAACACTTCAGGCATGGGCTGAGGATTATTTGAAGCTGGAAAGTCCATGAGAGTTATTACATCTGGGCTCGAGTTCACTTACGAGTGACCAACAACGTTCACTGAGGCCTCTGGAAGGTTCAGTGTGAAACCATTGGGAGCTAGCAATGAAGCTTCTTTTAATCAAGTGTGGGAATGACCCAAAATACAACAATGATCTCCACTCTAAACCTTCAACTGAGATCCGTGATATCATTCAGCAATATAGGGAATGGCTTGCGGAATCGTTCGCAAGGTTGTTCAAAGCATTTTCTCAGCAGTGTTTGTTTTGTTTATGCCAAAGGAGCTTGGCGACCTTGAGGAAGCACGGTATCGCTCCAGAGCGAATTGTAAAAGTTTAATCATGCTTAGATGTGTAACAAGCGGGAACTTTACTTTGTCGCCTATATATTAGCTTGGCAAGGTAACGGGAAGCTCCTGCTGAGTGATTTGAATACTCGAGATGTGACTGCTGGCCATGGATGTCAATGTAAGTAGATGATGCTGGGGCATAAGGACTAAGCCAAGTATAGACTTTTCAAACAGCGTATCCGAAACTACCGTCGTTATGTTAGCAGCCCAGATTCTTCTCCGGCACGACTGAGTGCGATGGATGTGGTTTGGTGAGTATCACGTGACCATGTTTCGATGCTGCTTCGTACGTGGGCAAGCTGTCTGAAGCCTATGACGTATATTCACTGAGTATTTTAGATGAATTTGAAAACTAAATTCAATGTCAATATATGGTGCCAACGATGGCGTTAAACTATGAGTAACTGCTTCGTTGTTGCTGCCCTAGCGATTGGCATCATATCTACGTTAGTCTCGCATAAGGCTACATTTTTCCATGCACAGCCTCAATTTTGTCTACAATCGTCTCTTCGTGATCTGAGCTGTAAACCATTACGCTCAGACTAGGCTTCAGCCCAGATACGAGCTGCTCTATCGTGCACGTGGAGGGCTATCTCACGAACAGCTGCAGAACGAGCCGAAAGTAAACAAATAACAATCGCGTCATGACAAAACGGCTCTTCTGAGCACCCGATATTCATTTTCCAAATCAATCTCCAGAATCACGAGGAGGGTTTTCAACTACCTACAAGACCGTCACTTTCAATCATGCACCGTCCACACAGATTTGATCCGCCATGGATCGATTTCTTCACCCGACCCTGTCCTTGGTTCACGAAACAGCTCAAGACTTTTCCTCAATTTTCTCGACTGTAAGTTTGGTGTCCTCTTGCTGGTTTGTTTTGACTCTCATAACTGGGAGATTATTTGCTGACAAGCTGATATCGCAGGCCTAGAGAACTCCAGCTCACGATCTGGGAGTTCGCTGTACCTTGTCGACAAATAGTTTGCCTTTCATACCCAGCATCACTATCAGACAACGACGACGACTTTTCTGAGGAGCCTTTTGAGATTCGTCTGCGGTATTCAAGGCCAGGAATGCTCCGAGCCTGCTACGACGCCAGAGTCGCTGGTCTCAGGCATTTCACCCCGGCGTTCAAATCCTACCTCCCTTCTCCAGTTCGTTTTAACTTTGACCGTGATTACATGGAGTTGAATATCGAGATGGTAGAATGGATTGCGCATACACATCGAGAGAAACAATCACCTCTCATCGAGACTCCACTGGTCAAGAATCTAGCAGTTTCTGTGCCTCGCCAGTTGACTGCCGAAGATGTCGTATTGATCTGCAGGTACTTCACAGGTCTGGAGTCCTTACTCATCAATGAGGCCGAGCTGGATAGGTCTCGTCCCGCTGCTGGATATCCTTGTACATTCAGTCCAAAGGCCGCCAACTTCATTGCTCGTCATCGATGGGGAGAACTTCGAAGGATAATCATGCGACCCAAACTTGAGAAATGGGTCCCTCCCGTCCTTATCATTGGAACGGATACGCAATGGGCTTGGCACGCACTGAACTTTTCGTGGGTCGTCTGTCGTCCTGTGGACCATGTTGACTCCATGGATTGGCAACCAACTATCACCACTCCAAGTCTGGAGTATGTTCCAAGGCTCGCGGCAGTCAGTGGCCCATCTTCAGCATTAACTGTCCCGAACGATACCACCACTGACAGATTACTCGAAGAATATGTCCAGGAACATTATAACATCAGGTCATGGGTCTTTGAGGATATTTCTATTCGGTTTCGTGTCCTTGATGCGAAGAGTGGACTAGATTTTGAGAAGGATTGGCCTGGACGCCGCTAATGACTACCTTCGCGAATGGGGTTTGTCGCTGCGCATGGATCAATTTTTTATCTTGATGAATTGTCGAAACAATGAGGCTGTTTAGTAGTGGAGCAGAAAGTCGAGAGCATATGTGGTGAATGTCGGTTGCAATGTATAGGATACGCTAAAATAAAAACTCCCAGGCTGTCCCAAATTCTGGGAAGATACAGTGATGGCGATACCCGTTCAAAATCAAAGACCGAAGACCGTATATCTTGGTACAGTCTCAGGCCATTTCAAACGAAGTCTTTTACGATTGCGTATCGTTGGCAGTATTTTTCTGTTGTCTTTCCTCTCAACATTCTTTTGCAGATGTTCGGTGTGGGCTGGTAGTGATCCTTTGAAAAATGGCAGACCGAGGTGTACTGCAGGAGAATACAGACCTGTCATGTTGCTCCTGGCTCTCGTACGCTGGTTCTTTTGCTTGGAGCTGTGCAGTCCTCGTTACATCGTACAACATCGCTCCCTTGCTTCCTAGGTGTAACTGCATATTTGGCAGGTACCAGTAATAAGACAATAAGTCACAAGTCACTGCTACTTCAAGTATAGAAGATCAAGAATCATTCGGTTCTTACTAGCCTCAAGTGTTGTTTAACCATGCAGGGATGGTATGAAGTTAGGCGGGTATGGTGGGGGATTGCTGGCAGCAGAGTCGGAAGAGACGGCGAACCGCAAGGATTGTCCTGTCGGCGCCGGCCATCACATCCTTGACTCTGTGAACCTTTGTACACACCAGCCCATACAACGCAAGCGTGGAGACAAGCTCCATGGAGGTCCCAGGATTTGGAAGGATTCCTCTCCGATTTTCAATTGTTGTGCTTGGGGTGAGATATCACGAGTTGCACAGGTTCTGGCAATCCAGCGTCACATCGACTTTGCTCCGAGGCTTTCTACTTCCGCACTTACTTACAGTTGGGAAAGATTGTTCTTTTAACTGAATTCCTTCCCTCGTGCTCTGTACTTGACAAGGAACCACGTTCCTTTGGTTACAATGAAAGTAAGATTTCTGTCCCTGGCCCCTGTGAGTTCTTCTCTGATACTACTATGTCTGGGCACCTCAAGGAACATGTGCCACAACGTTCGTAGTACTTGTCCATAAATAAATGATGCAAGTCATGAATCGCAGCATACGCCGCACCTAAAGCCCCTAAGCCAGACTACCCAGACATACTTCAGATCGGATAACCTGCTTTGCAAGCCTGTTCTTCCTCGAAAATTGACATGAAGTGAACTCACCCGTCTTTTGTCGTCTTGGGCATCAAGTTTTCATCAAAAGTCTGCTGGCTTGACTTCTCAACGACGTCAGCGCCGCTCCTTGGTGCTTGAGCTTGGTCCCTGCAGCCAAGGGTCTACGAAGATGGCTTCCCCAACCCCATCCACAATTAAGATATATCCTTCTGGCATATCACCACCTCTCGAAGTCGTAAGCGCCACAAACAGAGGTGGGATAATTGGGGTCACAACGACTGTCGCATTGGCGACTGCGCTCCTGATCGCTCTTCCCACTGCCATGTACATCCGCATACGATCGAGTGCATACCGAGCCGACTATTATGTATTTCTTGCTGCAACAGTATGTGTCTTATGACAACGACACGTAGATCTCTGACTGACAAATCCAGTTGGTATTTTGTTCTCAAAGCGCTGCAGTGTACATTGAACTCAATGGCGGACTGGGAAAAACAATGAGCCTGGTACCAGTCAACAATTGGGACCGCATCCACCGAGCAGGCTATGCAGCCGACCTCCTATATCTACTCACGATATTTCTCTCCAAATGCTCTGTTGCGTCGATTTATCTGCGCCTGACACCTGGTCGTGGCCATTTTATAGCCGTCAAGACCATCTTGATTGGCATGACGGCGTGGATCCTGATGGGTATCTTTGTTGTCGGTCTGAGATGCCACCCTGCTGAGCCATGGCTCGATGTCACTAATGCCATTTGTCCTCACCTTGTATGTCACATTTTCTGGTAGCCATAGTCCGGTAAGCTAATTAGGTGCAGTACACAAGGTGGGCGGTAATCGGAGCTCTCGATATGATCAGTGAACTTGCATTGTTCTGCATGTCCATCTACCTCATCTGGAGAGTTCGGATGTCACTCAGGTCTAAGTTAACAGTTGTGGGCGCATTTAGCTGCCGTCTACCGCGAGTCATGGTTCATCCATTTGTAGTAGCCATAGCTGACGGCTCCACAGGATCATTGGCCTCGCTGCTCTCCGTCTTTACTATCTCCAAATCCAACTCAGCTCCGACAATCCATCCTTCGATGCAGCCAACAGCGTCGCGCTCACACAACTCGAAATGGGATACGGCATTTTCGCATGCATCATGCCAGTCATGAAGCCCTTCCTCGCCTCTCATGAAGGTCCTCTTCCGAACAGGGCCTACACTGGCGAGACCTACAACTTATCTACTTTCGGAGGTGGAAAGAGCAAATTGAAGAACAGCCAACGAGATGCCTCACGAGAAGGTACGCTACAGGACGGGAATTATAACACACTTGGAAGTCAGCCATATCTGGGAATGCCGACGAAAAGGCTAAGACTGAGGCCGGAGCAAATCAGCTACCAGGTTGGGGCAGCTAGGCATGAGGGTCAGCATGATAGGCCAAGCCTAGATAGTGGTGATAGTCAGTTAATGATCATAAAGAAACATGTGGACTTCACAGTGCAGTATGATACGAATCCAAGCAGGAGTACAGATAGGAGTGGTGATATTGAAGGAGAAGCGTCACACTCTTGACCTGTCAATTTACACATGGAAGCGCATAGATAGACAAATTAATACAAACCAACCTCATAATTTCTCCATAAACATAGCGTATTAGGTGTTGGGAATCGAATCGTTCCCCTAGCTTCAATGTAGTGGTCTTCTTTGAACAGCCATGCGCAAAGTCCGATTGCATCCAAATGTCATTTCCAGAGCTGGTAACTAGTCCAATAAGTTTGAACTTTCACGGAAATTGGCAAATCTACGCGAGGCACAAATAATAGCGGCCAAGAACTTGAAAATTTCTTTGTTATGTTCTGTCTGTCTCTAGCATTGTATCTCAGACCAAAATCTAGATCGAGCAAGCCGAGCCTGAAGCTCACTGGAGGACCCTCTTCTTCTTCTCTCTCCCACTCTCTCCCACTATTGATTTTACCTGAAGTAAGCGAACAAAGTATCTTTGTTGCTTCCCAAGTCTAGTTTGCAGCAAGTCTCTCAAACCTCACTGTCTTCACAGGTCCGAAGTACTCCTTGCGTCCAGTGATAAGGTACATACATCCAGCGAGTGCAATCACTGCAAACCAAAGTACAACAGCCCAATTGAAATTCTCCAGATTGATTGGTACAGAATTTGGCCAGAAAGACCAGAAGAACGAGTATGCGCACCACGGGACACCCATGATATTCACAGGTACTCCCCACTTGCCCAGGGACCATCTGGCGTGCGGAAGCAACTCGGGGTGATAGACCCTGCGGTATAGAACACAGCCAATGGACGTTGCGTAGGTCATCATGAGAGCCACGACTTGAAGAGAGATGACTGCGTTAAAGGCAGCGCTGGATCCGATGTTGATGAGACTGAGAAGACATGTGATTGCACAGGTGAGTGTTATAGCGTTAACGGGAACCTGCTTTTTAGGATCGACATGCGAGATCCAGTTCGAGGATGGAAGGCCCCTGTCGCGAGCAAAGGCAAATGTTTGACGTGCGGTTGATGCATTGAAAGAGACGTTGGCTGCGACTACGAGAATGAAGATGATTATGATGAGACCGTTGACAACTGGCACGCCACCAGCTTCTCTGAAAACATAGATGATTGGGTAGAAAGAGGGGTCGTTGAGTGCATCTTCCACACTTGGGATGGCGAAGAGATAGCTGACGAGTGCGATGATTGCAATTATCCCGTTGCCAGTGTATGACCAAAATATTGCAATAGGGACATATATTTCGGCATCTTTGACTTCCTCGGCCACTATCCAGTTTATTAGTCATGTACCGATGAAGAGAAGTAGGACTGCCTAAAACAGTTGACTTACTATGGGCACTGGCATCGGAGCCAATCAGGGAATAAACCCCGGTGATCTGACCAACCATGAGACTAAGTCCCATCGAGCTCCATCCCCCATCATTTGAAAATTCAGTGAATACCGATTTAGCTGTACGGTGCGGAGCCATCACCCAGATTACGATGATAACCACCAGGAACCCAAGGACGTGAATGACCATGAGCGCATTTTGGACTCTGGGCCAGACAGACGCTCCGTATACGTTGGCACAGTATACAACAACCACCATCGCGAAAATAAACAAGGTCCCTTGCCATTGAAATTCGAAGTCGGTTGGGTCGTAGCTTGTGTTCTCTGATAGCAGAGCTTGAATGACTCCTCCTGTGAGGTAAGCTCCAGAGGCATTGCCAGCTTGCCAAGATAATGTGGACATATAACTTGGACAGTATGAATTAGTATATTCATGTTTTTGATCAGACGAGACACACCAATCAGATAACTGAGCTCCCTTTGAATTGAGGGTGGTGCAAACTCAGAGACCCAATGATACTGGCCTCCCGAAATCGGTGCCATTGATGCCATCTCTGCAAGTGATAGAATCACGAAACCGAAAGCAATAAATGTCCAGATGTAGGTCCAAAAGAGACCTGCCAATCCTCCGTCCGTTAATCCTTGAGTATTTGCTCTAGGCCTGAATCAGATTCACGAAGTGTCAACTCAGCTGAAATGGACGTACAATAGCAAGAACTCCCATACACAACACAGGACAGTAGCGAAGCTGAGAGCGGATAGAGGACGGTAGTTTCTCTGTGGTTTATTAGAGTAAAACAAAAATTTGGGTTTAGCTCGGCGAACCTTGAACTCCTGGATCTTGCCCATACGATACATATCCCGCTGATCGTGTCTGGTGAAGCCTCCGTCTGGCTTGGCCGGCTTGCCATTGGCATAAATAGCTCCAATAACAGCGACATCGTCAACTTCATCTTCCCCAGCATTCATGCCGTCAACACTGTATTGATTTCTGGAGATCTCGCGAGCAGTACCTTGCGATTCTCCTTTTCCAATCTCGCCGCCATGGTGAATGTCTGATGGTGAAGACATGACGAACAAATGAGTGGAGTTCTGATGACGTTGCCGCAGGATAAAGGAAAAGACCGAAATCAGAAGGCGAAGAGATGTGGTGGTTCACGTTCGTGGGACAAAGGTAGGACAAGGTTATTTGATCCTGAATGACTTATGATGACCATCCCGGGCTAGGAGCCGAGTGATGTTACCACGCCACTGCCATCCACGACTCGTCAGACCAAATGGACAAACCTTGGGTTCTTGCGTCAAATAGGCCCTCTTTTTGTAATCCTTGTCACACCAATGTAACGGTGGTACTGGTAACACACCACGATCTGGCAGCTCCAGATGGAATCAACGACGCCACGGGGTGCTGTCAGCCGGCAGAACTTATGTTGGACGAGCGACTCGATACAGTCTTTCAGGGGATCTTTCGAATGTCAAGATAATGCCACCGAGGCTCACGGGATTATTTCCAAAGAAGGATTTCGAAGAAACACCTCCCGTACGCTGGGCCCCGTCCTGTCATAGCACACATTTGACGAAAGGTGACTGACCACCCTATTCGTGCCCAAATTGACAGAAAATAAGCAATTGTTGTTCTAAGAGAAGGGTTGAACCATGTTTAACCTATGGAGCTATTTACTCGATAGACTTTGGTTGGCAGATCGAGGTCTTGTCTCTTCATCTTGTTTTCAGGCTAGCAGTAGTCCGTGACTTGGAGTGCGGAGTTGAAAGAACTATCAAGCATCATAGCAGCTAGCATGTGCTCCACAATCGAAGCTTACCCTCTTCAAAGGATAGCAAGCTTTTTCTTGACTTCCCCAGCTTGGAAGAATAAATACTCCTTTGGGATTGTCATCTCCGTTTTTATTGTGGGGCAACCGCCGCACATCTGCATCGGCATAATCCTTGAATCCTGGTATCGCTGGCCGGAAACACCTGGAGATATGAAACGGCTTGACTGTTCACCAAAAGGTAATGGAAGCTTCCCCGCTTATTGCATCGTGTGCTGAGATGCTCGTATGAGTCGGCATGATCAGCCTAGCCAAAGCTCTAGCGCGGCAAAGGTAGCACTTGCTCTCGCTGGGACGATGACAGTATCTACAAGGACTAAAATCATCCATAACCTAGAAACAATTGGAAAGGTCGAGTTTAGTATCCTGGTGAATTCAAAGTGGTTCAACCATGGGTGACCTTAATGTAACCCATGAATGAGTTCTTCTGGTATCTAATAAATTTCCGGGAGTTTGTAAGAGTTTCCAAGCGAACTCGGCTAGGTACAACCGTACAAGTTATGTAAACAACCAGAAAGATCATATGATCAGATCAATCAAGATTAGAGCTGGAAGTGACTTGTTCCAAGTTCTTCTTTAATGTCGAGTAGGGGGACAAGAATATATCATTACATTGCGTGCTGGTTTCCTAGTACGCGATAATCAAAGTCCACAATTGCTCGTCCACTCAATAGACAGAGACACCTTATCAAAGTTCCCTGCATCATCCATATGAATTAGTTAGAGAAATGCGTTGATCTTTTGTCGTGTAAGATTTTTATTTGACCCTCTTGCACCCCAGATTTAAGTTTTGAACGGCATCGATTCAGCGACTCCTAACTCAACAACGGGCGTTGATGAACTCGCAGCTTCCGAGCCCCCACGCCTATGATGGGCTAGAAATAAGCTCATGGAGGGTAGACAAGCGCAAATTAAGCCAACGGAAGTCTCTGCAGCCCTGAAATATTATTAGCCGGTCGCAAACATTATTCGCCCAACTAAAATTCTTGCAGGTTGTGACGTACCCGAACATGTTGAATGCAGCATTATACAGCGTTCCATTGTGAGTCTCCCATATATGTCTCACAAATACCAATCTCGTGATACTTGCGACAACCGCAAGACCTCCCGCCGCGAGCATTCCGATGGCCCTGAATTTCTTTCTCAGCGGTATCTTCATGCCCCAAACCAGCGGTACGGGTACTAGCAGGACGGCAAGGTCGGTTACAGTGCTCATAACTGTGTCCGATATGGTTATAGCCCTCATGTCTAGACAAGTTGAATTAGGATATGGTACGCGGTTCCAGTAGGCGGGTATTGGAGTGCAGATGAAGGTCTTGGCGAATTGCATTGGAATATAGAAGCCCAGTATTACGAAGATGAAGAAGTTGATCACTCTCGTGGACTTGTGAGCAGTCTTGGATAGACGAGCGGTGAAGAGAAGAAGTGTAAGCTTTATCAGACATGCTGTTAGTCCGTAAAGAAGAAGCCCTCCATAATTGACCTGACTATATATTAGAATCAAAGTTCGGTACAATACAAGATTGATGTAAAGAACAGCGTCAGTGGAAGCTTACCTTCAGGAAGTCCTCTAACTCGCTTCGAGATACTTCCCATACGTTATTTCCGCCACCAAAAAAGCCAACTGCGCGATTGTAGATTGATTAGCAACTCTCCTCTTGGCCGAAACGGCAAGATTACTTACGAACTATGTTGTCCGCCAGATACCCCGAGAACATCATCCAAGCTGCGAGGCACACCCCTAGGAATATAAGCGGACCGAAAAGACAGTCATGCATCATGTAGCTGGGAATGAAATACTCACAGTCTTCTTTAAAGATTGACTTCTGAATAACTAGTCCTGTATACATTCTCAAAGCAACAAAGCCTGTAGCGAATGCCAGACAGAGTCCTTGTACTACAAAGTTCACTGTTTTTAGAACATCGCGAGGATGACGCAGATCTGCGACGATACCGGGAGGTGGAGGTAAAGCTCCTTGGCTTGTAGCCATGTTTCTGTGCTGAATGATCAATATGCTGGTGCTGTCATCTTCCGCCGGAATTCGTCAAGATAGAGCCCTAGAAGACATGGTGTTGTCGAAAGGTCGGAGCGCCAAGGCGTAGTAGAACCTCGAGCTTGTCTATACCCCAGAGTTGGTAGACCACAATTATCTCGTCTCAAGTCTGGCAGCGCACGATTCTTGATGATCTCCTCACGGGTGAGACGGATAAAGAGAATGGAGACAGAGTTTTTATTCCGCACAGACCCATCGGGCTTTGATTCCAAGATATACTTTCTGGCACAATGAAACCAACAGCCCATCCAATAGCAGCGTTCAATTCTTAAGTAGCGAAGTTTATGACTTAATCAAAACCTACCTGACTCGCCTGAGTAATGTAACCTCATGAAGCTGTCGACTTCTGCGATAAATGAGATTCCGGATTTCCGGATCTGCCTCCGTAATATACACTCGTACTAAAAACAGGCAGTGATTTTATCGGGGCATCGTCTATGACTTGTCATATCTGCGCTGTGATTTCGATATCACCCTGGACACATACATGCTCGTGAACTTCCAAAATTTGATATCTCGAGCCTCACATCAGAAATATTTCTCTAGACCAAACTTTGTTATCGTCTCCAAATTGTACTCTGTTTCGAGATTGTGATGGCATGCCTGCTTCAGACAACCACGTCGGATGACAACATGAGTGGCCTGATGCTTTCAAGCCAACATTGGGTTGTCCTCAGGCGATACAGTCAAGTTAAACTTTCGTTTAGTAATGGCCAATTGACGTTTAGAGGCATACACGTGATTCAAAATACAAATAATTGACATTGTTATGGCCAGCATAATATTAGTCAATTCTCTCCACCTCCAGATCTGGGTATTGAGGTGTTGACCAGGTTGCCATCCGATCCGAGCCGGTACCTCCAGATTGCCCATAGCCCAACTTGGCGGCCCACCCTGCAATTGCATGTAGAATCTTAATCCCAAATTGCGAATCTGGGAGGAACGTTCCTAAAGCAAAACTGCTTCCGTGTGTCTGAGATACCATGGGTCTGAATGTCTCCTCGTAGTTTCTTGCCCCCTGACTGACTGCAGCAGACAGCGTTGTCCCCTCCTTTCTCGCCAGTGCTGCGATCTCTCCAGCGAGGACGTACGATCCTACTATTCCAAGAGTGACCCCTTGGCCGTTGACCGCTTGAGAATGTGCAGCATCACCGATCAAGACTATACGACCCCTTGACCAATGTCCTTTCGGGAGCCGCACTTCTTCTAGTCGAGTCGAATAGAGGTCGTCAGCCAAAGGTGAGTGCATGAGATCATGCATGAAACGATCAGTCTTCCATCCCTTGCCTCTAAACAATGCATCCCATTCTTCCTTCAAATTTTCCAAATTGTCGGACCTTTGCGCTGCCTCGAGTGCGAGCTGTTTCCCGTATATGATCATGTATATCCGCAAGAGGTCCGGTCGGTCTCGTCTTGTCCCAATAACTCTGCGGCCCGGGAGGTTACAGAATGTCCACTTATCAGAGTCTCCTGGAAGAGATGGAATGGTGAAGAAGCCCATGTGTGCATTGAGTGAGTATCGTGGATCGGGTCCATCTGGACCAAGCATGATTTTGCGTATTTGGGAACCACTCCCGTCTGCCCCGACAACGAGATCAAAATTATCCTTGCGACCGTCCGAAAACTCAACGTGAACGTTTCCCTCGGGTCCCTTGGTATCATCTTCTTTGAGATTCTTCACAGAGATGTTGAAGATATGCTGCACATTTCTTTTACTTTGAGTGAGATCGTACTGCAGATAAGTCAATTTGGTCCTCCACGCTTACAAAATGGGATACTCAGAGGTAGGGAACCACACTTACCAGTATTTTAATCAAATCTCCACGCATTATTTCAAACTCTGAACTGAAGCTCTGCTGTGTGGTATCCGTCGCCATGGTTGGGAAGTACGCTGTCTGCTTCCCATCTTGGTCAACAAGCTGCATACCTGGTTCATGCACGGCAGCTGCACGAACTGCAGCTTCGATACCCATCTTCTTCATCATGGGCACTCCTTGGCCCCGAAGGTCAACTTGCTGGCCATATGCCCGTATTCTGGGAAATCGCTCGATGAGTGTTACTTCAGTGTTGAGGCGGGACAGCCAATAAGCGAGAGATGGCCCAGCAATGCCCCCACCCACGATCAGGACTTTCAGAACCATATTTTTCGAGTGTATTAAGTATGGGTGGCATAGAAAACTAAGAACATCATCAATCGATGAATCTATGGGGCTCTTTTAACATGAAGGCGAAGTGACGGTTTGCTAAGTTACATGTCCGGTCCGGTACAGCCCTTCGGCCGAGCCGGATATATCGGGGTAAGCAGATCGTCAGATCATCCGGACTGCATCAAAACACAACAGCAAGCAAGGTTCTTTATTCGAGACTGAGCGTACGTCTGTAATTCTTATAGCTTTGTGAAATGGATTAATATCTTGAACACTGCAACTGAGGGTCTGCCAGGGGATGAAAGCTGAAGTTATTTCACGGAGAATTCTTTGATCAAACGATGTAATCTCTCAGCACCAACCCAGCAGTATTCTACAAAATCTAAGTTTTCAAAAGCAATTTTCTGTACATGAGATCCAGATATCGTGTAAGGTGCTTTGGATGCCCTGGTTGGAACCAATGGATGTCAATCTAGAGTATGCCAGCGGGTCTCCAAGGTGGCTTTTGTGATGAATAACTCACAATTCACGCCACAACTTTAGGGACATGACAAAATGACTATGATAAAAGAGAAATAGTAATATACCTGCAACTTGGGTCTTTCCAAGATGACAAGAATGAATAACTATGATGCTCTATGATAAAGAGAAGCTGAGATACACACTGTTTAAGAAGTAGGTAAAGATGACTTCTTTTACTAGTCTTATCCTGGTAGTCCTCGGTTGATGTCAGTATGAAGGAGCATGCCAAGGCGATCTTTCAGGTTGACAGTATCTGAGTTTGAACCGATATTGGGGAAACTCCACTGGTTATTGATCACCTGGGATTGATAACCTTACCTTTGTGCCTCCAAAGCTCCGAAACTGGCGCTGAATTACATGGCGAATTCATTATATCAAGCATGTATCAGTAGTATGAGTACATTTGTTCTGAAGCTACGTAGCATACGAAGAGCGACTATTTCCAAGGTCAATGCTGATTCACAGCCAGTGCCATATAAGCGAGCGGGGGAAAATTGCACCACCCCACCTTTCCCAGTAAACTCCAACCTAGATATCCAGAAATTGATCCATTTCCTCTTTCATACGATTATCTGTGCGCCATGGCTCCAGATCTCATAATAAAGCCAGCCGAGCCCAAGCACCTCACACCCATTACCGCCATCCAAACCCACTACGCACTCAACACCGTCCTAACATTCGCCACAATCGGTCTCACTGAGGCTGAGTTCGAAGCCAGATATCACAACATAGTATCAGAGAACCAACTTCCTTTCCTAGTAGCCATCCTCCCAGCTAAATCCCAGACCCAAGAAGACCCAGCATCAGGAGAAGAGACAGTAGTCGGCTACACCTACATCTCACCCTACCGGCCCAGCCTCCAAGCTTATACTCATACGGGAGAGCTCTGTCTCTTCGTCTACCCTCAATATCTATACCAGGGAATTGGATCTGTGCTATTGAAGGCATTATTCGAGTCATGTAAGGAGACGAGAATCAAAGAGCTTTTGGCGGTCATGGCTGTTGATGTAGAGACGAGGGGTGGAGGTTTAGGGTTAAGGGATTGGTATGTTAGCTGGGGCTTCAGGGAGATTGGAACAATGGAGATGGTGGGACGCAAATTTGAGAGGTGGTGAGTTTCCGTTTGTTTTGATTTTGCCCGAGATTTGAGCTCCATTCGCAGGTACGAAACGAGGGAAAGCTGACGGTCACCAGGGTTGATGTGATTTTCTTACAAAAGTACATCGATGGAAAGTTAGATGTTGCCTAGGCTTTTCACGGTGCCTCTCGTTATCCTAATTAAGTAATGTATGTGAAATATTGGTTTGTTAGCTGCTTTTCAAGAAGCTAGAAACTTTCGACGAGACTTCTCAGCACGTCCCTTCTTTGCTACGCTCCGTCGCTGTATGACTTTTTGCCCTAGTTAAGATAGGAGCTATCGCGGAAAAGCAATATTGAACACACATCAGCTCTAGCTCTCGAGCTATTCTCCATGCTACTGAGATAGCCTAAACTTACCGCCTGGCTGGAATTTAGGCACAGTGTCTTCTATCTGGGAAGAAACACAAGAATGGCCCCTCACAACAGTGATTGATCCCCGCGATCTGTCTCATAACAAAAGTAAGATTCAAGATACAAATCAATCAAGACAACTCAGAACATGCGACTATTTCATACAACGAACGAGACAAAATATGAAGCTCGGCTAATCTAAACGACATATCGTAACATTGATCAATACTGGCCATGCGACATGCTTGGCCTAGCGGTGTTCACTCGCCGAAAATGGGCTAGAGAAAATGCGATCAAGTTCTGAGGTCTATCATTGCTCCCAGCTTTAATAAAGCAAGCAGCTTCGACACATTATCTCATTCGGCACTTCCAAGACTCTGGGAACAATTTCGACTGACTCAACTATCACCTTGAGCTATCCCGACACTTGCTAAAACGTACTGTACGCAATGGCTCCTGAGAATCAGAAGCGCCCCTATTCCGTGATGGGGTGCAATGTTGCTTTCAAAACATCAGCGTCGATCTTCGGTAATATTCTGCAGTAAGTCGTATTGCATTCGTACTGCAACAAAAGTAAATGCTAACAAAACTAAGCTCCAGAGGAAAGACAGCATACCACTCCATGACACTACCTCCACTACCTCTTTCTGAAACCGAGGCAACCGAGGCAACCGAATCTGAAGGAGATTTCATTCTGTTCACCAAATTTCCCAAGGAGATCCAGATCATCATTTGGGAAATCGTGATCGCCGATTCCCGTCTCATCATCCAAATCATGGAACGCGCAGGGCAGCACTGGCTTACTGGAAAATGCATTTTCCGCAAGCATTCCTGGCGGAAGAAATTTTTCACCATTCACAATCATCCTCCTGTCCTTCAAGTCTGCTCGTTATCACGCGAACTTGCTAAAACCACATGGGAAACCGGTAACGTCAGTAGACAGACACTACTAGACACCTTAGAATATCGCGCAATTCGCCAAGAGATCCTCGAAGTCTGCTTTGTAGATGGCGCTTTAAATCCAGATCGAAGTCCTGTTTATGCCATATATGGAGCAAGTTCTCCAGATTCTACTCTCCTAGCCAATGCCTTCACTTTCGTCAAACAGTGCGGTATTAAATCCATTGCGCTGGATCTGGACAAGTGGTCGACAGTCGAGTCAGAACATGACTGGGGCAGTCGGATATGTGAGTTCTTTTACTTTCGGGAGATGCTCACCCTTGAAAAAGTCATCCTCTACTATTCAGACTCAGACATGTGTCCCGAAAGACTTGCATTGTGCAAATTCATGACCGACGCTTTCGTCTCTCGGTCCAAAAGTCATTTATCCATTATTCGAGACGATGCAATCAGAGAGTCGATACAGACGGAGGAGAAATTTGCGGACTGCACTGTTGAGGAGTGGAAGCTACCGAAATTCGAATTTGTACTCAAGAGTGAGTGGAGACAGTGGTCTGGAGTCTGGGCTGATATGCGTGGCAATTGTCTTCACAAAGTTCCGTACGCAAGGCGGGTGAGGTACCAGATTCCCAGCTATCGATGCGAATGGGATTATGCGAAATGGCTGTTGGAAGAATTTCTGCATTGGTCATGAACGTGAGATGACGAGTCCTGCGTCATCATGTCTGAGGAAGGATGACGTTTGGGAGCATCTGGTGTCGGCCGGTCTTACCTAATACATAGCTTGCACACTATTCCTAGATCCAGCATAGAAATAGAATCAGGACTTGATGCCAGCAATGCTTTCATACCAGTACCCACCCACAATATCCTACAATCACTCTCAATAACTGTACAAATCCCTCGCACGAATACCATAACGATTCCACCCATCCCCTCTCTCTTCAAAAGTCCGTAACCCTCCCGTTATAACTCCAATCCCCTCTGTCCCCAGTACTCCCCCACCTCAGCGGTTCATTCTTCGGACCCCCAACCTCCCCCGTCTTTGGATTCCTCTCTCCCTCAAACTCCGGCTTCGCACCTCTCCTTATATCAGGATGCAACTCCTCACCTTTCCCCGTCGAAGCTATCCTCGCGTCCACAGCTTCCACCTCTACATCTACCCCCGCGGTCTTTGCCTTCGAGTCTGTAGCAGATGCAGGCGATTGATTGATTTGTGGGCGTGAGCGAGGAGTGGTTGAGATTGTGGGATTTATGGCTCGAGGCGTGCTGAAGGCACCGGTGGATGATTTCTGGAGACGCTCAAACTCTTCTTGTTCTTTTGGAGGAAGACGGGGTGGTGCTGGGCCAGTGGAGAAAGCTGGTCTGAGGCGGGAGGTGGTGAAGAAGCGACGGGATGGAAGGGAAATCTTTCGATGTAGGAGACGTGACATGATGAATTGATATGCTGGATCTCTGCTGTTAGGGGATTCGGCCAGTTTGGGCGGTTCAGTGCTGTATTTACAGATGTCGTTGATTTCGTGGCGACCTCGGAACGACAAAGTCAACAATTCCCACATTACATAATCCTGCCCAAGGCGGTGACCTCTTTCGGCCGCGGGGGCGTCTTTGCCCTGCCGTATCGGACGGCTATTGATCTTGACTCATTCAGATATTTCTATGTCTACCATCCTGCTCTTCTCTTGCCATTGATTCTTCATACACACTTCTCAACAATCGTTATCATGGAAGGCCTCAAGAACAAGTTCGCAGAATGTAAGGGAGAGGGAAGAGTATGTTTATTTTTCTCGAATGGCAACCCCTCCATAGCGCCACTCGATAACTAACTGTTACATTCAGCCCGCGCTGGTGACTTATGTTACGGCGGGATATCCTACGCCCGAGGAGACGGTGGATGTTATGCTGGGAATGGAGGCAGGTGGCTCAGGTAAGCATTTCAATTGTCTCTGAGAATTTAGTACTAACTTTCCCAGATGTAATTGAACTTGGTATCCCCTTCACAGACCCAATCGCAGATGGTGTCACAATCCAAAAAGCCAACACAGTACGAACACGAAGTCCAATTGAGAGACTGCATGCTTACAATTACAACAGCAAGCCCTGAAAAATGGAGTATCGGTCACTTCAGTCCTACAAATGGTCCGCGACGCACGAAAGAAAGGGTTGACAGTACCGGTTCTGTTCATGGGATATTACAACCCGATGTTGAGCTACGGAGAAGAAAGGCTACTGAAGGACTGCAGAGAAGCAGGTGTCAACGGCTTCATCATCGTTGATCTGCCGCCCGAGGAGGCTGTTACATTCAGGAATTACTGCACGAGAGGAGGGTGAGTCAGAGCCCATTCAGAACCGTGGCATTCAACTGGGCATAATCACTGACACATGCCTCCACAGACTTTCATACGTCCCTCTGATCGCCCCCGCTACCTCTGAATCACGAATGAAGCTTCTATGCAAGCTTGCCGACTCCTTCATATATGTTGTCTCGCGGATGGGTGTCACTGGCGCAACTGGTTCACTGAGTACAGGCCTTCCTGACCTTCTGAAACGAGTCAAGGATTATTCTGGAAATGTACCAGCTGCTGTCGGATTCGGTGTCAGCACAAGAGAACATTTCCTCAGTGTTGCCGAAATCGCAGATGGTGTCGTCATCGGTAGTCAGATCATTATTACTTTGGCAGAGTCGAAACCTGGAGAGGGAGCGAAGAATGTTGAAGAATATTGTGCTAAGGTCGGTGGACGGAGAAAGGCTCCGAACGGAAGCCTCACAAGAGAAGTTGGGATTGTCGAGGCTGTCAATGGAGCGAAGGAGCCAAGTGGAGATAATGTCCACGTTGATGCTATCATCAAGGAGTCAAGTGGACCGAACCTGGTTGATCAGATTGAAGCTCTGAATGCAGATGGACCAGTTGATCCTGCATCCATTCAACAAAGATTTGGAGAGTTCGGTGGGCAGTATGTCCCAGAGTCGCTGATGGACTGCCTGTCTGAGCTAGAAGAGGGTTTCAACAAGATCAAGGATGATCCATCATTCTGGGAGGAGTACAGGTCATATTATCCTTGGATGGGACGGCCAGGTCATCTACATATGGCCGAAAGACTTACCGAGCATGCTGGTGGTGCCAATATCTGGTTGAAGAGAGAAGATCTCAACCACACTGGAAGTCACAAGATTAACAATGCGCTTGGACAAATTCTTTTGGCAAGACGGCTGGGTAAGACTGAGATTATTTGTGAGACGGGTGCTGGACAACACGGTGTAGCAACCGCAACAGTCTGTGCCAAGTTCAACATGAAGTGTACAGTCTATATGGGAGCCGTAAGCTTCTTCATGCACTCCACTTGGAAAATGCTAACAATCACTTTAGGAAGATGTAAGACGTCAAGCTTTGAACGTTTTCCGAATCAAGCTTCTCGGCGCCCAAGTCGTCGCTGTCGAGGCTGGATCCCGCACCCTGCGTGATGCAGTCAACGAAGCTATGCGTGCATGGGTTGTCAAGCTTGACACCACCCACTACATTCTTGGTTCAGCCATCGGTCCCCATCCCTTCCCAACCATTGTCCGCACTTTCCAATCAGTTATTGGCAACGAGACCAAAGCCCAAATGCAAGAAAAGCGTGGCAAACTCCCAGACGCAGTCATCGCCTGTGTAGGAGGTGGCTCCAACGCCGTGGGAATGTTCTACCCCTTCTCTAATGACCCATCTGTAAAGCTGCTTGGTGTTGAAGCTGGTGGAGACGGTATCGATACCGACCGTCATAGCGCCACTCTCAGCGGAGGTTCCATCGGCGTTCTGCACGGTGTTCGCACGTACGTCCTACAAGACAAGAATGGCCAGATCTCAGACACTCACTCCGTGTCTGCTGGTCTCGATTACCCCGGCGTAGGACCCGAACTTGCATCTTGGAAAGATAACGAGCGCGCCAAGTTCATTGCTGCAACTGACGCCGAGGCCTTCATTGGCTTCCGTCTCATTTCCCAACTTGAGGGTATCATCCCTGCTTTGGAGACCGCACATGCAATCTATGCTGCTATTGAGCTAGCGAAGACAATGGAGAAGGGTCAGGATATTGTTATTTGTTTGAGTGGACGTGGTGATAAAGATGTGCAGAGTGTGGCTGATGAGTTGCCAACTCTTGGGCCGAAGATTGGGTGGGATTTGAGATTTTAGTCTTGTTTGATGCTGGATGGAATGGGATTACTGGGTTTGGTAGGATTGATATGCTGTATATGACTTGCGTAGAGGAATCATAAAAGCGTCTGCTTCGATCATCCACTGTCTATCTCTTCTCTGGTATTTTTGACACAGCCTTTATGAGTAGGAAACTGTGAATGTCGTTTTTGACCTCGGCTTTACGTCAAAATCTGCTGTACCTCAGTAGTAAGTTACCTGTGCATCATCGTCACGCTTGGTCATTTGAATATCAAAATACATTATCATTGCCACCAGTACTCTGCTCTCTGCTTGTCCCTCCCTACATTTGTCTCATAGCAACGATTATTGTATACAAGCCGAACCAAAATGCTGAAATGATTACTTCAGTTCGAGCCTACAGCAATGTACAGCAAGTCTGCGTCCCTCTCCAGAGCATATGAGTGCTTCTATAAGAAGTCAAGAACCAACTGATGCTCCCAAGAGTCCTCAAGAGTTCTCAACAACCTCCCTTCTCTTCGTTCAGTCTTTCAATCCCTGCTCCCAAACTAAATCGTTGAGCAACAACATGCCACTCACAAATATTAACGACGAACTATCCCCTCCCCAAGACGAGAATATGCCTATCGAACTCGTCAACTCGCCTCTTCAATGGCACCTAGCTCATTACCTCCCAGTAGAGCTCAGGTACCAAATCCTAGACTATGTCGAACCCTTCCAACGGATCATCCACGTCGACTTGCCCCGAAACATCATTCCAAGCACACCATCCACGCTCATAGTCACACCCGTACGTCGACCTCGAATCTTTTACGAAGATTGGATCTGGCAAGGCTACAACAAGAAATACACCGAAACAACACTTCCTGGTTTCCGCACCCCTTTTTTCTTCTGTCCCAGGTTCGATACTCTGTATTTCACTTCTTCTGCAGCAGTGAAGATTTTTCTGGATGAAAACTCGCCCCCTGCTTCTAATCCAGCTACAACCCCCGCACCTACACACTCTGAACATCTCAAGAACATGAGGGTCAGTAGACTAGCTGTCCGTTTCACTCGAGATCTGAGCACTACAGACGGTATCCAACCACTGATAACCATGCTCAAACTTTTCGCCACGGTGGAAGTCCTAGTCGTGACGGTACGAGAGAGGCAGATTCCCAAAGCAGCTAAACTTAGAAACAAAATCGTGGAGAGAATAAGAGAGGTGTATGCGAGGGATAGAAATGCTGCTAAGGAGGCTAAGAAGAGTGGTGACAGTCTAGAGGAGATGTGGAAGATGCCGGTGGTTAGGTTTGTGACTTGTGCTGAGTTTGGGGCCAAGAGAGGGGGTTAGGGATCGCTGGATGAGGTTCTTTCTCGAATTGTGGTTCTTGAATTGTTGTAGAGAGTTATGTGCATCGTTCAGAGGGGTCTCAAGTGGAACTCGTCGCTTCTGTATTCCAGGAGTGTTGTTTATTTATGCTTTCGCTTAACTTAGATTTCCGAATTCGCCCCAGTTCTCGGGATTTGTTCCAGTGTATCATTGCTGTGTCGTTTAATGTTTCTATGGGTACCTAGAGCCAGTGCATCTTTGAGTCCGCAATGAGGAAGAACTTGCAATGGCAAGCAGATGTGCCAGTCTCAAATTGCTGCATTGCAAATTCGCTTCTTCACCAAAAATCCACAAGAAAAGTAAAGCGAAGAAAGAAAAGATAATAAGAATCATTTCGTATGCATATGACCTGTTGGCAAAAGTTTTATTATAAGAATTGAAGTTTCGTAATGCCCAAGAGTGTATTTTTCATTGATGGTGTCTCTAGTTGGCAAAGTGGCTGATTACTGAATTAGCCTATGACCAAGTTCCAAAACACCAGGCAAGGACTAGAGCACCAGGCAAGGACTAGAGCATTGATTAAGACCATTAGTATTATAAGATCATAAACATGAAATACAATCAGATCTCAATCTCTCCAGCCCTAAATTGCCGCACAAATTCCCCCTCCGCGATGACCACGACCTCTGGAAGTCTCCAGCGGTAGCTTTGTCCGATTGGTAAATTGTTCATGCGCTCCACATCATACCACATTTTATCCCACTCCAATTTCTCAGAAGCGAGATATGTCCGCGTGTAAGATGTCAAGTTACTCATGTTCAACTGAGCCTTGCCTTCTCCCTCAGCTGGATACCCCTCTTGCAAGAGGTACAGCTTCCGCAACGACCCAAAACTCCTGATTGCGCTCATGAGAGCATCGCACAGTAGCCCATCGCGCTGGTAATTGTTGACAAGGCTATAATGCGAATCCTTGTAGGCATTGTAGTAGACTGCAATCGAGGCGAAATTCTCGTCTCTCAGCACCTTGCATGAATTGCGGGTGTTTACAAATTTCAAGAGTGCTTCTGGGTTTTCGAAACAGAGGATATCAGTCTCTTTGTTGATGAGGATTGGGCAGCCTTTTATCATGAAGTTGTGGAACTTGAATGAGTGCGTCTCTAGGAGAGTCTCGCGAGTGAGTTGGTCGGCTCTGCACAGTCCTTGAAAAGTGGCTGGGGGGCAGACCAGGTACTTAATCCTGTCCTCAAGTGTTCGCTCCTTCAGAATGTTAATAATCCGCGGCTCGATCGTTGCTCTCATGACAGAGACCTTCAACTCTGAAGCCATTTTTTGATACTGTGAAAAGCACGGTCGCTCATAGGAACGCTGAACCAGTGGTTCAATGTCAGGTAGTTCGAGGTAGGAAAGTTCGTCAACCTGATCTGGAGCCCAGATGTCGACATGATCCTCCCAAGTTTGCAGAGAGTCCCGCATAGCAACGAATTCCATAGTTTACGTCCCAAGTAGAAGATTGGAAAAGCTGAGGCAAGTATTGAAGTGTCGGTATGGCGGCAAGGATCTGTGGTTACTAAATGAATGTTTCTGTAGTTTGTGGAAGCTACAAGAATAAATAGCTTATGTACTAAGTATACAGATCAAAGGAACAATAGAATGAGTATGTATATCACCCAATCAATTATTGTTCCTTGGTCTGAAGCTTCTTATATTACTGTTCGTCCTTACAAGCTTGTTGTACAATGAACCTCTATTCTGTTTCGTTATTGGTTAGCCCTCCCTATAACACAGGAAAGACGCAGAGGATGATTCAGAGGAGGTTTACCGCAACAATGATTCTTTGTGAGACGTACCTTCCATCATATTCATAGTTGAGTACAAAGGGCCGCCTGCCAAACAATGGCAACAAAGGATCCTGTGTTCATGTGTTGATATTTTCTTTGCACTTTCGAGGAGCATCTAGTCTCATGCCATTTACCACCTGCATCGAATCTCTTTGATTTCTTAACTCCGCTCGAGAAGTATCCTGCATCTCACTGACGAGATTTTACTCATTCTGGAATGGCCCCCACGCTTGATCAGCGGGAATATCGTGACATTATCATTCTTCTGATACCCGGACAAACAAAAGTGACTAAACGTTTCTTAAAGCACTGTTATTCATAAATATCAATGGAATCAAGGAATCACCATTCCAGTCTTAGAAATTCCTGCTGTAACACATGCATTAAGTCCCTCAACTATCCAATAACTACTCAAAGCAGAGGTATTTTGAAGTCGGCGCCTCTATACTAATTCCACTATCAATCATGCAAGCACTAATTCTTGAGGTTATCCAATACTAAGCATAGCATTATAGAATCTCAAAGAGAGTAAGCTCTCGATTCTCGATCTCCAACAGTCACAGAGCTTCTGAACACGGCACTCTTGCTCCTGTTCAGCGGACTCAATTTGTCCATACCCTCGGGCATTTCACATTGTTTATCTTTATCCTCACTCGGTGGTCCGGTCACATCCTTTACATTTTCTTCAGTGGTAGTAGATGCACCAGCCAACCCAATCAAGAAGTAGTCTTGATTCTCCACCATGAAAACCATCACCGAGGCCGCAAGTTCATGATCCTCTGCTGTCATTGTCTGTGGCTCTTTCGACAGCAAGCTCGGTTGGAACACTGCGACCAAGCGTGAGGATGTCATGAGGTTTGTTTTCCGATTTCTCTGCAAACACTGCGAGCAAGTCGAGTAGATACAAGAGGAGATGTCGGTTGGATGGTGGCAGGCTTATGACACATTGTTGAAACTCAACAATGCTTGTTTTTTTTTCAGTGCCGAGATCGCTTTTGAGACATGAGATGAATGGCTCGTAATGATCATATGGTATGACCGGTTCCTTGGAAGTCTTCAGGAATCTCAGCACCAAGCTTGCAGCATCATGCACGGTGTAGCCTGCCCAAACGAACTTCATCCCATAGCGATCTGAACGGCCGAAAACCGCTTGGAGTTCCTGTACCCTCTTGGCCGAGCCGCTTGTGTAGATAATGTTCTCGACCTCTCGTCCTAAATCAATCAGTATTAGCACATTGGTGTGTTCGGTCATAGAAGTAAGTTTCCTTGCTCTGACCTCTCTCTTTTAGAAAGACTCCACACTTTGCGACGACGATGGGCACGTAGCCATAGATATAGTTTCTTCCTTCGGCATCAAACAGACTAATTGCGACATTGGCATAAGCTATACTTTGGCTGAAGTGAACGCCAAACACGCGAGGGAGTAGCTGTTCCGTAGGTTCTGGGTCTGGCGTCTTTGAGTCCTTGGACAAAAATGTTGCCACTATCCTGACCAGACGAGTTCTGAATGTTTCTTTTCTTGGATGTGTCATCCATCGCTGTGGTGAGTATCGTTCGATCTGGAGCTAGACGATCCTCGTGACTCTCATCGAACTGTCCAAACTGATAGAGCTGGCTGTTACCAACATCGAAAGCATACAAGGGTAGAGCTTTGCACTGTAATGATTGAAATGTTGTCAGATAAGCTTAACCCAGAGAGCATTGACCATGAAGCAGTTCTCCCAGCTGAACTTATCACGGAAAATGCTCCGCCGCCAGGATCCCGCACGATAGACCGCTTGTAAACCCAGGGTTGTTCCAGCTCTTCTTCAGAAGCAAATCCTGCCGCATTGCGAATGACATTCTCAGGCTCGGCCTTTAGAGCAAGATCAGGTAGGTGGATGATGGAAGGATCGATGCCTATTCCTGTTTCGATCGATGCCAAACGTTCAGCGATGAGTCTGTTGCTTTCCAGAAGGATCTGAATGGTCGTCGAGAGCTCGTCCACAGCATCTTCAGCCTTGTACGTAGATTCGCAAGTCAAGATGGTCACCATCAACGTCATCGATGCCTTCCATGTGGGCTTCCAATCTCTTCATGTGCTCTTGAATAGTTGGGACTTTTCGTCGCCCACCTCACTCAATCCATCAGGCCTAGCTGCTCATCTGATCCAAGAGTTTCAACAAAGACATCGAGTTCCGAGAAGGTTGACACGCAGGCTGATAAGGTTACAGTACCACTATCTGATCAACGAGGATCAGCGAGGTCCGCCCCCTTGTGACTTTCATTCGGCCCAGCAACATCAGCTGGAGTTGGAAGAGTACTGATCGTATCGTGTCAACGGTTGTTTTCATGTCGAGAAGCTCAACAGGAGCATTCTTCCCCTTTGAAATCAGGGGGCTGAGAACCTCAGATATCTTCCAGGACGCCGAGAGAAGACCAACAATCGCCATCGAGACGCTGAGAGGATCCATCGCAACCCCCAAAAAAAGCTAGAAGATGATGATTAGTTGCTAGGAATGTACACAGATAGAGTTATGGAAGAAACCAGAATTGAGGAATTTGAGATGGATGGGTATGATGCAAATCAGCTCTGTGGCTTCGTGGCGCAGCACATCCTAGGTGCATGTCGAAACCCTGACTCTCCGTTTGAATAAAAGTAGGTGATGCAGCTTTCCACACTGTTTTCTGCATTTTGATATTGGGAAGCTCATAAGTGCAAATGCAATGCGAAGGAGTTTTTTCGTGATGTGGATATAAAAAATAATACAGTCGATGTCAAAAACCGCTAAAATGCATGTATGGAACAGAACACGGCACAATACAACGTTTCAATCCAATCCGGTCCACTCCGTTCCATCTCGCCATTTCACTTCCTCATCCGTGCCTGTCGGCACGTTCGGACGTAGGTATCCAAGATGTGTGATGCAAGTCAACCAAAACCTACAGTCAGTCCCAGAGACTAAAAGTACTACCCCTCACCCGTCGAACCCTGTGACGCACTCCAAGACGCACCACACCTTCCATCTCTCCCTCCTCGCATCCCACCTAGGCCACGGAAATCAAATAGGAATACTGCCCACACTCCCACCCTTCCCATCAAGTCCAAATGCCAGAATAGCCTTCGCCGCACTACCCATCCCGCTTGGCCTCCTGACTGTCTCAGCCTCGGTGCCATCTCCGTCCTTATCCTTATCCTTATCCTTCTCAGCACCCGCTTGCACACTCTCAGGGAATGCCGAGGCGTCAGGTGTAGCTGGCGCGGAAGCCGTGTTGGCATTGGCTACCATGCGTTCGGTGATGCGGTCGATCTGTTGCTGTTGATCTGTGTCCGCTGGCTGGGAGACGGATTCGGGCTGTGGTTCAGGATTCTGCCCACGTTCTATACTTTCAACTTCATTCGGCTCGGAAGCTGGTGGTTCCTTCGAAGCAGGTTCTTTGCTGCCTTCTTTCTCCTTCTCCTTATCTTTCCCCTGCTTACTCCCCGTAGTCCCATTCGAGCCCTTCCACCAACTCTTCGTCCCAATACCCGTGAACCCACTCCTCATATCACTCTCTTCAAATCTCCCCTGTCCCATCGGCGCGTTCAGCAAGTATTCAGCTTCCGCCTCCTCATCGTCAAGTTCTTGGGCATTGAGTTGTTGAGCAAATATTCTAGACCTGGCATTCCCGCTACGAGCTTCCTGTCCATCGACACCTTTGACCCATTTCACGCTAGCGATCATAAAGCTCAGCCCATCGTGCACACCTTGATAGTCATCTCGTTTCAAACCCCATTCGCGACTTCTGATGCCGAAGCGAGTGAGGCTGGCGTAGCTCTCAAGGGCTGGGAGGACGAGGATGGTGACATGGCAATCGCGGTTCTCGGGAACTTCCATAGGGCCAGTCGGTGGAGGGGCGGTGATAGTTTCGTCGATGTTGATGTCTTTCTGAACGTTGCCATTCTTGGTTGGGATGTCAATTACCAGGTCGAGCAACGATACATCAATATCATCCGACCACGCTCCGCGAAACCAGCCTTGGTGTATACATGCTGCGATGATGTCGGAATCATCAGTGTAGATATCCGTGCCCCATACGGCTCTCCTCCTTGTTATTTCTTCTCGAGCGATCTGGCCAAGGTGAATCCGGGGAATCCTGATGGTATAGATACTATTCTCGCTGCCTTCAAAGTTTGGAAGAGCTTCAGGAGTGCTGGCAAATCCTCTACCTGGCGTCAAGTCACGTTTCACGGATGTCCGTCCTGGTTTTATGGTGGACTTGTAGTAACCGTGTCCGAGATTGTTTCGAGGAAGATGGGCAACAGAGTCAAGTACATCTTTGTTATGAATTGTAGTCTTCGGTTTAGGGATTACGGTGTTTACTTGGGGAGGTGGCTTGGCCGGAGTCACGTGGTGGTGATGGTGTCGTGGGACGTGATGATGATGTACATTGGGATTTGCTTTCTCAAGGCCTGGAGGTGATGGGATAGTAGAGCCCTTGGCGCTCTTGAATGGAGTGAGGTTGGATTGAGATGGCGAGGATGCATTGTCAGCTGGATCTGTGCGATGGTGATGGTGACTCAATCAAAGCTCTGTTAGCTGATATATATGTAGAGGGTGCAGATGACTTACTGGTGATGGTGATGATGATGTGTCTTAGCACGTTTACCACGTCCACTAGGTGTACGTCTTCCGGTGCTGCTCTCATCATCGCCTTTACTGTCTTCCTCTTTGAGCTTCCGCCTTCGGCCACCTCGAGATGCAGAACGAGCAATCTTGTGACCACCTGCTTCAACTGGCGACTCTTGCAAACTCTCCAGATCCTCGCGACGTAATTGTCCAGCATTTGAGAACGGCATTCCCTGAGGACCAGCAGACACTGGGCTTGGGACACCCATCGCAGCACCGACTCCACTCCCAATACCCGAGAACATCTTGCCAAACTCATTTTTGATACTTGGCTCGCTACCTGGTCCATTCAGCTGGCCTTGAACGCCTTGGACTGCCTGCGGAAGAGGAGAAGCACGGCCTCGGCGATTCAATTCCTGCACATTGAGGAAATTTCGCTGCTGCTGTAATTGCTGAGGATCTTCCACGGGCCGCCTTTGAGGAGACTCGTGCGGTTGATATTGAGCTGGAGGCGGTCCGCCATACTGTAAGCGATGTTGCTGTTCTTGTTGCTGCTGCTGTTGTTGTTGCTGAGCAATTCGAAGTCTTTCCTGGAGTGAGGCGGTTGCCTCATAATGGGTTGTAGGTGGATTCTGGTGAGGTGCCGATGTTGGTTGTGGAGCGGGTCCATACCTTGGCTCGTTCGATGCATATGCAGGAGGTGGACCCGAATATTGAGGGCCAGTGCTTCCTGGGTATTCATATCTTCTCTCTGCTGGTGGGGGTTGGTCATATTCGGGCCTCTGTGGTTCGTGATGGCCGCGGTTCCAAACATGCTGTTCCCTCGCTGGTTCTGGGGGTCGGTTGTATGCCTGCTGCGCATTTCTGCGCGCCATTTCGTGGGCGTACTCCTGTTCCGCTCTGTCTCGTTGCTCTCGTTCTCGTTGAATAGCAATGTCTCGTTCCCTTTCTCGCCCCCTTTCCCTTTCCCTCTCCCTATCTCGTTCCAATCTATCTCTCTCTCGTTGCATCGCCGCTTCTCTTTCTTGTCTCTCTCTCTCCGCATACCCATATGCACCATGTCTTTCCTCGAAACCGGGCCGACCATATGCGGGTTCCTGTCGCTGGGGTTCAGGCGCCCGCGGTACATTCTCAACCCTCCTCCCAAACATACCTTCTTGATGTACTGGTCGAGGATTTTCTGGCACTCGATGCGGTCCATGGCTAAATGCGCTTGGTTGACTGCTTGGTCGTGGCGGAGGTACATTCGGATTCTGAATACGGGTTGGTTCTCTCCGCTCTTCCACTCTTTGGCCATATCCCTGCTGCGGTGTGCCAAATTTCCTGCCTTCTGGCGTGTAGTGGTGATTCATATTCGTAGGGGAACCGGCTGAAGCCGAGTTTGCTCTGTTATCCCGAGGATCATATGGTCGCTGGTGCTCGGGGGTTTGAGGTCTACGAAACGGAGCATAGTCTGGACCAGTCGAGGCCATTCGAGGTGATGCATGCGCAGGTCCATACATTGGATTTGGTGGCGCAGATGTAGCAACTGGAGACGCATATTGTGGTGGAGCTGGTTCTCGAGATGGCCCTCCAAGCATCGACGAAATTGACATGCTGCTCCCTCCAGTACTCTGCGGCCGATTCAACGGAGGCAAAGTCGGAAGATCTCGATTCGAAGGAAAAGATGAAGGTGGTCCAACAGAAACAGGAGGCGCCCTAGGCGGTGGTGGGCCATATCCATGATGTGCAGGAGCTTGAGGTGCCTGCTGTTGTGGTGAAGAGGGAGGCGGCATACTTCGGTTCACAGGTGTTCCTTGTCCTATCGACGATGTGCTCTGATGTCTTGTATGTCCTGGTCCTCCCATCGGCGCTCCATCCTGACCATAATTTCGTGGCGGGTTGTAATATGGTGGATCAGAAGGTCGTCGTTGACGCTCCGAGTAAGCTGGCGCAGCAGGAGGAGGATGCGATGAGGGAGGAAAGGGGGCTTGATTCGAGGAGGGAGGAAAGGGGGTTCGTCCGTATGGCGAGGCGGTATTCCGCGAGAAAGGGTGCTGCGGTTGTCTTGGATCCATGGTGTCTTTGTATTTTTTCCCAGCGGTGTGTGTCGATGGTTTGTGTTTTGAAAGCTTCTCGCGCGCCCGACCAGCAAACAAAATATGTCCTCTACCCTGCAATACCGCTCCTCCGCATGTCGGTGTATATATCCTCTATCAAATTTGCGTGCGATCGGATGGAATGAGACTTCGATGACGAGAGCGGCGAAGGAAAAGGCTGATGTCTCGCGAGAGCCACGATGCCCTGTCGATCAGAATCGGAATCAACAGCAAACGGGGCTCGTGTTTAGCCGCGGATGAAGGTGCAGATGCAGCGGCAGCATGAAGGTAACCAAGAAGTTGATATTATACTGTAGGAAAATAGTCGAGTATGCGGTAGGAGTCAAGGGTGGGATAGAGATGGATGCAGACTGGAGCTGACGATGCGTAAAGAGGGTGCTGTGCTGTGCTGTGGAGTGGAGGCGTGCTGGTGTTGTGCTTTTGCTTGGGTTTGCTTTCCTGTGCTCTGGTCTGGTCTGGTCTGGTCTGGTCTGGTCTGTTTGCTTCTCCCATGGCGTGGCATGGCATGGCTAGCATGCCTGCTTTGCCCTGCAGCGTCAAAGTTCTGCTGTGGCCATCCATGCCCTACCCATGCCCTACCCATGCGCTTGCCCTGTCGGGCCGTGGAGTGGAGTGGCTGCGACTCTTTTCCCATCTTGCGCCGTCACACCCCTGCTCATTTCTACTTGGTACACATCCAGACATACTTGTATCCCTGCACAACCTTATGCATTCATTCCCTGCTCGTGGACCAGTGCTTGCAGCAGCTAAATCTAAAGAGAGCCACTATGTGATGCATCAACTGGGATTGTGGACCACTAGATCCTGCTAAGATCCACCCCCCAGCTCAGATCCCTGCTATCCACCAGCCATTGATCAGTCTGGGGTCGTGCTCAGGGAACAGGGATAGACGGCTACAGTAGTGCTGCTCGAGAAACGTCACTTGCCGAGCTGCAGGGAGAAACAAGAATGCGATGCGATGTGATAAGCCGGGTGCATGCGAACAAACGACCACATTACTTCCAGTCAGCCCGTGCAGTGTTTGCGACAGTAAGGTACCGACGACGACGACGAGGACAGGAGATCTGAATAGCTTATATCTAATTCTAGCTTGAAGGGCTGGGAGCGGAGGAGACAGGATAAATCTGCGGTGTTCTCAACTGTGTGCAACGGTCAGATCTTCGCCTATCATGCTCGTGTGATAGAGTTCGGGCCAGACGTCTCTTATCGAACCTCACTCTCCATCACCTCGACTCCAACACTTGATGGCATACGGAACAACAATGTCGAGGTCGCCTTCTTCCTCGGGTCTGCTCCCTATACCTGGATCTCCTGGTTCATCGTGGGCAGTATACAAAGCTAGGCTGGGAGCGCTGTTTCAAGGCGCGGATACATCAGTGGTCGTTGCATTCTGGCTATTTGGTACTTCCCCCTCTGTCTCCCGAAATATAGTACTAACCTCTCCAGGTCTTATTAATAATGTCTCCTACGTTATCATCCTATCCGCTGCCCTCGACCTCGTTGGTCCCTCCGTCCCCAAAGGAGTGGTCCTCCTCGCCGATGTCCTCCCATCCTTCCTCACCAAACTCATCGCACCATACTTCATCCACGCAGTGCCATACTCCCTCCGAATAATCATTATGTGCGGTCTATCCGCGGCAGGAATGTTTCTTATCGCCCTCACACCATCCGTTCTCACAGGTGGATCCATAGGCATAAAGTTGTTTGGTGTAGGAATGGCATCTCTATCCAGCGGCGTAGGTGAACTGAGTATGCTGGGCTTAACACATTATTACGGCCCATTTTCTCTCGCAGCTTGGGGTTCAGGAACCGGAGGAGCAGGGTTGATAGGAGCAGGTCTCTATGTGCTGCTCACCAACACCATCGGATTGAGCGTACGGAACAGCTTATTAGCATGTGCTTTCCTCCCCTTCATAATGCCTCTGGCATTCTTTCTCATCCTGCCCCAAACGCCCCTACGCAGGGCCTCCTTCAACAAAGACTACACCGCCATCCCTCGAGTTTCAATCGACGACTCCGACATAACCTCCCTCCCGACCTCCTCCGCGGCCGAAGCCCTCCTCGCACCCGGCCCATCCACCGTCTCGGAAGCCTACACATCCCACTCCCGCCCCGGCAGCCCACCATCCGGAGCCCAGCACCCCTCTCCAAACACCAAACCAACATTCAAACAGAACCTCGCCCGCACACGCGCCCTCTTCTTCCCGTACATGCTCCCCCTCCTCCTGGTCTACATCGCCGAATACAGCATCAACCAAGGTGTCTCACCGACGCTCCTCTTCCCGCTAAAAACCACCCCCTTCACCGCCTACCGCTCCTTCTACCCCCTCTACGCCTTCCTCTACCAACTCGGCGTATTCATCTCCCGCTCCTCCACGCCCTTCTTCCGCCTCCACAACCTCTACACGCCGTCATTCCTACAAATCGGCAACCTCGCCCTCCTCATCCTGCACTCCATTTACTTCTTCATCCCTACCGTATGGATTATCTTTCTAGTGGTGTTCTGGGAGGGCTTGCTGGGTGGGGCGGTGTATGTTAATACGTTTGCGGAGATTATGGAGAGTGTGCCTGTGGGGGATAGGGAGTTTAGTCTGGGGGCCACGAGTGTGAGTGATAGTGCGGGGATTTGTATTGCGAGTTTGATCGGGATGGCTATTGAGGGGAGGTTGTGCGAGGCGAATGTTAAGAGGGGGAGGCCGTGGTGTAGGGATTTGGATTTGTGATCTTCGGCGAGATGAGGTGGGAATAGCAAGATAAGGAGGAAGTGACGTTCCTGCTCAAGGGAGCTGGCACAAGATCTATGAACAACGAATCATTTGCAGCATCTGGCGTGAGGAGTTCCAAGCGGCATTAAGCAATTAGATACATATACGTACAGAAAGGGGACAGCGAGTCCAATTCACAAGATGCAAAAAGGCCCCTGGTCCATTCCATGTACCCCATACAGATATTTTCATTTTCATTTTCATCGTCCAGCAAACTCTCCCATAACCCCTCACGGTAGCCAACGACTCCCAAATTCTTATTCTTATTCTTATTCTTATCTGGAAGTCAATCAGGGCGCCACACTTTTCTTTCCCTTTTTGGATCCATAAGTTAGCTGTTATCTTTGATTCTCTAACACAAGTAAGACTCACGTACGTATATATACATATGCACACTCTAGTTACTCCAAAAAAAAAAAAAAAAAAAATCCAGAAACGCTGTGGATTCCAATCAAGAACATCTCCATCTCCATCTCCATCTAAATCAAAGCTCAAGCTACAGCTAGCCACCACAGTCTCTATTTTCCTTTTTCTTTTCCATTTCCATTTCCACATCCAGGGATTGATTTCATGCCACCTCCGGGATAGTGAAAGTCGTGTACACAAAGAACGCGCACACAAAGCTCTTAGATCAGATCCTAATTTGAATCGATATTAGCCCTTTGAATATTTAAGCTATCCCACAAAGATAGATAGATAGATGGATAAAACATACCGATACCGCAACACTTCGACACTAGGTATATCTCGTATCTTTCAAATCCTACTTTTTACTTGCGGATTGGAGTTCACAGAAGAGAAGGTTGATATGATAGTATCTTGCTTTACAGTCAGTAGCCGTGGTGGGTGAGGCCGGCAACTTTGGTGATAAGGCGAGATCGGAATGACTTCGATCATGTTATCTTAAATCGGACCTCCTTTCTTGTTGTAAAGGCACTCACTCAATGAATGGTTTCGTGATTAAACCTCTCCGAGTCGGTGGTATACAGGGAAACGAGCTGCGTCTCCAGCGCCTTCTCGCCTGAGTGATTTTTCTTCTGTCTTTTTCATTTTTCATGAGATCCCTCCTCCTCCACCCAGCCATAAGTTGATAGCTCACTCGTGAATCTTGTAGTTGAAGGCAGGCTCGACTCACTTGGGCTTTGCCCCTTGCCGCATCTCCATAGGTATATGAAAAGCTTTCCAGCTCTGCATGCTGCATGAGCGTCTCAGCCAAAGACACACTTCCACCGACAAGATGCAACTTTCCCACTCCTGGCCTTAGAGTCTCAACATACACCAACTCCTTTTCCCCGCCACTCCTCAAAGTCGCCTGTACTCCTATTCCGTCCATCCATCCACCCAAAGCCCCCTAAGCCAGAGCAAGCGTTCTCAAAACGCCGACTCGTTCCGTACCCGTCCTTCCCTTCCCTGAGCACGAAAACCGCTCAGCAACCAACAGCAATAGCGCTCGCAAAGCATAATTAGCATCATTCCCCGAAGTATGAAACCCCTCGACATGACATCCCAGTCGCGCCAGCACATTCTTCAATTTGAAATCTCCTCTTTTCGGCTGCTGCTCTTCCATAACCATGACACGCTCAGCCAGCCTCGCTGTGTCGATGATGCCCACGATGGAGGTCTCCATATCAAAGCCAATTTCTCGCAGCACCGTCAGGTCTGGTCCGAATCCATGACCGACGAGTACGATATTGCGGGAACGATCTATGATGCTTTCAATCTTCGGATGAAGTCCTGCTAGAGATGAGAGCCATGTTGTTTCGCCGAACAGGAATCGCTTTTCCTCGAGTCTTCGTTGAGATGGACAGCCGCCGACGCCGATATTGTATGTTTTGAAAGAAGCTGTTCTTGGTTCTGGGAGTTCTGAAAAATCTCTTGTGTCGAATATTGATACTCCGACTGATACTCCTCTTGGTTTACTGTCTAGCCTCACTGCTCTGATGTTATCCACAATGGCATTTGTGCCTCCGAAGTCGATGGCGACAAAGACGACATCTTGATGGTTTCCAGGTCTGGGTGGACCGAACAGACCCACTATTTGTCGTTATTAGTTACATATTGAAATCCCAGATAGTGCACATTAAATGACAAATGACAACTTACAAGTGTCCCATGCAATATATTCGGTCGTTGAAGCGCAGTTGTGAGGTTTTGAAAGAGGGATGTGCTGTTTTTGGGAATAAATTGTGCGCCAAAGGAGTGGCATAGATTCGAGTCGCGACTCTTCTTGGAGGAAATGTGGATACATAGCGTTCTTGGTGGATCCGTGAATTGTTCAGCGCTGGATAGATTTCCTTGGTTGATTCGAATTAATATGATTGTAGATATCCTCGATGCTTGCCCGATGTGCGTGCTGACCGAAGCGAGTGTGATGCAAACTATAGGAAGAATGGTGAACGGCTTCTTGCTAAGTCTATTCAATTGTTAGCTGGAATCAAAATAGCTAGTACGGAAAGGTGTAGCTGAAGCTAGCTTTGTTGAGCCGCCTGCCTGCTATAAGTGTGTACTAGGGCAGGATAAATGGTGGTGATTCACCCAGCAGTGAACGGTCCCAAAGTTATTTTTTCGTGTATACCTATGCGACATCGCACCTAGGCAGATAGGGATAGGACGGGAGATCTGTGAACAATGAGTCATGCCGCTAGAGTACATCGACTGGCTACCTACTTACATATACACATGTCTGGTCCATGTTCAGGCGGTTCTCTGATTCCAATATCGATCGCACCCACGGTCAAGTGATGAGTGCGAGAAACTGTTCCAGTGACGCTGGCTCTGCTAATTTATTCAGGTAGACAGATATAGATGCTCCTCAGAAGTTCCAGCAGCATCTTACTACTTGGGTAGGCGGCTACTGTAAGCTAGCGCCACCACGCTAGCGTGGCAGGTGCCTTCTCAATCTGTCAATGCAACAGTACCTACCACCCAACCTTCCTCCCCCCAGAGTCTTATTAGGTTTATCAGAGAAAAAAGAGAGATTTCCGCCACCACAACACATTCAAGAGGAGTTGGTGCAGTGGTAGCATACCCGGTTAACCCTTGGCCACCAGCGAGCGATCTATTATTAACGCCGTATGGGGGTGAGGTCGGGAGACGGAGCGTTCGATTCCTCCACTCCTCACGCAATAGTTTTTTTTTTTTTTTTTTGAATAAATTCACCTAAATCCGAAGTCTCAATCCTGGTGGTTGTGATGCTCACCGGATTATCTCTTTACTTCTCTGTGTTGTGTCCCGAATGCTAGAGTGGGTTTTGTCTTGGCGTTGGATATTCTGAGGAAGGAGCGACGGTCGTCGAAAAGGACAAGGAAACCTGCATGGATATCATGATTATGCAGCCAGTAGGTAACCCATCACAATCAGAATCTTGGTGGACGGGCGGATATTTTCCCAGACAGCAGTGGCAGACATTGGATTGCATTTTGGGAACACTCTTGGGCCGGAAGTGACTCGGCTGATGGTCAGCTCGGGAGAGGAATGAATGGGCATCATAGCGACGGTTCTAATGTTAGGAAAGGGATGTTGTAAGACTCGTGCATTTTTCTACGTATGCAAGAGTGGGCAGAGAGAGTAGAGCACAGTTCTAGTTCCTCAAGCTTTTGTGCGGTTTGGATGGTTTATGGTATCTTTGAGGTCAAAAGAACTTCTGTGTTCACTATGAAAGAGTCTTTCTCGCTGCACATTTCTGTAATTTGGATGTACAGTACGTTTCGATGACGAGCGGGGGGAATGTAAACAAACATTTCGCTTATGAGAAGTTTCCTCCTAAATGAGCCGAAATGTTTCATTTGTACCATTCACTTTCTCAAATGCTAGATTCTGCCTTACTGGATTCACATCGGAGTCTCCGCTGGTCAAGATACTGCCAGTTGGCTCGATTCAAACGGAGTGCACTGTCCGGGAAGTAGAAGATCGTCACGTGATCGCACTTAATCGCTGCACTGATATCATGCTTGAGATGAAACTCACCAGCAAGTAGGCGAGAACTACATGAACAGAAGCAGTGATAGATCCGCATTTTCGAGTGCTATTCTTTGATCTTGCTTCGTTTCTTGGGTTTATGCTCTGCCACTCTGCTACCTGTAATCTGGAAGCGTATTTCGCCGAGTGACTTGCCAGCTCGCGTGGAGGTAACTGCCTCTAAATTTTGGCTCTATATCTCTACCTCGCTCGAAAATGGAACCCATTCAATCCCTTCATGATATGTTGACTACTCTTTCTCTTTCTGCTCTACACAAACCCCCTGATCCTCGTATTGCCACCAGACGCGCACCTACGTGCAAGTAAGCAAGCATCGAAGGTCAGGCGGGAAGGGAAACAGCGCAAGACTTAGTGTGGTGAGGAAGGCACACTTTGACTCTACAAAAGCGTTATAGTAAGCTCTGACTGCTTGATTTGATCTTTCATGCATCGGAATTCCGGGTATTTATAGCTCCGTCCGGTACCCCACGTGTATGTACGCAATTATGAGAATGGAGAAGAGTGGGTTTGATTTCAATGAATCGAAAGCAACCTTTGGCAATCCGCAATAGTCCTACGCCACCTTCACACTCACTTCATGTCTATTAGGACCCCTTTTAATGTATTACAGACACTCTATACCTTGTTCGACGCTCCATTGCCCTCGTTGCGAAGGATTTCCTGGATTTGAGAACATGGATAATAAGGAGCGGCTTCATAGATCGAGGTGGTCTTGGTCAGAACACACCTACTCAAACATTAGGTAGTCCGTAATAAATGGACGACTAAGAACATCCTTGTCGGCTGCAAAACTGTGCAGGTCATGATCACAATCCGTCTCAAACGAGGCTTGCGCATAGCTCGGCCTTGGAACGAGGTGTCTCTTTGGAGAGTGTCTACTACTTAGGACAACAATCAAGGAGCCTAGATCTGGCAAGGAAGGGTAGATGTGGCGAAGTGCGGATAAACTACTTAAACACCACCGGAGAATAATTATCCTGTTTCTTAAGAAGAACGACGGGGAAGAATGTTGTGAGATGGTTTTGGGGGCGGGGACCGTGGGGGCGCGGGGAGGGCAAAGAAGAAATTGAGAGGAAACAGGTTTGTGCTAAGATGTTGAATTCACTACAATTTCAGACTCTCTGTTTCCTTCAGATAGAGCTTCTCCTAATCACCTATCTCTTTCTGGGACGAACTCCCCCTTTGATTGCTGGCAATGTACCAGGCGCTGTGGCCGTGGATGTTAGTCGGCTAGACTTCATTCGCAGTGCCTCCGACGAGTGATTGGTGCATTCCATGGGTGAGGTTAGGTACCTATCTTACCTAGGTATCCGCTCAGCCCTAGGCCCCACAAATCCTATGCGCTCGATCCTTCAAGTCTCGTTTCCAGTGTCCGCGGAAGGTAGCCGGGAGCTAGAGATGCAGCATACTTGGTGTTGTTTTATTAAGAGCCCTCCTAACAGAATTTGGGTGAGTATTCCGTTAATGTAGACATGTCTCTTGCGGTAGCAACGGAATCAAAGCTTTCACATCCTACTCAATTATTGCTTTACTTTGAAGTTTCAGTGCATCTCAAATTGAATCGAGAGCTTTGATACTAGAAACGTGGGAGAGGGATTAAAGCATAAATATCTAGTCACTTGTCGTAAGTGACTTCCCCTATTCTGTAATCAATTCTCTCTGGGTGCGCTTCTCCACGAGAATACCACCGAGTACCCAGGTATCAACCACCTATTAGCACTACGACTTTTAAGGAAGGCGCTGATTGACAAGCCTGTGGTGCTGACTGCGTGATGACACGCATATGCATGCCCACCAATTAACGAGCGGTCCGAAAGCGAAATATACGTGTCCCCCACTGCAGTAGCTATGAACTCTCCCCCACGGAGGCGCAGGGTAATTTAACACTTTTGGAAAGACTCCCATATCAACCTCGACGGAAGAATTCTGCCTATATGAAGCTGCGTGGCGTGGCGTGGTTCTTGTAATGGTTCCCAAGAAGGCATCAGCCTCCAGCCTTGGCAAGTGATGATAGAAGTTTGTTTGGCTCGCTTGCCAGCATCTGCCAAGCGACGTCCATGTGTACATCCAGGGGTACCTAAGTACATTACCCCTAAGCGCCAGAATCTCATCCAGATGTTTGAGGCTCTTTGAGAGTGTCACTCAGACAAGACTTCAACCAGTCTAAAAAAGGCTTCCTCAGCTATTTGGAAAGCTACTTTTTACTTTGCGCAGTATTCTAGGAATAGCCAGTTTACGTTTTCTGAATGTAACTGGAGAACCATCGCGTTTTATCGTGCGTTATTAACATGATTCAGATTGTAACTAGCTATTGCTACTAGATATTCTGTTCCTTGGAAGTATCTTGGCCACATAATGAAGAAAGAAAGAGCTTCCTCATCGGGAATATACCGAGGCGGCGCTCGAATCAGCAAATATTCCGGGAATTGCTGCCGTCCATGGAAATGTTTCCTGTTTGCATGTCGCTTACTTGTTGATTTACTTCCTCTGCTTATCAGCAAGTCTTATTCGAGATATTGTTCCTTGGCTTGCGCTGCTACCTGTTACTAGAGGGGTAGATTTTAAGGAGAGACGATCTAGGAGATATACGTCTACAGAACCACAGGAACGTCTTGGAAGGTGGAGGCATAAAATTTCTATATAATGGCCTCTTCCCTTCAGTTAAGACTCACTTCTTTACCATCATCAGACACTTTCATCTCTCTCTCCCCTCACTCACATACACACAATACAATACACAAACCTCAAACATCTACCCAAATCGTCCCCAACTACCTCCACCATGCGCATCAACGTACTTTCCACCCTCTCTCTCCTCGCCACCGCAACCGTTACTTACGCAGCTCCTGCTCCTGCTCCTACTCCAGCTGCAGACACCACCACCAGTCTACCAATCCCCACCATCAAACAAACCCTTCAAGACTTCGAGCAGTAGCAGCGCGTCAGTAAGTCAGCCTACTTGACTTCATCTTCACTTCCCTCAATTTCAAGTTCAAATCAAGTCCACAACCCCAAACTCACACAACTGGTTGTACTAGAGTGCAAAGAACCCTGGGTAGAATGCAAGACCAATTGCTATACCAGCGGAGATGTGTTTGAGAGTCTGGCGTGTCTTATTGGTTGTGATATCCTTTGGTGTACGTAAGATGCTTGAGGAATTTATAGAAGGGGAGGGGTAGGTGGGTACGCGGTGGTTTTTGGAGCATACGGTAGGTGATGGAGGGGAGGGGGGGGGGGGGGGGGTCAATGGTAGGGAGGAGAGCTAATCACTTCGCTTACCCCTTAGGGGAACTTGTTTGTAGGTAAACAGACTTGGGTGGATTTTGATGTACTGTTTGAATGCTTAGAGAGGCGATCCCGACTTACATGCTGGCTTTGGACTTTTGTTTGGTTGACTAATCGAACAAATTTTCTCGGCTCTACTACTGCACTACTGCATGCTACGGCATGCTACGCTCCAAGTCTGTGATGAGGTCAGTCATGTGACTCTTCAAGTCGCTCTTGTGTCAATGCTGGAAAGCTGCATTTCCGGCTTGGGTAGGTAAGCACTGTTTTTATTGAAAAGAGTGATAGTCTTTTATTCTCACTTTTCTTTCTGGCATTTACCTGTTTCGTGGTCTTCTGCGCTCTACCAACGTCCATGTCGCGCAAAGCATGTTTGCAGCGTGGCTGACCTGCTGTGTTGGCTAAACTCTTCTCTCTGCACCTTCAACCCCCATACTAATTCCCAATCCCATCTTCATCTCTCATCCCATCACAGAAACTCCCTAATCTTCGGCAAATTCACCAACGCACTAACCCCATACCTGGCCGCCTCATTCGTCGTAATCCACTTCGCCTCCTCCCCACCACCATCCCCAGTCTTCTCAATCGTCCAGTCATGATCCCTCCCATACCCATCACTCCCGAACTCCTCCCATGCCTTCCTCGCAATCTCCTCGCTCTTCTCTTCAACAGCCACGAAAGCAGTAAGAGTCGAATGACTCTGCCTCCAAGAATCGTCAAGTCCCACATCAAAAACAAACCCGAACTCCTTGAGTTGTGTTTCCGGACCGGCATTATACGCTCTACAATAAGGCAGCCAAGTATTCTCCTTAAAATCTTGAACCACGTCTCTACAATCCGCATCCTGAGCCGCATAATCCAACACCTCCCCCACAATCTCCGGAAAGCCAAACAACATACTCAAATGCGAGATCGCATGATCCGGCGTCGGCGGCGGAGCAGGTCTCACCTCCCCCGTAGAAGGATTCAACAACATGGCATTACTCCCAATCCCATGCGGCAGGGCCGTAATCCCGGCAAGGAGTTTGACGAGCAAGGATTTACATTTCTCCCAGCCTTCTGAACGACGTTCCCAAGCCGTAAGCCAAGCTGACATTAGTGGGCCGCAGTCGAGTCCTATATTCGCCATCGCGAAGCCCGGGGGTAGGGCGTGCGTGTCTTTGGCTTGGACTTTGCGGTGGGCGTCGAGGGTTAGGAGGGCGGCTTCGGAGGTGGAGAGGGAGGAGATGATGGAGCCGATTCGCTCGTCGCCGGTGAGGTAGTAGTAGATTCGGCGGAATAGGACGGAGGATATGCGAAGTTGTTTGCTTGAGTCGCTCCAGTGCTGGACGCCGTGCCGTGTTCCGAACCCTTTGAATCGTCCGGAGTGATAGATGTCGACTTCGAATGTATGTTGTGTCATTGCCTCAGCGATCTTGAATACGTCTGCACGACTGGTATGTAGGAAGTACAGCCAGAGCCAGAGGTCAGTAGAGAGTTCACTGTTGTCCCAGGCGAAACCGCCGACATCGTACCGCCACGCGTGCCGGTGCGGATCGTACGTGTGTTGGATGTCGCCGTGGTCGAAGAACCCATACCAGCGCTGTTGGGAGATTTGGTTTGCATAGAAGGAGAAGAGGGTTGACAGGTTAGATCCGATATCCTTTTCGCCTTCATTAGGCGAGGAATTTGATATCTCATGTGAGGGCGACCAGCTGCCGTGGAACACGCCGGTGCTATGCATGTGCCCTGCTTCTGGGACGAGACGCGGTGGATCTCTTACTAGGGAGGAGAAAGCTGCGAGGTCCTGGTTGGAAGGTGTTGCTGTGTACGGTTTTAGAAACAGCGAATTCGTCCTTGCGATTCCATTCGCAGTGCTGAATCCAGGCTCGTGGTCTTCATACGTCACATCCAATCCTGCCAATTGCTTGGGATACGTATCCATTCCCAGTCCATCATGAAACGGTCTCGTATCCAGTGGCTCAGCAAGTGGCGAGTACAACCAGACCGTCATTTCACCCACGTCTTTTGTCAGTCCGCTCAGGTCAAGCTGCGTCGGATACCGTTCCCAGAAGTTCGACATCCCAACTGCAAGCCCGCCTTCGCTGGCTGTTCCTACATAAGCAGTTCCATCTGCTCTTCCTCCACCTGTCACTTTCACCCATGCGCATTCCTCTTTCGTTCTTTTCTTGACGGTAAATCCATCGCTTGATAATTGAGAGAGTGTGTATGCGTCCCACGTTGGGACGAAACCTAGAGCACTGTGCTTATCCGCTCCTGTTTTGAACTTCACCCATTCCTCTGCTTTCAAAGTCACGGGTTTGCCGTCTGTCTGATCGATGCGATTCTGTGTCGTTGGTCCGTATCGTAGGCCGGAGAGGCCGAGCATTTCTTCGGAAATGAGAGAGCTGTTTGACGTTCCGAGTCGGATATGGCGGTTATACATCTCTGAGCCTTTCAACGGGACGCTGAATTTGAGTCCGAGACTAGTTAATGGTTGAGAGGCTTCAAGATCGTGGATGAATGAGTGGATAATTTTGAGGGTGGAGGAATGCTGATGGATGTAGAGGCGGACGTCGAATGGGAGATGTTCTTCTCCTGATTTGGAAATCGTGGCACCTGAAACTTTGATCACGATGCGAGAAAATGTTGCATTCTCTACTATCACAGACTTGGTTTTGGTTGTGTAGTGCTGGTTGTCGATTGAGGCAATGATGGTTGCGCCTGTGGAGACAATCCCCCCTTCAAATGCAAGTTTTTCAAACAAAAAAGCACTTCCAGGTTGTGAGAGCTCCAGCTCGAGGCCTGAGGTAGTTGTGATTTTGTTGTTGTTGACAGACATCACATCTCCTTGTGGTTCAGAAGACGCTTCGACAGTGTACGAATCCGAATATCCAACATCTCCAGCAACAGAATGAGCAGTCCATTTCAGCGATCCATCCGGCCAAAATGCCGTTTCTCGACTGTCAAGCGAGTATGAATGGCCAGCATCGCCCGTGATTGCGAAGTGTTGTCCGGACCGGTGGACACCTCGAGCCCATGGCATGCCGAATGAGATCCCGTGAGACAGGCCATCCTTACTCGGTTGAAGCCATTTGAGATTGTTGGGTGCCATTGTTTTACAATATCATAAGGTCGTCCTTGGTGCGATATTGAGGTGGAGATAATCAGGTGGACTTAGTGAAGTTCCAACGTGAAGTCCGGCTTTGTTGGAGTCCTGACGTTTCCGTTCGCTTCGGCTTTCCACGCTGAACCACGACAATGCCTTAACAACAATTCAGACTTTTTGGTCTGCCCATCCACTTGATACTCACATATTCAATATGTATCATTTCAGATCTGTCATGACACCAACATAACGAAAGCCGCCAAGAATGGGAATTCTTTCCCACGTGACATCGCTTTTCATCACTCCGACTCGGTGCATTTGACCCCGGCTTATTCAGTCTTTTTCCCCATCCCCCACATCATTTCCTTGACTGGAGTCATGGAGAATGGAGGAAAGGGGCTTGATCTCGGTAAGGCGGAAGAAAGAAAAGTATTATTTGAAACTTAGTCTGCGGCGTGGGGGGACATGACGAGCTTACCAATAAGATCTGATATCAGGAATGGGGAAAGAGACGAGATAAAGAAATTTCGTCCATTTCATTTTGAACCCTCGAGAACTTGATAGATCTATTTCAGCAACATATAATTGGGCGAACAGACGAATCGCAAAGGCTACCGAGCCTAATAGAAAAATGCTTGAATACCTTACTCGCCGTCTCCCTGGATTCCTTGGAGAGCTTGTCATGTCACTCGATATCCCATGGAATTAAAGTCCTATTCACAGCATGCATCTCGTCCCTTTTCCTAATTGGCAGCATCTTGGCCTTGTCATTCCCGCGTCAGATCTCCACGCCTCTTTCCGCCTCATTCTCACAAAACTCCGGGTTTAGTATAATCAAGCCAGCAGCCAAGGCAAGTTTGAAGCCCGCCAAGCAAACGCCAAAAGGTTGACTCCACGACATTTCGGCAGACTTTTACCCAGGAAAACAAGGAGTTCCCGCACATCCCGGCTCTAACCCCCCATCAAGAACTTTGAACGAGTGCAACCCCCCACCACAATCCAAACAAAGCACCTTTAGCGAGCAACTACGGTGTATCATTCCCCCAGGAAAACGAAAACCTGTTTGATACCCCACATTTGTACATTGGGGGTTTGACGACAGGAGGAGGGCCCCGGATTGCGTTTTCAGGGCAAAGAGTATTCGGCCCGGGGTAATGCGGGGTCTGGAGTGTTGTGAGAGGTTGAGAGAACCTTCCGCAGAACGGGAGGAGGGTTTTGGTGATGCACGCCATGGCTTACACGAGGGGATGCAATTTATCCTCCAATATAAATTGTTCTTGGCGAGATAGCTAGGATGGCATTTGGGTCCCGACGGACTGGTGCAGAGGGGATATATCAGAGCTCCGGCTCCTTCTTCCGAATTAAATTTTTTTGAAGAGGGACAGAAGGGAGTTTTCTGCCGGAAGGACCCTGATCGACATCTTACGACAATTGAGAAATTCTTTAGTGGCACTTGGGCAACACTCCTTCCTTCTTCTATACAGACGACGAACGGCGATAAGCTGATAAGTCAAAATGGCTGATATGAGGGAGAAGACCGAGACGGACGTGGACCGTCAGTCTGTGACGAAGATCCAGACGAAAGAAGAGGACAGACATATTGAGGAGGCATCGGATGTATTGAAAGGAGCACAGCAGGCGACCGATGGAGAGCATACTATGGGTATCATGGAGGGGTTGAGGAAATAGTAAGTCAAGCCCCCCAGTTCCATACCAGTTCTTGTTATCATCCCACTGTCAAAACCTCCATACTGACTCAACCCTTTCAGCCCCGCAGCATGCGGCTGGTCCCTCCTCTTCTCCGCCGCCCTCATAATGGAAGGTTTCGACAAAGCTTTCCTCACAGCCTTCTTCGCCTTCCCGGAATTCCAAAAACGATACGGCTCCCTCACCGCCGACGGCACATATCAGATCCCCGCCTCCATACAAGCAGGCGTAACCAACGGCGTCAACGCAGGCCAAATCATCGGTCTCATCATCAACGGCTGGCTAGCCGATCGCTTCGGCTACCGCTATGTCATGCTCGGATGCCTGTTCTTGATGTGCTGCTTCATCTTCATGCAATTCTTCGCTTCCAGCATTTACATGTACATGGGCGCAGGAGTCCTCTTGGGCGTGCCCTGGGGTGTGTTCCAGACGATTACTACTACCTACGCCTCGGAAGTGACCCCGAATGTCTTGCGTGTATACCTCACTTCCTTGGTATCCATGTGCTGGTCCATTGGGTACTTGACAGGCACATGCTGTCTCCGCGGCTTCCTCCAAATGAAAGGACAATGGGCATACCGCATCCCATTTGCTCTCCAATGGGCACTTCCCATCCCCCTCGCAATAGGAATCTTCCTCGCGCCAGAATCGCCCTGGTGGCTATACCGCAAAGGGCAGATCGCCGACGCCGAGAAATCACTGCGCAGACTACAGACCAAGGTCCCGGAAGAAGAACTCGCTAATACCCTGAAGATGATGGAGTATACTATCAGCATCGAACGAGAAATGGACACCACATCCTCCTACTGGCATCTCTTCAAGGGCACCAACCTCCGCCGCACGGAAATCACAATCCTGACTTACGTCGTACAAGAGCTCTGCGTCCCGCTCGTATCCTACATCGTCTACTTCCTGCAACAAGCCGGCCTACCCACCGACATGGCCTTCAACTTCGCCATCATCCAATACAGCCTGGCCATCATCGGCGTCTTCGTCGCCTGGTTCCTAGTCGTCAAGTGGGGACGGCGCACACTCATCCTCTGCGGCACATTCTTCATGATGTCCACTTCCTTCCTCATCGGCTTCATCGGCATCGGAAACACAAACAAACACACCAACCTCGCCTACGGCATCGGCGTCATCCTCCTCGTCGAATATTTCGTCTTCTTCTGTACCTGTGGCCCGATCATCTATACCGTAGTCACTGAAATCCCGTCCAACTCGCTCAGACAGAAGAGCGTGGCGCTGGCAAGAGCAGCGTATAATGTCAATGTTCTGATCTACGGACAGCTTGTGCCGAGGATGGTGCAGAGGGCGGCGTGGGATTGGGGCGCGAAGTCGGGATTCTTTTATGGGGGGTGTATGATGTTTGGGTTGGTGTGGGCGTTTTTTAGGTTGCCGGAGACGAAGGGGAGGACGTTTGCGGAGATTGATATTTTGTTTAAGAATGGGGTTAGTGCGAGGAAGTTTAGTAGGACGAAGGTTGATTTGGCGGGGCAGAGTACGAGTGAGGAGGGGGAGGTTAAGGTTTGAGTGGGGGGGGGGGGGGGGGGGGGGGGGGGGGGGGTTGGTGTTTGATGATGAGAGGGAATCAAAGTATTTTATTTTAAATAGAGAAGGATCAAATCAAATGAATGAGAAATGATAATAATATCTATATATCTGACCTCCCATCTTGACATTTGTCTTCTTTCTCCTGAGCGTCTACATGTCTCAAGAACAGCGGCCAAGAAGGCAAAACATCGTATCCAAGCCCCCTCGATAATCCTCTCCGATCATTTATTGTCAGAAAATGAGAAGTACAGTAACTTTCCTAAACAAAAGAACAGAGAAGGTGCAGATCATAAGCAAAGAAAGAGCTGTAAAGAGAATTTCGTTCATCATAGACAACTATCAAACTTTAACTTATCAGTAATAATACATTTTAGCCTTTAACACAGCAAGACCATTCCGACTGCGAGTTGGTTGGAAGTCGAGTATAGGGGTTTGTCCGACGCAGCATTGGTGTTTGGGTTTGGCTGCTGAGCCGAAGAATGGAGCGGTTCATACCTAGGTGGGGAGGAAGGTCTTGCTGGAGACGCTTAGAGTCTTAGAAAGTTGTACGGGTGGCATTTGATATCTTAAGAGACTGTCGAAACCTTGTCTGATCAAGGTTTGTGTGGAGAAGTGTTGCTGGAGAGTAAGTGCTTCGTGCTGGCTGGGTCAGGGATATTGAAGGCATGGCATGTGCTGATACAAGAGTGAAAAGAGTCAGGTTGAGAAGCGACCATGTGATGAGAAAGGGCTCTCGTCTAGTAATCTGAGGATTGTAAGAATACTATTAGAAGCCAGAAGTAGACAGGGGGTGGTCCATCGTCTTGGAAGCCATTAGCTAGCAACTTTCTGCTGTAGAGAGCCATCGATTATCAAGCATTAGTTGTCACTTAACGGCAAACTAGTGTAGCAAATATTGATATGTTTGTGGGTATCACTCATTCTAATCCCGAAGCAACATCACTGCCAAGAGCCACACTACCCTTGAGTGCTTCAAGCTCCAACCCACCGAAGTGGAGGCTCAAGACCTACCTGATGACATCCCCTTCCTTGTCTATACCTTCCAATCCCTCAAGAATGTCGCTGCCACCCAACAACCCCTCTCCGCCCACGGTTGCCTTCTGCCCAGCAGCCCAGACTTCGTGAAACTTTACGCTCTCATCACTCGAGGCTACAACAATGCAGCCTTCAGTAGCAGTCCGGCTCAAGCTACGAACTCCCTCCCTACTTGTCTGGCTCTGGCTTTCATTGGGGCCTCCTGGATATGAAATCGCATACAATGCACGATGCTCTCCCTCCCAAGGAATTGCTGCAACTTGTTTGCATTCTGGCCACGAAAAGACTGCAATGCGGTATGGATGTTCTGGTTGAGCATAACCAAACGTGGCGACGATTTCTCGGCGAGTGGTTGACCAGATCAGCGAAGTTACTTGAGCAGCAACGCTGATTGTCGCAAGGCATGTCCCAGATGTGGTGTGGAAGAAATGTATACACTTGTCGTTACTTCCTCCTCCTGTTGCAACCAGGCCGTCACGCCATGGACAGAACGCAATTGCTTTGACAGCGGCACCATGAATCCAGCGATGCTTCTCGGCACCAGGCTTGATCTCTTTCACTCCACCTCGCCCAGCAAGAGTGTGGACACGTCGGGTTCCATCAGCGCCTATGAACACCTCTTCGAGAGCTTGAGCCTCCTCTCGAGTTCTGTGGAGTATTTCGCTTGTTCGGAACAAACAACAGAGGTTGTCATTACCACCAGTAGCGAGGAGACTACCATCACACGAGAATGAGAGGCCACATATTTGCTGGGAGTGGACTGAGATACGTGCGAGAAGAGTCATAGATCCGGACCAGCCATTGCGAGAGACCTCCCAGCTCTGCGGCCACTCCACTGAATAGTAGTAGACATTTCCAATTTCGTCGCCAACAAGAAGATCTTCTGCTTGAACGGATATGTTGGGGGTTAGTGGACATCGTGACGGACGTGTCGTAATCTGCGGTCTCCACGTGAGGCAGGCGATGGGAGACGGTTGCTGAACTTCAAACCGCGGTAGCATGCTGTCGTAAAGAGATACAAGATTCAAAGATCCATCAGACTTCCCAAAAGCAAGGATACTCTTCTTGCCTTGTGTTGAAGAGAATGCTAGAGATGTAAGCCATGACCCGTTAGTTGTCCCGCCATTGAGAAGATGAACGCCTTGCATTTCGGACCAAGCATACAACATAGATCCAAGCCCAACAGCAAGGGTATGGCATGTCTTTGAATATGCCAACACTGAGCAATAGAAATCATCTCGAAGATTGGGTGCATCTAACACCTTGAAAGGGGCTGATGGCAAGTTTCGAGAAACATCTGCTGCGGGTGTCTTGCGATCTTGACCGCCTAACACCCACTCAGTCCCCAGCCAAGATGTTTTGTGGTCTCTTGCAGCTGGGGATCCTTTCTCGTCCATAAATGCTTTCAGCGGTGAAGTCGAAGGATCTCGAAACTCGAACACTCTCCCAACTCTATCGAGTTCTAACGCTTCGGCAAGTCGATTCTCGTGTCTTTCTTTGTCTTCCTGAGCCCGAGGTTTTGCGGTGAAAGAAGTGGTATAGAGAGGTGCATTTGTCCCGCTTCCGATCAGTCCCCCTCGGCCATTTGAAACGCCGCTGACGGGAGCAAGGCCACCAACCCGCCAGATTGTACCTACACTGACTTGTCGTTCCCCATTAACGGCGGTAGGGTCTCGTTGAAAGGTCAAAACACTACCGCCACCACTTCCACTGCGATTGCCAGAGAAATTTCGCCGAGGCATGGGACGATTTGCGCTAGGTATTGGAGATGTCGCTCGCCGTCGGGGGTTGAAAGCATCCGGGCTTGCATCCTTGTGTCTCAGCAATTTCTCATCAGTAGTCAATGTTCGAGGATCCTTGCTGGTTCGGAAGCTTTCAACAGCCGAATCAAGAGTCGGTCGTCTTGGCAAGAATCTATCTGGACATCTAAGGGACCCTGTAGAGCTTGAACTTGCAAAAGCCTTCAACGACGGGCGACGACGATATCTGTTCGTTCGAGGACTTATCCGAGGTAGCGTCGATATTGACAGGGCTCTCTTCTCAGTATCGGAAGCGCCATCGTACTGGGCTTTGAGAGATCTTGGTTTTCGCAGCAGGAAGTCCGTCGCATCTACAAATCTCCGCCTAGGTACCTCTAACTCAACGGAGGAGGAGTTGCAATAGGGTATGTCGAAGAACTCGAGCACTGAATTGTAGTAGATGAGTATCTGCTACAACGCGAATGCTGCGAGCTCCTTACCCGCATCGTGCAAAGGTCTCTTCCCCAAATCATCTGGCCTTGACGATACGGAAGTATGCCAGACGTCATTGACTGATAAATCCGTCGTGTAATATCGTTTCCTGCAAGAGATTTTGCCACTTTTGGTCTCCATGCTGACTCGCAGAAAGACAGGATCGAGGAGGCTGACGATACACCACGACGGAAATTGTGGAATATCGACTCTTCTCTCTCGAAAGAAAAAAATAAGGAACGTCAAAGGAGGAGTAAAGATTGAATGAATACTGTTGAACAATAAAAAGAAGGGGTTCCGGACGGGTAGTTCTGTACAATCCTTGGTTCCAATGAGTGTTGACGCCAGCAAGGGCAGGCGGTAAGGCTCGAAAGTGATATTACTTCGGGATAATATAGCAGTACCGTGCTATCAAACGTTAGCAATACTGGAAGAGTTAGCATCTCATATCGTGTGGTTCGCTGGATACGAAGGAAGATAGGAGTAGGAGAGAAGATGAGAAACATCAAGGCCAAAGTAGAAAGGACGTCGCGCTTGCCAAGATCCGAGTCAGCGGATGCTCGGTTATCCGATTGCTGACTCGCCATATCTGAACTCCAACTCGAAGGAAGCAGGCATCACAACGAGCCCCTCCAGCTTCAATCCTTGGCAACCATAACTCCCAGTTGCGAACATGGCAAGCGTATGATACTTGCGACTCCGAAGATGAAGCTGGGCTGATCTCTGCGGCAGCATGGTGTCTCGCGAACAGCGACGACTGGTCAAAGAACGGACGAGCAGCGCATAGCGGAGCAGAAGGAGATCCTCAAGTACCAAGAGCTGGAGGAGCTGATCAGAGTGAAGGTAGGCTTGCTTGTGCATAGTCCATCCATCTGCTAACATCAGCCAAGGTCGCAGAACGGCAATACACACTCGAAGTTCTCGAACTTACCTCGAAGCTCCTCAAGAAGAACCCGGAATACTACACAATATGGAACGTCCGCAGACGTTTGCTAATTTATGGATTATTCTCCAAACCGTCGGATTCATCATCGCCCTCGACGGAGTCGCAGAATACTTCACCGAGCGACACTACCAAGGCCTCATCCGAAACTTCGTCGTCCTCTATATCCGCGCCACCCATGGCATCGACCACGACCCCGCAGAGCCTAAGCTCCCAGAATCATGGGAAGAATGGTACAACTCTTGACCTGATAAAGGCCGATCTGGAGTTTTTGTTTCCGATAATGGTGGAATACCCGAAATGCTACTGGCTGTGGAATTATCGGTTGTGGCTATTAAAGCAGGCGAACGAGCGACTGGATACGGACATTGCGAAGGAGCTCTGGAAACGAGAACTCGTCCTGGTGGGAAAGATGCTGGTTAGAGATAGTCGGAACTTCCACGGATGGGGCTATCGACGAATGGTCGTAGCTGAGTTGGAAAGCAAGAAGCTCGATGGGAAAAGCATGGTGGAATCAGAGTTCGAATATACAACCAAGATGATTCATGCACCGAAGGGGCTATCGAATTTCTCGGCTTGGCATAGACGAAGTAAATTGATTCCCCGGCTTCTCGATGAGCGAAATGCCGATGCTACTGCTCGAAAACAATTCTTAGACGATGGTATGTATGACTGGGAGGGAGTCGTTTAAAGCTAATACCGTATTAGAGTTTGATCTTATCATTTCAGCAATGTACACGGACTCATATCCATACGCTCAATCGGCGTGGTTCTATTACCAATTTTTGATGACTACTCTTACTGATCATGTCGGTCATTCCACGATCACGCCTAACTTCACCAATGATGACCGAGTGGACTATGTTGAGCGGCAATTGGCGATTCTCCGAGATATGCTAGATGGCGCTGAGGATTGCAAATGGATTTATGATGCCCTCGTTGAGTATACAATGGCACTGTGCCTGATGGAAGAACGAGATCCTCAATCGGACGAAAAAGAAGATTTCAAGGCCTGGATCGAAGAGTTGGGAAAGCTAGATCCATTCCGGAAGGGAAGGTGGGATGATCTAGAGAATTCTCTTCTGAGGAAGTAGCTGAACCTGAAGAAGAGTCTAAATAATCACTAATCGTACCTGTTTTGGGGTATCTGCCGCATGGCACGCATATATACCAAGCGAGTCCCATGTGAGCAGTCAATCTCAACGACTATGGCGATTCGTCACAAGTTTGCAGAAGGATCATTGCCTTTTTCAGCCCATCAGTACCAATGAATCACATCTGATCAAGCGTACTAGCCATGTGGCTCAAGACTTCACAATTAAGACACAAATGTTCTCCTGTTCTATGCGTCTGCCCCCCTCCTCGCACCGCCCAGTCACGCAAGGCCACATTTCAGCAGTCTTGCTCCACCAAAGCAAAGGCGAGTTTCATGTGTAATGTTCCAGACCTTTCTTCGTTTTACTCAAAATCTCCCATTGTACCGCGCACAGAATTGGTTGATGATCCAAACTCAACCGATGGTCGATTTCGCACTTCTTGATCTCGCATCTATGCGAAACTAATATCCCCTTCCAAAGAAGCGCTCCCTTACTTGGACACTACCTAGTCTGGACTCGAAGAACTCAGAAGGTTCACGGCGCCGCCCCACTGAAGACTTTTCAGTCATTGAGCCGGACTACCTCCAGTGGCCTTGCTAGGTCGTTTCGGCTCCCTTTCTTGGCTCGTATGGGACTCAGGTAAAGGCGTATACAAGCGTTGCGATTCTGCCCTAAGAGTCGCAGTATCGATTTTGTCCTCTGAAGTTGAAACATTATTCCTTGAAGAAATGATTCTTCGTACCCAACCTGGTCCAAGTGGTAGCCAGATCACAGCTCCATACTATTCCTCCTTCTCGTCTCCGTTCGTCTACAGGACTTACAGCATGAACAACATTCCACCGAAGCCAGTATCAAAAACAAGAAACGAGCCGATCTGGTTGCAGTCAGTCCTGCTTGGTCCAAACTGTTCACCACGTGATCAAACAGAAAGAAAAGTTCACGAACCCAACCCCAATTTGGCAGTACCAAATGTACCACCTCCATGGATCAGCTTTATTGACATAGGTCAAACGATCCTTTCCCCAATCATCAAGCAATATAGCAAATATTGACCAGGTGAGAAATCCCATGCTTACAATCTCAAGAGCAAGACTGGCTCCGGATTGTAGACGACCAATAGTGTGTTTGTAATCTGCGAGAGCGACGATCTCGCATGTGTCGATAATTATGGGCAACACTATCTGAGAAATGTTAAGTCATAGGGTACAGACAGTTGTGAAGCTTACAATGGCTGGGGAGAGGTGCTTACAGCGATGTATGACCAGACATAGCTTTTGCCGATGGCGACACTAAGGAAAATAAGAAGTATCAAAGTGATGAGCGATGTGATTAGGCAGCAAGCATGTAGCAGCAGCTGAATGGTGGCATACGGCTTTGGAACTCGTGAGCGTGCCATGGGCACCGAAACTATTCAGAAAATAAAGAAATGTTGTGTTCAAGCCCACTTGCGCGGGAATGTCTCTCCTGTCTTGTGACTCGTGCTGCCCATGGCGTTGTGGGAAAAGCCTCGCTTTAAGCTTCAAACCGCTGATGGCACTGCACACGGCAGCATCCCAAAATGAGAGACCAAGCCTATCCACCAATGTAGTTTAACACGAGTAAGATCTGGGCTGAAAGTTCAGCCGGACAGGATGATTGGACAATTGAGGGCGAGTTGCATGCCAGTTGCGGCACGGTCGAATTTAACCGCACTGACCTCGGCAGCACAGAAGCGATTCAAGCGAATAATAGAGAGCTCCCCTTGAGCGTGACCAAGAGAAGTGCAGCTAGAAAGAAATGAATAAATCATGCCAAGCACCTTGAACTTCTCCAAATGATATTAGCTTCCTATTTTTAGGTTGTGAAAGACTGTGACAATGTGTTTCACCGACAGCTGCATGTTTGTCTTTGTTTACGTACCGGCTTTGTCCTCGCTAAGCCCTGTGTCCGGTTTCGGTTAGGTGATGGGTGATTGCTGAAAACAGTCATGGTAAACAAATAATGCCACAATTATTTCACACCATGAGCAGGCTCCAATTCACACACAGGTTTAGAAAGTTTCATCGCAATCGACATTCTCATCATCAAGACCACCCTTTCGAAATGGGTAACATCTATCTTCGGGACAGTTTTTGGCCGAAGGATTTGCGGAATCTGGAAAGGCAACAATTCAATGATCTCGATAGCGAAGATGGGGATACATACGACAAAGCGTACCAGAGGATCGAGAAACTGAATGAGAAGAATGATAAGAGAGCCAAGAAGAAATTTAAAATCGGCACTATGTCCTTCGATGATGCTGAAGGTCTTATCGCTAGCTACGTTGAAGGATCACCTCCCAAAAAGGGTCGGACGCCGTACCGGAGTGAAGTCAAGTTCCCGCCGCTGACTCACGACACAATTAATCAGTATATGTGAGTAACTACCTGAGTGAGAACTATTTCTTTCGTTCTTAAGTAGCTCTAGAGTTACCTATGCGCTGAACTTACGTCGTACCTTCTGAATTCTCACCAAGTCGGTAGCTAACATGATATGTAAAATAGAGGGAAAGCATCTGTCAGTATATGAATATCAAACGGTGCGAGTTTAAAGTTCGCAAATTGAGGTCCGGCAAAGTCCTCGGCATCACACGACCTAAGACCAGAATTCCACCGCGGGGTTTTCGACGACCTAGACGAAAACCTGCTCCTTTGCCCAAAATAACTGAATATCCGAGCTGTATGTTCATCAATACCGCTGACTTCGAGAAAATAGACCCGGACAATAAAACAAAAGTTGGTGCGATCGACCTCCTAGCAGATATGGATTGCACGAAAGACAGATTCTGGAATCTTGACTATCTTTTCGTTCCAATTCACAACGAAAATATCGGAGAACATGGAAATTACTCCCTCTTGGGTATACCACCAAAACAAAAGTACATTTTTGCAATTGATAGCATGACGCAGATTGATTACGATATCGGGACTTGGCCAATGTCTGGGATCTGGGATATCCTAGTCTCACAGCAGCGTAGGGCAGAACGAGCTGTAACGTTCCCGCTATTTGGCCAATGGGCAAGGAAAGAAAATGAGAAGACGGATGGGAGTCAGAACTGTGCTCGACAAGGTGATTTGTACAACTACGGGGTGTTTACAGTTACAAATGCTCTGTGTCTGGGATTTGGTTTCGATCTGATGTGCTACAGCAATAGTGATTGTATGTATATCTACCTTCTGTGTTGCGAGGCCCGGAGGGTGCAACTGACGATTCTGTTCGTTTTTTCCATTGTCTCGGCTCTAGCGCTGGATACACGTTTCGATAGCACTAATTTTTTCAAAGTAAATCCTAACAAGAGACCAAGGATGTTCGCAGAGCTCGCAAATGGAATGAGATCTGGCGACAATATTGAAACTGGATTTGTGGGCAAGTACGCCTACGATATGTTAGACACACCAGTGAAACCGCTGCGCAATACGCGAAATGGGGAGACAAAGGAGGATGGGGAAGAACCAGAAGAGGACATATTATCAGAAAATGACAAATCGTCAGAAAATGACACATCGTCAGAAAATGACACACATCGTCAGAACGGGACATATCTTCAGAAGACGACCTAGGCGAACAACGAGGCTTGGACAATATTAAGAGAGAATCAAGCGAGGATACAGATATTAACGATGATGAAAGTACAAAACGAGTCAGAGGCTTCAGCAGTAAATTACGGCTGGCTGTAGAAGCTGCAATTGTTGCCGATATTATGCATTCTGTCCCGGAAAGGTATGCAGCATGGAAAGCAGGAAGACAGTATGTGCGACCAAGCGAGCTCAACAGGAGAGCTTTCCCTCCTCAAAATAATGCAAAGTATTTTCGAAAAGTTGGATTCTTCTACCCGAGTACCACAACTTCTAGATACAATCTAAGGCCAGAGATTGGAGCATCCGGGAGCGAGAGATCAACCGCTTCCACCTATAAAAAGGAACAAAATCAGATCGCCGCCTGCGTAGAGACGTTTTGGGCGGGTGACGTGCAGCCATTCGACGGTATCATTGAAGAATTCGAAGAGTGGCTTGCGGACAACCCACGGATGGGCGTTAGAAAGCTCCAGCTTGAGCTAGGCCGATGGGAAATTGGTCTCGGAGAGTCTAAACCTGTCACCGATATCTCATTCCGCAGTTTATTCATCCAGCACCTCAGACGAAAGATGAGGAATAGCTTGGCGAACTTGAGGTAGAATGCGACAGAATTCTGTATCTTGCAGTTTGTCAAATGTGGATTGCTTATCTGCAAGCTGCTTTTCCGACCTCGATGTATAGCATCGCGACTGGAATAACTTATCCCAGTGCTGGTCTACTTATGTTTCGTGGTATCTTAGAATTGCGACTCCAACGCGTCTGATCAATGACGGGAGGATGTTTTCGTAAATTTTGTTGAGTATTTCTGGGGAGAAGACATTGTTAAGGCTGCGACTGGTGGCTGAGGATCTTGCAGGATGATTTCTGCACTATGAGGTACTGAACTCGGTATTCGTATGCATGCCTGACCTTAGAATCCGGAGAGCTCTTGGCCACGGTCGAGAGCAGAGGAATGGGAGTGGAAGAAGCTTTGAGATAATAGAATTCTGTGGCGTTGAATTTTCCAGTCACCATGATCTGTCCAAGCTGGGAGTTGTGCAAGTCTGACCATGACGTGGTAGTGTCTGATGAGTTCCGCTTGTTCAGCCTCGCGTGTTTACGCGATGTTGACTTCACTTTTTAAAGGCTCCCACAAACAATTGGTGCGCCTTTGAACACAGTTCGAAAGCTACCAGCAACCTCCCATCCTCTTTCAAACAACAGCCATCTCGGTGCGTGCAAGATGGCAGACAGTGCTGTCATGACAAATAACAGTATGTGATCTTACAAGCCATTTGAAGACTCTCCATCCTGTATTATGTGTCTCCCCAGATTTCGAAGTCACCTATCCCTGATGGAGTCGATCAATTACGACCCAAAAAAAAACCACAAGCTGACCTTCCATCTAGTCAGTCCAACCCTCATGGGAGTCCCCGGCGAGATCTTCGAAGCAATAATCGTCCAATGTATAGCCGTCCAGAAAGCAGATGGTCCCTATGCCAACACACCAGACGATACCACCGTCCCACAAAAGTTTGACTTCACCATCGACGCCAATGGTCTCCGCTGCAATTCAATGGAGTCTTTCGAGCTCCTGTTCACCAATAAGAAGCTTCTCAATGAAGCTCTTCCCGTGGTATTTCGCAACTGCTCGGTTTTGATCCACGCTGAAGTAGGCCATGATGCTCAGCGCCCTGGATACATTCCTTTCGTGCTCGCCAATATCCCAGACATGGTTAAGGTCAATGCCCGAGAAGTCGGCGTGAAGTTCTCTAATGTCGCTAATCCTGTAAGTGTTCTCATCTTGACTTGAAGGTCCTCCAATCATCCACTTGCCCTGATACCATTAAAGCTTCGTTGCTCCATGTGGCCATCCAAAGACATCCCACGTGAGATCGCCGCCAGAAAGCCACTCGTCAACATCGTCAATACAGTCATGATTGAGTTTGTTCAACGTAAGACTCTTCACATCATTGCCGGTATCAAGGGTGCCCAAGTCGATGACCTGAAGGTTCTTTTCAAGCTGCTGGGTGTGCCAGATCAGAATGTTAGCCTAGAGGAGATCTACCAGACTGATGGATTCGTCTACTTCCCCACTCGATACCGTGTCGACAACAGTAGCACCAAGACCAAGCAGGAGCATTATGAGGCCCTTGCGAGGAAAGTCGCTGCTGAGATCGGTCAGGATTGGTAAGTTGAGAGTGTCACATATCTTCTCTTCCCTGATTTATCCTAGAGATGAGATCTCAGTCATATACTCCAAGATTCATGACTCGTCCCAAAAATGTTCTTTCATGCCCAAGAGCATAAGCTGACCCAGGATTCTCTCCTCTAGGTTCCAGAAGGCAAAGTCTCCAACCCTTGTCGAGGACATCTATGCCGACTCGGACGAAGACATGCCAATCTGGGCCACAATCGGCAACTCAGATCCCGACAAGAGATGGCGTGGAGAGTCTGTTGGCTGGGCTAGACGTCGTGTCTGGAAGCGTGGTCCTGTTCGCACTCCACCAACTCCAGAGATGGCTAAGTGGCTCAAGGAGAGAGTTTAAAATCCTTCCATACGGTTACACACTTGCATGCTGCAAAACAGTCTTTCGATTGTGTAAGCGGACAGTGGGAGGGAAGTTGCTCTTGCTAGGGTTATATGGCGTTGGTGATGCAGAACTTATGAGTGATTTGAGGGGATGGAATGATACCCAGGCGTTAAAGGAAAGCCATTCCATAATGAATTCAGAATGGACTTTATGAGATCTATGTCCCATGCGTATTCGTGTTTGCAGTGAAATGTATGCTAGAACAGAGGCGAAAACTTGTCGCAGAGGCAAGCGGTATTGTAATGTTGGAGCCAACCGACATCAAAGCCCTTGAGCCAGTGTCCTTCTTCCACTTGAAAGTATGCCTGATACCACCTTTGATCATGCTGCGCGCTCCGTTTTGCAGCAGATAGAGATCGACCTCTTAACTGCCAACCTCCGGACTGGAGCTGACAAGGTATGTTTTCCACAAGACACCGAAGGGACATAGCTGACAGACAAAATTGCACAGTTGAGAAAAGACATAACCCCTTGGGTTCTTTGGCAATCATGCCCGAACGTAAGGGATTATTACTACTGAGAGTATGAAGTACAAGCACAAGAGAGTCTATTGCTCCGAATAAATCTGGTTAAGATGTCCCTCACCTACTCGTAGAACACCAAGCACCGCACCTCGATACTCTGCCGTCCCGGCGCACTTTCTGGCGTCGCCGGATCTTCAAAAGCAGTGTGCGGCGTGCATCTGGCCAAACCCTGTACACCGTCCGGCAAGCCCTGGCCCCTCGAATCAAAGCACTTAATGAACATGGCTTCCTGAGGCGTCATATCCTTCATATAGAAGAACTGATGGCTATCATTCGGCCGAACCGCGAACGTCTCTCCTTTAACCTCATAATTCTCTATCGACTCGATGGAGTTCGGATCCGGGACAACCTCCTTGCCACGGTCATCATTGTCCTCTTTCCGTCCTACGTTGCCGCTTCCGTCACCCAGAGGTGCCCGCTTGGGATACATTAAATCTACTGCAATGAAGTCGTCTGGGGTGGTAGTGCGCCAATCGATGACTGCGAGAGGGAAATCCGTCGCGGGGTGTGCAATCGGTCGCCAGACATTGATGATCTGAAACCGGCCCTTCAACAACTCCTCTACCTCCTCCTCAGGTAAATGTCTCCGTACACGCGCCTCCGCCGCTCCCACGGTTTGGTCGACATGTACTTGCTGAACGGGCTGTCGAGGCGCATTCTTGTCTCGCTTTCTGATCGTGTGGTCGAAGATGACCACTTTCTTGATCCCGGGCAATTTCTCCTTCAACAGGTTCTCCACCTCGGTATAGTAACCTCCTCTCACTTCCGCGTCATTGTCGAAATCGAAGCCTGCAGATGGCGACTGGTAGACCGCGAAGCCTGAAATATCTGTTGAGAACTCGGACTCGCGTCCTCGGATGTTCTGCACGGAGCGCGTGTGAGGGGTCAGTCGGTACGAGGTTCCTGGGCCGTCAACTTTGCCCCACGGCTTGATGTGCGCGCCGCTGCTGGACGTGTAGGAGGCTGGGTCGATGTATCTGAATGCGGCGGTTGTCATTTTGGTGATTTGCTGGGATTTTGGGGGAATGAATGCAGAGTTAGAGCGTGAGAGGAGGGGTTTATAGAGGGGATGTTGTCGGCTTTAACTCGCCACGCTGACTCGAGTATGTCCGAAAATCAATGACTGACCCGGGCGGCCGGTGGGATGTGGGATGTGGGAGTCGGCTTGTGGGATGGTGCAATTGCACGGGTGTGACAAATGAGGAGAGGCATGTCTATGATTCCATCACGAAGAAAGTAATTAGTCAATAATGAAAATTCCGGTGTTATTGAGGCTTCTCGCCAAATTTAGACTTCATGATGTTTAAGGTAGGATGCAATTAAGGCCAGGCTCTCGCCAGGACACTGCTCGGCTAACCAAGGGAAACTCATCCCTGCATCACAACAATAGCATCAAATCAAACAAAATACCCATACACACATCAAGTATGGGGTTTAGGAAAGACTCGTGTTCCCCGACCATACACCGTCTTCCATCAGCGACCAATTGAGCCCTAGAAGCAATGAAGGGTTATTTCTTACTCGGATCATGGAAATCCCTGTCAAGGACATGAGTTTTTCCAAGCTGAACGGCTAGAATACCTCGGTCATCGAAGAGGCCCAAGTGTATCAGTCATCACATTATCCGAGTCATCATCACCATCGTCGGCAACCTCACAACACAGCCGACTCATCGTTATCATCTTCGTGAGCCTCCATATCCCAAGATCCATCCTCGTCGATGCAATCAGAACGAAGAGCGAGCAGCTGGCGTTCTGCGATTTTAACGACCACGATCATTAGTTTAGTTTAGTATTGTATCGAATGCGACTTAAACAGGGGTTTCGAAGCACTACGATTGTAGATCCAGAGTAAAGTGTGGTGGTACGCAGAAGGAAATGGTAATATTCGCGAGGCTCTGGAAGGGCTTCTCTGCCTTTGTGTTCAGTGGTTGGATCGAGAGTCTGTACTCAAGTCCGGGTGTGAAAATGGCAAGACATGAAGATGGAGTCGCACCGGACGTGTACGTGCCGATTGCCATGTCGAGGGAACGGAACTCAAGAAGTGATGGGTTGGGAGAGCTGACGTCCTGGAAGACTTAGAAAAGGCAATGTCAAGAGGGATCGGCGTCGGAGCCGATTCTGTTATCGACGTAGGGGCGTTCCATCGCATTACGTTCGAATGCCCTCGTAGAGAAACTCCTTGTCTCTTTCGGCTAACTTTGAGTTGCTCCTATAGAATGTCAACCAAGAACTATTCCAGCTTGATTCTGAGTTTTAGGCAATGAGCATGATGTTACCCTTAGGCAACATCGACGCATTTCTGATTTTTGAAATCAAAACAAGAACCATCGGCAATCCAGTGTGGCATGGAGATCCTCCTCTGGACGCAAATAATGGGATTTTCTCAGGTATATCTGAGCCACTGTAGACAAACTACAATGAGGAATTTGATAGCAATCATTGTGGCTTGAATCGGGGCCATGAACTCTGAACGGAAAGGAGATAACTTTGCATATCTCTCCCCGTGCAGGTGGACGATTGCTTGTACCCATTGCGATTGGATAGACGTTACCAGATACTGATAAAATTAGCCAGACATCGAGTATTCTTACTTGGCACTGACGGATGGTGGGTGTGAGAAGTTATTGATTCTGTTGACTGAAGGAGCCCAAGAAGCGAAACTGCGCCTTGCCGCCTTCGAACTAGTGCGCTTAAGGATGTCTGTGAACAACTTCTCCCCGCCTTTCTCCAAAGCCTCGCCCTTCTGCCCTCGAGACGAGGTTGCATGTTTCCACCTTCGAAATCTGCTGCATCTGCAGAATGCTCGTGGCCCTAAGCTTAATCATGGTGGGTTAGCACGAATGGCGGGGTCAGACAATGCTCAGCATTGCGAAAGTCAAAATTACCCTCGACCAGTCCACAGTTGAAAGGATGGAAACCTTTGCTCTGCCCTCACTTACTCTAAATAATACTTACATCTAGCATTCAAACACAAATTTTCCAAGCCACCTCTCCTCTCGCACTGCCAGCAGCGTAAAGCTTGCCCACGATGGCCCCTTCGCGCTGGAGGATTCTCGAAGGAAAGGTAGCAGCAATCACTGGTGGTACAACAGGTATCGGACGAGCTATTGCTCTGGAATACCTTCGTCAAGGCTGCAATGTTGCTATCAACCACCTCGGACTGGAACGCGACGAAATTCACAAGATCAGTCTGTTCGAGGAGGCGGCCGCTATCAAAGCAGAGAAAGTCGAGGGCGAGACGCTATCGAAGGCTGGAGACCTCTTTGAGATTGCTGGAGATGTAACGAAGCCAGAAACCGGAACAATGCTGGTGGAGAAGGCAGTAGAGAAGTGGGGGAAACTTGACATATTTGTTGCCAACGCTGGAGTATTCGAGCCAGCTGAGTTCCTCACGTAGGTCCACATTTCTCTCATTTTAGCCCGAGATGAAAGCATCGCTGACCAGATTCAGATTAGATCCCGAGCTTTTTGATCGAACCGTCCGAATTAATCTGAATGGCGCATTCTACACATGTCAGGCCGCTGCAAGACAAATGGTCAAACAAGGACACGGCGGATCAATAATCGGCATATCCTCGATCAGTGCACTTGTCGGCGGAGGGCTACAGACACATTACACGCCTACGAAAGCAGGAGTATTATCACTAATACAGTCGATGGCTATTTCGCTAGGTAAGGAAAACATCAGGTGCAATGCGATACTTCCTGGCACGATCCAGACACAACTGAGTGAGGAAGATATGAAAAACGACGTGAAGAGGAACTATCTGGAAGCTAGAATTCCTATGGGTCGGGTCGGGGACACGAAAGATATTGCAGGGCCAGCCTTGTTTCTCGCCAGTGAGGAACTGAGTCCGTATTGTAACGGGACTCAACTCCTGTCTGACGGAGGAATGTTCGTGCATCTCCAGTAGGGATACATGACCCGGGCTATCGTTGCTTCCTTGGGCCTGTTCAACCTATTGCAACCGCCTTGAAACTGCTGCTGGGACGGGCTCAACCTGCACGTCATCCTTTCAGGAAGGTACTAGCAAAGTCAAAATCTAAATCTCTTGCGAACTCGACTAGAAAAATCTAGAAATATATTTCTAGCTTCCAAGAAATATTAATATCTTCAAACACCTAGTATGGCATATTATCCCACTCCGTTCAGCTCCAAAGACAGCTTTTCCCCGTCTCCCACTATATCAATAATCCCACAGTACTCGTATGTTCACTCCCATCCCCCGCCATTACCGCCACTAGTCCCAAAAGGGAAAAGGGCAAACCTTCTTTCGACTCCTCCATCTCCCCAAGTTCGTCAAAACCGTAACTCACAATGTCAGGCTCGAACACCCAAAGCAATCCGATGATTTTGATGGGAAGAGCCGGTCTGCATCCCCGTTCTTTTCGACTATCAGGATGGCCGACGAGGATCGGCCGGCACCGAAAAGGCCAAGGAACAGACAGTCACGTGGGAAAGGCTTGAGGAAGACAACAGGATGGTGCGTTGTGTGCTCCTTATATCAATTATAAGAAGGCCTGTTCACAGAACAATTTTCTAAACAAAACCAGCATCACATGTCGAAGACGACATGTCAAATGTGACGAGAATCGACCACATTGTGATCGATGTCGGAAGGGAAACCAGACTTGTATATATGCAGATCCACATGCTGCGCAGTCTCAAGTTCCCCGAGCAGCGAACCGGCAGTCTTCAGCCTCATCTTCAGAGGCACAGCAACGTCCAATATCGGAGATACAGCAGAAAACTCCTTCTGTTCCACCATGGCCCAATTCCATGGAGCAGGCAATGATGTACCAAGCAAGCCAGCCAGCTTCATCTGGTACTGGGCAAGCAAGCGTCACATCTGCCCCTTCTGACCGCTCCAACAGTCACACTTCTCTAGGACAGCGAGCACCGTCTCAAATTGACTACCTGTTGAATGCCCCTGTGCCCACATGCGACACTCCTAATCAACAGGTCTTGTCACCAGCGATCTCCAACCACAACGGGACTTCCTTCTCGCTCAATAGTGGCGAGCAAGGTAGAATTTCAAGATCTGTTTCCTCCCAACCAACATTCAATGTTGCCATTTCCAAATGGTTTGACATGCTAGTTGGTGACACGGTCTTTGAAAATGGTGTTCCAGACATGGATGCGGGGATTGAAGACTCATACAGTATGGGTACTCCACGTAAGAATAGAGCCACTAGCTTTTCCTACATGGGTTCATTTCAGGGCTCTCCTGCTGAAGGAGGTTCTGTTCAGGGTGCTTCCCCGTGCTCATCTTCCAGCCCACAGCTCCTCGAGCGGAATTTTTCCATGAACTCTCTTACAGAAAAATTGAGATGGCAATCTCCAGGACCAGTAGAACTTTCGCCGTACGAGCTTTTTCTTTTTCGAAACTTTGTCCAGCGAATAAGCCTTTGGGTCAGTATACAGAGCTACAGACTTGACTGGATCTTTGTTGATGTATTGACACCTTGCAGATCGATTTGTTTGATCCTACACAGAGTTTCTCAACCTTTGTTCCTCATCTTGCCGTAAGTCTTCGATATGTATCCTTCTTGATGAAATATCTTCAAGGCTGATCAATTTGGGGTAGCTACGAAATGTTGGTCTCATGAAGGCCATTTTGGCCCTCTCTGCGCGGCATATCTCCTTGAATCCCGGTATTGCAGCAGAACAACCAAAAGATCGCAATGATGCTCTTCAATATTACAACGAGACCCTTCATTACCTCTCCAAAGCGATGCAGTATGAAACTTACAAGACAAGTCTAGAGTTGTTGGCTACTGCTCATATAGTTTCAACGTACGAAATGCTCGACGGCTCCGGCAAAGACTGGGAACGTCATCTTCAAGGAGTATTCTGGATCCAGCGCTCTCAAGTCATCCACGGCGACTCCAAAGGTCTGAAACAAGCTGTATGGTGGGCATGGCTCTGTCAAGATGTGTGGGCTGCATTCCAAGAAAAGCGAAAGACGTTCACATTTTGGAAGCCTGCCCGAACATTTGCGGATATGAACCCATATGAACTTGCATCCAGGGCTGTCTATATAATCGCAAAGGTCGTTAATTACTGCTCCCGGGAAGAGAGCGAAGCAGGAGACCTGGCGCTTCGGATCGAGAATGCCAGCCGGTTGCAGGATATGTTAGACGAATGGGAGAGGTACCTGACAACAGAATTTACACCACTTCCTTACGAGAGTGATAGTGAGCACGATGTATTTCAACCTATATGGATTCACACTCCTGCTTTTGGTGAGTTTCCTGATTTAGATCTGTCGCGAGTGAACACTGACGTGTCCCAAGGTGTTGCCATGCAGTTGCATTACTCTGCTCGCCTACTTTTACTTCTCAACAAGCCTTCAAAGGGTGGGTTTGGAGGATTCCTCGAGCAAAGCCGCATGATATCAAGATATGTGAACAATATTTGTGGCATAGCTATGACACTGAACGATAATGCCTCCAGTATTATGTGCTCGCAGTGTCTATACATAGGTATCTCCCTAATTTTCCACTTTATTCTTTCCTTACTGACAGTTTTTTAGCTGGAATGTGTGTCCAAGATTCAAGAAAGAGACATGCTGTCCTTCAAATGATAGATGCATGTCGACGACGGTCAGGATGGCCTGTTTCATCACTCGGAGATGAGCTACAGGCCTTCTGGGATTCTTCCGCAGCTACTCCCGGAGGCTGATTGGTGACTTGGGTCTCAGAAACTTGCCGACCTGAACACTTGCACATCGTATGACAACCATAAAGGTCATTTCACAGGATCGCTGTGAAGTATAAGTTCCGATTAAAGAGAGGCCAGAAAAGAGGGCGCCGAGTACGCTGAGTGCTATGGTACGGCATGAGAACAAAGCCCGACTGCTACCCTCCATGTAATTATGGAAAGCAGCGCCAACTAAACCAGTTGGGCATTGCAAATTTGCAAAGAATGCTTCTAAATGCAGCCTAGCCCCAGAAGTCAATAGCGAGTGGCGCTCACGTCTCACACAACTTTGGCAAAACCTCGGAAGCGAGGTGTTTTCAGCAAGCGATCCAGGTGTTCCTCATGATGATAGTCGCCATTATATCCATTGTAGATGACAGTCGAATCTATATCATTACCTCCTTATCTTTACGCTGACTTATCTCCTGTAGTTCATGCCTTGCCTGCAGAACCGCAGATTTCCATCCATTCCACCGACTGTTTAACCACCATTTCAACACCCTGCTCCATCAGTTTCGTGAGAGGGACCTTTCCTGCCTGGGCTCTCAAGTGATACGAATAGTCATCAAGCACAAGTCTGTTCACATTTACTTTCGAGACACCCTCAGCAATACATTTCTTCATCAGCTCCGGCTTGAAGCCATTGGTCCCATGCAGCGCAATGCGGACCTTGCCTCCAAGCTGGGCTCGGACTTGTGTCAATCTTGAGAGTCATCACATCAGCCGGGCTCCTCAATATATAGCAAAACGTTGGCAACTTACCGCTCAAAATCCAAGTCCGGATTTCTATCTCCGTAAGGATTCTCACCATGCATATTACCAATTGCGGGCGCAAGAATCTCTACTCCTGTGGCCATGAAATCTCTAACCTCATCCATCGTCGTCATACTACCTTCAAGTCCCTCCGTATCCATCACTCCATCCTCCCCACCCTCGATTCTCCCTGGCTCAGCTTCTGTAGCAATCCCCCTCTCATGACAGAATCTCACCAACTCCTTCGTTTTCCTCCAGTTTTCCTCTTTCTCAAAATGGCTCATATCCAACATAATGCTATCAAACGGCAGCGTCTCAGCCGCCATTCTGATCATTTCCTCGTTTTGCGCATGGTCGAGATGGATTGCAATAGGTACTGTTGAGCGTTTTGCACAATCAGCTGCAGCGCGGATGAGAAGTCCGGATGAGAATGTAATTGCCCACGGGAAGAATTGTATTATGAGAGGGGAGTGAGCAAGTTCGGCTGCTCGCACCATCCCGATGATGTGCTCGATGTTGTAGGCGACTGTGGCCAGGACGCCATATCTTCCTTCTTCTGCAGCTGCGAGGATTTGGACAGTTTTGTTGGTCAACCGCCAGTCAGGGTTTGCTGCCATTTTTGACGACGTTTGAGATAAGGGAAGCCAAAGTATGTTTCTTGTTTCCTTCAAAAACTTGAAGGTATCAAGACCGAGTTCGTATATCAAGGTTTAAAGGATGTACTAGACCACTTGAGTCAGTCCTCCAAGGGAGATTTTGAGTTTCAGTGCTATTCAGCCGGAAGGTGACGGGTTCTGTACCAAAGGGAAACTTCGTTTGGCTGCAAGGACTGTCCCTTCAGACAATTAACTGGGCCCGCTCGAAAATACTAATCGTCGAGATCCGGAGCCAAATTCCTCAGCCCAACACGAGACGAGCACGCCAGGAAATCCCCCAAGCTCCCCGGAAAACGAGCACGTCCCTCGTCTCGAGCCTACACGGCTTGTGGGGTAAGCCGAGAAATCTGGGGAAAATGCGACTCTGGATGTCATCTCTTATTTCAAGCGTGATTCCATCGTTCAAACGATTCCGTTTTGCGAAATTCCGTGAGGATTGCGTACGAGTCATTGGTTGGCTTGCTCGAATATCGTTTGCGGGCTCCGGAGAAAGCTAATTGTCCCGCAGACATACCTTCCCCGCACCACGATGTTGAAGACTAAGGGGAGTTTGGAAGGAGAGTAAAAGCTGGTGTTTTTTGGGTAGGAATGAGTTTTTTTCTCATGGATATAAGGTCTCCGAATGCCTCATCATTTGTTCTTCAGTCTGAAGGTTTCCTTCCAGAACAACTCTAAACACCGTCGAAAGTGCCCACCCAAATTACTACTTCCTTGATTCTACCACTTCATAACACTTTCATACATCACCTGCGTATCTCGGAAATCTTTCCCCATCATCTCTCCTCCCACAAAATTCAGCTCAAACCTTCACCATGGCAAGCACAGAAAACCTCCAAGGCGTCACAGCAGCTATGCGCGCCGAAATGGGCCACACGGGTGTGAAAGGGCTCATGAAAAACAAAAAGGTCTTCTTCATATCCATGTTCGCCTCGTAAGTTCAGCCCATCCCTTATCTCTAACGTTTCTTCACATCTCGGAACAGACCTGCGCCATCCCCCGCTCGCTTCAAGCTTTTCACAAATCCAAACTCAAAATTATGAATCTGACGCGCGTCTAGCTTCGGCGGTCTGCTCTACGGCTATCAGCAAGGTGTTCTAGGCCAGGCCGTTGTTATGAACTCTTTCATTAGAGATTTCCCCCGGGTGCATAATAGTCCGTCGAAACTGGGATGGCTGACTTCGGTGCTGCAATTGGGCGGCTGGGTTGGCTCGCTCTCGGCGGGTGTGTTTGGTGAGGTGTTTTCAAGGAAGCATACTATGTTTGCTGGGTCGCTCTGGGTGGTCCTGGGAAGCTTTGTGGCGGCCGGTGCGCAGAACACGAACTATCTTTATGCAGGACGATTGTGCACTGGACTCGGTGTTGGGACGTTATCTGCTATTGGGTAAGTATACTTTGTTCCAAGAGATCTCATCTGGAGATTGGATACAGATGCTGATCATATGGCAGGCCTCTGTACAATGCCGAACTGTCTCCCCCTGAGATGCGAGGTTTCCTCATCGCTCTCCAACAGCTGACCACCACTATCGGGATCATGCTCGCTTACTGGGCAGCTTTCGGCAGCAACTATATCGGAGGCACAGGAGACGGCCAAAATGATATGGCTTGGCGTTTACCCATGATTATCCAAGGTCTTCCCGCTGTGATACTCTGTATAGGCCTCTTTTTCATGCCCTTCTCACCTCGCCTCCTTGTCAACAAAGGCAAAGACGCTGAAGCCGTCAAAACACTCGCTTACCTCCGCAACTTGCCCGAAGACCACTACCTCGTACAGGTCGAATATCTCGAGATCAAATCGGACTTCGAATTCGAGAAAGCTATTTTCGATAAAAGATTCCCGAAGTTGAGCAAGGATATGGGAAATAGCGTGTGGAGGAGAGAGTTTGCCCAGTATAGCAACGTCTTTCGGAGTAAGGATAACTTCAAGAGAGTTGCACTGGCGAGCTTGGTTATGTTCTTTCAGCAGTGGACGGGTATTGATTCGAGTATGACTCCTTCTTCTAAATCCTTGGGTTTTATACTGACATGAAGCCAGTCATTTACTATGCTCCGATTATATTCCAGTCCCTCGGTCTCACAGGTAGCACAATTTCTCTTTTGGCTTCTGGGGTTGTCGGAATTATCAACGTCGCAACGACTATCCCGGCTATCTACTACATTGATCACATCGGTCGTAAACCATTGATGATGACCGGTTCAGCTGGAATGTGTATCTGCGAGACGGTCATTGGCGTCATCGTAGCAACATGCGGCAGCGACTGGACGAAACATGTAGCTGCAGGATGGGTTGCTGTTGGTAAGTCGTCCTCACAGCCCTCTCTTCGACATATTTCTGACACCCACAGTCTTCGTCTGGCTCTATATCATCAACTTCGCTTACTCCTGGGGCCCCGGTTCCTGGATTCTCATAGCAGAGATTTTCCCAATCTCCATCCGCGCCAAGGGAACATCCATCGGCGCATCCGCAAACTGGATGAACAACTTCATCATCGCTTTCGTCACACCTCCCATGCTCTCTGGTATTGGATATGGTACCTATCTTTTCTTTGCATTCTGGAGTGCGGCGGGTGGTGTGTTCATCTGGTTGTGTATGCCGGAGACCAAGGGTAAGACGCTCGAAGAGATGGACCAGGTGTTTGGGAGTCATACTGCGGCCGAGGAGCTGGAAGAGTTTGCCAAAGTGCAGGAGAGAACTGGCTTGACGGCGCTGATTAGAGGAGGTCCGGCGGCGTTGGTGGAGAGTAGTGATCAGGGGTCGGTCAAGGAGAAGGGTGTTGGGGTGACCTATGTTGATAAGGTCTGAGAGAAAGAGTTCTAGCTTCTGGAACCTCTTACTGAAAACATCACCAGCCCTACAATTGCTTTTTGTCTTAAAACGACAGATGAAAGCCAATGAAATTTCCAAAGTTTTTCTCCTCATCGCCTTCAATGGAAGCGTTCTCGTGATTGGGATTCTTGCATATTCCTCGCTTAGCCTTGCAGATGTCAACACTTGAAAGACAAAGGCATGAGGAATTTGACCTGCATTATCTCGAATTATAAAGCTTCTCATCTCGTCCCTAGCCGAGAGAGAAGTAGTTTATCAAATACGAAAATCGATGTCATCCCCAAGGTAGGTAGGCATACAGCCCCACCTAACAATACTCGCTTAGAGCTACCCCGCCCTACTAGAAAGCCTTTCCTCAGCGCAACTACAAGCACTCTGCAACGCTTCATTTCTACATTATCTCAGCTGGCGAGTATAAAAACAAAAGACAAGATCTTGGTCAGAATGACCTCAGCATTCACAACCCACGACCCACGGTTCTCAGCCCTCCTCGGTAGCAATCCCACTCTCACGCTCCTGCTCTCTCGCAAACCGCACCCCTTCGCCCATGAAGCAGGCGTATTTTTCCCAGACAACAACACCCTCTTCATCACAAGCAATATTTACCACGAGCCTCTACAGAACAACAAACGCTGCGTGCAAATCAATAAGATCACTTTCGAGTCCGACGGCACAAATCCAACATGGGAGGAGGTCCCCTCACATGACATACCCATGGCGAACGGCGGTGTCAACTACAAAGACGGCATCCTCTTCTGTTCACAGGGCTCATTTATAGTTCCAAGTGGGCTGTACCATATGTCTCGTCACGAACCATACTCCGTGACACCTATCGTGACTTCCTTTTATGGCCGACCTTTCAATTCTGTGAATGATGTTGTGGTACATCCTACAGATGGCAGTATCTGGTTTACGGATCCCACATATGGATATATGCAGGGTTTTAAAGCGAAACCAGAGTTGCCAAATCAGGTATATAGATTTGATCCTGAAACAAAAGCGATCAGAGCGATGGCGGATGGGTTTGGGATGCCGAATGGGATTTGTTTTGGGCCTGGCGAGAAACCAGATGTGGTATATGTGACGGATACGGAGAAGGTGAAGGGGAATGGAGAGATTGATACTGCCGGGAGAGCAAGCATGTGAGTACTGATTTTTGTGCTTAAACTTGTGTGATGACTTCACATCACGAACGATTCTAGATATTCATGCTAACGATAAAAAGCTACGCGTTCGACATCACATACTACTCAGGTCAACCCTTCTTGACTAACAGACGGCTCTTCGCCCATGCAGTTGAGGGAATTCCGGATGGGATCAAGTGTGATATGGAAGGAAATGTTTATAGTGGATGTGGAGATGGCGTCGAAGTATGGTGTCCAGGAGGCGTGCTCTTGGGCATTATCAAAGTCGCTGGTGGAGCGGCAAACTTCTGTTTTGGCAAAGAAGGTGCCATGTATATTTTAAATGAGACGAGACTTTGGAAGGCGCAACTATCGAAGGACGTCAGGGGAGCTTTACTAGGACTCTAAATTACAACGATTCAATCTCAATTAGCAAGTCACAAAGCCAAATGTGGTTACCTTTCTGAGAGGATGTTTCTGGGTACCAGAATCAGAATTATGACATGAAAGTCAAGGGAGCATACTCCTATGTTAGAAGTGTCATTGATACTCATGAGTATACCTCACATGTCGCTGCGGTACATAATCTTCAGTCCTTTGACATGCTTGCAGTTCTTTCGACAAAAAAACTCTCTGCCAGAATTACCCCTCGGCTGTTTGGTGCCCATGTAGATTTCAGCCTCGACTCTCGCAAGTCGTCAATCTGTAGGCATGCTACCCGATGACCCACAATCTCCATATCTCCGCATCTCCACCCGTCAAATGCAGATCGAATGCAAAGCCAAGCAGTTGCATACCCCTTACAGTTCCATTCCACTGTTGTGGCTCGAGACGAGGTGCCACTAAGCGAGCCCCTTTTGGCCTCGTGGGACTTGCTCGGGCACAACTTCCCTTCACACAGTCGAATTGGCATCCTTGCATCCTGCATCCAAGGATGGTTTCACCATCGGTCAAGCCTCTCTAGATCGTACGCCGGTTCCGTCACTCACCGATTCAAACAAGCTCTCGAAGCATGTCCTCTAGCCAATTTCAACATCTGGCTTTCCTCGAGACGACTTCGCCTCCAAGCCACGAAAGGCCCATCAGCAACTGCCGTACGAAATTGTTCGAGCGCTGAATTGAGAACACGCCACTTCCACTCGCAAGGAGCAACTACTGATCGTTTAATTAGACAGGATAGAGTGTCACCCCGCTATCGAGAGTCTAAATGGCATGATGACGTTGATGGAGGGGTTGTTTTAAGGTTTGCGGGAGCTTGTTGGATCTCGCTTTGACCAGTCTGGACTCCGTGCTGAGGCTTGTCGTGTTGGTGCTGAGAGGGATCTACTCCATCGTTAAGAGTAAATTGTCCGGTTAGAGGGGTTCGTCTCGAGAGGGAGTGGGAGAAAGCAAGGGAGAGGGAGGGCCAAGCTACTATGTCACTTAAAAAGAGAGATCTCCGCTCACATGAGAGTTGGGTTCATGCTTCTCAACGTTCTTCTCGTCTTCATTACTATCTTGATTTTCTGAAATTGTCCAGTCGTGCCAGTGGATATCCAAACAGTCCTGTGATTTTCAGAAATAGACGTGGCAAGTATCGAGTGTTTACAATGGCCCCATCAGCAGTTGAATCTACAACACCACCAATTGCCACAATGCCACCTCCCACCGATACACCGCCTATCCAAACACAAGTCTCCCTGGCCGGGAAGGTTATAGCCAGTATGAATCTCCTCTTCTCATACTATTCCCCCCAGTATCAATCAAGACCATCTAACAACAGAATAGTCACTGGCGCCAACCGTGGCATCGGTCTCGGCGTCGCCGAGTGCTGTCTCAGTAACGGAGCGGCAAAGATCTACTCCATCGACATCACCGCACCAGGCGACGAGTTCACCGTGCTGGCTAAACGCTTCCCAGGTCGAATCGCAGCCGTGCAAGCGGACGTCACCAAGGAAGACAGCGTGACTGCTGCCGTAGACAAGATCGTCGAGGAGGCTGGCGCTCTACATGGTATGGTTGTGAATGCTGGAAGGACGAACCATAAGTCTGCATTGGACTTTACCCAGGCAGATATTGAGGCATTATTCAATGTTAATGTAAGTTGTTGTTCGGACGGAACGGGGCTTGGAGCAGTTGCTGATGAAATGTAGCTTTTTGGTGCTTTTTACTGCGCGCGAGTTGCCGCTAGGGCGTTCATCAAGCTCAATATCAAGGGTGCAATTGTCTTCACAGCTTCCATGGCATCGTACCGACCAAACAAGGTACTGATATCTCTCTAGATTCTATCATCTCCCCTCCATCTCAAGCTCATCTGACTTTCAAAGCGCGTCCCCTCAACACCTTACGGCGCCTCAAAAGCCGGAGTCCGAAACATGACGCACACGCTCGCCATGGAATGGGCACAATACGGCATCAGAGTCAACAGCGTATCGCCTGGCCTAGTCAACACAGCTATGACGTACTGGGTTCCGCAACAGCCAGACTGGGAGCAGCAGCTGAAGTATTATGGTGGGTTTCCGAGGCTGGCAGAGGTGCAGGAGCTCGGTGGTGCGTACGTGTATCTATTGAGTGATGCTGCGAGTTATACGACGTCGATTGATATCCCGGTTAATGGCGTTATTGGAAGTAAGTCATTGCTTCCTTCTCTTCTAAGTTACCACCCTGTGGAACTAATCCGCGTACTGACTATACCAGTTTGTTGAGTGGAATTGGTGCTTTCGTCTAGGATACAAGGGACAAGGTTAGAAAATGCGTCAATAGGACGTATTATCGAATAACTAGCTAGCTCTTTGAAGCACTTTTCGTGTTTCCTATTTTACGGTCGCATCCGTGTGGGCTGGTCTGCTGATGCTGACATTGATCGAAACCACACGTGCAGTGTTCATTGCCCCTGCCCCAAAAATATTGAAGCCGATTGAATACTCAGATGAACCCGGAATCGTGCGCTACTTTGGTGATATTAATTGATTCGAGTAAGCTTGCTTGTGTCGTACTTTGGACCGTCCATTGATGGATTTTTTCTGGAAATTGTGGTACATTATGGTCCACGAGTAAAGCAACGCAGCTCAATATCTTGGCATACTCTCCATCTCTGTCCTCTTGCTGGGCCAGATATAACCTGGAAGTAGTCTCCTGTAGTACTCCCCTCCCATTGTAGCCAACACTGTACACTGAAGCTCCCATGCTCAGAAGTTTCTGAGCAGCTGGTCGAAGTCCTCTTGTGACTGCTACAACCAGGGCAGTATCACCAATCCCGTCGCGCGCATGGATGTCTGCTCCGTGACAAGATATACCTTGAATGATACCCGGAAGACTCAAATCGTCATCATCGGGACATCTCCATAACTTAAGCATCGCAAGAAGTGCAGTCTCGCCATGAATGTCAACCCAATTCAGGAGCCGGGTTTTTGACAGCCAGACGAGCCATGATTGCCAATCGTAGTCATGTTCTGATATGGATCCTTGAAAGCTGAGTCCATACAAAGCGGACTTTGCGTACGTCAAGAGGAAGGCGCCAGCTTGAAGTGAGGATACATGGATATTGCGGAGCTTGAAAAGATGATAGCCGATGGTATGGCCTTGATTGTCCATGACATCGATTTGTGGTGGTACGATGGAGAACAATTCCTTGATAAAGACCGGGGATGTGTGCGACAGCTTCGACGCTTGTTCAAAAAGCTGAAGCGTAGGAGTCCGACCGTGGTAATCACGAACGTCGAAGGCAAAGTCCATAGATTTCAGGTAACGGGGCAGATTAATGTACTTTGGTAGGTCTTCGAATTCCGAAACCAAGAATAGCGTATGAAGAAATGTCTGGCCTTGAGTGTTTCTGGAGCTGATGTCTGCTCCCATGTCGATTAACTGGTTCAGATAGAATATCCCCCCCGACTTCTGGTGCCATGCAGCGTAATGAAGCGAATTCAACCCGAGAGCATCGAAAGAATCTATTGAATGCAAGCGTGACAGCACTTCTTGCCGGGACTTTGGCGGCAGAGTAAATGTGCGACGAAAAGAAGGTAGCAAGCAATAGCGGTAGGGGTCAAAGCCAAAGTGGCGGTGATGATGTGGGAAGCACGAAGGCCAACAGTTGCACTCATTCGCTCGAGAAAAGTGGAGTTTCTCGCACTTCGTGGACCCCCAATTGCCTTGAGTATTGTTGACCAACTGCTCCCACATATTGACCTCCTCTTCACAGCGATGATTCAAGCGCTGCAAACTCTGGCTCGGTGTGGAAATCTCCCCAGAATCGAAGACATCTGCAGCTTGCCTAGATTCGGCTGTAGCTCGTTTTGTATTGTGTGCACTTGAGCTGTCATACGAGGGTACTCTGACCAGTGAATTCCAGCTCGTACGCCATGACATACTCGATCGTATAGAGCTGCTCAAGGAACATCTTATGACATTCCTAACCAGAAATATGGAATTCAATGAGCGGTTTCTCAGTCGAAGTTAAAGACTCCGAACACCGTTATGGCAGAATGTTCGTGAAATGATTCCGTTCTGTTCCTTCTGCATTTCCACTGCGGAGTTTGGCTGGGAATATTTTGCAGAGGCTCCGGGTACAGCCTTCGGTGGTGAGGTTTCTCCGGCGCTGTTTTGCAGTTGCGAGATGCTGGATCCATCAAGCAGCAGAAGTTGCGGATTAACCTTTTCAGCGCCTCGAATATCAAGATGACCTGTAGAGACGATTGGCAATGTGTCCGGCTGAGACAAGGAATTATTGCGAAATGCGGTCTCAGGTCCTTTAAAGTCTGAAACCCGAACGATAGAGCGTTGCAGAGAAATGGCGTTGTTTTTCCCAGTAGAACTCCCCCTGGAAACAGGTTTGATGGCACTCAAGCGACTGGCCATCTGGGAATCACCAGACGGGCGATATCTTCGGTACTCTTTGCTGTAGTCCCGAGGGAAGAGTTCTCTAAGCTTTTTCTGAATGTCGCTCGAACTGTGCTTAGGTTAGTCCTCGTAGGAGAGGTTACAGCACCAATTGACTGCCTACCATGGATCGAAATCATGATCTTTTAGGACCTGCCGAATCTCGTCCTTGTCAAGCGTCGTCAGACTGTACAGCCGCACCAATTTTCTCTTCCTTGAAGATGTCCAGGCATTTTTGGGACGCCCTCCTATCTTTGCGCCCACCATGGTCTAGATAGGTGTTTTGAAGAAGTTGGATGATATGGAACGACAGGTGGCTGGAGTAGAATGACGAGAAATAAATGTGGAAGTGCAGATGTCAAGAGAAGACTCGAGAAGTTGAGAAACTCGTCAGCCTGATAATGAGCGTCCCCTATCGCCATACCCATGTTTTTGCGAGCGGTGTTCCCGTCATCAGGCTTGGAATTTTGCTGGGGTTGCACCTGTACAGCGGGAAGTCGAGCCGCAACCAACCAGTGGGCGGACCACCCTGTCGGCAGCCTCAGCAATCCAATTTGGGCTGAGTAAAAACCCCAGTCAACTCCTATTTCAACAATTGCGTTCGGAAGACGCCCGATTGTGCAGAGTGATGTTGTAAAGACAGTGTTTGACAAATATCAGAGTCCTCAACTGGAGAGGCGAAGTAACTTCTCGCCAATACTGAGACATGCTTCTAGAGAATCGCCCGCAGGTATGCGACCACTTAGAGATCGAGTAAAAACCCCTGCCCTCGTAAACTTGGTGCGTAGAAATGGCAGAGCGGTGCAAAGAAATGGCAGAGTGGTACAACCGAAAATGCAACGCCATGTTTATATAATGTCTTCACATTTCTTTACTCCAAATGCACAAACAGAATAAGCAACGGACTGCAACAGTTTTTAGAACACGGATATGACAACGACGCCTATCACATCACGAGGTATGCTGACTTTTTTTATCCCGTCTATCAGCAACCATGTCTAATTGATAGAGTTGAAGCCGTCCCGACTATGCACACATCATCATCCGAACCGGAACGTGGCAACCCCTCACTCGCACTCAGCAACAAATCTACATTTGGAGCTGAAAGTATCATAGCAGTGGTATTTGGAGTAACGACACTTTGCACCGCTCTATACGCGATCTGGCAAAATCGCAAGCGGGTTTATGACATGGCATGGCAGTGGCGAGCTGGAGGTACGAGAAATCCATACGCAGGCAATTCTCTAAAAGTGCTCTAACAGAGATACATTTTGGAAATAAATTACCTGTATTTGGGATAATCATGTTTGGTGGTGGAGTTCGGAAGAAGATTCAAAGATTCAGGCCAGATGCATGTGATGTAGCAGGGGAACGACAAACAAGTAGCAATTGACAACTGATTATTATTACTGATTACCGATTCACTTGAATCTCACTCCTCTTGTCTAAACTGGGATCGTCCCATTGCACTTGCCCTTCACCAGACTGGCACCAACACCCACCAACCCATCAAAATAACCCAGCACGGTCTCAAGCGGAACCATGTCCATCAAACCCAGACTCGGGTTGGAACTCCTCAACGGCTGGCCCTTCCACAGCACACGGACATAGTACCCACTTCCACTAGCCGGGGCTGATGGTGTAGCAGCTGGCACGGAGGTTGAAGAAGTTGGTGTCACGATACATGAACAGGCAGATGAGACTCGTGATGCCAGGCCGCCGCAATTGGAGACGAATGTTGGTAGTGCGGCGGTTGCTGAAGATGCAGTGAAAGTAGGGCAGAAAGCAGAGACTTTGGAGGATTCCTTAATGAATTGTCGAAGGCAATTATCGTGGTTGCAGTTTGGTGCTGCAGTTGGTGTAGCTGTAGCGGATGTTGGGGTTACTGACGCATCCTTCTTGTAGAGCTCAAAGACGACCTCGGATCCCATGCCGGGCCAGACCATAACATCGAGTTGCAAGAGGGAGAGAACTCTCGACATCGATCCATCGTGTGCGACATTGTGTCGATAGATAACATTGCTAGCACCACTTATGAAATCCCGAATGTGAGCCGTGAGCTCTCCAACCCAGACGCCTTGGCTGGTGTAGCTTGCTGCCAGACTTCGAGGGTCACCACGATAGATGTATGAGTACTCATAATGGCCCAGACGGTAGACATCATCAGCAAGATCTTGGTCCACGCAAATGGTCGAGTTGACTCCATTGACGAGCTTGCATGGCAAAGGCTTCGCGTGACACTGGCGTGCGGACAAATTGTCATAGTAATGGTCGAAACTCGCATGAAATCCTGAGTCTGTGGTGGGTACTCCAGAAATATTGTCCAAGGTAGAGTAGATTCCAGCAGCAGCTGTCAGATGATTGGTCCAATTCGCACCTGACTTGATTGCATTGAAAAGGCTCGAAGCTGTGGGGCAGGAGTAAGTCGGTTCAAGAGAGTCGTATCCGCTAGGGTTTATAAGTAATGGATAGTCGTCCTCAATACCAAACATCCCATTCACGACCATGCCAGCAACCTCACTGGTAATCACGTTCTGGGTAACCCTGAAAGTGACCTTCTCGTTTGCAGTGGCTGGCAGAAAGCCCAGCAGGTCATGATACACTTCATATAGGTCCTTCCCATGCTGCCATGAATCATCAAGTCCTTCTTTGGTGATCTGAGGGAATTGGCAGCTTCCGAGAAAACCAGTTGGAATGAACGGATTCTGTGGTGAAAGGAAGCCCTGCCAGTATGCATGTGCGGCTTTCTTCCCATTCTTTGGTTCGCCATAGTAGAACAGCCCTTCATCGTCACAATTCCAACCATATGATTCAACTGGGAAGGAGTTCGAGGCATAGACCGTTCGCTTGTGGTGTCTTTGGATCTGTAGTTGGTTGTTAGCCACTGGTCTTTCTTCTGATAGCGTGATTAATGCATACCACTTCGACGTATTGTAGTTTGTATTCCGAGGATGGTTTCTTGTACTCCGTCGCCCGCACATGCGGCATGTTACACCAATTGTACGTCCCATACTCGCTGGCAGGAGTGGTAGAGCTGTTGTATATGAATCCATACACGCCATCCCCTCCAATGACTTTCGTCAAGTCATTGATTTCCGTAGCATTCGGCGGATACCAGCCAAGATCCACATTCCCAGCTGCATTTCCATGCCGTGCAAGAGAAGCAGCAATGGCCGCGATGAAGCTTGTCCGAGGGTTGGTACGCATGGTAAAGTATTCCTGGCTGACAACACGACAAAGAATAATAACTCCCAGAACAGGCACAAGTCTAGTAAACCAGATGGCGCCAGGAACCAGTGTCTGAGATCGAGGGGTTTCCATCCATATTTATGTTCTGCGAAGCTCTGTCGAGCTTCCCACGTGGGATTGGCGTCAGTGGAAGAACGCGCGGAGTAGAGATGCGCGAAGAGGGAGAGTGGGATAATGGAACGCTGCGGGCAGAGTGCCAGGATAGGGTAATCCTAGCTTTCACATAGCTGTGCCGTTCGATAAGAGGGGAGATTCCATGTTCACCTCCTTGCCACGGTCACGGAATCGAGGAAAATGGAGCTTGATATGCGAGGATGTGGATGTGGTGAGAGGAGCTCTCACAACATTTGAGGTTCTAAAATGCACGTGCGGCAACATCAATTCCCAGTGGCTGATTTTGGCGGACAGTGCCGCTTTAGACGGCTTAGCAGCTGAACGACTTCAGGGGTGATACAAATCGGAGAATTTATTAAAATTGTCCTACCCAGAAGTGAAAAGATGTGTCGATTCTCTTGATATAGTCGCTTTGTTACCAATATTGGTTTTCTTTGCATTCATACCAACTGCTTTCTAATTTAAACATCGTCAACAAGCGAATCCTTTGTTTACCTCCCATTTTTGCGTCCAGTGAAAACAAAACTAAAATACACGAACAAAGAGACGGTGTTATCGCCACTTCTAGGCCATACCTCTGTTCATGTCAACACCGTCCCTGGAGTCCATCTAGCTCTCCTACCATTCTTCGAAATGTCTCCAAGAATTTGTTCCTGGAACGAGTTGACGTTGACGGATCACTTCCGTATACTCAAAGTTTAGCAATGAAGTCCCTCTCTTATGCTCCATCATATGACGATAAAGATCCTTCTCATCCGCAGTTGGTATCTTCCAATGTGAGACACACTCGACTTCCAAGTAGGCCACTTTCTCGAAGCCGCACAAGACATCAAGCAAGGGCTCGAGATCGGCCATTTTGGGCTACATTATGTCAGCGGATTATCTCTTATATTGTGGGCACAAAAGAACTAACGCCAGCTTCAGCGGGATCACAATGAATTTCAAGTACCTCAAGGTCGGGACAGTTCTGTTGGAGGCGCAACAGGTCAGCAGTTCGAAGAAACCGATTCGTCGACTCCTGCCCAACCTTCAGTCGTAGTTTCTTGAGGCCTGCTCCGACCCTGGATATGTATGATACCAGTGTTCCTGGACAATATCGAGAAGTGGTCAGGTCTTCTAGGCGCCGTAGTTTTGATATGAACATTCCTAACTCATGCTCCGCGCTCGATTCTTCTTCATGCCTACGACTTATCGGGTACGTCATCTCAGAGAGACAGTCGAGCTTACGCAGGTGAGGAAACTGTTGTGTAGCTCCTGCCGTGAGGAAGTTTTCATAAGAGTGTCTTTTGGCATGAAAGAAGAGACATTCAAGTTTTGAGAAGTCCCATAGTAGTGCTGTCTCCGCAGAAGTATGTCTCCATGGGTAACTGTAAAGCTTGAGCTCTTTGAAAGGAGGTAATCTTCCTTTGGTTGAGTCGAAGCGAAAATCCCTATCAACTATCTTGAGCGAGAGGATTCGAACGTTCGGTGAGGTAACCAAGAATTCCTGGAGAGTCGAATACTCCATGTCGAGCTCGACAACGACCGACACGAGATTTCGAAATCCAGGAGGGAACACCGGGTTGGATACTTGAAGCCCGTCAGCCATATTTGTGGTTCAAGAGTCAAGTTCCTACCCCCGATACATTCAACCCAGATGGGGACATCAGTCCTCTGCAAGAATTGACTGTAAAGGATTTGAGAAATATGTATGACATCCCCCGACCTTGTTCTCATATTATGCTTTATGTCTAGCTCGCTAAACGATAATAGATTTACGTAGCGGCATCTGTTCTCACACTTATCAGCATTAGGACATCATTCATGCCAACGATCAACTCACGTAATCGATTGAAGTCCTTTACACAGAGACAAAATTTTCAATGTGTCTTTGTCATCGAGCTCCGCCCCATAATCGCGTTCACGCACGAAACCCACCTTTAAAGTAACATGCCTGGCATGATTTCGGATATTGGTCAAGACGGCCTTGTAAGTCTTACCCTCAGGGTCAAGCTTGCGACGAAATGCATTGTCGCCAGAATCGACTTTAGCATACACGATGGGAGTCAAAAAATTGTGCCATCTTTGACATACAAGTCGCCAAGCGTGAAGCTGGTATATCTTTTTGGCAAATCGATCATCCCATGGGATGAGCGGTGAGGCAGATCTTTGAAGTTCACGTAACTGCAATATTGTCAGATCTGGATTGCTTGCAGAGAACTTCTGACCTCACCACATTAAATACCATGAATAATATATTTTCATCCAGAAGTGCATGGACAGTTTGCGCCTGATCCAACATTTTCGGCGTCAAAAGTATGAAAAGATCCTATCTCGTGTATTTTTCACAAGCATTGATGTCGAAAAATGGGCAGAATTAGATATATATATATATTTATCCATACATATAAATAATCAGTCAAAGAAGCTATATGTCAAAGAAAAGAAAAGTTAAAGATAGCAGTGAGTTTCTATACATAGGCATTACGTATGTAGAATCGTCTTTGATGTGTTCACTCGACATCATTCGTCTCAGTCTATTTGCAATGAAACCGTAATCCCAGCCTGACCTGATAATTGCTCAAGGTCTCGGCAAACTTGACTATATAAGCTCTTGTTCCCATACACTTTTCAACGCCTCAACAGCACGCTTATACGTTCTTCCATCTTCTGGTCGCCTCTGAAATACGTCGACTTTTCATCCCACCCGTGTCCTTCACGCTACACAATATATCCCTTAACCTCCTTCCACAACCCCTCAAGCCGCTTTCTGAATTATTCGCTTTCGGTTAACAGCTGATCACCATTGCAATCAACTATCACCAGCGTCTTTGGCAGGGAATCTTGAAACAGTTCTTCAGGTGCAACTCCTGGACTTATTCATGGTGATCCCAAATCAGCCTTGGTAGAAATATATCCATCATCGAAGACCTTGAGCAAGAAACGGGGACTTGCGACAAATAAATTTGGGTTCGAAGCGCCTTGCTCAACTCACGACTGAGTCCAATCCAGATCTCCGCAGACCGCCACCAAATTCACAATTCACTTTTTTGACCTTTCATACCCTACTTCTCGGCCGGTCGCTTAGAATTGGCTCACCTTCAGCGCTTTACAAATCTCTACATCAACCACTATCATTGAACGTCACCATGAGTGATCAACACAGTCGTAAGATGCGCGAGGACCCCGGCTCCAACAGTCTCCAGCAATCGCTCCCCTCTTTCTCGTCCTTGGCTCCTCCTGAACATGATCCAGAGCACGTCAATTTCATCCCTGCAATCATCGAAGGCAAGGTATGTTTACTTCTAGATGGTGTATCTCGTTGCTGCTCATGTTCAACTTTGAAACCAAGCATTATCCTCACATATTTAGAAGGACTAACATTACCCACACAGGACATTGTCAACAGCGACCCCTACGACCCAGAGGAATTTCGCATCTGGATCAAAGCCGGCATCACCAAATCTCGCCAGTCCTTCCAGGAGACTTCTGAAGCCGATCGTACCGATGCAATGAAGATCGAACGACGCATTTTCGAGTGCCTCGACGCTGCGACCGAGAAGAACTTAGGACGTATCTCGAACAAGGAAGCTGCTTTGATACTACTGGGCGAGGTCGACTGGACAGATCTCATGGGAGGAGGTACACCGAGTCGTAGAAATAAGGCTCATGCCAAGACCAAGTCAGGTTGTAGTGAGGTCAAGGCGATGAATAGTGCTCGGCATGTTGGAGACAAGGAGAGAAAGGAGAGAGAAGAAAGGGAGGCTAGAGAAGAGGCTAGGGAGGATATTAAAATGAGAGATGAGGCTTGGCGAAATCGGCGAGACCAGGATCTGGGTGCTGAGTTGGATGAAGATGGCTTGCCGTAAATGGATTATCAGCTATGTCTCAAGATTGCATGGAGAAGGCGGAACGCCCCTGTACTTTGAACTTTCACTTCACTCATTCAAAGAGTGGCTATTGTATTAAATCTTGAAGCTGCCATTCACTTCAAGGCATGAAGTTGGGTTCGACGCAATCGCGGAAGCGAAGCCTTATGAGATGGGTTTTTATTTCCGTTATAGTTAGCCGTATCAAGATGGAAAAGTGGAGGCTCACTCCCATACAGACCCTCGAATCCTTGGTCTAGGCAACCCCCAATTCAAAGTGTCCCTTTGGCCTTCGGGCCATGGGGAGTTTGCAAAGCACTATGCTTCCTCCGGTGTCTTGAGTTTTGCTTCTCGGCTCGCTTAATCCACCTGCAATGTCAATATTTTGTACGCAGACCCACCTGCTAAGCGATGGCGATCCAAAGTTCACGAAATATTCATACTTTATTTCTGAGATATTTCAGCATGTATTATGGCATCGCTGAAGGAGTCATCATATTAGCCCTCTTATAGGCAGGTTGTCTTGGCCGCCCCGTTGTAGTGAGCGAAGGTAACGCCAAGACCATCAACAAGGAGATGAAAGGACTAGATGCTCGGTATCAACACGGGGACTGAGCTACTGGGAGTAAATGATGGAAGATATGGTTTTTTTTTAAAAAAAATTTTTTTTTGATAAAATCTTACTAAGAAATCGCTACAAACGAAGAAAGGAAAGCCTCAGACAAGAGAACATAGTACATCCAAACAACATCGCCACACACGCCTTTCCCAACACGCCTCCAACTCCAAGCTGAATATTATATATCGTACATTCCATTCCTTTCTTTTTGTAATTGTCAATCTCATTTACAAAACTCCACCAACAGCAACAGCACCAAACAACGCCGCCAAACCCATCGCTCCCTCAACGCGTCCTGCAGCAGCAGTCTTCGTGCTAGCGCTCGGTGCCGTCGTGGTAGGCGTGATGCCACTCGTGAACGGAATAACACTGGCGGATGACACACCCGAGAAAGCAACTGGCTGGACTGTAGCAGTAGGGATTGGCGTTGCGGTTGCGTTTGCTGGGTTGAGGACACTAGATAAATCGTTAGCGAGGATATTCTCAAAACCAATGAAGAAGGGAAACAAGTCAAGGAAAGACTCACTTATCAATAACGTGCACCACCCCATTCGCCACAATAACATCACTAATAATCACCTGCGCACTATTCACAAACACCTTCTTATCCACGACCTCAATATTGACCATCCCTCCCTGCGCAGTCATCAAGCTCATATTGCCAAGCATACCTGCATATCCTACCGTGCCACTGACGACGTGATACGCTAGTATGTTGCGGAACATGGTTGGATCTGCTTGTAGGGCTGGGAGCGCGGACCCGATGTTTTGGAATGCGGCGTTAGAGGGCGCGAAGATTGTTACGTCGCGGGCGCTGTCGATGGTGGGAACGAGACCGGTGGATGTTAGGGCGCCGGCGAGACCAGTTAGGCCGGAGTCGACGGCGGACATGGAGGGCATCTGGGGGTGGGTGTGAGTTATTTGATTTTCTTGGGTGAAGAGGATGAGAAGGTGGGGAATGAATACGTACCATCGGCACGGTAAGCACTTTGTCAATAACATGCACCACACCTCCTGTGAACATGACATCCATAGTCGTACTCATACTCATCTCCTTCAATCCACTCATTGCCATGACCTTGTTCCCCATCTTAGAGAGCTGCACCACCTGGCCATTCGTAACGTTGGTATACGTTGAGTTTGTCAATATGCTATGTGGGTATATCGACATATTGAGAGCGCTAGAGGGATGGGCTCCGACCAGGACGTGGTATTGGAGGAGCGCGGTCAGCTTGCCTGGGTCGTTCGAGGTCGCTTGTCCGCCCGGTGTGGAGAGGAATCTGGAGAAGGCATCGTTGGAAGGCGCGAGGATTGTGATGTTACGAGCGTTGAGGAGATTTGTGGCTAGTTCTGGCTGGTTCTGAAGGAGAGCTGGAAAGAATGTGAGTAAATCATTTTGCTGAAGATACAGCAGAGACATCTTTCATCATTTATGAGAGAAACACGGGACTGAAGACCTGAGGAGAGAATCACAAGGTCGTGGGATCTGAAGAAATAGAGCTACATACCAGTCAACGTCCCCAACGTCTTATTGTTCGCTGCCAAAATCTCCATAAGAGACATCTGCGCGGCAGCAGAAGCCGCAAATGCAGCTGCAATCACAAGACTTGACAAATGCATCTTGATGTTTTCAAAGTACCTCGATAATAGGGTTTCAACTCGAGTAGCAATTAACCACCTAGCAGGAGAGTGGACTGTTCAGGTGGAGACCAAAGAGAAAGCCCGAATCAACAGGCTCGAACTTGCTGATAGTAAAGCAAAGAACAGAAAAGGCCAGCCCAAGAAGCAGAGAGGAAAGGAGAAAGCGGGAGAAGGAACTAAATGTCAGATACAACAGAGATAAACAAAGTTCAGACCAGCCAGCATACAACAAAATGCAGAACCCAAAACCTCGGGAGAAGGAGGAGGGGCGTAGCAAAGTTTATACTTCCTTGCTCGCTCCATCGGTCCATCCACATCCTGCCCCTCCACCCAAGCTCTCTATCAAACTCTACCCTGTGTCTCGCATGGAAGCTTGTTCACCTCACAGCAAACCCTCGCCAAAGCCTCAAGCTCGCCCAAGACTACTGCCAGCAGCCCAAACCGACACCAAGGGTCTCATCAGTGTCGCTTGCGGTAACAGCCAGACGTCCAAAGCGCTCGCGCCATCTTTCTTTCCTCATCCTTGCACTCTACCTTGTCTCTAATCTGACAGGCCTAGTTACAACCGGTCTTCTAGCTCCCTTATTCTCACGACAACTCCAGGGGACCAAAACCCGCTCTGCCGCTACTTTACGGTACAGCAAGCAAGCACGCAACTCGGCGATCTGCGCACGCACGCACAGACTCCGCACTAAGCACTCAGTCGATCACCCGCCAGCACTCATACAGTACAGTGACAAAACCTTATTTCCTGACTGGCATCTGAAACAGTATTTGGGAACGTCTATTGTGTGGGCATTTGGATGTGAAATGTGTACCGAGCTGTTTCAAGCCGGATGGCTCGCTTAGGGTGACATTGGCTATTGGATTCGAGAATGTCTGGGCGGAAAATATCTCAAACGGTGTGGAAACAAAACGGAACTTAAAACCAAACCAAACAAATGGAATCCACCCTCCCACCCAAGCCAGAGGTTGGTTATCACAAGATAGGTGGTTTAGCGAGCTTGGAGCTTGGGGTCTTGGGGTCTTGTGGTCTTGGAGCTTGGGACTTTAACCTCCTGTACTGTAGAGGCATGGAAGCAACGGGGTGGAATTGGCTGCGGCGGTGAGTTGATGGTATGTACAGTAGCTCTGACCTGACATGAGAGATACCTAGGTGAGCGTGGTGATATATGAGGGTACGGGGATGAGCTTGAATTCCTAGGTAGGTGTGGATAAGTTGGTGAAAATTTGGAAGAGAGAGGAGAAGTAGGGAGGGAGGGAAAGAGGGGAGGGGCGTGTGAATTGCACTTGCAATTCTGTTTGTCGATGTATGGCTCTCGTGTATGCGCTGTTTGGAGCGCAAGAGAGAAAGAGAGAGGGAGAGCGCAATTTTGATTTCCATCGTCTTCCATTCACTCACCCACTCATCCTCCCATCCTTCCATTCCATTCCATTCCAACTGTCACTCACAACCCTTAGTATATACAATCTCCACTCCACTGCATTCATCCATTGCTTTCATTCACCGACAAGCCGCCATTTTGTACTTCTCCATGATGTGATCCTCTCATACCCATCAAACGACAACCCAAAACCATGCCATACCATGCAATGTAATTCAATTCCAATTCCATGCAATACCATGCAATACCATGCACCACCCGTCATGCGATCGCTCGCTCTCGCCCTCACACAGTCAACACATTCATAACATACATTAAGCAGACCCGCAGCCGCCCCGGTGCCGTCTATCTCGTGGCCTCAGACCGCAGCCCACAAGAGAACATAGACGGGCAGAGACAGGAGGAAAAGTAAAGAGAAGAAAAGAAAAGGGGGATATCAAAGGATTTATTGTGTTATCGTTCGTAAGACTCATGCTCGTCGGAAATGGAACCGTGACGAGGTGGACAGACTAGAGGAGAGTCGCTAAGCCAAATCGTGATGCAGTGGAGCTAAGCCGAGCATGGTTCGCTTATTTTTTCCAAAGGAGGAATTCGAAAGATAGTGGATGAGGAGATTTACAGGTCGTGAGGTTCAGGTCGGGTTTCCGAATGTTGAGAACGGAGAGGCTAGTCGCCAAGTGCTTTGCGGAGATCGGTCCATTTCCTCGTGAGTGTCTCGTGAGCGGCGTTGATCTGGAGGTGGTTAGTTGTATTCAAATCCCATTCTGGGGCTAGGGAACAAACCTCTGCGTATTGCATCTTGGTAGCCACAAGCGTCTGTTCCATCTCACCCATCTCCTCTTCCAACCTCGTGTTCTCCTCGTGAACTTCCTGATTTCTCTTCATCAAACGATCCATCTCGCTCTGTAACCTGGCTTCAACCTCCTCGGGCTGCTTCTCGATCACCAGTCTCAGTTCTCGGACTTGACCTTTCAGAGATTCATTCTCATCATTCAGCTCTTCATTCTCAACCTTCGTCCTGACCAAGTCCGTTGCAAGAGCTGCATGTTCAGAATCGTGTTCTTCGACGCGCTCCTCCAGTCGTCGGACCTTCTGTTGGAGGGATTGATTAGTTGACTTCAGATTTTCCAACTCGGCTTCACGCTCCTTTTCCAGACGGGTCTTCTCCTCCCATTCTAGCTTATAAGTCTTGAGGTGCTCGGGTGTGATCTTGACGGCGCAAGCGTCCTGAATGAGTTGATCTGCTCGGTAAACCTCCTTGTCAATACTTGCGCCGGAACTGCCAAAGAAGCCAGACTCAAGAATGGAGCCCGCGGAAGGTGATTGGTCGATATAAACATCGAAAAGTCGGTCCTTGAGGAAATTTGTCAAGGCGACCATATCAGTCATGCCAAGTAGGGTTGCAGCATTCTTTTGCATAAGGACGATTCCGAACTTGATGATAGCTTCTAGACCTTCGCTCAGGATGAGATCGTAAATTCTGAGAACGAGTTGCAGCGGGAACCGGTATGCGAAAAGTGTGAGGAACCATTGAGTGGCATAGAGATGTGGCGTGACTTGACGACGATGAAGATGGCAGTAAAGAGCTGGCTCAAAGTCTTCCAGTAATCTCTCAAACTGGTAGAGGTGCATATGTAATCCTGGCATATCCTGTTTGAACAAGTCTCGAAGGTGGTATTGGTTCATCAATCGTACAAGTAAACAGAACGCTTCTTCTTCGGGCATCTAGAAATGGTTAGGAAAACATCTCACGCTGCGGCTTATGACTTACGTTGAAAAGCAAAGGCATGGCAAGGAAATTCATGCCTTGAGCATATCCTACACCCTCATCGAAGAGAGCATATGCCCTACATACCCCAAACAAACCTTCCTGGAGTCCAGAGCTTGCAGCGAACTTGGAAAAGCTGGTTCGAGCACCAAGATCCCGCTTGATAGCCTTGTCCAGCTTTAACAAGGCTGCCGCATCGTCCTTGGCTTTCTTCTTCTTCACTGCTAAAGTGACAGCTTGGGCTTTGGCCAGGACATCAGGATCCTTTGGTGGGGATGGCGACCGCATCCCATTCGTAATGGTTGTGGCTGGGGTGGAATTGTCTGAATGTATCGAGGAAGCTGATGACACTACTGTCTCATCCTTTTCTTTCCCATTCACGCTCGTAGCTCCGCTTGATCCACTCATGCGATCCTTATCCTTCTCAGTCCCTCGATTGACGAGATCTCGATATACACTCTCAAGCTCCTCATTTTTACTCTGGGCCAGAATTTGCCATACTACTCCACGAATGGCGTTCGGAATACCGGTTGTAATCGCTCGATTCAACTCTTCGGGGCTCGTTCTCGCAACTGCTGTTGGACCTTCGTCTACAACTGCCTGCCACAGATCCCAATCAACAGGTTCAGCTATTGCTGATGGACCTGCCGAAACACCTGCAGCTGTGCCGGGAGCCAATGCAGGATTGACTATCGCTGGATTTGGACTCATCGGAGGATGTGGGGAGGACGGGGATTGGGCATGAAGTGTATCTTCTACTGAAGGGCTGGTAAGACCACCCATGCTGAAAGTCGCACTTCGCGATAGCATACCTGTAAATCCACCACCAGATTTATCGTCATCAGGCAAAGCAGTAATGCCAGCCTCTTCTCTCATCCGTAGCAGCTTGAACCTGTCCCTCAGACTATTCCTTGCTGGCCGCCCATTTGCGCTTGTAGTATGTCCCTCGTCGCCTTCTTCCAATTTGCTCAACATCATCTCGGGATTACTGCTGATCGTTGTAATCGAGGATGCGGTGTTTCTTCGTGCTTCTCTGTCTGGGGACGGTAAAGCAGCGGCAGTCTCTTTCTGTTGTGAAGTATTCCGTGAGAGCCAGGAAAAGGGACTTGTCAACTTTCTTGTCGGCGGCGCGGGAGCTGGGAGGGTATTTGACGGAGGGGCCGCAGGTGGAGGTGACCAAGGTACTGATGGTAGAGCACCGGAGAGTCCTTGAAGAGCAGATTTGGCATTCTTCGGTGGTAGAGGAGGAGGGGGCTTGGAGGCTTCTGTTGGGGAACCTAATCAGTACACTGCATGTGGAGAGCCTGCAGTTGCACAACTACATACCTTGTGAGGCGACAGGTTTTATTGGACTCATATCCTCGTCTAGACTAACATTATCCAAGTTGACATTGTCAAGGGATGAATTGGACACACGATGTGAAGTCAACAGGGGGGAGTTTGGCTGCTTCACATCTTCTGTATCTTGCTGTGTTTCCTCCTTTGACTCCATTGCTGGGACTGACGGTACAGGTGACTGGTCGTTGTCCTTTATTGATTCTGAGTTGCTCTTCGAGGAGGATGGTCGCTTTGTTAGAGACCGAGTCCTCTCCATGGACGGCCTTTTAGGGGGTTCGACCGGAGCGGTATCATTTGCATCTTCAAATGTATCCTGCAGACATATCGCTATTAGCAAAAGTCCTCAAGATTTTGGGTACAGAAGCTGCGATCTATTCCAGTTGCCAGGTATTAGGAGGGGGGTCGCGTATCCAACGTACAGTTTCACGATCAGAGTTGTCCGCATTTGAATCCCTCCTCGTCTGCCCATTTACTGAGACAGAGTCCTCTTTCTCTTTATTCTCGTGTTCCGACATTGTCAGTGGGCCCTTGTGTAAGGTTGAACGGGTTGCTGCAGAGGTAATGTGCTTCCAAGGGCGGCCGATAGGATCAGGAGGTGGTTGAGGCCATCAAAGGATGCTAGCAGCTGTTGCTGGGACAGAAAGGCCTCAATGGTGGTGAATGTGCAGCAATCAGGAGCAGGATGAGTGAAAGGATCCTGCACAACTGAAAAGAGCGTAAGGAGTTGGAGAGTGGTTGGAAGTGGATTCGAGGTTGAGGGTGATCGTGCCTCGATTATTTGGATTGCTGGCCAGGCCAGGGTTGCTCGTCGGAGCTTAAGGTTATCTACGCCGATAGGGGCATCCAATGCAAGCTGTTCAGAACTCGCGAACTCAATGAACGAACGCCGACTGTAGCACTGCGAGGAATGAAGAGACCTCAATATGATGAGAGAAGTTCTTTGTGACGTTTGCAACCAGTCTAAGTTATATTTTACATAAAACGCATAGCTGGCTCATCTCAAGTCATCAGCTGGCACAAGGGTCTCTCGAATGCCCGTCCCCGTCCCTATCCCATCTCGCATCCTCCTCTCGCTCAATCTATTTTGATGTGCCAGGACCGGCTCCAGCCACGGACGCAGGGATAGAGTATGAGCCGTCGACGCCACTGCGAACAGCAAACATTCCTGGCCTATCAAAGTGCCGGAAGGAGGCTGGACGGAATCCTGAAACAAGCGATCTGGAAATCCGTTTGTCGAAGTCAAGGAGGAGTTCAACTCGTTTGCTCCAAGTTCTGAAGAGGTTGCAAGAGACGTTGAGAAGTTGGGTATACAGGCCATAGGTAGATATTGCACACACGTAGGCAAGAGTTCTGAGTGATTCTTGAGATACGATTGCCACGCAATGCCTGTTGCTAGTCGAAGTATGTTGAAATTATCAGAGGGGCAGCTTGGCATTAAGATATACCTACTCAGCCTTAAGGGATTCCAACAGGCTGGGCCATGAGGACACGCTTCGCAGAAGCATTTCTCAGAGAATGATCATGCAATTGCAGTCGTCGTTCTGGAAGGGGAATATCATCGCCTCTCCTAGTAGAATTCCCTTCTAGACAAATAGCCTGGAAGAAAGGGTTTTGAGAGACATACCTATGATTGGATGTGAGCTGCGATATCACATGATCGCTATCAGCCTTGTCACAAGGCTAGCAACCTCGAAGCATCAGGCTGAGAGGAAGGTACTCTGATTTGACTGGAACTGTATAATTGGGGCTGCTATGAATCAACAACTGCTTTCAAAAGAAACTTGAAATTTCACTATCGTGAGTCCAACAATGATTATATCCATCGAGCCCCTCCTCTTTGGAATAAGGGAGAACCTTCTCAAATCTTGCCTTGGGAGCTTTGACCCTCGATGCCAACAAATCAACATGGGTACAAGCTAGCCCATGCAAAAAGCTCTTTTTGTTACCAGAGCTTATTTTCCTTCATGATTGTTTGTGTATCGTGTTGGTGTGATCTATTGTGCTATAACACTGGGTAGCAATAAATAGAATGGTAGATTATGCAGTGAAGTGAACGGCTCTTTGATATTTCAGAGAGCTTAACAAAGCTTCGGTTCATTGTGCCATTTGTATTGGTCTCTGAGTCTTGAGGTGCTCTGGAAAGAGAGATAAATATGTACCCAAATAGTCTGGTATATTGAAGTCAAACAAACGGTAATTTTTCGTCCTGATCATTCCGAGTTGCCTCTTTGATAACCTCTGAAAGTCGCAAGTCAACCGCCTGGAAATGACAAGGGGTTGCCTCTTCGCCGCCTGGCGGATCTGCTTTGGGGAAAGCTCTGACATTTTCTCACGCGGCTCAAAACCCTCCTTTGGGTCGTTGTACATAATGGGCTGTAATGTCTAAAAAGTGAATTCTCTATTGGATATCTTGAAGATGAATATTTCTGTAGATAACAATGCTTTTAAGTTGCCTCATTTGTGCAAAGAAGCGTAAAAAAACCCATCTGTGCCGGCAAGGCTCGCTGCACTGACGTCGCTAAGGGCAAGCGGCCGCAACGCGACATCTTCTCCAGCTACCTTTACCTTGCCTCTACCAAAATCCATCCTCTTCCACTCCACAACCTCCCCCCACCACATCACACAACACCGGCACCAACAAACATCACGAAATTCCCAGATCGAGAGTGCTGGTCCCTCATACCAGCTACTCCATTTCATCTCCATCGATAGAGAATCCGAAGGGCGCCTGCACCGTTCCCTCCGTCACGCTCTTTTCGATCTCTCCAATCCGCGACCCGACATCGCCTTACCTTCTCTCTCAACCTCACCCCAACAGTGTCTGTACATCAGGACATTCCTACTGGAGCTCCAGCCTCGAAAGTTCATCCTTGGAGCAGGTAATATTTTTCTTCGTGATAGCTAATTTACAGATCTCGCGCGGCTACCGCAGAGCACCTAATTCATTCTGCCTATCCCCCACAACTGAACATCAAGCATTCGTCCACATACGGGGTTATCCACCGCGGATGCTCCTTTGACTGTCTGCCAAGCTGTCGGCAGCTAGGATAGGCACGGAGGCAGTGGAGGGGGTCGATAACGAAATCTTAGCGGTCTTTCCGCTCCCGCCATCATCATGGTCCGAGTAACGAAGACTATGCAAGCGAGGCATGCCGAATCCTTGGTGAGCTTTAGATAAAGGTAATCTAATTAGCTATACATTGCTGAGGGAGTCTATAGTCACCATTCGTCAAGGAGTTCCGCAACGCGGCGTGTACAGTTTCCTTGCCCCTCCTCCCACAACATCTTGCAACGTTCCCGTCAAGATGGCCGTTTCCTCGGGGCGACCTCTACCACTGGATCTCCCTCTTAAACCGGTTCGACGATATTCTCGACAGATTCTGCAGTACATACAAGCTTGAGGATCCTCAGATCAGCAATTTTGGTTGCGAGATTCTCAAGTCGGGGATCGACGAAAAGGAAGTGGCTTCTCCCACAGGACATGATCTCGAAGCACTGGGATACTCTGCGGAGGGAGATAGAGAGTTGGTGGAGTCAATATTGAACTTCTCGAAGATGCTGCTACAGAATTGCGGAAATCGAAGCGTTTACGCAAGCAGTTCACATCTGAACAAGCTGTTGAACAGTACTTCTCTTTCGCTCCTGGAAGTCACACTGGAGCTGGGTTCGGAATTGGCTCAGAGATACCAAGCAGCTATGAAGCGCATGAATATTCCACTTCGTCATGTTAGTCAGGCCCTTCTTGCCAACCACTACAACATCAATCTGGACCGAGTATTGCAGCTGGCCTTACCATTCTCGAAGAATGTAACGACTGCGGCGGAGTCTGTTCACCCTACAACTCCTGCTACTCCGACTGTCAAGGGTAAAGAAAAGGCACTCTTCAGCACTCCAACAACAAAAGGTGCCACAACTACAGTGTACGCCACTGATCTGGTTACTATCGTCAAGGGCGGGTCTGTGGTAGGCAGCAGCCCCAAGAGTGTCCGGAATGGCGCAACTACTCTATCAAATTCAGAAACTGATTGGGAAGAGTGGGGAGATGTAAAGCTCACATTTTATCCAAAGACGAATGTCGAGCCAGATACTAATGGAACTACCAACACCTCTGCTCCGGCACCTTACACTCCTCCTCAAGGAATGCCCACAACTCCAACACCTTCACGGAGATCTAATCTTGGGCCCGGTTCATCACGCGCTGACAGACATACTGCCAGCGACGAGTCCCCGTCTACCCTACCTCGTGCTTCTACATTTCCTACCATTAATACCGAAGATACCCCGCGTCCTAATTTCAAGGTCATTGAAATTTCTTGCTCCAAAATCAAGGCTACTGGTCTACATGCGCTCCTGGCCGAGCATATGTCGGATCTGCCGGTTGATCAGAAATATGAGTTGTTGACAAAGCTTCGTGTCGCAGATGCATTGACAACCTCCGTAGAGACAAGACGCCAAATGCTAGCTGTCAGATTATTGGCTATCACAAATTTGGCATACATCCATCCTGAAGCCACCTTCCTGGAGAATGTCCTAAAGCAAGACAGCGAAGAGCCACGCCGATTACAGCTCATATATCAACTTGCGGAGCTGATTCACCCACCTGCTGATGGCGATGTTGCTGTACCTCGGTCTATTCAGACATTGGCATTTGCTGTGTTGGATGCCATGGCAAATCTTCAGACCCCGTTCGCAGATGTCTGTGCTGCGCTAAACACCAATGTCAATCACGGAGTTCTTCTCTACGTTGTCCGCAAGGCTGTTGCTGAGATGGGCAATACGGAGGAGGAACCGCAGCGCTCAGAGGACGATGTTTGGCGTGATACACTCTTCTCGCTCCTTGCTAACTTGTCGGTCAATCCTCGCACTGGGACCGATCTCATCACAGCTGGACTCATGCCTATCTTGGTTGAAGTCTTGACCCTCCGGACTGACATCGCCGAGCGTTACCATCCTCTGGTTCTTAGCTTTCTCGACACCATCATGTACAGCGCACGAGAGGCTTTTACCGCGCTTGTCGGAGCCGATGGGCTTGATTCGGTGTCTAGCTTGATCGTCTACGAAGTAGGCTCTGCTGCAGACAATGCCGCTGCTGGGAATGGAATGCCAATCCAGTACCGATCTTCGATGGTGGATTACGATATTCCTTTCTTCCAACAGCAGACTTTGAAATGGCTTTTCAAGTTCATCCACCATATGATGTCAACTGCTGGTGGCTACGGTGGAAATTTCGACCGTCTGTTGAGAAACTTGATTGACTCATCCCAACTGCTCGCCAGCCTTCGTCAAATCATTGGAAATGCGCGCCTCTATGGCTCGACCGTCTGGACCAATGCTGTCAGCATTCTCAACGACTTCATCAACAATGAGCCAACCAGTTTTGCAGTCATCGCGGAAGCTGGACTCAGCCGAGGTCTCCTCGAGGCTGTCACCGGTACAACCATCAGCATGCCGGTTGAGCCAAAGACTTCACAGGCTGAGGTGAGCGCCTCAACTGACGACGCAGCTGACTCCACTGTTACCGACAGCTCTCCATCTCCTAACTCGGACGACGAAGATGCCGATAGCACTAGTGAGGAGGCGTATAAGGTGACTCCGATCACACCAGCCATGTTGCAAGTTCCACGCGAAGGACAGCTTGCTCGCGGCATCCTTCCAAACTCAGAAACTATCAACATTGTGCCACAAGCATTCAGTGCTATCTGCCTGAACAATGCCGGAATGAAGATGTTTCAGGCGTCCAAGGCCCTTGAAATTTTCTTTGAGATCTTCGAGAGCCCTGAGCATGTCAAGTGTATGGAGTCGAATAAGGAGCTACCCAGTAGCCTTGGGGGTAGTTTTGATGAGCTAGTTCGCCATCATCCACCTCTAAAGGACGCAATTATGACATCGATTGTCAATATGGTTGCTCGTGTTGACTACCTGTGCAAAAGCAAGGCTGAGTCTGACAACATCGGTGCGAAGCTATGGACAACAGACAGTACAGGAAATCCGGTGGTTGCAAACGACCAGATCAGTCTTTCTCTTGTCGATCGTTCCATCAAAGGCAAGGGCAAGGCTGTCGATGATAGTGGAGATGTGGAAATGCGGGATGCTGACACAGCCTCTCTTTCTGCCCCGACTGCTTCGTCTACACCAGCGGACATCAATTCGACTGTATCGATGACTCCCTACATCACTGCTGTTGCAACATTCCTCTCTTCCATGTTCGGCAATACCTCAGCTCGGGCTGAGTTCTGTCACAAGGGCGGCCTTGAATACATCCTCAATCTTGCGCATTCCCCATGTCTTGCGTACGACTTTGGAGATTCTTCGGCGTGTCGCACATTTCACCATGTGATTGCCCAGCTTGCAGACGCGAAGCCGTATCTTGTTATGCCCTCCTTGTTGAAAAGAGCTCTGAGTGCTGCTGATGACCTGCAACCATTCATCGCTCACGATGGGGAAAGTTACTTCTTTGCGCCATTCGTCAGTACAGAGGCTTGTCAATCCGCAGATGTCGCCACCCTTTCAAAGGGCACAAAGTTTGCTAAGGCACTAGTCAACCTACATTCATTGATTCCCACGATCAACATGTGCTTCCAAGCATCGGCTTTCAACCACAGAGGCGGCACTACCGTCTTCAATCAAGTCAATGTTGCGGATTACTATGTTCAGCTTGTTAAGACTCTCGGTCCACTACTAGGGGCATCTCTGCAGGAAGATATGCGATTGCGAAAATCTGTTCCAGAATCATGGCAGAACTCGAGCCGTGTGAAAGAGTCTGGATTTGGAGAGTCATGTCCTGAGCCTCTTGTGGCAACCGACTCACCTGCTCCTGCTGAGCCTGCCGCCGAGCTGCCACCCCCAGCCACTACTGCTAACGCTGCTAATGGTGACGTGCCAGATGCTCCGGAAAGCAAGCCAGCTATCCCGGAAAAGTCGCCAAAGACGGTATCGAAAGCTGAGCAGTCAAGTCCATCCTTCAAGAACTATCAAACCCTCAGATATCTTCTTGGAAAGATGTCCAGAGTTATTACTCCGTTCTTCCAGACTCTTGGGAAGGCACTGGTGAGCAAAAGGGTTCCAGATAATTTTCAGAAGCAAGGAGTGTTAGCTATTGCGGATGCTCTGGTGGAGTCAATCTTGAGCCAGCTCACTCCATCTGAGGATGACTACTCGCCAGAAACTTTCTCGTACTGGATCGGAATATTGCACTGCCTCAAAGACATGTTGATTGAGAGTAAGTACCTGCCCAGCCTATCGAAAGAAGAAATTCTCACTAACTCTGGTCCAGATTCGCGTCACAATGAGCGTCCCATCCAGACCATTACAATTGTTTTGCTAGCTTTCAAGGAGCACGATGGAATGAAGACACTCAACCGTATATTGGAGATCTTCACATCAGAGATCCGAAAGGCTACGATTCCTGTTCCAGAAATCCATGAGAAGAAACCCGAAGAGTTCATGTTGTATGAGCTTGCAACTGCAGGAACCTCGAGTATTCTTTCTCTGTATAGCCAGATGGTCAATGGGCGAAACTTGATCGAAGCTACTCAGACCATTTCGTTGTCAGGACGAGCCGACCGAGAAAGACGATTGGAACTTGGCGACGTGTTCTCCCCAGCTCAATTGCTTGTTGAGTTACGAATGGCCATTCTTCCCCTTATTCGCAATCTATGGGGATCTGATCTCATCGAAAAGGGCACAAGCCAAATATCTGAGAAACTTATTGAGGTAATCCGCACCATTGCGACGGCTGATCACGAAGGAGGTGCGCACAAGAGAGGCGATGCTCCAATGAATCCAGCCAAGCAAGTTCGCAAAACCTTCAAGCCGAACGCCGAATACCAATCTGCCCTAGCTGCATCGGATGTTACCGATGCTGGTAATGCTGATATTGCAGATGAGGCTCTCTACCGTTGCAACAATAATCTCACATCTTCCATGGAGTACTACAGACTGGCTGCTGCAGACCCCTCACACCGCCACCCAGTTCCAGCTGGTGACATTGCTTATGGAACACCTGAAGCAAATCCAGTCTCTCGGCCTCAAACCAGCATCTCAACTGGTACTGCGACTCCTGAAGATCATGCAATGGCAGGAAGTGTCAGGGATATTGTCGGTGCTCTCAATGATATCGTGCCGCCCCCTGGCAGCGCTATAGCTGGTGATGGCGCAAGTCTTGACCAAGCTCTGGCCCAGGTGGTCAACAACTATGCGAATAGAGGTGCAGATGGTCTTGCTGCATCCTCAGAGTCGACTCCAACAGGCTCAACAGCTCCGAAGGCAACTACCGCTGTGGAGGCCGTCCCGAATCGAGTCACAGTCGATGACCTCAACAATGAACGCGCTCTGATTCGGGACAATCTGATCGATAAGTGCTTGGATGTCATCAATGCTCACGGCGAAGTGACCTTTGAAGTTTCGGATCTGATCACGACAGTGGTCAACAAGTCTGATGACCCACCATCACAACGAAAGGTTGTTAGTGAAACCCTAGTTGTTGCTCTCATGTCTTTCGCTGGTGAAGAGGATCTAAGCGCAACTGGTAAGAAAGTTGCTGCCTACGCACATCTACTTGGTCTCATGCTCCGAGACAAGCTGTTCTACACGGCCGCCGTCGACGAATTGAAGGAAAATCTTGGCACGTTGCTCACATTCATCAAGCTGTCTCCTAAGCACTCTGGAGAGGAGTCTTCACCATGGGTACCCCAAATTCTACTCATCGTCGAGATGCTATTGAGCGATGATGCTCGACCACAAAAAACCAAATGGACAGTGCCAAAGGACGAGAACGATGTCCCAGAGCCTCCTGTACTGGAAGTCGTCGAGCCTGCGGTTGGGCCAGAAGAGCGTGCTCAGCTTTTGGACGCTATCCTAGACATTCTCATTCGCATCGGCAAGGATGAACGCCTTGCACTTGCAGTTTTGCGAATTTTGGTCATCTTGACTCGAACCCGATCAATTGCCCAAAGCATTGGTGAGAAGAAGAATATTCAAAGACTCTTTGTAATGGCCAAGCAACTCGCTGGGGCAAGCTCTGCTAAGATCCAGGGTCCATTGATGATCATTCTTCGTCACATCATCGAAGACGATGAGACCATCAAGCAAGTCATGCGATCAGAAATTAAGGCATATCTGGACACCAATCGTCAAGCACGCAATATTGATGAGAAGACTTATCTTCGTGGACTCTCACACACAGCTTTGCGAAATCCGGAACTGTTTGTTGAAGTTACCAACGAAATGGTAAAGATTAATCGTTGGACTTATCAGGCTCATGATGGTCGCCCTCATTCCCTGGTCTTGAAAGAGCGAGCTCCAGAGCCTGCTGCCAAGTACGACAGCGTACAACCTACTGTTCAGGCGACTGAAGATTTAACCATCCAGGACGTAAAGACAACCACCGAGGTCGTGGACACAGATATGCCAGATGTCTCCAAGCCCATCGGACACGAGCAGAAGTTACCAGTGGTGGAGAACCCTGATGGAGTGATTCACTTCTTACTCTGTGAGCTGCTCAACTACAGAGATGTTGAAGACAAAGATCCTGCAGTGGCTCCAGCCACTTCCGAGAGCAATTCAGCCAGCAATGGAGACGTGTTGAGTAGGGTCTCGTCCTCGGACTCGGATTCCACTACGGCCAAGGACCCTAAGGGCAAGCCACCTTCCAAGCAAGAGTTTAAGGCCGAGGAGCACCCCATCTACATCTATAGATGTTTCATTCTCCAGTGTCTCACGGAGTTATTGTCATCATACAACCGTACCAAGATCGAGTTCATCAACTTCAAGCGCAGTGCTCCGCCTCAGTCCATGACCCCGTCCAAACCCCGATCGAGTGTAGTCAACTACCTTCTCTTCGATATCATTCCTCTTGGCACATTGGACCATGCCGAAAATACAACCTTGCGCAAGAAGCTTGTAACTTCGAGCTGGGCGGACTCTGTACTAACAGCCCTTCTGTGCAAGACCGGGGAAGTACCTGTCGACAAGACTCACGAGCCATACGATAGCGACAGCGAGCCAGATCTTCTATTCGTCCGCCGTTTTGTCCTGGAAAACATTCTCAAGGCCTACACTCAGGCAAGCACATCGACTGAGCCACTTGATGTCAAGTACGCACGAATGCTGTCCCTTGCGGATCTCATGAATCACATTATGAACGGAAAGGAGAACGTTGGTCCCACAGACACCTCCGTTGCCAGCGCGTCCCAAAAGCAGCTTCGCCGTATTATGTTCGAAAAGGGCTTCGTCGCAGCTCTGACTGCTTCCATTGCAGATGTTGATCTCAATTTCCCCGGTGCCAAGCGCGCTGTGAAGTACATCTTGCGACCCCTCAAGACACTTACCACAACTGCTGTCAGTCTGAGTGACCTGTCCTTAATATCTGCAACTGCCGGCCAAGGTGATGAGGATGAGATTGAGTCCGCGACCTCCATGTCTGAACCAGAAGACGATCGTGAGGAAACTCCAGACTTGTTTAGAAACTCGACCCTTGGCATGCTCGAATACGGCAGAGAAGAGGACTCGTCGTCAGAATCCGATGATGGAGACGAGGAGATGTATGAGGGCGAGTACGAAGATGAGATGGACTACGATGAGGATGGTCCAGGAGATGATGAAGATAACATCAGCGATGAGGACGAAGAAATCGAAGGCATGGAAGGCATGGGGCCTATCGAAGGAGTCGATGGAGACCATGGCCTAGACGTCGAAGTCATAATGGCAGACGATGACGAAGACGACGAAGACGACTCGAGTAGCGGCGATGACGACGATGACTCCGAAGATGATGATGGCCGTGTTGAAATCATCGATGAGGCTGGAAACATCCAACAGCTCGCTGACGATGATATGGGCGATTGGGAAAGTGATAACGATGAGGACGATGATGCAGAGGAAGAAGATTACGAAGGTCAAGCCGCTGACGCTGAAGAAGAGCAAATGCATGCTATGGAAATGGGCGGGCCAATCGGCCACCTTGTCCGTGCTCTTGGTGGGGACGTTGAGGCTGCCGACATGATTGAACGCATGGAAGCTGCTGAAGGCATGGACCATGATGAAGACGACGAAGATGAGGAGCGTATTCCTGGAGAGTATGCGGAGGATGATGAAGAAGAGGGTATGTTTCTCTCTACAACATTTCAGATATTAGAACTAACATGTACCAGGTGATGAGGAGGATGAAGATGAGATGGACGAAGAGATGTTGTTTGACCAATATCCACGTACGTTCTACTCTATCTTGATGGTATGTAATCGCTAACATCGTACAGTTGATGGTCCTGGAGGAATCAACTTTGGTTGGCAAGATGAGGCTGAGCCACCGATGGTTGTCCACCGTCGTGCTCGCGGTGGCTTCTCCCCATTCCCTATGGGATTTGCTGGCGGTCCTCGTGATCCGCTGGGTGGTACGTACCAGGAAATTATTATCTCTTTGCAAGGAGGGTTTCAAGATTTTTTGTGGGGGCGCCGCGACAATGGACCTCTAAGAACCCCACCCACGAACAGAACTAATGCAAATACAGTGCCAGAGTATCGACCGTCGTACAGATCGCATCGACCAGGTGCGTCCGCATCACGTGGAGCAGGAGATGATGGGACCAATCCATTGCTCCAGAGAAGTCATCTTGGCGGACCAAGCCGAAATGGCACCAGCCGTGTACCTTCTATGGGAAGCTGGATCCAAGCTATGGGTGGCCCTGGTGGAGAGATATTAGATATCGGCGGCCGACCCTTTGGTGAGAGCCCTGCAGCTGCTGCTCTGTTGGATGAAGTCATTAGATCCTTACCGCCTATGCCAGGTCACATTGCACGTCACGGACAAGCTCTCCAATTCCACATCACTGCTGCCCCGGGTCAGCCATTCCCACCTGATCTTCAAGCTATGTTCAGTATGCGTCCATCTCGATTCGAGAGACAACGAGAAGCAACTGAGCCTGGAAACGTCGCCTTCTTTACCCCTCTGTCCACAACTGCTCGATGGCTCGAGGAAGCTAAGATTGTCTTTGGTCCCACGGGCGTGGAGAGATCTAACGATCTTGCTGGTGCGATTTTATCACTCCTCGTGCCCCCTGCTATTGAGCTCGACAAGGCAAACAAAGCAGCCGAGGCCGAAAAGACTCGTAAGCTCGAGGAGGAAATCAAGAAGAAGCTTAAGGAGGAGCAGATTGCAAGGGAGAAGAGGGAAGAGGAAGAGAGAATTGCAAAGGAAAAGAAGGAAGCTGAAGAGCGAGAGGAGGCTGAGCGAGTCGCTGCAGAGGCACTTGCTGCTCGAAGCCCCGAGGAGGAGACAAGTGATGCCCAAGCTGGTGTCGAGCCCCAAGAACGGGATGCCATGGATGGTGTCGAATCCGAAGTCCCAGCACAAGCAGCGTCGGCCGACCAAGCTGACGAAACTCCGGCAGCAGACCGTCCGAGAATCACAACTATGATTCGCGGAGCTCCATTTGATATCACGGACCTTGGTGTTGATGCCGATTTCCTGGCCGAATTGCCAGATGATATTCGAGAAGAAGTCATCATGTCAGCAGTTGCTGAGCGAAGATCCACTGCTGCCGCAACCGGTGCTCAACCTACGGATATTGATCAAGAATTCCTAGATGCTCTGCCGGAAGACATTCGTGACGAGATCATTCAGCAAGAGAGACAAGACAGACGTCGTCGTGAACGTGAGGAGCGTAACCGCGCAGCTGCTGCAGCCAGTGGCGGAGCTGTTGCCGGTGATATGGATGCGGCAACAATCTTAGCTACTCTTCCGCCAGCTCTGAGAAACCAAGTGCTCATGGAACAGGACGACGAGACTCTAGCCCAACTTCCACCTGAGCTCGCCGCACAGGCGCGAGCTATTCTAAGAGAGCAAGTTGGTCACGGTAGAGTGCCGGCTCAATTTGCACGCAGAGTTCCACCCCCCGGTGAGCCTCGTGCGCCCAATGCCGAAAGACCTCAACGTCGTGCCATTGTCCAGATGCTCGACAAGTCTGGCATTGCAACTCTTTTACGTCTGATGTTCATATTTCAGCATGGAAGTCTTCGAAGCACACTCAATTCTGTTCTCCAGAATATCTCGTTGAATCGACACAACAGAAATGAGGTCATTAGCACTCTTTTGCACATTCTCCAAGACGGTAGCGTTGATATGACTGCTGTTGAGAGAAGCTTCGCCCATCTCTCGCTACGAGCCAAGCAACCAAAAGATGCTCAGCCCAAGACTCCTCAACCACAGTCTTTGAAGAGAGCTCTCACAACCTTGGGACCTGTTACACAGACAACCTTTGAAGCTTCTCCTCTCATGGTTGTTCAACAATGTTTGGCTGCCTTGGTCTCCCTGAATCAGGTCAATCCTCACATCCCAGCATATTTCTTGACCGAGCACAATACTGTCGAAGGTCTCAAGCGTAGTGTCAGCCGTAAGGGCAAGGGCAAGGAGAACAAGGCCGCAAAGTACGCCCTCAATTCTCTGCTTAGCCTTCTGGGCCGTGACCTCATCATGGAGAGCTCAAGTGTTATGGAGTCTCTGTCCACGTTATTGAACATGATTACCTCCCCGCTCCAAGGTCTTCAACGTAAACAAAAGGAGGCTGAAGAGGCCAAGAAGAAGGCCGCGGAAGCCGCAGCAGCAGCCGAAGCTGCTCCTTCTATCACATCGCCAGAGACCACGACAACTACGACTGACCAGCCTAGCGAGGCTCAAGGAGATGCACCTATCTCCGAGGCATCCCCTGCCGTCGAAGTTACACAAGTTCAACCTGAAGCGGGCGAGGCATCAACATCTCCTGCTGCTCAGGAGCCAAAGCCGGACGCTGCCAAGGATGAAGAGAAGTCAAAGGAAAAGAAGGTCACCGTTTTCACACCACCCGTCATTCCAGAGCACAACTTGAAGCTTGTCATCAACATCTTCGTTGCACGTGAGTGCTCCTCAAAGACCTTCCGAGAGACACTGTCTACTATCAAGAATCTTTCTACTATTCCCAACGCCAAGGCTGTTTTTGGGCGCGAACTCATCTCCAAGGCCCAAGGACTCGGTGAGATCATTCTCGTCGATCTCGAGGAACTTCTTCCGCAAATCCAGAAGGCCACCACTGGCACTGAGATTCAAGGTGTGGCACTGGCCAAGTTCTCGCCTGGTGGTTCGGATCAAAACAAGTTGCTCCGAGTCTTGACTGCTCTTGATCATCTATTCGACCCTAAGCGTGAGAAGAAGGACAAGCCAAATGAGGTGGAGCCTGAGGGCGAGTCGTCTCAATTAGTAGAGAAGCAAGATCTCTTGTCTTCGCTGTACGAAAATCCTACATTCGGTCGTATGTGGGAACGACTCAGCTCTTGTCTCAGTGCCATCAGACAACGAGAGCACATGCTCAATGTCGCTACCATTCTTCTGCCTCTCATTGAGGCATTGATGGTCGTATGCAAGAACACCACTTTGAAGGATACTCCAATTTCTCGAACTCAACACGGGAAGGAGATGCTCTTGACAAGCCCTCCACCCGAGAGCCAAATGGAGAGTTTGTTCTACACCTTTACTGAGGAGCATCGCAAGATTCTTAACGACCTCGTTCGACACACTCCCAAGTTGATGTCTGGCACATTTTCCCTCTTGGTCAAGAATCCTAAGGTATTGGAGTTCGACAACAAGCGCAACTACTTCTCTCGAAGCATTCATGCCAAGGCTCCAAACACCCGTCAGTCATTCGCCCCTCTTCAATTATCAGTTCGCCGAGACCAGGTCTTCCATGATTCCTTCAAGTCTCTCTACTTCCAAACTGGCGACCAGATGAAGTATGGCAAGCTCAGTATCCGATTTCATGGTGAAGAGGGTGTCGATGCTGGCGGTGTTACTCGTGAATGGTTCCAAGTACTTTCGCGCCAGATGTTTGACCCAGGATACGCTCTCTTTGTTCCTGTTTCTTCTGACAGAACTACCTTCCACCCCAATCATTCCAGTGGTATCAACGAGGAGCATCTCATGTTCTTCAAGTTCATCGGACGCATCATTGGCAAGGCTCTTTACGAGGGTCGTGTATTGGACTGTCATTTCAGTCGGGCTGTGTACAAGCGTATTCTTGGCAAGGCTGTCTCCGTTAAGGATATGGAGTCTCTTGATCTAGACTACTACAAGTCACTTATCTGGATGCTTGAGAATGATATTACCGACATCATTACGGAGACCTTCTCTACGGAGCAAGAACGCTTTGGTGTCACCGAGACAGTGGACTTTATTCCAAATGGTCGCAATATCGCAGTGACTGAAGAGAACAAGCATGAATATGTCCGCTTGATGACTGAGTTTAGACTCACTGGGTCGGTCAAGGAGCAGTTGGATGAGTTCTTGAGAGGTAATTTTACTGTGTTCATTTTGGTGATTGGTGCTAACGATGAAAAGGTTTCCATGATATTATTCCCGCTGAACTGGTTGTCATTTTCAACGAGCAAGAGTTGGAGTTGTTGATTTCCGGTCTTCCTGAGATCGACGTTGACGACTGGAAGAGCAACACTGAGTATCACAATTACACGGCCTCCTCTCCACAGATCCAGTGGTTCTGGAGAGCTGTTCGCTCATACGATAAGGAAGAGCGCGCTAAGCTTCTGCAATTCGTTACAGGAACCAGTAAGGTGCCTCTGAACGGCTTCAAGGAACTGGAGGGCATGAATGGCTTCAGCCGATTCAACATTCATCGTGATTATGGAAACAAAGATAGACTGCCAAGTTCGCATACTTGCTTTAACCGTAAGTCACTCTCTTCAATTTTCCCCATGCTCTTTGCAAGGACAACTTCGCTAACATCTAAATCACAGAACTTGACCTCCCAGAGTACGAAAGCTACGAGGCTCTTCGCAAGCAAGTCCTCACTGCCATCACAGCTGGAAGCGAGTATTTTGGATTCGCATAAGCAACACACCCCCCATTCTTCTTTCAGATTGACGACTTTCTTTCTCTCTCGATTCTGCGTTTACGACATCATGCATTGCAGGCCTTGATCAGCATTTTCGACGGCGTCTGAACTGAAACTCGAACTTGAACTTGAACTTGAACTTCAACTATCACCTATTTTTTCCCACTGGGTTGTCTTATGTTGTTTGCGAAATTTTTTGCGGATGGTTTGGCATGGGGAAGATATTACACTCACATTGACTTTATCCGGCCTTATCAACGATACATCATCTCAACTTCCTCTGGGCGCCCGCAACGAAGTGCAGGTCGTTTGTGGATTGTCCCGGGTTTTATGAGTTGGTCCTCTGATTTGGTGGGTCGATGAGGGTGGATTTGACATATGAATGGGTGGAGGATGGATGGATGGACGGTGCGTACATGGAGTGGAGTGCGCGCGGGTATGTAAAATAGATAGCTGGCTGGTTGGGCTGGACTGGGCTGGGGTTACATCTTTTGATGTGGTGGGCAGATAGCAATAGAGCGTGTTTATTACGAATTGGTGAACTTTATGCAATTGTGATGCGGATTGTTATTTGTGAAGCTGGGAGGTTAATGAATGTGGGCACTGCCTAATCTTTCATGTCCGGACTGGACGTTGATTTCGCTTGACCAAGGTAGCAAGGAGGTGCGTGCGTAGATATTTTTGGCCTTCATGAGCCCAAATTTCACATCCACCTATTCGAAAAATGACATTTATATATGTATGTATATATCTCGGCTACGGCAACGAAAATAACTTCCCTAGCTCTTATCAGACATGAAATCCATCAAAGAATTCTAAATCCATCCCAACTTCCATTCCAAAACCTTCACCCTATCACATGATCACCCCACCAGTGCCAAGCCTCACGTCTTTCTGCGCGGGATTGGTGCCCCGCAAAAATATTTTTGAGCTTCCCGTCCTTCTATTCTATTCCCGGAGGAAGGCTAGTTCAAACCTCACTTTGAGTATTCTTCACTTGGGCATTCTGGAAGTTCGGAAAAACAGCGATCTGTGACTACGAGTACGACTACGATCACGGTACGAGCTTTGTATTCGCATACTGCAAGGGAGAGCTCTGAGGGAAGAAGGATAGGATAGGGTTGGATTGGATTGGATTGGACTGGACAAGGAAGGCTAGGCAAGGCTTGTGAAGGAAAACACAGACAGCAGAGGATATCAGGAGACTGGGAAACGCAGTGGCAGGGCAGTGGTATTGGATGAGGACTGAATTGAGTGGAGAAGAAAGTGTTTCGAGGGAACGAGCTTGAAAGGACAGGACAGGACAGGACAGGACAGAATAAGGCGCAATGGCGACAAATTCGATTAAGTTGCTTACGGGCAATAGCCATCCGCAGTTGGCGAAGTTGGTTGCTGAGAGGTATGTTTGTGGATTTAAATTATGTTTCTGGATGATGGAGGGAGGAGAACAGGAAGAGGGTTATGGGAACTGGGAACTGGGGCGTGTAGATGAGACGGGGGTCTTCAAGGACGAGAGAGCGGAAGATGGGGAGGATGTAAAGAGAGGAAAGAGACAAAGGCTGATCATTTCTCCTGCAGGTTGGGCATTGAGCTTGCGAAGACTATGAGTCTGAACTACTCGAATCAGGAGACTAGTGTTACGGTTGGAGAGAGTGTTAGAGACGAGGATGGTTTGTCTCCCACTTTTTTTGCCCACGGGAGTTACGGCGCATTGGGATTTGGAAGCTGTTTGGTTTTGAGAGCAGGAATTGGAGGCTGGGAATAATATGAAGCATACTTTGCTAACCACCTCCAGTATTCATCCTCCAATCCACCGCCCCAGGCGACATCAACGACGGCCTCATGGAACTCCTCATTATGATCAACGCCTGCAAGACTGCATCAGCACGCCGCATCACAGCAGTAATTCCCAATTTCCCCTACGCACGTCAAGACAAGAAAGACAAGTCCCGCGCTCCTATCTCCGCAAAGCTCATTGCAAATATGCTCCAAACCGCTGGCTGCAACCATGTCATCACTATGGACTTGCATGCTAGTCAGATTCAGGGCTTCTTCAATGTGCCGGTTGATAATCTGTATGCGGAGCCGAGTACATTGAGGTGGATTAGGGAGAATCTGAACATTACCGAGTGTGTTGTTGTTAGTCCTGATGCGGGTGGTGCGAAAAGGTACCTTTGCCTCTCTTGACGGGGAATGAACATGTCCACAAGACAAAGCAGAAACTTTCATAAAAGTAGCCCATGCTAACTACCTTCAAGAGCAACATCCATAGCCGACCGTCTCGATCTTGGCTTCGCCCTCATCCACAAAGAGCGCGCCCGACCCAACGAAGTCTCCCGCATGGTCCTCGTCGGCGACGTCGAGAACAAGACCTGCATTCTCGTAGACGACATGGCCGACACATGCGGCACTCTCGCCAAAGCGGCCGAAACGCTCATCACGCACAAAGCCCGTGAAGTCGTCGCCATCGTCACGCACGGTATCCTCTCTGGCAACGCTATCGAGATCCTCAATAAGAGTCAGCTGAGCCGCATTGTTGTCACTAATACGGTGCCGCTCCAGGATAAGGAGAGTAGGTGTGAGAAGTTGAGGGTTATGGATATTAGTCCCACGCTTGCCGAGGCGATTAGACGGACGCATAATGGGGAGAGTGTTAGTTTCTTGTTCACGCATGCGCCTACTGATTAGACCAGCGGCAAGACCGAGATGTTACTTTTTCCTTTTCTTACATGGATAGGTGGGAGAGAGGGAGGGTACGTGATTAGAAGGGAGGTCTTTTGTGCAAGATTGCAATCAAGTTGATAGCTCATCGAGGAAACTGGCATGGCGTGGAGGCGTAATAGGGACTTTCTAATCCCGTTTTTGGTCTTTGATGGGTGGCTTGGTTATGCAACCAAATAAATCAAGGTCATGATAGCAGAGGAGTAGCGTTACAACAAGCATTCATTTGTGTTGTATAGATCCAATAAATTGCATTGGAAAGGAATTGAAGTTCTGAGTAATGTACTTATTTGAATAAGCCTGTAGGTGTGGCGTGAGAGCGATAATACTGTATCTCACAAACTCTTTTAGCGTCTTCTCCCCGGACATGGTAAGAAACCTGGGCATTGGTGGATGTATGGCGCGGGAGTAGATACACCATAGGACGATGTGGTGGAATGGCTGCATGTATAGGTTGCTGGATTTGAGTGGAGGAGGTCGACCAGAGGGTGGCTAGGGTGAAAGAAGGGGAGGGTAGTAGTTCTGGGGGCCAGGGAGATTGAGACTGTTGTGAACAGCATGCACGGTATCTGAACACAATCTTGAATCACTTTGATACAAATCGAAAATACAATCATAACGTCGTAGTCAAATGAGCTTTTGAAGAACGCCTAGCTACATGCCATATGCACTGCAGAGTATCTTTGCCCATAAAAACCTGTAGGAAGACGAAGAGAGAGAAGAAAAAGGATATCATCAACCCCGGGTCGTTCTTTTTGGGAAGACTTCCAAGGTATCCATCCCATTATCTATCTTCATCTTATGCTACCGAAATACAATCCCATGCCCAATTATGCTCCGACCGAAGAACAAGAAAAGGAATGCTTTACTTGTGCATCGACGAGGCTCTGCGCTTGCGGAGATCAGCTCGGGATGCCTTGGCTTCGGTGACACGCTTAGCGAGGATTTGAGCGTACTCGTTCTGTGAACATGTTAGTGTTGATATCGGAAAAGAGTGGTTGGATAAGCATACGGCAGCATCCTTGGTGCGCTCAGAGTTGCGGCGCTTGAGTGCGATGCGGTGGCGCTTGTGTTGCAGACGCTGGGGAGTAACCAGACGTTGGATCTTTGGTGCCTTGGTGTATGGCTTCTTGCCCTCACCCTTTGGTTGAACCTCACGACGGATAACGAACTTGCGGACCTAAATTCAACAGCACTTCGTTAGCAAAAGGATTCATCTCACACTCTGGAACACTGCTGGCTCTGCCTGCCACGATTGAACGTGGACAAGCAGAAGCAGCAGGCCAGGCGAAGTAGATATACGGGGTACGTACATCATCTTCCTTGGTGAGGCCGAAGAACTTGCGGATCTTGGTGGCACGCTTGGGACCAAGGCGCTTGGGGTGGACGGTGTCGGTGATACCTGGGATATCGTTGTCGCCCTGCTTGACAATGGAGAGGGCGAGGACAGAGAGGTCCATGGCGACGATGCATCCACGGACGGACTTGCGCTTGCGCTCACCGGTTCGGCGTGGGCGGTAGCAAGAGTGTCCATCAGAGAGCAAGAGACGGACACGGGTTGGGTGCATGACTCCCTGCTTCATTGGGAAACCTTGCTTGTCGTTACCGCCGGTGATCTTGAAGATGTAGCCCTTGAACTCGTCTCCAACGCTGTCTCCTGGAACCTCTTGTCCCATTCTGTGAACCATGTTAGGATATTTTCCTTCTCGATTCTTTCGCGCATTGCGATTTTGTATTGGATCCCGTACCTCTTGTCCATGAAGACACGGAGCTTGCGGTCATCTTCGATCTCGATGAGCTTCTGGCTGCCATTGGCAGGCTGTTGAAGTTGTCAGTTTGTGCCCATATTCTCTATCCGCATATTCGGCCTCGAAAACATTGCGCGCGTCGATGGAAAGGTGGAACGTACGAAGGAGATGTTCTGTGAACGATTAACGTTAGCAGATGATCGCAATTGAGAAAATACTGGGTGCGCGGAAGACTCACAAGCTTCATCGTGGCTGTTGTCGTTGGTTGTCGTGGTTTCTGTCGATGAACGCTTGCTCCTAGAAATTCTGTAATGGTGGGAATCGTTAGCGTGTGGGTGTGGAAGTGCGCTAGTTCTAAGCGAACACCTGACTTTCAATGATGTCGATCATGTGACCTTAGACGGAGAAGATGGAACTGACATCAAAGTCCTCCGCGTCCAGGACTATTGGGTATATCCGGTGTCGGTATGCTCACGACGTCTGCTTTGGTTACCTAAGTCGGATTTGAATTAGACTAGATACTGTGGTGGCTTGAAGGGGGACTTGCGTCGAAGTGGGATAACGTTGAAGTAAGCAAGGATTGCTAGGAAAGCAAGTACTTCCACCACCAGGTACCACAAGAACAAGGAAACAGGATCCTCGTATCCTTGGTCGTATCTGAGCTCTTCTGGCCAAATGCTTCGAAAGGGTTTTTTCTGTTCAATCTGTAATGTTAGCTCGGGTCGGGAAAACCTATTACCGTTGTTGAAAACCAGGCCGAAGATAGGCCGTTACTCGAAGTAAACAAACCGCCTCTCTTTGACCTGCCAGGTTGTTTGTTGCGGTGGTGGGAGGTACTCACAAGGTGTAGGTTTTATTCTGCGTGGCTTGTTCGTATGTCCGATAGCGGTGACCTCAAACGCGACACGCATTTCGTTGTTATTGTTGTTGGTGATGGACTGATCTCCTGCAGTGAGGAGAACCATTTTGTGTGCTGAGAGGATGACTAGCGCGCCTAGTGGTGAGAGATTTTTAAACATGCAAACTGTTTTTGTGGCCATTATCGCTCTTTGGTCTTTGTGATCCACCTTCAATTCGATACTCGGCGAGGAACGTTAGAGTGGAGAATTGGAAATGTCTATGTAGCTTTTGTCACTGCACTGAAAACTTGAGGTCTTCACTTGTGCAGGAAAGAAATCACACATTTTGGTCCGCTATATACTTTTAGTAATGTTTTAAAGTTGATTCTTGACTCAGAGTCGATTCTTGACTTCATACTCTCGAAAGACGGCTTGGTACATCCAAAGGTCACCCAAGGATCCCAATGAGTCTTGTGTCTTCATGATTCCTACGACTCCTTGTTCAGCTCGTTGAACGCTTTTCTCTATCACTATTATCGCTCTTCGTACCTATCATCATCTCCGTCGCCATTAAATGCATTGACCGGAGCCATTCTCTTTTATAAGGCTTCAGCACCTCTTCCTCGCTGCCCTCCCAATCCTACGCCATACTTCCCGCGGATCGACCTCCCTAAATCCATCCTGTTCCACCTCTACATTGCCAAACCGCACCTTCACAGCTCTGATCTCGGTCTTGCGATCTGCATTTTCTGCCTTGGTAATTTCGTAGAGGCGCCGACTCCGATTGTGGTCATGGCCAAGGTCATTCCAGGTTACTATTATGCGGACTTTGAGATGAGAGATGCAGGAGCGGATGGCATGGGTATCCCAGATTCGAATGGCTCTACTGATTTCCTCAGATAGTGTTAGTGAGTCGATATGGTGGGTAGAAAGCTGGGATACAACTTACGGACAGGATGAGGTCTTGAGAGAAATCGTTTGCGTGAGGTCAATGATTACACGTGAAGACATGTCCCAGGTTCTTATTAGCACATTAAAACTTCAACAATCTAGGTACTGCAAGTGTCTGATAGTCCTAGAGGTTGGTCTTGCCGGAAATTGGCGGCTGTATTTTGTAGATGAACAGAAAGTGGAATGGAAACCATGTTGAAATGTGTTTTGCATGCACGGAACACCAGCGAAGTCTGGGGACACCCTCCACAGGATTACGTCAAGATAGAAGCACTAAACTCATCTAGGATAATTGCGTTTCCTGACCATGTACTGTAGACATTAGCTCATCAGAGAAACATAGTTAGGCATATGAAATGGGACTCATGCTTCTCCATACCGAACTTTGGTGCTCTGGTTTTGTCCTTCAAATTAAGTTTTGTGATTGTACATGAATGGAACTTGATAGCAGTCACAGTTTATACCAATTCACACAAGCCACGAACTGCTAGTAGAAATCCTACTTACTATAAAAGAACAGAAACTTTCCCATCCTTTTCCAGAACATAATCCTTAGCGTATCTGCAACGTTTTCTTCTCTGGTCTCAACAAGACCCCATAAATAGGCCAAAGCACATCTATACTGTCACAATCCAGAGCTCAAGCGTCTCCTCACGGGTTTGCTCTCGTCATACCGTCACACTACAAAATCTTCAGTATCACTGTTCCTTAAGGCTCTTCACTTAATTCAAAATGCCAACTCATTCCATCTACATCCCACTCATCAGAGGCCTCCTTCTCATGAGCTTCATTCTTGCCTCCATAGTGGTCCTCTTGGCCAATCTCATAAATCTTTTTGCTATCGGGAATGTGATACATGTTTTTTGTATGTCCTTCCCTGAATTCTATCTACTCCTTGTCTAATTATATTCACTTAATGATAGACGTCAATAGGATGTTATAATGCTGACATAGTATCGCAGTTGTGGGAACATCTGTGATAGCTGCTTGCTTGACCTGGAGAGTTGTATATCTCTTGAGGGAGATTCGTTTGGTGGAGGAAGAGAGGGGGAGGAGGAGGGAAGGGAGGTTCGTAGATCGGGATGGAGAGGATAGTGGGGATGAGGAGAGTGGTTAGTGATCGAAGGGGAATGATGCTGAAGTCTGGCCGGAAATAGAACCTTGGGGCATGAATAAGTCATAGCGTAATTCTCAAATAAAAAAACAGTGGAATAATGAGCATACACTAAAATTCTAACAGCCGTTGCAGAACAAGGTATCGTCCGAGGGCTCGAAGTATCGGAGGTTTTGCTTTCTGATTTACAACTAAACAATACTGTATTCTATCACTCTACTTTAAAGCGTAAAAGAGAGTGACCTATTCTATTATTCCCGAGCCTCTCCCTCGAGACTTCACTTGAACCTCTATCCTCAAAACAAGCCCCTCTTTTCATCGCCTCATCAATCAGATTCTTCCCTCAGCAGTAAGTGACACGCCTCTCAGCTGCAGAATTTCGTATGATACAGCTCGAGTCCCTAACGTCACTCCATGGTATGTTTCTTCTTCCTAAAACCCATATGGTGACTAGAGGAGTGACGGAAGACCGTGTTATTCTGCAGAGGCTCTCTTTATTTTGCAAGTGATCGTACTAGGTACTAGATCATTAGTGTAGAAATTGGGAAATGGAGACTTGAACAGTGTCGTTGGGACAGCTTTGGCACTCTGATATCATTTTTTATCGAGCGAGACTGAAAGTGCGGAACAATTACCGGAATGATGGAGTGGTTGCTTGATATCTGTGATTGGGAGGCTTCATTTGTGAGTGTTGGAGTCACCAAACCCTAGAATTTGGAATCCTGCTGAAGAGAAGCATCAAAATGATATCATGGCTCATGGTTTGTGGATTGTGTGGATGTCAGCGCTGCTTGCTTGGACATGATTTTAAATTTTGCGATCGGAAACGTGTTTGTGCGTGATAGGGGCACGAGTAGGCTAGAACAGAGAGTATGATGGTGCTTTTAGAGCAAGTAATTAGATATCTATAATTTTCAATACTAAACGTGACAAGACTCAAGATTACATATACTTCTGCATTGCCTGTTGGGCGTTTATTCGCCTGCGGAAACTGTACCTCAGGTACATCATCTTAAAAGTTCGCATTATGTCATTTAGCTACTCTGCTGTGATTCTTGCCTCCATATATCAACCAGTGGTCCTCCAATACCAAAAATAGGATCTGATTCTGGCAGAGGAACAGCTCTAGCGTTCGAAGCCTTCTGCTTTGTTTCTTCCTCACCGGCTTCACAGAAGTTATTATCCCAATGGGGACTATCTTCTGGGTAAAGTCCGACATATTCATAGTCTTCACTGCTTTCTAGACCTACGGATATCATGCATCAGCATTGCACTCCATGGCCACGGGTCTCGCAAACGGTAGCAAGGCAAAACCATGGACGGAGAGCATGATCACGTACTGCAATGTGCCACACCAGCAGGAAGAACAATCGCATCTCCAACATCCAAATCCAGCAACAAATCATCGTCTGTCTCCGGATCTAAAGGTCCTCGTCCTAGCAGCAATCGACTATGTCCCTTGAACACTGCATAACATTCATGCGTCACACTGTGATAGTGATGTGCTCCAACATGTTTGAATACTCCACCCTTCAGCCACTTATTCGGTTCGATGCGAGCGCATGTTGATTCGGGAGTGGGGTTGACTGGCAGTGCGGATCGATAGACCAGTACTGGGAGAGGAGAGTTGGGGACGTGAGGCGTGGAGTTCTTGATGAAGTATTGCTCTGGGGAGGAAGTTTCCGACGGCATCTTGGTGTGCTACTGGGTATGTATGTTGTCGTGAGATTGATGTGATAGCTGCATCAGAAGATGCATATTTAGGTAGCTTTGGCGGGGTAAGTGGCTTGGCTGATCAGCTCTTGAGGCTCGAAGACGGAATTCCTCCAGCATTCACTTGCTGTATTCATATCACATCTCCGGCATCCCAAGTTCCAACCGGTTCCGGCCTGATAGAGAATATAATCTTGTACTTGACAATCTCCACCACCTCCAACTGCTCCGTCCTCTCCTCCGCATCGTCTCCATCATCAACATCCATCCGTCCCTCTCCCCCACACTCGATATTTCTCCTCCTGATGACAGCCAGCGCCTTCGGCAACTTCTTTACTTCCCCAGTAAGTCTCTGATGCTTGCCCACGTACAGATATACGCGCTTCATCCACCCCGTCTTGCTGTTGTCTGTGGGATCAAAGTCCGGGAAGATCAACCGTCCTATCGGTGTCTCTTGTGATGCAACGCCGCTCTGCGATTCAGTTGATATCGATTCCTCGTCGTCGTGGGAGGGTAGATTGATTGTGCCTTGCATTTCAAGAAGTGCGAGTCCTGAGGGTGTTTGTAGAAGTTGAGGGAGTGGGTTTGGGACTTTGGAGTGGGGTATGAGGGGTTTTGGGTGCACTTCGACTTTGGCCATATTGGCTGTTTTATAGTTGAGAGGATCTGAGAAGCGCAGAGCAGTCAATCTGCTCGATAGTGAGGACGTGGAGTATGTAGTGAGGCTGAAATGGAACTGGCCTTCGTCCCAAAGTTTCTCACGTTCTGACGACGCGACTTGAACTCCCAGCCGGTTCATCCTCGGCTTTTGAACCAGGTGCTGACTAAGGCACTTGGGATTCTTTAACAGGTCGTCGTGGTTCTTCCATCACCATCATTAAACCATATCTGAACCTGATAGACCGATCGAATTATGAATTTGTTTGTTCTCCTCTCACGCGCAGAATTTGGTTGTGTCTGCACTCAGGTTATTACAGGGTTAAGCGAGCTGGTGTCAACACACTGGGCTTAGGACTTGCTGCAAAAGAAGTGGGATATATCAGCACCAGAGGAGAGTCAAAGAGAAACGTATGTTCAGAACTATAATTATATTACTTTGGCTGTCTGCCTTTTGACCCTCGGCCGTGATATATATGTATGCGATTCCTCCCCATCCCGTTAACGCCGCTCGGTATGTCCCTCTTCTCGCTGAGCTCATCATCCTTCTGGCTGTCCTCCACAGCTCTGTCACTCCTTCCTCAGATCATATGAATCAAGCCTCTTGCAAAGCCGTGCTTCTCAAGTGCACCATCCATGACTCTTCATAGCATACTTCATCGACTCGGCCATCCTCGAGTCACCTCGCCATGAGCTCTGAGGGAACTCCGGCCTTGTTGATTTGGTATGTTGCAGCGGGAGAATTATCTCCAATCTTGCTATAGAAAGTGATTCCTGTCGACTTGCCAAGCATGCCAAATGTCTCTCTCCCCCCCGGCTAATACCCTCCTGCCGTAACCCACACAGTCTTCGCCACACTCGGCACACCCTGTACATTCAACGCAAAAAGCATCCACACTCCGGGCAACGCAATCCCTGGATCCCCAGGAACTGTAATGATATTGGTCGTGCCACTAAATCCAGTATCAAACGCCAGCCGTCGCTGATCAGTATTCACCGTATGCGTCGCACTTCCATACCTAATCAACGAGAACCTCACTACCGGCGAATCCGTTACAACGTTGATCGTGCCTCCGACTCTAACACTAGCAGAACAAGATGTGATGACTGGTCTCGTGGCGGCTGTTCCGTCACTGTTGAACAGGTATCCGGGGCTGTAGATCTCTGCATCGAGATGATTGACAGAACAGCTCCCGCAAAGACCACCCCCTGCTGTAAAGACCGTGCCGTCAAGCAAGAGCAGTGCAACGCTATGGTAACACCGCGGTATCTGATGCGGCGGCATGAGCTCGAAAGTCTGGGTCACGGGATCCCACATCTCGGGCTGCATGATGGCGTTTGTGTCTGTGAATGTCACCGGGTAGGGCTGTCCACCTATGACGAAGATTTTGCCGTCTGGGAGGACTACGCCGTTGGAGAAGGAGCGTGCGTAACGCAGCGAAGGGAGAGTCACTACACTGGGTGTGCTACCTGGGGCGCCGATGGTTATTAGGTGTGCAGCAGCGGAGGCGGCTGCATTTTCATAGCTGGGGGCTCCGGCCACGGTGAAGATTTTACCAGCTGCGGCGTCGTATAAGACCGCGTTACCGCACATGGCGTCATCTGAAGTGAAGGTGTGAGTAATGTCCTTAAAAGCATGCTGCGGATGTTTGGAGAAGAAGTGATACAGCTGTCAAGGTTCGGTGCATATGGCTGTGGACAGGAAGGCATGCTGGGAGATGACCTAACTTACCATCTGAAGCGCGGGTTCCAACTGATGTTACGGACCCAGTACCTTTTGCGTCATACCAGTGCATATTCTTGCTGGGTCCAGCTTGGAAAATTGTGGCGTTCGACCAGGCAAATAGCCATCCCTGTTGGGTTACATTCGGTTAGCCAAGGTTCCTTAGGCGAATGTTTACTTCCATTTCAAGGAAATATTGTACACGAGTAGGGGGCATCGACCCGAAAACACATGGAGCGTCGAGTGCTCAGGAGAAGGAGGATCACTCACATGATTGTCTGATCGATAAATTCCGTTGTTGTCATTGGTCAACATGGGACCAACTGGACATCCGGGGAGCATAGTCCATTTGTTTGTTGCTGGATCATAAATTTCGGCGTTTTTGCCCCCGCGGTCGTTAGGATTTGCAAGCCATGAACCACCAATGAGGAAGGCTGTATTCTAATTAGTATGTCCCTTAAATAAGCATAGAAAGAGGAAGGTAGCATCCGCTCCAAGTAGAGTGCCAAGTGATGAGCCTGCACTGAAAGCTGGAATGCTGGAGACGGATTCCATGCCACTACCAACCGCAATTAGGGAAGAAGAAGAGAGTCAAATGCCTACTTCGACCATCGGACAGCGTAGTCTGGGCTTGATATCCTCTCAGAAGATTCATTTGCGGCATGATGGACCAACTATCACTCCCAGGCGTATAAAGACTAACAACCGCTGCATCTTGTCCACCCGACAGAATCGAATTGCCATTGAAATCATGCGACATACCCGGACAAAACATGTCATGTTTCGTCTCGGCCACATTCCGCTGCGTCACAGCCCCAGTAGCGAAATTATATATCGACGTCCACGTATTCCCTGTCCCTGCACCACCATCTTTCTTCCCACTCCGCGAGAAGCTGATTACATTCCCGCTTCCGGGAACAACAAACGCGCCTGCTGCGACAATGCCGAGTTGGAATACGGGACCCCATTTTCCGCGGCTAGGAGGCGATGGGGTTGAGGCGTTGAAGATGATTGAGATGCCGAATTCGGCGGCGCTGGTCCAGGGTCCGCGATTGCCTGCTTCGGTGAGGGCAGTAATGCGAACGTAGCGGGCGGATGTGAGGGGAAAGTTGGAGGTTTTGAGGGTGGCGTCATCCTTGTAGGTGCCATTAGTGGCGAAGGTCCAGGTATTGCTATCCGTACTGGTTTCGATTTTGTATTGACCAATGTTGCCATTGAGAGGTTTGCCGGCTGCTACGTCTTGACGTGGAAGATATGTGAGGCCACTACATGAGCAGATGTCAGAACAGGGCCAGTGTTGGAATGATGGGGTACTGAATGTGACAGAGGATTGCTTACGTGACTTGCTGAGTGACACCTAGGTCGAGCACTGCGTTGTGAGGTAGTGGAACAATATCTGGCTTATATCTGCTGTGCCATAATGTACTTCGAACGCCATCAATGGCTTTTGGTCCTTCATTTCCAGTTTGGAAACTATCCACGCTAATGGTAACGATCGTAGCGGCAGTCGTTGGCGCTGTGTTCGTAGCTGAATATGTGCTTGATGCCGCTGGTATACTAGAACTGGTCGAAGTACTGGAGCTACTTGACGCAGCAGTGATCGACGGGCTCATCACCACATTAAATTCGGCCGCACTCGTCCATGGTCCACGGTTGCCAGCCTCTGTGTACGCGATGATTCTCACATATCTGGCTTGGGCGTCAGGGAAGGACTCGCTCTTGAAATCCCTGGTATCAGGATAAACTGATCTGGAAACCACTGTTGTCCACGTTACATTATCGGAGCTTCTGAAGTGAGAGACGAGGGTTAGCTCAGGAGATTTTTGAAATCCAAGAAAAGTCAAAACAATTTCTCAGATGTACACTTCAGCATTGAGTCTAACGTGAACAAGCGGAATAGATACTTCATAAAGGAAGGTTTGCTTAACATACATCAGAATGTCATGTTGTCCAATATTGCCATTCAGCGGAAGTCCAGGCTTGACATCTTGACGAGGCAAATATGTGAATCCTCGGACTGATGTTATTGCTCCCAAATCCAACGTTGCAGTATGCGGAAGGGGTGCTGCTGTAGGTTTATACAGACTATGCCAGAATGTTGCGTTGTTCCCATCTATTGCATTCGTGCCTACTGCACCCACACTGGTCTGTTGGTCACTGACTGTGATGGAAAGCGCAGCAGCAAGGCATGACCAGGTCAAAACGAAAGTTAGCTGAACGCAAGACACAAACATATCGATGCATTCAAAACAAAGAAGAATGAGAAGACAGATTTTAACAGCGAACGAAGAAAACGAACGGAAGATCCGAAATGCGAGAACGTGAGAAAGAGTGAAGCTCTTGGCATGTGAGACATCGCCATGTATATATGTGAGCTGTAGGCTTTTCAAAATGCCGAATCCCGTACTGAAAATCCCCCTGCCTATCACCCGCACCGCCAAGTACGTACGAAGGATCTCATACGACATCAAATCAAAATACTGCAGAATGTGTGCTTTGGTTACGGACCGGCGCCGAGACTAAAACTCACCCTAGAACATCCTGGCTCAGATCAGCCGTTTTAACAGCGACACCAATTCTGTCAACACCAGAACACCCCACAAATGGGTTAATGCTGAGCCACTTGGCCTCGTCAATCCACTTCCTGTGGCTGGTGGGATTGTAGATCTTGCTTTCTTGCGGTACTCACTAGGCTTTTTTGGAGTCCTGCTGCGGTTTTAGTGTTTTGTTTAGTGCCGCTCACTGCCCTCGCTACTGGGCTGGGATGCAACTAAGCGGCTCGGATGTCACAAGCTTGACCTCATTGAACGGGAAATCGCCAGAACCAGTCTCGTGGACTCGAGATCCATAGAATGATGGGTACGTGGGGCAGCCATTATGCAAAAAATTGCCAACACCCGGCCACAGCTCGTGAGTCGAGGACACTATGAACCGATGTAGCCGTGAGTAGTGCATTCCACATTCCAGGTTATTGACTTTTAAAACTTCTAGGGTCGAGACTAGAAGGGTTTGCATCCGACCTGGAGGATCACAATACGAGGCAGAACCTAAATATATCCTTGTTATTATCCAGCCAGGCTATGCTACAATCGGACAATCTTTGGAATTTGGGAAGATGTACCAGGCTACTTTGACGTACCTCGGTATTTTCCTCAGCTGGTATCTCAAAGCCTCTTCATTGCACGCAATCTACACCACTTCGTAAATTTTGAGTCCGAAGGTAGGAATCACTCTATTGAAAAAATGCAGAGCTGATGCTGTCTTGTCAAAGCCCGTCAGGCTTGGATTTTTCTTGCTTACCTGCGGCCAAGACACCAACTCATGAGCCAGCACAGGGAGACGGGACAACGGCTGTCAAAGTCGCGCAAGTATCCTCTGGTGGCTTGGACTTGCGATTTTCAAGAAACTAAAGTGCTCTGACAGATTAGTGCACCCTGACGTGGCCGTCCGCAGTTTTGTGGCTGCTGGATTATGCTTTGCGGCAACGTAGTCTGGACTGCTTGGGATCCTCTGGGTTCATATGCAGACGTCTGAGCTGAACAACCATCACTGCGGTTCGTAGATGATGACTCGTTGGAGTGAGTGATGAAGGCTGGAAGACATGCGGGGTAGTGATCTAGGATTTGAGACATTCATAGATCAGGTCTTGCGGGGTTTTTGTCAAAAGAAGGAATTCCCCACGAGGCGGAACTCAAATTCCAGCTCGGCTGGCGGCACGAGGCGGGACTGTCCCGATCATGTTTTCTCTTCTCCCATCACATGACCCTTGGACATGTTCTACCTACTCAACTGTAGGTACCTTATGTTCTGGAGGAGCCTGGCTAGGAGTGGAGAGTGTTGTGATATCCTAAAGATTACTCCAAAGGAAAGTAATTAGCCTTTACGCATTACTGAAGGGATGCTTCCAGGAGCGACTAAATAGTAAACCGGTGAAAGTCGCGCAAAGGCTAACGGGCTTGCGGATCTGTCAGTTCATGAAAGTAAGCTACCTCTCCGAGGCTTTCCGCAAACCTCGGTTCTCCTCCAAAACATAGGTCAGATCCGGAGGTAGGAATCTTTATTGACTTATCTTAAAATGGACGTAACTGCATATATCTGAGTTCTAGAAGGGTGCAATGAGAACGATAATTGAAGCAAAATCAAAGACCCAGGAGAGGGAAAAGACCTGAAAGAGAAAACAGAGCAGAGAGAGAGGACAAGAGCGAGACAATACCTAGCCAGAAACTCATCAAAGCCACTGATTAAATACCCCAAATTTTCCATCACCTTATCCTCCCAGATCATCCATCCTTTCCGATTACCCGGAATCCCCCTAACACTAAACCCCTGTCTCTCAACACGAGTAATCAGCATAACCAAGTTCTCAAAATCCTCATTCATTACGAGATTACTTGACTGAGCAAGGGCTGCGCCAATCAGCAGTCTTTCTTCCCATCTTTTGGAATCATTTTTGATTCAAGTCCAGCGCGGATCGCATACCACCCGCCAGAATACATCCTTACCACTCCCAATTCTTGCCTCACTCCGCTTTCCCAGTCTCAACTTCTTGAGAAAATCGATACAGTATCTGTCCATCCTCGTAATCTTATGTCGCACTCTCCAGAGGACGAAAGTTGGTGCTGAAAGGAGAACGCTGGTGGATTTTGGCGGAATTGCTGAGCTTAGTGTCGTTGATGGGGAGGAGCAAGTGGACGACTTTGAGAGACATGGGATCGCCTTTAAGACGTCGGGGAGTTAGTCGATGCTGGCTCATGAGATGTGAGTTTGTGACTTAGGAAAAAAAAAGAGTCTGTAAGAATATTCATCTTGAGGAATTCATTGCAGGAGTCATCCTTGTTGTGACCACTTGACTAATGTATCTGAATGACGCTGTAAATAGAAGCCTAGGGTCTGAGTATCAGGCTTTGAACGAAAATGAACAGCCCTTGATCTTGCTCCGTTCACAAAACGAGAAAATCCCAAAGTTGTAACAATGTCTGAATGATTGACAGTCTGAACGAAAAAAAAACCATCATTCCTCAAGGTATCAGCTCTTTTTACATATCTCAATTTCGCAACGTTCTCAGTCGCAGTCGAGAACAACAATTTTCCATGCTCGACATGAAGATGCTTTTGTATGAAGCGGGATGGATTCCTCCCGTGTCAGCACTGGTGGCGTTTTGACTCTCCTCTGACTGGTGGCCGTCTCAAAGCTTGGCTCGCAGGTGTGGTTCCGCCTCCATCTGTGCGCCAGAGGAGGGCTGATGGCGTTTTTGGAGTAAAGTAGTTGGTGCACGGAGATGTGCTTGTGTATTCAGCTGATGTCTGTACCATATGTCTGAGCTTCGAAAATCTGAGAGGTCTTCAGGCTTGAGAGACAGGTGATGTGTTGCAAAATGGTTGTTCCTGGGGTCTCCAAGAAACATGGACTGCGTGCAAAACCACGGTCGACTATTCATCTTCATCAGATTGACGACACAGATATTTCAAGCTTTCAACTACACCCTTTGACATGCTTCAGAATAATAGACCGCCGCAACTGTTGGTTGTTATTAGACAAATGTAGCTGTCGACTTCCAATTTTCGAAGAGAGCATTGCTCAAAAAAGAGACAAAGCCGGCAAGAGTGAGGGTTAGCTATCGGCGGACATCTATGAATGTATATGAAGAATCTCCAAGTCTCACTCATACCTCATCGTCGTATTCCATATGATATTGATCGACTTTGACAAGCTCTCGGCTTCTCTTGCATGTCTGTTCTCCAAGGACATCCCAAGTATATTCTACCAGACGAGATTCGTACTTGGCATGAAACTTCTTGCAATGGGGAAACAAAAGCGAGAGCTGTGACAATGGAGCTCCGATTTTATCATCTCGGAGAATCTCAATGATTGCCTTCTGCATCTGAGGGCTTTGATCCACAGAATATGAAGGAGATTGGGCAACAAGTTTCAGTCGCTGGAGACTTCTGATTTTGGAAAGCTCGCATATGATAGTCCAGGTAGGATGTCCAGGATCCTGCAGCTTAGATTAAAGACGGAAGACCACTGTTGTACAGAGACTTACATAGTGGGCAACTTCCACCCTATCAGGAAACGTGATTGAAATTTCAAGGTCTATCAACACAACACACGAACTGCGGAGAGCAATCACATCCTCGAGAGACGTGTCCGGGTCCAAAAACTCGGGACTACGCAACCTCAAAGCTCTCAAAGTCTGTCCAAGCGTGATTGTGATTGCGGGTATTATTTCTGAGACAAAATAGCATGTTACAAAAAGCTCCTCAATGTCCCCGTTATCTCTGATTAATTGCAATATGTCTTGATTCGCCCTTTTGTGATGTTTCACCTCCACCTCGGTTGGTGAAAGCGGCCCAAGTCGTGGACTAGGAGAGTATTCGAAAGACTTCAGACCCGCGACGAAGAAAGAAGAGAATGATCCCATGAATGTCGGTACAGTAGAAAATACTATCTCGCTCCTTGACGACAACTTACTCAATTTGGAGAGATCCCAGAAACTATGCTGGGAGATGGGATGTCCAAGACCCCGAGGAGCTGTTGTCGACCACCTGGCCAAGAAAAGATCCCTGAGGGGAGGCATGCGGCCATGAATAGGGTGCCAGGACTCAAATACCCTGCTGCCCATTATGCGCAGAGTTCTCAACTTGACAGAGCGGACAAGCAAATCTCGAAGCTGATCCATATCGCTGTCACGTATTCTCTCCATTACATGGCTCATCAGATCGAGGGAGACCAAGTTGGAATGTGTGATGGTGGGGAAGTTGATATAGAGGCCATATGGTGGTCCAAGGGGGTTACTTTTCCGTACGTTGATATGAAGCCGTAGGTGTGACATTTGGTCCGCAAGAGCAACTTCCGCGGGAAAATTGGCGGATCGGTTTAGGGTCAAGTACAGACGATACTCCAAAGATTTCAGATGTGGACATTCCGCCATAAATTCAACAAGTCTAGCTGGGAACGTTGGTGTGCTCTGATTTACGACGATGTTCTGAGAAAATTTCCGAACATTGGATAGAACATCTTTGCCAAGAGTACTGGGTCGTCGTACAAGATGATGTGGCAGGACTATAAATGTCCGATAATAGTATGGGGTTGAGACATGGTAGAGTTTCCAAGAGACCAGGCGCAGACTGCGAAGGTCATGAGAATCTGGGCTTTGCAAATGCAGCTACAGCCGATCGTTAACACACAATGTCACAGCCTTCTTTAGCACTGGCACCAAATTACCAGATGACCAGATATCATGATCCACAGCTCAATACTGAGCATATCTCCAAAGCGAGGTCGAACCAAAGGTACATGCGTTCCAGGCTGCAGCTTGCTCATCGCTGTGGATATTCCGGCCATCTTGGACAAAGGCTTTGAGAGCACATCAGGTATGATTGTTTGATGCTGAAGTTCTCCTTCGAGATACCTTCGATATGAAGTAATAGGTTGTCGCTATTCTTGCTGGACGTTCGTTGCTGTGAGCTGGAAATGGGAGAGTGGAGCAGTTTGACTCGGGAAGGCAGCTCGTTGCCAAGAACATGAGTCAGCAGCGCGTTCTCCTTTCGAAGCTCAAACGCGACAGATCAACATTAAGCCAGGGTTGCGATAGCAATTGCTACGCCAAAAAGATATCAAGCTGGCGCAGATTCAAAGAAGAACACTGGAATCCCGATGATTCTGCAGCATGTCTGAGCTTGCAGGTCCGTACACGCCATCCCTTTGCTGGTTGATTTGACTCCGTGGAGAAAGCTCCAGTAGCAACAAAGACGCATGCTAACATACTCAATAGTCGGCCAGACAGTCCAGCTCGCCGATGGTCGCATTGGAGTAGTCCGCTATGTTGGGCAGACCGAGTTCGCAGACGGGGATTGGGTTGGAGTGGAACTGGACAGCTTCGATGGTAAAAACGATGGCAGTGTCCAAGGACAGAGATACTTCGAGTGCGAACCTTCTAGAGGCATGTTCCTCCGACCATCAGCAGCTGTAGTCATCCAGCAAGCACCAGCACCTGTGCCGAAGGCAAATGGAGCTGCGGCAAAGAAACCTCCGAGACCGAGCAGTGTAGGAGGACCTGCTGTTGGAAGGAGGTTGAGCACTGTTCCCGATGCGGGTGCAGGGAAACGGATGAGTATGAATGCTGCAAGTCCAAGTCCAGCGACGAGGTCACGACCATCCAGCATGCTACGGGTAGGTCATATTTCCTATATTATAGATGCTTTCTAAGATCATAATAGTCTCCCACCAAGTCTCCTACCAAACAACTTTCGGCGGCGACCTCGACTGCATCTACCCCTCGAACTGGAACCCCTTCTAATGCAAGAAACCCTTCCATCACGATGTCGAAACCACGACCCAGCATAGGAGGTACCCGAACATCTATGGGCCCGCCAGCTAGGCCTGCTTCCCAGACACGACCTTCGATCACAGGTGCTGGGACTCGATCGACTGCACCACCCTCACGGACAACAAGCGGGCGGACATCTCTAGCACCAAAGCCAAGGATACAGACTGGTGAGAGGGTGAAATCAATCGGGAGTCAATTAAGCAGTGCCCAAGCTAGTGAGGGCAGTGGACAAGATACTGGTGATGAAGACCGAGGAGCATCGCCCGTCAAGAGCGACGAGCCGACGTCACCAAAGCCGATGAGTCCAGTCCTTTCAAGAACAGCAGCAGGAGACCGATCGCACGCGTCACCCGCTTCCAGTCGGAGTACCGCATCGCCTGTGGTCCAGCGAGGCACTGGAGGGAGCACAGCTGCGAGCCGGGAGATCGAGGATTTAAAGACCAAGCTGCGCCTCATGGACAAGAAACGGATGGAGGACAGAGACAAGCTCAAGGCATTGGAGAAGATACAAGCCGAAAGGGACAAGTTCGAAGGCATCATCCAAAAGCTTCAAACGAAATACCAGCCACAGCAACAGGAAATTACAGATCTACGAAAGCAATTGAAGGAAGCTCAAACACGATTCGAAGAAATTGAGAATATCCAGGCCGAACATGATATCGTGGTTGAGATGGCAACCTTGGACAGAGAAATGGCCGAGGAGACTGCAGAGGTCTTGAAGACTGAGCTAGAAGCTCTAAAGCAGAAGACCGAGGAGCTGGAGTTAGAGGTAGAAGTGCTACGAGAAGAAAATGCTGAACTCGGGGGAGAGATGAGCCCAGAAGAAAAGACTAGTGCTGGGTGGTTGCAACTAGAAAGGAACAACGAGCGATTGAGAGACGCTTTGATGCGTTTGCGTGACATGACCCAGCAGACCGAATCGGAGCTTCGAGATGAGATTAAGAGTCTGGAAGAAGATGCTCGCGAGCTGGGATCAGTGAAGGAGCACTACGACGTGGCGAAAGAAAAGCTAGCATCTTCGGAGGCCGCCATTGAGGATCTCCGCCAGCAACTCGACAATGCCCTCGGAGCTGAAGACATGATCGAGGAACTGACCGAGAGGAATATGAGCATGAATGAGCAAATTGAGGAACTCAAAGCGACGATTGAGGACCTTGAAAGCCTCAAGGAGCTAAATGATGAACTGGAAATCAACCATGTCGAGACTGAGAAGGAGATGCAAGAAGACATTGACTTCAAGGACAGCATTATAACCGAACAAGCAAGACGAGCTGCCCAGCAAGAAGAGACGATGGAGGACATGGAATACACCCTGTCTCGATTCAGGGAGCTAGTCACCAATCTTCAAAGCGACTTGGAAGATATGAGGGCATCACATGCCATGACGGAGACAGAGTCGGAGCAGTTGAACAGTCGTTCCCGTGCCATGATGGATTTGAACATGAAGCTTCAGGTTTCGGCTGCCAAGACACAAGTCAAGACCATTGACCTGGAACTTCGTCGCTTGGACGCGCAGGAAGCATCAGAGCATCTCGCCATTGTTCAATTGTTTTTGCCCGAAGCTTTCCATGGGGACCGAGATTCTGTTCTAGCTCTTCTGCGATTCAAACGGGTTGGCTTCAAAGCCAACTTGCTCCACGGTTTCGTCAAAGAGCGAGTGAACGGACATCCTCCTACTGGGCATGAGGACGATTTGTTTGCAGGATGCGACGTTCTCGACAAGCTGTCATGGGTCTCTGCTATGTGTGATCGCTTCGTCAATGCCATCAGCCACTGCACGGCTGAACAATTCGCCAAGTACGAAGGTGCTCTGTACGAACTTGAGCCGGTTGAGAGAGCCCTTAATGGATGGATCGATGGCCTCCGACGAGACGAGCTCAGCGAGAAAAGATGCGCAGACGAGCTTCAGCGTACGATTGCCCTCATGTCACATCTGGCTGAGGTGCATATCTCGCCAGGCTTGGCAAGCTATGCTGATGAGGTGCACATGCGGACTTTGGTCATGCAAAGCCACCTTGAGAATGCAGCTGCCGCCATGGTAGCTGCAAGAATGATGGTGCAAACTATTGTTCCCAGTCAAGGTGATGAGGATGAATTGGCCCAACACTTCTCTCGCAAGACAGAAGCGGTGATCAGCCATACAAGAAGTGCAAAGGTTGTCATCGGTAAGGCCGTCAGAGCCCTCGAAGATCTCAAGACTCGATCGCTTTCTCTCACCCCGGACACCCTTCAGACATTTGAGCAGTGTGAGACAGCTACGGAAGAGCTTGCCAACTTTTCTCGTCATATCGGTGACGATCTTTACACTCTTCTCCACGAAGAAGGTAGAACTGAGCCATTTACCTACCTCGAAGTTCAAAGCACTGTTCATCGAACTACGTCTAATTTGTTCTCCTCAAGCGAGTCTGATCTTTTCTCTACTTATTCAAACAAGCTACGCACTTTGACGGCCTCATTAATGGATCTGGCTGCTCTTGCATCTGATCTTGAAATGACTCAGGAATTCGAACGCGCAGCAGCTCCATGGGTCACCAGATCGGGAGAACTTAAATCGTCGAAGATCGTGCCCGTTGACGCAGAAGAAGAAATGCGCCGTCTCAAGGATGATAACCATGAACGCGCCAGGCTCATTGCAATGAAGGATCAGACGCTTGAGGAGGCCTCGGTCAAGATTGAACTTTTGGAGAGTCGTATGAGGGATGCGACAAAGAAGAATGAGAAGATCTCTGAGCTCGAGAGGAAGATTGAAGATGCTAAGAAGCGTGAGGCTGAATTGACAGAATCAATCGAGTCGCAGAACAAGGAACTTACTTCTATTGAAGCTGACCGAGAGAACTGGAAGAAGGTAGCCGAGGATGCAAAGGCTCTTGGTGTCGTCGCGCCCGGTACAAAGGCTGGCCAAGAACAGGCTGTGGCAACAGCTCGCGAAATGGAGGCTCTCAAGACAGAGATCGCCAGTCTCCAAGCGGCTGTCCGATACTTGCGAGAAGATAGCCGACGAGCCCGTCTCACCCAGTCGCAACACTTGGACTGGTTAGATGCACCTTTGATCAAGCCCAAGAGTAAGGAGGAGCAGCGGAAGGGTCTCGTTTTAGCAGAAGGGCAAGATGTTCTCAACGAACTTCTTAATCTTACCTCGACTGCCAAAGTCTACGATCTCAGCGCTATGCCCAAGAATCGACTTGCATGGCGTCCAGCAAAGGCCACACCACAGTACCACGTTGCCAAGCAGAGAGAGAACTACGAAGCCTGGAGTAGCTGGAAAGACGGCGTTGTCAAAAAGGCTCGCGTTCTGGAAGAGCGGGATGCGAATCGTGCAATGGAGAAGAGGCTCAGAGGAGGATTAGCTGCACGAGTTCTACTTAATTTGCCAGATCTGGAAGGTAAAGGCGTTCGTCCAGGGGGCGAGGTCGAAATTGTTAATCCGGATGATTTCGAAGGGGTCAGGGGCAGGCTTGGATTCGTGTGAAAGAAGCATTACATTATACCCAGGAGAGCTCTTTTTAGCTATGGCTTTGTACAACAACAATGTCATAATGTTCTGTTATTATGTATTGCAGGATTGAATGTCTAGTACTATTGTGAAGTGCCATGCATTTCCAACACTCGAGCTGACAATGAAACAGCTTACTTGTCATTTTCAGAATAGTCAACAAACCTGGAGATCTGCCAAGCGAGATGAGGGGGTGGGGGTGAAACAGAAGCGGCTGAATCAGCAAGGCCGGCCGAGGCTGGATGGCTGATTGGAATGTCACCACAAGAGTCGGACGAGGCTCTGAAACAATCCCAGGGGCCCCTTGCGGCTGGACACAAACACCTTGGCCTCATCACCATGAAGATGAAAATACCATAGGTGTTCGTAACACCTTCTACTTCTTGTAGGCATTCTGCCATTGCCACTATGCGCATCCTTCTCTGCGTTGTTTACGCAATTGTTGCAACGGCGGCATATGTTCCTGGGAAGGTATTCGATAGGTTCATTACGATATGGCTCGAGAACCAGGTATGCAGCATATACAGTAATTATTTCAACACAGGCGTGTTCTAACATATCCGCAAGGACTTCTCCAAAGTAAGTGCGAATGGAGAGATTGCAGATCTCCGTAAGCAAGGCATCCTACTCACGGAATACTACGGCCTCACTCATCCCTCGCAACCGAACTACATTGCCTCTATATGCGGAGATTACTTTGGTTTAAATCATGATGGAATCGTCAAGATCCCGTCGAATGTGTCTACGGTGGTGGATCTTTTCGATGCGAAGAATATTGAGTGGAAGGGTTATTTCGAGGGCATTCCTGGTCCGGGATATATGAATGAAGGGAGTACTAGTAGCGATGGGAAAGGGTGGGATTACGTGCGGAAACATAAGTGAGAATTATTCTACGAATAGTATTTTTGCAGTTGTACGAGGAAAACTGCTCACATTGTACTCCTTACAGCCCTTTCGTCTCCTTCGAGCGCATTGCCGGAAACGGAACCAGACTTGCCCAAATCCAAGACTTTTTCTCTTTCCAGCGCGATGTAGAGAGGAATGCTCTCCCCCAGTACGCCCACCTTTCACCAGATATGCTCAACGACGGTCATAACACCTCTCTTGCATTCGCAACATCATGGATCAAATCATTCCTCACCCCGCTCCTCTCCAATCCTTCCTTCATGGACAAAACACTCATCCTCTTAACCTACGACGAAAGCGAAACATACCCTCTCCCAAACCGTATCGTCTCCCTCCTTCTTGGCGGCGCCATCCCAAAATCCCTAAAAGGCACCAACGACAGCACAATTTACAGCCACTACTCCATCCTCTCCACCATGGAAAACAACTTCGGCCTCCCCACACTCGGTCGCTACGACGCCGGCGCCAACGTCTTCGACTTAGTAGCCTCGCAAACAGGCTATATCAACCACCCTCCACAATCCTCTCACCCAATAAACAACTCCTTATCTTATTCGGGGTTCCTGAATAATGACCCTTCGAAATACAAACCTATCCCGTCCCCGAATTTGCAATTAGCGGGAGCGGGAGATCGCGGTCCGGAAAGAATGGTTAAACTGCTTTGGGTGACGAGGGAGGCAGAAAAGACGCCGTATGATGGAAGTGGGAACTTCTTTGATGGAGGAAATGGGACGCCTGGGTCGGAATGGGAGCCTGTTTATAAGGTTCAGGCGCCGGAACCCGTCTTTACTGCAGTGCCGAAGGCAAGTCCGACGAAACACAGTGCTGGTGTGAAGTTAGGTGTTTTGGGTATAGAATTTTGGATTGCAGCGATTCTGGGTACGTTTCTGGGAATTTGCTGATCTGGTTGGCGCTTGGGTTTGAATCTTGGACGGGACATTGGATATAGACGGCAAGATTTGGAGACATGGAGTTGGATAGGGCAGGGAGTTGGGTGTATGCTTTTGTTTCATTGCGGTACAATCTGGTGGAAAGCACTTTCATGTTTACTCGCCTTTCCAGCTGCTTCTCACCCGAGCAGTTATCGTCGAGAATTTTCGCTCCAATCTCTAACCATGGACTGAGGAACGAGATGGTAGCGAATGAATTGCATCTCATGCTCCCTCGAAAAGAGAGGCTTGTCTTTTCTCGTTGACTTGCATTTTTTCATCCTATGCAAATGTATCAGGGTGAATACATCTAGCTTGCTTCGTTCGTTCGTACACATTAGCTGTACATCACAAACTCCTGCCACGTCGAAAGTAGCCCAAGCACAAGCATCAAGCAAAGAATGGAAAAACATCGCCAATTGTTGTCGCATTAACCCCGTTTCCCCCAAAACTCTCCATAATCACATCTTGTTGCCTACCACTAGTCCACAGCACCAACAGCGCATCCCGTTGCGCACAAAGTCTCGCGGAAACGATATTCCTGCTATCTACACAACGCGCTGGTCTATCCGCTGCCGGTCTCGTACTCGTACTCGTCACCCCACTCAGGAAATTCTGGTCGTTCATCCAGGGATTTGCTGTAAGCCCAGCGATGTTGTTGCTGTGGAGTGTGGTTTCTAGATTACGGATTTGATCGAAGCAGGAGCTGTGGGCGCGGATACTGGCTGTGTCGTGCTTGCACCAGAGGTGGAAGGAGTAGAGGGTTAATGCGTCCATGAAAACTGTGTCTCGGGCGAAGTTGAGGAATAGTTTTCTGGCTCCGAAGCGGAGTTGGTGGGGATTGAGGCGGTGATATTCGTGGTAGGATTCTGAGTATGCGTCTGCGAAAGCGGGCTTGCCGCCGCTACGGCATGTTTCAATAGCTTGTCTCTGTCGTATATTTCAAATGAAACAGAACTTACAATGCACCTTGTTGAAGATTGAAACTAAGCAAAACATGGGCCTCTCGAGGAGGAGGACGGGGACCGTGTGGCCTTCGAGCTGCCCACGGTCTTATGTACTGGGCAAATTGTAGGCGGAATTTGACTTCAATTGTTGGTGTATCGTCGTTGTACCCAAAAGTTTCATGAACAATCATAAGACGGATTTCGGCGGGTAGGCGGCGATAATATTTGAACTCGATTGCCATGACCATGAATCATTGAACGCGCAACGATATCAAGGTAGAACTTCAATTTACGCGATGCATGACTTCTAACTCATCAATATACAATCGTGGGAAGCTGGACGAAATCTGGAGTGACAAAGAGAGTGAGAATTGTGTTGTACAAAGACAAAGACACAGAAGCTGAGTCCGGGAAGTGCTCTGGGAATTACTATTTCACCGGATAAAAATGATAGATCTTTGTTCTCGGTCGTCCACAAGTTGAGGATAGAAATTACACAATGCGGGATTGGAAAAGAACTGCTTAAACCATGGAAAGCCCCTGTCGTTGACCACTCAACAATTCATGAATTCCATACCGGCGAGCTTTAAATCTGCCTGAATTATGTGAATAAAGTTTCTGCTATCGCACTACCCTTGCTGGAACTTTGTGGAGATCTATTGTTTTAAAGTTTCTTGGACAGTTTTTCTGCCTTCAATTTGACCTTCTCCTGGAATCTCAAGAATTTGTTTGATATGCTGTTTCGACAGCCATTTTTCTTCTGGCGTGAACCACCAAGACAAAACAGCGAAGACCGTTACGGCACTCATGATTACAGGAGCGTCTATCACAGTGATTAGTACCAAGATTGAAGTTTGGCTATGACTTCATGACTTACAGTTCAAGTTCTGCCCTGAAACTGGGAAGACATAGGGCGAAAACAAGACCGCTACCACCCACAGATTCCAGAAAATCCCAATAAGCTGGAATGGCTTGCTCAAACGGCCTAGACTCCATCGCGATTTCGGGAAATCATTTGGTGTGATGAAGAATCGGCCAAAGCATATTAATCCATATGCAGCCGCTGACGGCACACCCGCTGCGGAGATGAGAGACGTGAAAGCTACCGAGGACGGCAGGATGGTGCATGTGACAAGTGAAGCAACTATCCAGATTACTAGCACAGCATTTCGAGGTTGTCCTTCTCTGGAGACTTGGGAGACCCAGCCAGAGAACGGGAGGACGCCATCTCGTGCTACGGCAAATACGAGACGTGAAGCTGCAACGACTGCGATGGCTGTATTCTGATTTTTGTTAGCAAGAGAGATCGAAATAGGATGGACATACGAACAAACCATAGAGCAGTAATGCAGATGATATTCATAAATATATGACCGCCCTTTCCGAGGATTACTGCGTAGAGGGGAACAAATGGCTGAGGTGAGCCAAAGGAGAAGAGAACATCTGGTCCAGGCTGGGTATGTTAGTTTCATTGGTTCTACATTTAGATGGAGAAGGGTACGTACCACGCAGAACAAAAGTAAGATTATTGTAAAGAATCCCCCAATTCCGCTGACAACCGTACTCCAGAAAATTCCCTTGGCAGCATTTACGGAAGCATTTTTCGTCTCTTCAGCCACATGACCAGACGCATCGAAGCCGATCAGAATTCCAGCAGTCGCAAGATACGACAGACACCAGTTCCAGGCTGGAGGAGCACCTGTCCCATTGTAGGTTGTCATGAAAGCTTCATGAGCTGTGCGGAATCCGTAGGTGTTTGCGGTGCCGATTGGTAGCCAGACGAGGTTCAGGATGAAGTCTAGAACTACGAAAGAGCCTGAGAGGTAGAAAATGAATCGGAAGAGCCGAGCTAGTATCGGAGTTAGACTGTCTTGAGACTGATGGAAGGTAGACTTACGAGGTAGGAAGTTCACCAGAACTGCAAGTGCGAGCATCACTTCCGTGCATATCCATTGCACTGCTCTGAATTTGATGCTGCTTGCATCTGACGGGAAATTTACTTTGAAAACAGTTATTTCCTGATTCACCTGTGTAAGTAAACTTTAGTAAGGCTTTTGCTATCAAGACTTACGGAAAGCATGTAATTGACAGCCGCCTGCGTGTTACCTATCATTGTGTCAGCAGCCAGAGCAGAGTTGAACCAAGATGGAATGCCTTACTGGCACAGAACGTTGTCCAAGCAGTGGTTGACCACTTTGTGAGTCAGCCTAGTTCTTCAAGTACAGTCTTTAATTCAAGATGACGAAGGAAGGAAGTCCATCATTCTGGTATCCTGAACATACCCAAGCAACAATGAATCCCAACAAACGCCCATACTTTGGCCCACCTGCCTCTGCCGCCCAAAGATAAATTGATCCGGCCGACGGTAGCGAAGAGCAAATTTCGGCGATGACAGCAGCAGTGATGAACGTGAAGACACAGGTGATGACATAACTTGTCCAGTACGCCAAATTTCCACCAGCGGCGATTCCAGTACTGAAAGTCACTCGCACTCCACCAACAAAATAAAGCGCAGCTGCAGACTTGTCAGAAAATTCCCACTAAATCGAGATCAAATAGTGAGTCTACCGAATGTCGTGGAGAAGTTTTCCAGTAATCCATATGTCCTGTGGAGGACCTGGCAAAATTTAGTAATTAACTGAGGTTGGCAGTGGTGGGGGTAGTACAGGTTTATACCCGATATTTCTCTATTAACACCCGATCAGAAAATGAAGTCTAAATGTCTTGCATATCATTATCTTACCAGTAATGCATCGTCTGCTTTATCTTGGAGCTGTTCTCGGGTTTCTTCTTCGGATGAATCGGCGTCATCGGATGGTCTTGTCGCACCTTGTATAACTGTATTTACAGATCTCGAATTGTTTTCTGAAGACATATCTTTGGTTATGAATGTTGTCTCAACACGAACATGTCATAGTAGCAAGATATTGAATTAGTATGAATTGGAGTTGCGTTGGACATGTCAAGTGATTGAGAGAAGAAAATTCAGTCGGAATGTCGGGTGATTATTCATGGCGCGATCTAGTGCTCGCTTAGTTGGGCTCCATAAATTAAAGCCATAGACCAGGAGGGGATCAGATACAGTAGAGTACGGAAGGTTACGCTGATATACGAATTTTACAATTGGGTGGCACTGTCTCCTAATGTAGCTAGCAGTGCCAGAAGGTAAGAAACAATATGTTCCCGGCCTCAATTTTATGACACATCTAGAAAATTAAGCAGGGCCAACGTGAGACTAGGAGTGGCCCAGTGGAGAAGGCCACAATCTAGAGTGGTTGTGAAATTTTGAGTTTTTGCACATACGGAACTGGTCAAATATTTAAAGGTGTTCTAAGCGTACAATGCTGGATACGAATGCTCCACTAGTGCTGCAACGTACCGTAGCAATATGAAGTCGGATTTAGCACGGATTAAGATTCCAGTACCTTGAGACGCAAGAGAACCTTAAAATGAGCACCTTTATGGTGCTTATTTAAAACATAAGATTCGAATAGTGAGCGAAGGAATGCGGGGTGCCGAGCGTTTTGGCGAAAAGCCATCATAACGAATACGACTCCGTGAAACTGACATCTACCCAAATAATCATAGTGATGGATGTTTGATGAAAGCATGTGGAGGATTATTAGGATCAGTTCTACTTCTCAGACCCAGTATAAGTTAGGTATCGTTTAAGATTGGCATCAGAGCCTGGCTAGGTATGCTCCCTTCGCCGAATGGCACATCACGTGTTGTTGTTTACCCCGCCCCACACATTCGCTTGTGCGAGACCGGAGGTCAAAAAGGTTACTATCAAGCCGCCTTCGATGTTCTCTCCTCACTCTCCAAGTTTTCCTCCACATGTTCCCTCCTTCTTCTCAGCCCGAAAAAAGTCCCCATAACTTTAGCTGACATCTTTGAATCAGTATCATGTCCCCCTGTTCCATCACTAGCATTCTTCACTTTCCCAGGTCTACCCCATTTCTCCCGCCTGAAACGCTCCCATTGCTCGATGATGTTTTCCAAACTCAATGCCAATGTGTATGTACCCAAGATGAAAATGACGGTCAAAATAGCAAAGCCATTATTTCCAGCTTTGTTCATGAAATCAGCATGTTCAATTGCGAAGAGGCCCTGCGAGAAGTTAGTGCTGAAACTCTCATATGAAGGAGAAGAGAGACGTGCGGTAATAAATCCAAGTGGTAAATATGCAATGGTAATATATGTCAGTATTCTGATATTGTTTCCCTGCTTGATCGTCGTTTTGCTATCGCGAAGTGCGGTTTGACTGTCCTCAACATTGGCCACTGTAGAAATCTGGAGACTGTCAGAATCCGCCTATAAATTCATGAACGTAGATCACGTACTCCATCGCGGAACCCAGTGACTTGAATGATTTTCAGCTGTGTGCTGACTTGGACGTCTGACAACATGCCATATCGTTTCTCGAACTCTTCGATGACGTTGTTGAATTCTTGGAGTAGATCAACGTGCTGCTGTCCAGCTTCCTATATTCCGGATTAGAAGTATAAAAATGAGAGCTGCCGAGTTTTTAGACTTTTCCTTACGTGCTTCACTGTTCGTGCCATCGCCTCTTGAGCCTTTTTTATCTGAGATAATGATGCTGATAGCCTGTCATTGAAGACACGTAAGGCTTCGAGACCCCACAGCATTTTCTTCAACCTATCTACTGCCTCGTTTGTACCCCATACCAAGCCTTCGAGCAAGACTATCTCCTATAGTCTTATTAGCGAGCCCTTTATAGAAGAGCTTTCTGCGTTACGATGCATACCCCTAAGCCAACGATGACATCCAATCTAGAAAGAATCATCTCATACTCCCCCGCCAACTTCTCACAAAGATGCCCAAGCAGTAACAAGAACGCCAAGCATCTCCCACAAGCTTGTTGATGTATGAACCTCTGGAGCACATCCGAAAGCGCGTGTATGGGTTGCGTAATAGATTCCGAGTCCGTGAGAGAGGACCAGATAGAACATATCCACAAATGGCCAGCTGGATCCCCGGTGATGACGATCGATGAGCACCGCTCTTCCACAACATCTGTGGGTTCAGCAGATCCCGTTCTCTTGGGGGCTGTAGTTCTAGAGCCAAGTCTGGCAATGCTGGTAGGTGGGAAATCGCCATTGTTTCTGTTCTCTTTGAACATATGCGCATGAGCTTGTGAAATGCTAACGGGTCGGATGCTCCAGCTATTTGAAATGATATTAGCCAGATGTCCAGGAATAGCGCCATAAAACAGAGGAAGTGCTTTGGATTCAGAGCGGAAGGGGTAGCAGTGACCAATAAAACAATTAACTTACTACGATATTGTAATGCTTGTTGCCCACATTGTCACTTCACGACTCTCCGTAAATCTCGAAACGGAACCGAAATAATTATCAAATGTATCAAGTCCGTCTGGATGGAACATGTATATAAAAGCTCCAACGAGAACTGGGGTACACTTTTCTGCAAATCTACAGGTTGCTCGTCAGACAGCCATCCGTACAAATCTGGCATTGAGAAGAGAATGCAGAGAATGCTCACAGTATACGATGCTTGGCTCCAATATCGACCAACTTGTAAGAGTTAGCAAACGTTAAAAGAACCCTGGAGACAAAACGTACACTGTCATTGAGTTTATCAAGGAGAACTTTACGATATGAGTCCAGCTGATCGTAGTTGTACGAGTCAGTAGCCTTTTTGATACCCACAACACGAGAATTACGCTGCCCCTCACCATGGCTTAAGCGACCAGTCTCAGACACAAGAGGTCGATCTGCATTGACCAAGTTTTGCAATGTGATATCCTTGGACTTAAATGTAAAGTTCTTCGAAAGGTGCAGATCAAAGACACCCAAGAACTGTAGCTCGGCAGCAGGGAGCTTGCTGTTGATATTTTCCGGCGTGTAACTTGGTTCGGCGATAATATCTATGCCCTCGCGCCTGGCTAAATACTGGCGGACATCTTTTCGCAGAGGGACGTCTTTTGTTTGTTTGGCTTGATACAAGTCGGGTGTGTCTTGAATAGATTGTACCCATCGATCCTGGTCTGCATCAGTTATTGATCAACATTAATGGAGAGTGCCAGTCGCTTACTGGATGATAGAGCTTTCCTGGCTTGCAAGAGACCCAGTCAAATGCTTTCACCTGAAAGCTCCCTGCGATATCTTCTTGCACAAGTAGCTGTCTCATCTGCATCAGATGTTCTTTGCTTAATTCTTCTTGCAGCTTCTTCATTTGCAGAAGAATGTCACGTATCGTATCCTCCTCTGATGGCTCTGGTAAGGTGTCGGAGTTCCTTCTCTGAACAGATGGCAATTCTTCAATGTCATGAACGGAGTGACCTAGTAGATCGGCTTCTGCTTCAGAAATTGGAGACTTCAATTTTCCTTCAAGTTTGTCAGCGAGAGGGTACGATGGATTAGGAGAGAGTCGACAATTACCTTCAAACTTGAGGTCCAATAAGGTAGCACAGATGACACTGACAGGTTCGATATCCCACCACTTTCCAACCATGTTGCCATCAGCACGGTCCCAGGATGTCATGAATGAGTAGTCGGACATGAGAAATTCGAACAATCTATCTCTCGCAGCTTTGATATTGGCATCGTCTGTTACCCTCAAAGATCCCTGATGATTGGTGCATTGCAGTTCCCAAGGGCCATTTGAGATCGCCTGTGAGCCTTTCCACGTCTTTGGACCTGGATTGAATCTCGTCGTGCGCTGCCTCTGCAAGATTATTTTGCGACTTTGCCTCGCTCGTGACAAAGCTAGGCTCGCCGTTGACGATGCAGGAATTGCATCCAATTCAAGCTCCTCACTCACGAGAAGTACACGGTCCAGCTCCTCGTTCTCGATAGAATAAGAATCAGCCTGGGCTGTCTTTAAGCGAGAAACATACTTCTCGAACTTCTGTTGTGTTCTGATCACCTCTTGCCGGTCAAGCCCTGACAGAGAAAACCCGTCCGCTGCTGTTTTATTGGTGTCTGTTATAAATTCCCCGTTGCAGATCAGGAACAAACAGCTCATGTGAAGCCATTGCAACACATCGTTCTTGGGAGTTGGCTCCTTGTCTCTTGATGCACGTTTCTGCACCGCTTCGTAGGCCCGTGTCAACTTAGGTAACAAAATCGCAGATTTGAATGTGTCTGATGCGGCTTGTGGACAATGATTCATTACGTACCAGACTGCAAGGGTTGCATAGCAGGCTTGATTGTATGACTGATCGGTATGCATCTGCACTCGATTCTGTTCGCACCTCCGTAGTCGCTTGGATGGCTGTGTCTCCATATCTGGTGCGGCTTTATCACTTCTGAGTGCAAGTAGCAGACGCCTGGGTTTCATGTCGGTGTTGATCAACCATGTGAGAATTGATGTTATGGATCCAAGAAGTGTCGATAGATATGCAGCACGTATTTTAACCAGAGGCTGAAAACGCTCAAATAGATCTGGCTCCAAATGGCGACTGCGTATGAAATTATATGCTTTGACGAGGAGGCGAATTTGGAAACTATGAATGAATTTAGCAATTTCCTCAACAGAATTCTTAACATATCTTACAAGCTACTCTGCACGTTGACGTATTGAGGGGTCATTATATTGCAAATCAGCGCGGTTTCGTCACTTGAATTGGAGCCATTAGCTCCTTCAAGAGGTACTGAAGAGACCCCTAGAATTTGCTCCACCCCTCTACCAATGACACAAACATCAACTGCCTCACTGGCTTCATAATTGGCTGAGCACAACGCGGTCCATAGTCGATCAGTCATCCTTATTGAAGTATTGGATATCCCAAGATAGTCCTCCAGCTTGGTGAATATGGACACTTCGAGTCCAGACGAGCTCGTGCCAATGTCTCGAAGTGAACACGTCGATACGTTTATAACAGGCTCTCCGAATCGAAGCTCAATCTCATGTACTGACGAAGCATCAACTTCTGATCCACTGATGTCATCATGATCGGGCCCATGAAGAGGGGTACTTATGTCTTGTCGGATACCGTCGATGAAAAGATGCATCTCTAGTGTCTTCTTGTATCTCTCACTGACACAAGCGAGTCCAATTCCTGAGCTCAAGTGGAAAGAGTCTGGGTCAGGCGGACCTCTGTTGGAGCAAGGACAGCCAAATTGCACCACACCCCCGATCTTCACTCTAACTTTCTTCTTCTCCAAACCATCCGTAGTGTCATAATCGCTCAACGAGCTCTCATGACCCCACTTGAGCCGAATGACTTGTATGAGAACACCGTCCCTAATGAAAGATATCTGCTCATAACTACCGCTGCTCAAATCCAGCACGTTGTCGTGCTTATTTCTCAGCTCATACTTTGTATATGGCCACCTAAGATTTATCCAACCTTGTGCCAGGCGCTCTCCAAGTTCCAAATCCGATTCATCACCGGTGGTGTTCAACCGAGTTCCAAAAGTGCCTTTATTACCAGAGTCATCTCGACGTTGAGATCTGGATAAAATAGCATCTGGAGTATTCGGAAAGTGCCCTCTTACAAACACGATCCCGCATGTTTCGTCAGGAGCTGTGAGCTGCAAAAGTTCATGCCAGTCGGTGACTGAAGCAGTGTATCCTCCGGATCCAAAATCACTTGACTTCGCGGGCTTAGAAACTTCATAGGTTGTAAAACATTGAGCTAGATGAAGTGTCAGATGCTACCTCAAAGGACTGCAAGGCTGGCAAAGGACACGCACATTTTTCAAGGTCAGCTAGCCATTCGAAATCAAATGAGTGGGTGTTCATGTTGAGAGCTTAGACAAGGACAATATAGTAAACCAAAATTCAAGAAGAAATGAATTCGGCAGACATGGTAACAATCAACCCCTGAATGAAAGCACCAGCAAGTGGAGCGGTGGTGGAAAATGAGTTTAGAACCATGGAGCCGCAAATAAGAGCTGTGAGGATGATGACGTGAGATAATGATCTTGTACGACCACAATCGTTCCGCCCAGCATATTGCGGTGTGCCTAGGTTCCAGGGATCTTTCAGCTTATCATCTCGTGTACCATCACTGATAGGCTGCCTTATTCGCAACACGGGCTCAGCCGCCCGCCCGTGCCGCAGTCTAAATATTCCTTCCAGCCTCGAGCCACTTCCAATACAAAAGCTTCTCGAGCTTTGTATGAGCATCTCAAAAGGAATCCAAAGAATACTAGAACAACTAGAACGAGGAGCCTGAACTTTGGATTTCCTGAAATAGTGGGGCGTCTAATTGCATGTATTACAGCTTTTCGTCCTTTCGATTGTAGTTTAGAAAATAATTAAAGCCACCCCTGCACCTACAGACACTGGTAATAGTATGGAGGTGAGACTCCTTTGCATGTGTATGGCGACTAATAGACAAGCAATCATTAGCACGTACATTAAAGGACGACACCTGAAAGCAACTAACCTCGCAAACCGTACAACCCTTCCAATCATTCCCACCACATTGATCCCAATGCTTAGATTTACAACCACTTGAACCGCCAGGTACAGCCGACGCCGTTGTTCTAACTGAACTCACTGTCTTAACTGATGTCGTTGTTCTTAGCGAACTCGTTCTTACCGAGCTCGTGGTTCTCGTCGAGATCCTACTCGTACTCGGCGGGCCGGTGGTCGTCGGTCTAGCACTTATCCTCACTGTAGTGGTGCTCGGTTTCGGGTTCCCCGGCGCCCACGGATTCGTCCCTCCACCCGGCTTCGTTACCGTCGTCGCAGAACTGCCATCACAATATCCCACCCATCCGCTCAAGCTCATATTCTTGAATACTGTACTCATACCACTCATCCCATTATTCTGGCACCCTTGCGCCCGATCTGCGGGCTGTATGTTTGGGATTGAGGGCGGGTATTCGATGTGGAAGACTGGTTTGCCAGCTGCGAGAAAGGCGCTGTAGGAATCGCATTCGCCAAATGCGGCGCATTGCTCGTTGACTGCGAATTGCATGATGGGTGTCAGGTCGGGGAGGATGTCCATGCTATTTTTTAGGCCAATGGCGAGGTTTAGGGAGGAGGCTTGGGCGGCCATCCATCGTATGTATTCGATTAGGACACCGCGTGTCAAGTTGATATTGTTTGGATTTTGCTGACAATGTGTTAGCGAGGTTAATTTGTGAGTGATTTGCCGAACAGTGCTGGGTTTTTCGATAGAATGGGAGTCATACATAGCCATCTGTTCAGCTTAGCTACATGCTCAAAACTTCAGCGTTATAATGTAGCGAATTGCCACAGGAAAGCAGCAAGTGATGCATACCTGTATTGTCCGGATCCACCCCATCACATCCCTTTGCCGCTGCCAGCCGTATCCTATTCATCATGATCCTTCTAACATTCGCATTATCCACTTTCAGCCAATACTCATTTGGCCATTCCGGCGCCAAAGACTGACCCAAATCTGCACTGGTAAAGTTCCCTGCGTCAGGTCTCCAAGGCTCATACGTCCCGGCGCTGAAGTAACATATCACGATCTTCCCCTGACTCTGAAGACCAGAAATCGTAGCTGCATCAGTGTCGAAGAGGTCAATATCGAATACTGCTGCGTCACTCGGTACGACTTTTGGTGATGCCGCGAGATTCGGTATGCTGTCTAGGATGATCTGAAATTTCTGCCCAACTTTGAATACTGCTGCGATTGAAGCGCCGCTGTAGATGCACGCCCGGAGAAGTTTTGACGGGAGCATCTTGGCGGAAAACCTTCAGAGCTGGAACCCAATACTCCACAGGCGGGAAGGAGGGAGAGGAAGGGCTCCACTGCAGGTGTATTTAGATGGAGTAAGTGGGAGGCAATACATTCCAGGCAATTCAAGACAAAGCACCCTTGCAGGTCCAACAAGTCTTAGCAGCTGTCCAATTATACATGAAAACGGTTCTGATGGCCAGGCCACGTAAAGAGAATGCCATTCAATTATGGAAAAACAGTCAGAATCTGCATTGAGGAGATATCAGCCGCTACGTAGTCCACTAGGAAGGCTTCATGATATTGTACAGCAGGGTCAAACTCGATCATGCAAATGATAGATGTGGAATGCTTTTCCACAGGGAACTTCTCCGCTTCGGTAAGCTTTCCAGATCAGCCCTCTGGCTTGGCTAGTAATGTCGTGGAAAACATCTGCAAATGCCGGACAAAATGTCTTTCTTCCGGTAACCAGGTAAGAGGGAGGTTTTGCGGGGTGCAGTGCGCTGTCGGTAAAACTCCAGGTTTCATATGCATGGCACCTGAAGATTTCGACGCATTCCTGGACTCGAGCGCGTAGATCCTATTTTACATACGGAGAATAATTGAAACCTATGGCGGGAGACATCTTGCGTAAAACTTGCGGCTCAGAGTGCTGATCTGTGCCGAGTGAGGTTCTCAAGGAATTATATGTAACCAGGATCGCGGAAATCAATAATGATCCTCGTAAATTAAAAACGCGGGGAAAATAAACAGCCTTGATGAGTTCTCCTAGGAATTCATCACGCCATTCCAGGCCTTCGGCTAAACAGAGTTTGGCACCCTCAAAGTCTCTAGACTTACATAGCTCATAACAGAGGAATGTGTTGGAATGTGCAGCTTTGGAGGTTTGAGCAAATCTTCCTTGCGTTGCAAGTGTCAGCACCAAGCCAGGTCTAGTATGCATGCGCATTCATCCTCGGCGGTGTGAATGGTCTCGAAGCTGGTGTACGCCTATGGCGACTTGATGGAGTGCCAGAGGCTTGCCCAACGAAAGGCCATCGATTGTGTCGAGATCAGGCTCTGCAGCCAGAATCCCGAGAGCAGCACAGAAGCAGCTTCCAGAGATGTAGCAGTTTCGTAAGAAGTCACTAAATCATGGTGACCTCAACTAAGTACTCCTGCAGGGAGGTTTTGCCCATCGTCGGTCACTCCTTGCTATGTGAGCTGTGTTTTCCCCCAATGTTTCTTCACAATCTGGCGTGATGCCTTTCAAATGAACCCAGGCAGAGTCCGCCTTTTCTCGCCCGCTCCTATCCTGGAAATGCATCAAAGGCGGAGTGTAAGAGAAACTGGTGAAGCCTTTGACGGACCAAACCCCAAAATCCGCATTCTCTGGCCATTCCTGCTTGACATGCTCTCACGATGGCAACTTGTGGATCTGTCAAACACTCTGCCAGGAAACGTCTACTTAGCTAGCCGCCGAAGCAGCCGTATGAATGGAACTCGACGAAGGGTCTGAAGTAGAACCATTCGTAGCAGTAGCTGTCGATGAACCTCCAGCCATAGGAGCAACTTGATCCTCAGTCAGAGTATCGCTCACAACCTCAACGGCCTTTCCTTTCCCCTTATCTCGAACCTCACTCTCTGTGCCATCCATCTGGGTATCTCCATCTGCATCAACATTCGTCTGATTTGGCGTTTCCAGGGGTGGCGCATCGCCCATAGACCCGGCATCCCTCTCCATGCTCTTTCCCTCTCCTCCCCCTTCCAACCCAATAGCAGGCTCTCTACCACACTCCTCATCTCTACTCCCTTCACTACTAGTCTCCCACTCGCTCCCAGTATAACTACTTCCCTCACTCTCACTCCCCCTTTCCACCAATCTCAACGTCTCTCCCAACACCAAAAAATCCCGCTCCAACATCTCTGCCCAATTCTGCACGTTCCCCAACTCCTTGACCCTCTTCATCCCCTCATCCGCGACCTTCTTCAGCTTATCGCTCTCCTTCCTCAACGCCTCTGTCGCCTTCACTACATCTTTCTGCTGCTTCTCAAGCTGTTTGGAGTTGGAGTGCAGGTCCTGCGCGCGCGAGCGAAGGGTGGTGTCCAGCGAGGAGCCGATGTTGGTCATGGAGGCTTCGAGGGCAGCGCGCGCTTCGGCGATCTGGCGTGCGGTTTCTGGGGAGTGGATGGAGGGAGAGGTCATGCTGATGCTTGGGGAGTGCGTGGAGGAGGATGAGGAGGGGAGGGTTGGAGAGATGGAGGTTGGTGGGTTGCCATGAGGGTTGGTCAATGGGTGTGTTGGTGGGGGAAGAGGGGGGGGCGCTCCTGAGCTTGAGGCGTGGGCGGACATGTTGTATGCTCTTGTTGATGACTCCGTAGACTTCACAACCTGTGAATTATGTTGCTGGAAGATGGCGCTTTCATGGCAGGTAGGAGAGCTGAGTTGTGGATACCTAAATAAGAGGAATATTGAAGCTTGTGATGCGGGGTGATTGAAAACAGGCAGGGGTCATTTCTGGGCGCAAAATTCACACAATATCGACATGGAAATATCACGAGTGTAAATAACAATATACAAGAACATGGAGGTATTGCAAGATTTTAGTATTCCCATTCCCCTTGAATTGCTGATGACCCTTTGTCGTAAAAGTTCTCAATGAACGGTCCGCAGATGCAACTCCAAGCATGTCTCCAGAGAAATACAATCCCAAGGCAGCAAAAACCCTCTACTTTCTCAGTTGGCGCTGGTAGAAAGCAAGCTCCTCACCCTCCAAGATGTATCCATCACAACGTCCACTCTGTCCTGGGCGGGAAGAGATAACGGCGAAAAGACGACCAGCCTCGAATTGCTTCTCCAAAGCAGGCTCGACCTTTCCTACGGCAGCGAAACGCTCAGCGTGCTTTTTCTCGACGGACTTGCTCTTCTTGGTGTCTGGCTCGACGACCTCAGCACCGGCTTGCTTTTGGCGTCTGCGACCGAGGTTCTGTCCGTAGTGGGCCTCGTACCATTGACGGAAAGGAGCGGCATCGATCTGGACGACGGCGGAACGGGTGAGGGTGTTGGTTCGGACCAACTCGTTGTTGGAAGGATGGAAAGCGACGACGATCACACGGACCTTACGGGCGATACCCTCAGAAGCCCAGGAGAAGTTGCCGGATTCGAGACGAAGAGCACGGAACTTGCGGTTACCACCACGGGTACGGACAAGATGGATTCTCTTTGCTCCGATACGGGTGTTGGACTCCTGTCGGCCGGCTTCGAAAGCGCGCTTCTTCCCTGTAAAAAGTCTTAGCTTTCAGATCAGGTTGGAACATATGCCAAAGGCACATGGGCTTTCTACTACGCACGGTAATATGCTCTCTTCGCACCAGAAGCAGAGCGCTTGTGTCGGGAGTCTCGAGAAATACCCATGATTGCGGATTCTGGATCATGAGAGAAATTAGCAGATGTCTCTCAGATGTTGAAGGTTAGAATGAAGGATTGGGACAAGCCAGAGCAGACACGCAGAACCAAGCCAACAACCAGAGCAGTCCAGAGAAGATGTGTAGAAGATGTGCCAGACGGTTCGATGTGCGAAATTGTGATTCTTTCCGAATCAAATTGTGCGCTCGACTTTGCGATTGAGGACACCGCTTCGTATTCCAACATCCAACATTCTTCTCCGCAGACCCTGGATGCGATTGATTCCGAAGATATTCGACATTGCCCGCTATAGAAATTGATGCGCAAGTACTGACCTGTAGATTCCGAGTGTCAAGGGTGGTTGTCGTTGGGTTGTCGTGAAGAGTTCAAAAGTTTGGGTTCGCGAAAATCAAAATCCACACTGTGGGATTTCCATTAGCGCTGCTCGCTTAGCTAGTGGCGGTGGTAGTGGAGACCTGGGTACCGCTCACGTGATATGATCTCTCATGGTAAATCCAACCACTTTGCTCGTTCTCTATACCTAGATTGTAGGGCTTTGCGAAACCTTTGGTATGTATATCTATGGTCTATATCTAGCGTCTGTTAACATTAAAGATTCATCACTGGCGCTATGTTTATTTGACCATTGATTATCAGTTCTTGTAGAAGCAAGAAAAGCTGTAAGTAGCATCCTGGCATGGCACAATGAAGTTGATCAGGAAATGGTGACTGGCAACCATGCAGTGGGGAAAAAAAATCATCCTTGCGACAACAATTCGATAATGCAGGCTGGAAACTGTGTTCTAGCGAAATCTTGACGGGAGGTTGTGTTTTGAGAAGCCTCGCTTAACACTAGCGCGAGTGTCCCAACAAAGTATTATAACATGAATCTTTCACTTATTGTTTGCGCCAGAGTACCGACCAGTAGTAGCCTAGAGTCTAACATCTGGGCAAGTCAAAATCCATCGACACCACCTATTCTCGAGATTCGGACTGCTTCCCTTGTACAAAAACTATCATCGTCGATTACAGTAGCATGAGGCAGAACAGTTCAATTCCCATATTCCCTTACGACGATGGAAAGTCACTAGCATCACCGAATTACACGAGTATCAATCATTCACTGTAGAATTGCCAACATACAGCGGTTGGCCCAAATTCATGACTGCATAATAATGGTTATTTGAGAAAATAAGATATCCCGCTCGAGTTGCGAGTCCTGTGAAATCAACGACCGATAGTCTGGTGATGCTAAAATATTCCCCTGACTGAATGCGTGATACATTTTGGTCGGAGATGATCAGCTTGTGCTTTTGTATGATATGTGCATACCCCCTCCCCTATTTCGCAGAAGAGCAGAAAGTATCAGGATCGATACTGGCTCTATTCAAGCTGCTTTAATGTTAGTAACTACTCCTCCACTGTTAACCAAGTGGGAGGAACACTTACAGTCTCGACTCTGATCTTCGCTGCCATTTCCGGACCTGACAAGAAAGTCACATTGACGGATTGAAGGTGAGAGACACTCGACTGCCCCTTTCTCATTGCACTCACTGCCCACTTGATATCAGCCTCTACCCATGCTTTCCGCTCTGTAGAGGCTCCTCGTCCGCGAGTCTGAGTTGTTGAGGATTTTTGAATGAAGACATTGGTCAAGCTATACATGCCACGGTAAATCAGCAATGGAATGGTGTTCCAGGGCGATTTTGCGTTGTAATATGAGAACTTCAAGTATCTGAGTCTTCCCAATGATACCCTTTGGCCAAGAGCTTGAGGCACACTTCCTAGCGCTGTCATCTCCTTCCAGGCACGAAAATATGACATGGATGCCAAGGTAGGAAAGTTAAGTGAATCTGACTCGAAGTCGAAGTAAAACGGCTCGTGGTGATCAGATTCGAAGGCAGCTGTGTATCTCTTGAGAGCCAACTCGCGCAACTCGTGGCAGACGTGAAGAAGTGGAGTTGAGATGGCAGCCGAGTTGATCCGGTAGGTTTTCTTGCTCTTCTCTAAGATGGTGATGGTGCGCGGTCCTGGCAAGCTCAGTTTCCACACCATCAGACGGAGCTCGAAAGGCATCTTTTTGAAGTAGATGAAAATAATGAGAGGTCTTGCTGTGGGAAGATTGCTGTTTGCATTGAGAGGTTGAGCAAACTTGAGCGAGTGGTAGGTCGATTTGAGTGACTTGTGCGGGCGACGGTTCGACAACTATAACTGAAATCATCCAAGAGACACGAAAGAAGAAGAGGTTCCCCTACCTGAGTGCGTAGCACTTTTGGAATTGAACGCCATCGTTGCGTCTGTTGTTTGGAAGTAGAATGTTGGGAGGAAGGTCACCCTGCTTTTGTTGAAGCTTTTGTGGAGAATGGACAACAAAAAAGTTGGGAGCCACACTGTCAAAGAAGGTGTAGGTGGGTTGGAGCGTTTCAATACGTGGTGTAGGATGAGCTATGACCTTCCATATTCGCCTGAGCAGGATAAACTAGAGCTACAGGAAGGGTCCTTGAACCGGTAGCACAAAAGCACGAGTCCGGTCTCGTAGTTGCATACAACTTGAATTTTCGTTTGGCCCTACGGGTAGTTGAAAGTAGAGATGCTCATGAAAACTTGGAGTCTTGGAGGGCCTTTAAAACAGCCCAGACTCGAGAGTAAATTCCCATCTCTTGTACCCACCACTTCGGATTTCCAATGTCCTGAAAATAATAAGGGACATTAAAAAGTGCCCTTGGTCATACCCGTCTGCTGAACTGCAGGAACGCGGCCCTCTTCAATATCCCACACGATGCCCAATGCCTCTTTGGCAGCATCCGCCTCAGAGCTATCAGTGATATATCCAGCTGAACTCAGAGATTCCACAACGGAGTAGAGCCAAAATCTACATCCCTGCCCTCCAGCGCTGAAAGTGTACTTGTCATACTTGCAATTGGTGATGTGATCCAAGACGTTTCCAATTTTGAGGTCTGCCGTAGTGGTGAGGTACATGCTCTTGACGGCACTGTTAATGTGGGAAATGTTCTTGCTGGTAATGATGAGATCAAGGGAGTTTCCTGGGCCTGTGGGACTGGGATCGAAACAGATGGAACGAGTAGAGGATGCCGCTAGGTACATGACCCAATGGTTGGTCATTTTTCCACTGATAGAGGCTCCAGGTTCTAGAGGAGCGGCGACTTCGGTGGGTGCACTGGCACAGAGATAGATGGCAGTGACAGGCTCAGAGCGTACGGTATTGGCGAGAGACCTGGGAATATAAGCTAGAGGCATTTTTGGCTGCGAATATGGTACAAATGGTAGCGGGACTGCGAGCCTTAATGTCATCAAACAAATGCAGGACATGTGGGAGGGAGGAACTGGTACTGTGGGAGTGTTTTTTGATGATTAAATGGCTCTTGCCGTGGAAGGCCGGTTGTGCGTCAAATAGCCCTAGCCGCGCGCTTCCAATGGCCGCCCAGGCTGGCGAATCGATGTTTTCATTGATGGCAGACAAAGTGCGGCTTGTGAAGCCCCGGATGTACTTTCAAGTGTCTTGCATTACCAATATGCACGGAACCTAATCACACACGACACAAGTCCAGAGACTAACATGTCCCCACAAATCGCAGCGCATACATATCCCCTTGAGGGACGGAATCTAGCACTGGTCACACGTAACGAGATCATTCAAAGCATTCCTGTTGCACCAAAAATTGGATGGGGCGAAGGTCCTGCCTCACTGGCTCGAGTGACAAGCTCTGTGATAGTGAAATAGGGCCGGCACATCCAGCTTTCAGAGGCACGAAACATGCAATATGTTGGGGCCCATACCAAAATCCGCCTACCGGCTGTCATTGATGCATAGGAGGCCGAAGATACTATTGAAGACGACGAATCCAACACGTTTTACATTTTGATGGAGTATATCAACGGAAAAGTACGAATTGATGTTTGGGACGGACTTGATGAGACAGCTCGGGGTGGAATTCAATCTCGGATTCGCGACTACATATGTTAACTTCAGAACCTGGAATGTGAAACTCCAGGGCCAATTGGTGGAGGTATTTCTGAAGGTGCTCTTTTCACTGGATATGGAGCAGGCCCGTTCGAATCGCTAAGCGACCTGGAAGAGTGGTACAACGGCCGCCTTCTTGTATGCCACGACTATGGCCATGCTACGTATTTACCACCTGGAGCGTTTTCCGGGAAATTCAATAAGCTAGCAATGTGTCATTTGGACTTCAACGAGCGCAATATTCTCCTTGACGACGAGGGAGAGGTATGGCTCATCGATTGGGAATTGGCCGGAGCTTATCCGCCATGGGCCCATGATTTAAGAAGGCACAGCTTGTATGGAGTACAAATGCGAATAGGAGTTGGAGAACCGGATTGTTGAGGCTGATTGGAGAGGCGGCATATCAAGACGAGATTAAAAAGCTCGTGGCTATTACGTTTGCGTTGACAACCGGGGGTTACGCTCAACCGCGCCCGAGGCCAGTCGAAAATAGTGGCGAATAGCATTACAATGGCGCATGGGTCGGACTCAAGCATGATCAAGAATTATTCCCCTCGGCTCAGTTAGTGTGGCAGCTGCTCACGGCCAAACACCAAACAAAGCTAGCGTGAACAAGAGGGTTCATCCTGAGTAACGTGTGTGTGATAGGATAACAAAGCGCTTCTGTTCAGCAGTAGAACCCTTCACTTCGAAACTGTTTTCACATCGGACCTTCACGAAGTTACGTAGAGAGCAGGGCGATGAGATGCCAGCAGGGTTATCGCGATTTGCCCAACAACGGTTGGTCTTTGGTAACGACAGTCTTGTCCTCCGTTAGACCAGTTCATTCTACTTTCCTTTCTTCCATGCATGTTCTACTGAACAAAGCCGCTTGCTCACCAGAATCTTTCTACTCGGTCTAGTGTCACGATCATCCTGCTGGGAATAGTGCCTGCAGGCAAAAGAGATCGGCACAGCAAAAGACTTGAAACCACATAATTTAGATTAGAAAGCATTTATACAGGATGGTAACAGTGATACTCCTTTGGAGAGCAACAGTTGCCAGTAATAATGGATTACATCAGGCTTTACTAGGAAATGGTGCGCGAAAAGAACTTAAAATGCGAGTGTCACAGCAGGAACCTGAATCTCTCCACTTGCAACCTCCACCCCACTACCAGAAAAGTCCACATTCAAATCATTATCGCCACTCTGCTCGTTCTTTGTCAGGGTGACCTTGATGAGACATTCCCTACCGACTCTTACGCCCTGACGCACAGTGATATTCCCTATATCATCCACTAACTCCAGCTGCCCTTTTGTATGCAAATATGCCGACAACGGCCCAGCCGCAGTCCCAGTAGCAGGATCTTCGCCCGCCATGCCAGGGCTGAAGAAACGAGCTTGGTAAGAATTATTCATTCCTGGTTCTGGCGAGAAGAGATAGAGTCCATATGCCTTTTCATCCACAAGTGCAAGCTGTTGAAGGAGTTTGTCCCGGGTGACAACTGCTCGATTCAGTGCTGAGATGGAAGAGATTGGTACCTGTAGATGGCGAGTCGTAGACGTGGAAAAGACTTGAGGTCGGCCGTTCTCTGCAGACCTAGGGATACCAATGTTTGATAATTCAAGCCCGATACTCTTAGCTAGAGCTGCGGGGTCTGGATGTACATTCCCAGCTTTTGGTGGTGCCTGTCGAATCGATACGGAAAACCCGTCCTTCTCCCTTGCGGAACCAACGTTCCTCACAATCTTCACAGGCAAGACTTCTCCACCCAGCTCTTGCCAAAGTTCGAACTCCTCATCACCAGTCTCGGTGTCTTTCTTCGCAAGTTTCGACAAGTCCAAGAATCCACCTTTCGCCAAGAACCACCACACCCCAAGGATATTATGTCCAGCTCCAAACACTTCTTTTCCATCGGGAAGGAAAGAGCTGAGTTTGAAATTGGCCTTTTCGAGGGAAGAGTGTGAGAAGAAGGTGGTTTCGGAAAGGTTGAATTGCCTGGAGATGAGTTGCATCTGAGTCGTGGTGAGGTCGGCAGTTCGGTTGTCCACGATGGCGAGTGGATTCCCTTTGTAGGCTGTGGTGGAGAAGACGTCCACTATTGCAAATGGGACGGATGACATTGTGAAATTGCTGTAGTACGAAAGCTGGCTACTTTTCGTTCAATATCTTGGATACATAAGTTAAGGTCAGAACGTGGCAGTCAAGGCAAGGCCGTCACAGAGAAGAAAAAGATGAGTCGTAATGACTTTCTGTTCGGAGTCTGGGATCTCGTTTTATATGAGGCCTCTAGGTATTCTCTCAATGCTTATAAAGACTTTTTATTGGCAATGTTATGATGCTATTGCACCAATGCGGGGAGCGGCCAAGTGTGGGGAAATCTTTCAGCTGGCATGGCTGACAAACCGACCCAAGAAGAAGCGCCCTTTGTTTTACAACACAGCAGGGGTATACAAAGCTTCCTCAATTTTGAGGAGCTGAAGTAGACCCTCAAAATTAGCCAATCACATAAATCTAGGTCTAGCCTAGTGATCATGCTCTGCTATGCTCTCAGGTGTTGTACGGCTCTGCCTACCTAGTTTCGGCTAACTTCGTAACGAAGTAAGGTATGCTCGCTAGAACTTCAGGGGATCGGCTCGCTAGAGACAGGGTCTTTGACTTCGTTTTCAGCAGAAGACCTCCGGTGGAGTAGATTATCGCCTCGCAGGCCAAAGACAGCCCTTAGTTGACGTTAAAGCAGTCTTTGTCTGTTAATCGTGCCAACAGGGCTATCAACTAAAGCATGAAAGGAATGCTTGTCACTGCACTCGAGTTGAAAGACTCGCTCATCCTCATCAGACAATAGCAACCATTGTTTCTTTCACATGATTTATATTGTATTGACCGCTCAATAGAAATCTCCCATATTCATTTACTTCATCGATTTTAGACGAACTTCTGATATCACGAGTCATCATGTGCTTCCGAATTTCAACTACTTACTCCTGCGGAGATGTGATGCAGACCACCACTATTTGCCATAGACATCAAGACGATCATGCAAGGGGATTCGACGCAAAGTATTGTGATGACTTTATTGATAATCCAATGAAGGAAGCCTTCGTTTGTGACGAGTGTCGTAGAGAATTGGAAATGGTTCTCGGGAACGGTAGAGAGTTACCTCGGATGACGAGAGATGAGGATGATGAGGAAGGAATCGTGAAAGAGGAGGAGGAGAGGAAGACGATGATGTTCAGGACTGCAAAGAGTTGGAAGAGTAAGAGTCGAGCTCAAATGTAGAGGAACTGGTGGACGTTCGAGATACCCCAGTACTTCATGTGACTGTTCAAGCCCCAAGTCTAGGTAGGATAATACTCGTCTATCAAACATAAAAGAATTCTCACCTAGAGATAATTAAGACTTAGGTGATAGATACGGAAATTTGTCCCAGAATGAGATATGTGAAGCTTCAAAACATGATAGTGAAAATGCGACATTCAACGGACTAAGCTTGAAGTAGACACTCCGAGCTGATACACAATCAAGTGTTATTTTCCATTCCATTCACTGCCCAAAATACATCTCTGTTCGTCCAGGGATGACATGAAGGGGCCCTCAGAGCTTGACAGTGAACGAAAATATACCACTCCCACCACCAACATAAATGACATCCTTATCTTTCTCCGTCCGTCCAAATCCACAAGAAGTCGAACCCGAAACCGTAGTTATAGCTGTCGGCTTACCCACAGCTGGATCGACCTCCACAATCGAGTTCTTCCCGTTCGTCGCAATGTAGATCTTGCCATTCGGCCCAAAGCACAGGTCATCACCCATCAAATTCGTCCAAAGCGTAGTAACAGCACCCGTCCCCTTGCCAGTCGCATCAACAGGAACCTTGTGGAAACTATTTTTGAAAATATTGGTGTACCAAACGACACCATCTTTGTACCGGATGCCGTCGATGCCGAATGGAATGCTGCCAGAGGGTGCCATGGTGGGGTCTGTTATGGCTGTCGAGTATGCTCCTGTCAAGATGTTGAAGCGGAAGACTGAGCCTTTTCCTGCATCGGCAACTAGGACGGTGTCGTTGGAGAATGCAGTCAACCCATTCAAGTTATTGGCTTCGGTGATGGTCTTGATCAGACTTGCGACGGGTGAGGCTCCTGTGAAGTCGACTTTGTAGATCCCCTTCCCACCGATCACGGCAAATACATCTGGAGTGACTTCTGCAATTCCGCTCAAGCCTGAAGCTCCAGTGACTACAACAGCTGTCTTGGAAGTTTTTGCGACTGGATCAACGAGATACAGATTTGCGCTGTTCATGTTTGTTGCTAGGATTTGGCCATTTGGTCGGACTGCAAGATTTTCAGTCGAGGCGAGCTTGACGACTTGTGCTGCAGCTGCTTGTCGACTTTGTAAAACTGAAGCTATCGAGCGACTCGAAAGACTAATAATGAGTGCAGAAGCACCCCAGAGTGATGAGATTTGAACCATAGTGAAGTCCTGAAACTGTGTTCGATTGTGAGAGTCTACTTCAGGAACATCCAGGTCCAAACAAAAGCGTTTATAAAGAGAGCGTTATGCTTAAATGGATTACTTAGCCTTTTCGGGCCAACCTGGGGAAGTGAGGAGGCTGAATGGAAAAACAAGTCTGGTGGACATGGTTCCCCGTACCAATCTGGGTAAACAGTTAAGCGAGTGTTTCGAAGTGCCGGCCGAGGAAACAATTGGATACACTGACAAAATACTGATACCAAGACCATCGGTATTGAATGATGTATAGGATATACTTAACAGCTATGTAGAGTCATATTATCCATCCGTTGTTGATAGTTTCCCCACCTGCGCGTTCACCGGCTCAGGTGTGGTGTTTGCAAAACACGGAAGCTTTCGCTGTGGATCCGTGGTGCTGGACTAGGCTTCGAAGAATAATCGGTGTTGGTACAACCAAATTTAAAGATGGTCTCTTCATAGTGATCGGCACCTTCTGGCTTGAAGGAACAATACTATACTGGATGAACATGGCAATGGAGCAAGACGCGGTACACAACCATGCCATGAGGCACGTCAGCACAGTTGGTGCCGAAGAATAGCTGTATCTTTGGACAGCGCAATACTATTGTTCTGCCGGTCAATATGATACTGTGTAATTTAGAGACAGTTCTCGAGCGCGCATGTTCTTCTGAGACGCCCAGTGAAAATCCCGAAGTAGTAACAGGAAATGGGGCAATCTGACTGCGAGCTCTGATCAGCATCATAACATCCTTGGAAATAAAAGGTGATGCGTCGATCTGAAAGTCCAAAGTCAATGAGAGCACGTTTCCACCAGACAAGATTTGCATTCCATCAAGCCCACAATAGTCAGGTGCTTAAAATGGCTTTCAACTCATATCTGTCAAGCGTTCTGGCCACAGCAAAACAAAATATGTCTCGAAAATCTTCTCAATTTCTTGAAGCTCTGAATTCCAGCCGCATCACGTCTTATAAGCCAAAGTATCGTCTTCCACCATTGTGACAAATTCTCATCGTCCCACGTACATGTACTCGTTATCTTATACCACGAGATGCACGGAACCAGCCGTAGCCAAGCAGCACAGTTGCATGGCATTTCTCGGTTCCACGCCCGGACTGGTCTACCGGCTGCGCCAAGGGATCAGATCCCCAAAATGACCGCTACAAGTCCAGAACCATGTGGGCGGTAGTGGAGGTCTGCAGCTGAAGATGCAAAAGAAAAATCTATTGGCTGTCTTGAAATTCTCCCAGGCTGACGATTAATATACCGTGGATGCCGGGTTAGTGTTGACGATGCTGTGCCCGGCACGCACTAACGGCAACGATCGGGAAATACCCAGCTGCCTTAGAACTACAATTCCCCACTTCATACAAAATTCTCCCTTTGTCCAAGTAAATTCATCAGGAGAACACGCCATAAATCCCGCGTGCCAAGGTAGCAGCAAGCCTGTCATGGTCAAGTGCCTAGACCTGCCCAGCGTCCACGACTGAACTAGACGCTAAGCGCCTCGCGAAAATTCGCTTTCCAAGATACACCCAAGATCTTGGGCATGCAAGCCGCCGCTGGATAGTGCAAAGCTATCTTTCTACCAAGATACCTATCGACGCACCCTTTAATATGTACTCAGATTGCGTGCTAAAGCCAAGACATGTCATCATCCTGCCCAGATACCACAAAGAAGACTTCATGAGAAAAAACAAGAGGAGCTCGGGGAGATGCGAGGAGTTTATAAGAACGGATCGCTGTCCACGCTCTTAGCTCGATAAGATTCAATACATCTGAGAACCAAAAGTCGAAGAAAAGTATTGCAATCATGTCAGGCTTGGATTTGAAGTCGTCGAATCCGGACGAGTATCCTCGTCCCCGGGAGGATGAGGAGGTCCTCAATTTGGAGACTGATTGGACTAAGGAGGAGGAGGCTAAGGCCAAGCGAAAGTACGTGCAAGTCAACACGACACCAAAGAAACGAGCATTGACGATGAATTTCATAGGCTGGATTTAATCATCATGCCTCTTCTCACTCTTGGCTTTTTCTGCTTGCGTAAGTCAACACCATTTATCCGCCTCGCGATCTGCCCACTCACCACAAACCACAGAACTCGATCGCGGCAATATCGCCAACGCACTCACAGACAACTTCTTTAAGGACGTCAACATTACCCAAGATCAATTCAATGTCGGCCAACAAATGCTCTCCCTCGGAATCGTCCTCTTCGAGATTCCTTCCAACATGATCCTCTACCGAGTCGGTCCCGGAAAATGGCTTACCCTCCAACTCTTTCTATTTGGAACCGTCAGCACATTCCAAGCTTTCCAAAACAACTATGGATCTTTCGTCGCAAGTCGATTCTTATTGGGTGTGACTGAGTCTGGTTTCATCCCTGGTGGTCTTTGGACTCTTTCGACTTGGTACACACGGAAAGAGACTGCGAAGCGAGTCATGTTCTTCTACTTCGGTAACCAGTTTGGTCAAGCTTCCTCGAAGTTGCTCGCATATGGTATCTTACACATGCGCGGTGTTGGAGGTCGTGCAGGATGGTTCTGGCTGTTCGTCCTTATGGGAGCCTTCACCTGCTTCAGTGGATGCATCCTTGGTCTTTTCCTTCCCGACTCTTTCAAGCGACCTCACAGTACCTTCCTACCAAAGGTGTCACTCTTCACACCGAGGGAGTTGCATATTCTCCGAAGTCGAGTTCTGCTTGATGACCCCATGAAGGGCAAGAAGAAGAAGCGGATTGGTAGAGCTGCATTCAAGAAGGCTGTAAGACTTACTGAGACCCGACGTCGATGAATACAGATGCTGACTCCATTTAGTTCTCGAACTGGCGACTCTGGATTCATTTCCTCATCACACTGTCCAACAACGGTCCTCAGCGTGCTTTCGACACTTACTCACCATCCATCGTCAGAGACTTTGGCTTCGCTGCTCTGACCAGTAACGCATTGGCATCCGTTGGTCTCTTCCTTCAGATTCCGGTGTCGTTCGGCTTCAGTTGGGTGTCGGATCACTAGTAAGTCAAATCAAACTTCACCGTCCAGAACAAGGGATTTACGGATTGTAGTAACAAGCGTGGTGAAACCGTCATTGGTGGTTTGAGCTGCCATCTTCTTGGATATGTTTTCAATCGTATCTTCACCGAGATCAACCAACGAGGCGTCCGATACTTCGGTGTGGTCTGGACGCAGACATTCGGCACGTTCTCGCATCCACTTAACATCGCATGGATGTCACTTGCCTGTACCGACTCCGAAGAACGAGCACTTGCTATGGCCATGTAAGTACTCTTTCTCTCACTTGCCTCTAGTACTCGCCTAATCTTCGCACAGGGTCATCATGGGCGCCAACATCGCAGGTATCTACGGCGCACAGATCTTCCGCGAAGACGACAAGCCCCGCTACCGCCGCGGATTCAGCATCGATATTGCCATCATTGCATTCGGCTTGGCTTTGGCAGTACTCAGATTTATTGATGACTTGCGCCGTCGTCGTAGAAATGGTGGACGGTTGTTTGTCGAGACTGCAAGTGAGGAAAACAATTCGCACGATGATGATATCAAGCCGGCTCGACCAAGCGATGTTCAACCACCTCCAGTTTACATTGGTGGGGACTTGAAACCAACTGCTTCAAACACTGTCAGATAGGTGCTTGGTTAGAAATGTTGCATTGGCGTTGGGAGCTCGCGTTGGAGACTGTTGACGTGATGGCTGGATCAAGAATATCTTTCTCTTCATGGCCGTCATAATCAAGATGTTTATGTTCAGTATGATTGATGAACAGATGTTTGGTACGGTAGTAATGAAAATTAAATCATTATTTGACTGAGAAAACTGACTTGTTCACAACCAATAAACAACGTAAGCGAGCCTGTGTAGGAAATGTGAGGCAAACGTGAGGCAACATATGAAAGTCATCATCCCAGCCCCCAGCATCTAGTCATCGACCAGAGACCTAGTACTTCCCGAGCTCGACGACCCATCGCTGTCAGAGTCCGAATCATCTGCAGTAGGCAAGACAATGGCTTTCAAAGCCGCGCCACGCTGCTCAACCGGCACTCCATCATACAACGTCGAGAATGACGCCAGGTAGTCATTGATAACATTCTCAGTCTCTTGCTGCGAAAGCTCAAACTTCGCAGCTACGCTCGAGCGCTTGCGAGAAACGATCGAGGATGATCTTGAGCTTGCCGGTCGTCGGTTAACATTGGGTGGGCCACGGCCCCATCCTGGAGGTGGTCCAGGACGTGGGAATGGACCTCCGGGAAATCGGGCTTCGCATTTGAGAACAATGATGTGATTGGTAGAGACCTTCTCCTTCTTTCTCACGAATGGAAACGATTTGACCTTGTCCGTTGGAGAAGTGACTACGCAATCCACACTCCAGGTGTGTGATTGATATGTGCGCCTGTCGGCCTTGGTGGCGAGGTAAGCGTAGACAGCTGCGCTGGTGGCTGTTGGTACACTCATGAGAGTCTCGATCGCTGACTGCTTCGCCGTTGCGTCTTTGTTCTTCTCAAGAAAGGCTTTGATGTCATCTTGAGACATTGGTACTTTACTGAGAGAACCAAAGACTTCATTCTCTGTGCGGTTGATTCTGAGCGGGATGCCGATGAAGCGGAAGACTGTTTGGTTGGATTTTCTCTCACGATTTTCGATATTGGCATGATGCATCTCATAGATATCTGGTGCTTTGCAGGGAACAATCGTTTCAACGATGGGGGCAGGTGGTGGTGGAGGTCCAGGTCCTGGTCTACGAAATTGTAAGCATTCGGTAAGCTCTGAGAAGTGCATGCGGCTCACCCTTTCTTCAGAGGCACACTGATTTCTGTTGGATTACGAATGGTGATCGAAGTGCTACTTGCTGTGTCGTCATCCTTCTTGGCACCCTTCTTCTCCTCAATGGCCTGCACCACCTGAGTAATGTTGGCTGGCATTGTCGGCTCGTTCAGACTGAACACCATAAGGTTGGCGACACCTGTGTCATGAAGGAGCTCGAGAAACTCCCCCATAGCTTTCTTTACTCGGCGAAGAAGAAGAAGTTCATAATCGGAGAGCTCTCGTCTGCATCCCAGATTAGAATAGATATGTCAGACGAGTTACAAGATTATCTTACTTCTGTGCATTTACCTGGAGAATCACAAGCTGAACAACGACTTGTGACATCATCGCAATCTTGTATGATTCATCCAACTCATCTTCAAAGTCGCTGAACTCATCATCTGTCATACCCAGACCCCAAGCCAACTTCTTCCAGGGCTTCTTTGGTGGTCCCTCCTTAGTCTCATCGGTCTCATCTTTCTTCCAGGATTGGACTTTCTCGATAGCCGCAACGACTTGCTCGTACTCTTTCTTACATTTAGCTAACGCAACATGGAACTTGGCCTCGAAGTTGTCCTTGAAGTAGCCCTCGTTCTTGTTGACATCGCGACCAACATCAATCAGCAGAGTCGCGGAGAGGGAGATGCTATTGGCGACGTTCTTGACTCTATAACCGGAGCCAAAGCGAGAGAGTGAAGCTGTGACCCCTATTCCAGTATTTGCGATGTCAAGGATGAAATTCCCTGGGCACCGTTTTGAAGCCATGATGCTGGTCTTGACGATCTGATTTCAAAGGACAAAGCAACTGTTCGGTCAGTAAGTTTAGACAATATCGTACTCAGTATCATTTGATAATTATATAAAATTGAACTTACTCTATGTTTTGACCGCCTGAATAGTTCTCAAAGTCAGCCTGATCAACTTCTGCTGAGGTCGTCGGTGATCGAAAACAGTCCACTCAAGCTGAGGCGGGGAACCATCAATATACGCTCAATCAAAAGCAGGGCTGACGGCAAGACCATTTTATCCTTGGTTTCGCATATGCATTTGAGACGTGGGAAGGCTCGATAGGTCGCTTGTCTGTTACCTGCATGATGGCTGGGTACACGGCGTGTGTGTGGGCTTTCGACCCCAAACCTGGCTGCACTCTATTCGGTGAGCAAAATCGTGTGATCGCGCGATAACGGGTCAATCCGATTGCGATACTGCATACATTACAGGCCATGGTTGGTTCTGAGGGCGATTGGCCTCAGAATCTGATTGAACATGTGCTGACACTCAAGGATGAGAGTCGCACGTTAGCTAATCTCCGAGGAGGGGTATATAGTCACGTGAACTCTCCCTTCACTGTCATGTAATTCATGTTTTCATCAGCTCAATAATTCACCTGGCATTGCTGAATTTGCGTGAATTGATCTTATTACACAGAGAGAGGGAAGCCACATCATATATTGCGTTCCTAGGTAGTCAGCACAGTGTGAGAGCTTTAGCGGTCACTCGCTTACTGTCGGCTAGCTCTTTCACAAGCAAGAGGATCCAAAACAAATCATGAAAGTTAACCAGAACTTTTTTTGGAGCCACTATCAAGTCTCACAAAGGAAATTAACGTGAAGATTGAAAGCAGGTTGTGGAAACTGGCCATTTTTCCTCTCCAGCCGCGAAGCGAAAGGACAGTCTTTGTTGGCTTGCCGAGAGCATCTGTCAGACAGAGTGGCCGAAAAGTCAGCTAGCTTTTAAGTCAACCGGTTAGTTAATAAAAAACTATCAGCTAATCAGCTTAAAGATATCTATAAGCTAATCAGCTCTGATATTACCAGCTGATAAGCTAGCTTATAAGCTAGCCCTTAATTTTTTACTGATTTTAAAGTAAGATTCCTAGTACCTAATATGTCGATTTAATGCCCCGCTTACTAAAAGTGGAGGTCCTGGAGCGGAAAAACCCTCTCCCGTTGGCTAGAATTAGGCGGTGTGACGCGGTAGGATAATTAAACCTCGTCTTGAAGCTACTTACCTTACATTTTAACTCTTTAATACTATATAAAACACTACAAATATATCTTATTCTACTATACCTTTTAATAACTAACAGTATAGCCTAAGAAGCTTCTAGAGTTTTATAAATAATTACTATAAGTGCTATAATTAACCCTTTTACTTGAATAATAGTAGTATTTCATACAGTTGACTTTAGCAGGGATTTTTTGTATATATCTATTCTTAGAATCAGCTTTTAAGCAGCTTTTAAGCTCTTCAGCTTAAGCTATTAAGCTGTGATTTCCTTATAAGCCGGTCAGTTCAGCAAGTTGCTCAGCTGATAGCTGACTGATTGACTTTTTGGCCACTCTGCTGTCAGAGTATCTTTGTTGATTTTAAACGCGAATAGCTTCTTCAGCATCTGATTCTAAAGCATATCACCGATAATCCAGTGTTCGGGAAGAAGCAGCGAACTCCCGAGCTAGGAGCAACACACAGCTGTGCCTCGGTGCTGGTCGGCATGTATGTCCAGAGAGATTGCTGGCGAGCTATGTGATTAAATTGAGGATTGCTTCGATAATATGTAAAAAGAGAGAAAATTTGAAAGATAGGCGAAAACGGCCAGACAATATAAGGTGTCATCATGGCAATGGACAAGAGCCTGGAGCACTTGTTTCGTTCCATAAGAGGAGAGTCTGGTAAAGTTGACCCCGCATTGGGGGCCAAAATGAGGGGTACTGATGCTGACAGGTCTTGAGGTCTGAGCATGAATCTGGAAAACCATCGACCATTTTGCTCCAAATTCAACACAGGAAATAGGACTTCGAATGAAACACATTGTACCTCTACTGTTCCAAATCTTCGTGTGACGGATCTGGCGGGTTTCCATGAAATGACGAGTCCACCAACAAAATACGGTGTCTACTATGTGAAGCAATCCAATCAATACTGTGGCGTGCATCCATATGTGAGGCTTCGGGATATACCACTTCCGTCTGTCAGAAAAGTCAAATAAAGTTTAACCAGATCGATGGCAGGTTCTGATATCTATTTTCCATAGCCGCTGCAGGCTCCGTTTCTGTCTCGCTGAGAAACAACGTCAACATGGATAATACACACACTTACAAAGTTTTGGACTCCAGACTGTCCATTCGAGTCCTCATTCTTGAGCCCGGCTCACGTGAAGATCAGATCCGCTGCCGTCTCCGCCATGTAAAGCTCGCTGACAATCCCCAATACGAGGCTTTGTCCTATGTCTGGGGAGACGCCAATCAGACGAAAGAGCTATATCTCGAGGCAAGGCCCATACAGGTTACGAAAAGTAGGCATTGTCTCCCAGCATTACCTACTGTCATATTTCATTTCAAGCAAACATGAGCTTACCCACTTCCAAGGCCTTCATGGCGCACTTCGACACCTTCGACAAGAATCCACAGAGCGGGTTATCTGGGCAGACGCTATTTGCATCAACCAACAAGACAATGATGAAAAATCTCACCAAGTAGCCCTCATGGGAGAAATCTACTCCAGCTGCAGTCAAGTCCTTGTCTGGATTGGCGAGGACATTGATGGGCTAAGCGATAGCTTCAAAACTGTTCAACAACTGCACGAAATCTTCCTGAAAACAGAAGACGGCTACCCGTACGAGGAACTGTCCTTCGAAGGAACCTTCTCACCAGGATCATTGACGTTCTCAAACTTGCTGCGTACCCAGGATTTATGGAAAGAGAAATTCCTCCGCTTGATCCGCCAGCCGTGGTTTCTTCGCCGCTGGGTCATCCAAGAGATCGCTAAAGCGCCGTCTGCGAATGTGATCTGTGGATTTGAAACAATCTCATGGAGCGTGTTGGCAGATGTTTACTGGTGCATCTATAAGAGCGGTGTTTTCAGCTACGTTTTAGATCCGATTGAAGCGAGGACTGGTTTCCATACCGGTATGGTGATCATGGGTCTTGTACGAAGAGACTCTAGGCGGAAAGAACATGCACCGCTTCTTGAATCTGTGGTTTCTACTAGGTACTTCAAATGTACGGATTCCCGTGATGTGGTGTACTCGCTGCTTGGGCTGGGGGGTGATGTTGATCAATATGGTAATTCGCTGATCCCAGACTATTCACTTTCTGTCGAAGAGGTCTTCAGAAAATTCGTCACTGGGTGTATATTGGAGAAAGGGAGTCTCTATCCACTCAGCGTGCCGTCCACTCCTCCACGATCTGGAGCGATGGTTCTCCCGAGCTGGGTACCGGATTTTACTTGTCTTGAGGCAACAAATCCTTTGATACGAATGAGAATGGGTAATGGATTACCTTTTCATGCAGGAGGCGACTCGAACCCCAAAGTTTGTGTATCCGACGATGGAAATCTCCTGTTTGCACGAGGCAAAATCATCGATCTTGTGAGAGACACGACACCACCGCTTGATAACGTGTATTGTACGGATACCGAAGCCGAAGGGCTTTCTGAAGCTGAAGTTGCAGTTTACAGTGTCAAGAAATGGCTCTCTTTCCGCAGAGACTTGATATCATACGACAAGCTTGATCAAGACGAGCACGACGGGCGATTCGACGCATTTTGGCGAACCATGATCTTCAACCTCACAGCTAGCGCGGATCGACCACCTCCTGAATATGCGGAGTACTTCAAAGCCTATATGGATCACTTTTTCCGATCCGAGACTATTGTGCCTGAGACACAAGAGCCGCTTCGAAGTCAATTGCTGCAGATTGAGACGGCTGTTAATTCTCGTGCTGAAGGTTGGAGAATGTTTACTACAGAAAATTCTCGCATGGGTCAGGGATTGAGATCAACACAAAATGGGGATACCATATGTGTTCTGGATGGTGGAGAGCTACCATACATAATTAGGGAAGTGGGGAGTGGACAGTACCGTTTTATTGGGTCATGCTATGTTCATGGGTTGATGGAGGGTGAAGCTTACAGAAATGATGCCTTGGAATCGCAGGAGCTTTGCTTTTGTTGAAGTGTGGCATGCGAGACTTGTCGCTCATACTTGGCCCAATTTAGGCACTTGATTGGGACAAGTTTCTTTGTTATATATTTATGCCTGTTTCTATTCTGGTGGCGTTAAACAAGGACTTTCACAGGAGGTCAACAAGGATTTGCACAACTGTTGTGACGTTGTCTCTCAAAGACAGCCTGCAAAAATATCTAACATATGGTCAGCCGCTTGCGTGAGAATCTGTCGATTAGGTAAGTACAATTATGGTACACTGTTTTTGATCGCTGACAGTCCTAATTCTAGTATTATGTATCAAATGCTCTATCTCCGCCTGGAATTCCCGAAATTTCCACTGCAAACCTGGATTCAGGATGTGCAAGCTACGAAGATTCAAACACGACATCTGCAATCACACTGACGCTCCATTCATCTATGAGCGATGTGCCACAAAGGAACCTCCAGGACATGAGAAAGGTGTCCATTGTCCTCACAGGACCGACCTCTTTCCTTTGTTGTTCCACGACCGCTGTGATGCATGTGCAGAACATTATGGCAAGAACTCCGCAGCGGAGCAGTCTCTCCGGGTTATCTTGGGGGAGGGGGGGGGGGGAATGCTACAAAGCACTACGAGTCACGTAAACGGAGAAACCGTCTTTTTATATCATAGGGGCTGCTTTTGCTTGGATTAGTGTCGGTTCTAGAAAAACTACCTCTTCGCCCTTCGGACGAGACCAGGCTCCCTTTACTCTAGCGCAATTACCATATTATTCATGGCCCAGTCCAAAAAATATATAGAACATGCGAGAAATTTTGATGCCAATTTAGCTTTTGTGGAGAAAATCAAGTGACAGAGAAAAGGTTTCCGCACAGCTCCCACACTAAACCCCCAAACGCCCCTTTTCCATTTATGTATTTAGACCCCCAGCTTGAATTGAATGCATATGCATTCGCAGTTAAAGTCAGATAAGGTAATTGAAGTCAGTACCTATCACTGGAGAAAGAAACATTGTTAGTGTGCGTGTGAGGTGCTTATTTTAGCTTCGTGACAAAGGGTTGCTCGGCAGTGTTACCAGATAATCGAATCCATATTACATCAGGTGCGCTAAGAATTTCACTTATACCAATAAAGTAACTTCAACATCTAAAGATAAATCAAATTTATTCTTAGCTCAATTCATTCCAATCTGCTGATTCAGTCGTGCCATAGTTACCCAAAGGGAGAGAGGAGGATCCCCTGGCCGCCTATTTCGAGATCTCGCTTAACTTCCTGGTCCAGGCAACAACATCACTCGGTGGTTGCACTTTCACCCTCGAAGCTTCAAGAACTTGCACTCAAGTCGCCAAAACCTGCGACACGGATTCACCAGATCATGTTCACTTGTGGTCCTGCTTTTGTTGGAGCATATATTCTCTCGGGCTGCTGACGAAGTTTCCTTTCTTACCACCGCCAAGCTGGCCTTGAGTGAGCGAGGTCAGCTCAACAATACCAGGCAAGTACGTCCCATCTATTGTTTGAAGTCTGATCTAATAATTGCAGAAACATCAAACACAGACAGTCGCTTCCAGTTAAGATGCTCAGCGCTGACGGTACTTCAACCGCTTTTGGCCTCACTTTTCGAGAGCACGATAATCGCCAAATGCAGTACATCCTGCGCGCACACTCCCGACTACCTGATGGTCCTGCAGCCAGACCTGTACTTTACTTAGCCCTTACGAACCTCGAGACTTCGCTCCCTCCTGAAGAGGCGCAGAAGATTCGCGAATGGCTTCGAGATGGTGGCGTTCGGAGCGATTTCCCTGGCCCGTCAGCGGCGCAAGACCCGCCTATTGATGGAAGCACCTTGTGGGCGCCTACACCTATGGCTACTCCTCTTACTTTCCTGCCTCATAACCTCCCAGTTGCCCCTCCTGGTCAGCTCTCACGTGCAGCGTCTGATGTTTCGTTTGAGACTGATCACGATGATCATCTGGACAACGATGTTGCTAGCCAAGTGAGCGACGAGACTGATCCCAAAGAGGTGGACGGTAAATATGACAAGGAGGATATCGATATGGATAGTGAGAGCAAAGAGGACTTAGAAGGCACATATGACATTGCCAATCAAGCTGCCCCGATGTCTGCGCCAATGGGATCTAAACACAAGCAGAAATTCGTGTCAAATTCACACGTTCCCGAGGGTTGGAAGCACTGCTCCATTTGTATTAATGACTATGCCCCCGATGACTTCCCGGAATCCGGAAATATCACCTCTACTTGCGATCATTATTACGAACAACTAGTCTGCATCAACTGCATTCGACGCACCATTGGAATAGCTCTCAGCCGGGGCGAATTTAATAGGATCCCCTGACCCATGTGTGGAGAGTTTTTCAAGCCCGAGGAGGTGAGAGAGTATGGAACTCCCGAAATTGTTGCTCGGTGAGCATCCTTAATGCCAAAATATCTCAGTGGAGCTATGGCTGATTTAGAAAATAGTTTTTGAATACCTCCTCTTGTCATCCACGCCAGGTGTTGTCATGTGTCTTGCTCCCGGCTGCGGATCGGGTCAAATCCATCCCGATAATCACAAGGAGAACCCAGTCATGAATTGCAACTTGTGCGGCTTCAAGACCTGTGCTCTTCACAAGCTTCCATGGCACGAAGGATTCTCTTGCGAGGAGTTCGACTGTGATGAATCCCAGATTGAGCGTCTCGAGGCTGACGAAGCTACTGCTAAGCTACTCTCGAAAAATTCCAAGGTCTGTCCAGCTTGCAACCAGGGTGTTACGAAGACAGATGGTTGTGATCACTTACAATGTAAGTCTTCTGTACTCCTTCTTAAGTTATTCTAAGCATACATACTAATTCGTAACCAGGCCGCTGCGGTCAAGAATGGTGTTTCGTGTGCCTCGCATCCTGGGAAAACATCATGCGCATCGGCGAAACAGCCCATGCCCGTCACTGCACCTACCACCCAGACAAAGTCAGTCTTCGCTCTGACCAGATAGAAGCAAGCATCCGCAATATGGCCGAACGCGTCCACGGGGGACCTGTCAGCGAGGCTCTGGCCAATGCTCGAGTCGCACATAATGCGAAGCGTCGAGAGGGTATGAGACCTTTGACTGCGGGGGCAGCAGAAAAAAGAGCTAGAGAAATGAAGGAGGAAGCTGATGCTAAGGCTAAGACGAAAGGAAGTTCTGGTGAAATGCCTACGCCTCGTGCGGAGAAGCCGAAGTTGATTGCACCTTGGAAGGAGAAGTGAGGTTTCTTTTTCTTTTGGTGGCGTTCATGATGAAGAGAGGATTTTGAGATGAGCGACCTTTGGCACTTTCGTGTTTTGCATCAACGTTACAGAGGATTTTGCACTGATTGCATGCTGTAACGACGTCCTTATCATGCATGGGTGGAGTCCTTTGACTCAAGTTCTTCTTCTACATTGCCCATAGGTCAATTCTCATCAGTAAGTAGCATAGGAGCGGATGGATGATACGATGGTAAGCGAGGGGTTAAGAATCATCAGTCTCGCAATATGTCGCAAGAAAGCTCACGAAAAGAGAAATCCGAGTCCTGAATGCTCTTAGTAAAGGGGTTTCACATAATACACATAACAATATTATTTAAACATCTCTGAATCGTGTAATTGTGGCGGATTCTCAACATGAACAGCTCGGATAGCTGACGTCCCCTGAAATACGGGGCTCATAGCCTGGAGACGTGCCCATTTCCCTGCACCACTGGATCTGGCTACCCCGCCATTCGCTTACGGAGAAACATGTCAAAAATTATTTAACAGACGACAATCGCTTGACAATTTGCAAGCAAGCGACTAGTAGGATTTCAAGTATGATAGACTAGTTGCATCGTAGAATTATATGGCAGCTTATCTACGCTACTTCTTCATACTCTTCCATGCCTACTTTTGGTATATGTTGACTCGTCCTATCGCGACCCAACTCTCGAGACAGGCGGCGATCTCTTTGGCATGGTCTTTCCTTTCACCCCTTGATAATCGCTTTCTTCGTATGTGTCGAACATGTAAATGTAATGCATGTAAGTCTATAGTATGGTCCAGGGGCACCATTCATTTACGGTCGTCACTTTAAACCCTATCCCACGAAATAGTCCATCAAAGACGAGTTAAACTAACAGGAAACTAAACTTTCGGGAATTCAACTGAACTAGATCCAACATTCAGCTCCCTAACTCATCCATACCTTCCAGTCAAATCTACGTTTTACCCCGAACCTGCTCAACAAGCCTCTCAGGTATGGAAATCCTCATAATCGGCGCCGGCATAGGCGGTCTCTCCACTGCCCTCTCCCTCTCCCTCTCTAATTCTTTCCCATAACACACCATCACCCTCCTCCAATCGTCCCTCACCCTCGCCGCCCTCGGGGCTGGCGTCCAATTAACACCCAACTCTACGCGCTCATTTTGGAGATGGGGACTTGGGCCCTCCATCTTGGCCTCCTCTGTCTCACCATCAACTTTCAATATCCGTAGAGATACCGACGATTCGGTGCTTGCGTCTGTGGATTTTAGCGATTTTGAAAAGAGGTATGGAGCTCCGTATGTGGTTGTGCATAGGGCGGATATCCATCGGATTTTGCATGAGGCATGTGTGAAGAATGGTGTAAGAGTTAGGCTTGGATGTAGAGTTGTGGGGTATGATGTTGAGGGGGGTGGGGTGACGTTGGAAGGCGGGGAGGAAAGCATGGCTGATTTGGTGGTTGCGTGTGATGGGATCGTTTGCGCGGAAAACGTTGTTTGGTGAAGGGAATGGAGATGGAGAGGTAGATGGGGGGGGGGGGGGGGGGGGCGAAAACGGGGTGGGCGGCATATCGATGTATGGCTCCTGTGGAGAAGCTGAGAGCGAATCCACGGACCGAGCATCTTGGAAGGGACTATAATTGTAATTGTTGGGCGGGTGATGGGAGGGTAGTTATGACTTATCTTGTTAAGGAAGCGAAGATGCTCAATGTTGTGCTTTCGCATCGCGATGATGTGGACACGTCGGGTTGGACTTCGGACCAGTTCACGGCTGAGATAGGGAAGACGTTTAAAGGTGTCTCGCCATCTTTAGAAGCGCTACTGTCAGTAACAAATCCGGAAGTGCAGAATTGGCCGATTTACCAGGTTAAGAGTCTACAGAAATGGACCTCAGACTCTGGGAAGTTCGTGTTGATGGGTGATGCAGCGCATGCTATGGCATTTTATTTGTCCATGGGTGTTTCGATGGCGGTGGAAGACGCAGAAACTCTGACGGAATGTATTTCGTTGTTGCAAACCAGAGGAGGGAGCTTGGCGTATGCGATGAATGTTTTGGAAAGAGTGAGGAAGAAAAGGGCGGTGGCTGTCAGGGACGCGAGCTTGCTTGCCGGAATATGTTACATTTGCCAGAAGGACAGAAACGGGATGCTAGGGATCGTGCGCTGGCAGTGGATGGCTTGACTACAGAAGGTATTGAAAGGGAGAATTTTCATCTTGAAAAGACCTCATACGGTATTGGGGATCGGAATATCAGAGACTGGTGTTATGGGTACGACATCCGAAAAGAGATTGCCGCAGCATGGTAGATTCGCATTTCGAGCACTCACTGGACTCGAAATCCCTGGGTACCGAGACGTCTGGAAAGAATATTTCAAATAGAATCCCTACTAATGATTGATACAAGAGTAAGAGATGCAATGGAGCGCTGAGGAAGGCGAAGCTTCCATGGGCAGGTACAAAACATGGAGCAGGGAGTCTGGCGTTGGTGGCGGGCCTGGTGACGACGAGTACACTCGCACTCTTATCTATGTAAAAATGAATATCCCTCCCAAGAGATGACATATGTCAGGCCAGCTTGGTGGATAAGATCAAACAAACAAATGCAAGGACTTTGAGCACAACAAAAACACCAGATCAACTGCCGGTCGCAGCTTTCAGGTCTCTTTACAAACAACATCGACATAGGAACAACACACAAGTGAGTATATCTTAAGTAAAAGAAAATTGGCGTTCATGCAATGGACAACGTTTGAATGAGGTTCGATGTTACTGAGAGCTTCCTTCTACCTAGGAAATGACACCAGCCCTGAAATCGAAGATTATGCACGTGAGCGTTCCGGACAACCTTGAATACCACTGGGGTTGTTCCATCCCTCCTCAAGACATCTAAATGTGGGATAAAACGCAGAATGTTTCAATATTTGTCATGGAAAGTAGTCGTTCGTATTATTTTAAATGTTTTCCAAAATTTCGGGTCATGACGGCGGAATGAAAACTTCGAATGCTGGTTGGCATGTGAAATTCCATTGTCAGGCACCAGATCCCTGTACAGCCGAGGGAGAGATACTTGAGACTTGGCCTGGACATCAACAATCCACGACTTTCAACCTTCATCACAACCTCGACTACACCGCTCGCCCTCTAACCTCACATCATTCAATACCGAACAAGCAAAATATCTGCGATATGATTCAGACTGCAGTTACCCTCTCATGAACCCGAATCGAAGAGCTGCGCATCGCAGCATCGAATAGCTTCCCCAGGTTTTCCCCACAATCCTTGAGGTCCCTCGCTCCAGCCATCCACCATGGCAGCCCAGTCCAAACTCCTCCCTCCCGATCGCACAATCAAGAGCATAATCTCGAAGTTCACCGACCTGTACCTCAAGCACCGCACGAAGATCTCGAGAACCGTCTACCTAACCCTCTTCTTCGCCCTCCTCAATCGCATACGATCCGCCATCTCGGAACAGAAAGCTGCGGCAATCAGACAAGCAGAGAAGAGAGCGCGAGGTTCTACCGTGCTGGGACAGGGCGAGGCGACAAAGAGGCAGAAGGTGGAGCTGAATAGGGAATTCTTCAAGAACTTGTTCAGGTTGCTGAGGATTTGCATACCAGGATGGAGGAGCAAGGAGTTCCGGCTGCTGATCAGCCATAGCATATTCTTGGTTGTCAGAACTCTGATATCTTTGAAAGTTGCGGCTATGGATGGTGCCCTGGTTTCGAGTTTGGTTAGAGGGAAAGGGAAGGACTTTTTGATTGGCATCGTATGGTGGATGGTGATAGCTGTGCCAGCGACATTCACAAATTCCATGGTTTGTATTCCCTATACTTTTCAGAAACACTGCTAATCATGCTATAGCTTTCATACCATCAGTGCAAATTGTCACTGCAGTACCGAACGCGACTGACGAATTATATCCACGACAAATACCTTTCGAACATGACTTTCTACTCCCTCTCCGCCCTTGACGATCGGATAAAAAATGCAGATCAGTTGATTACTGTGGATGTTTCGAAGTTTTCAAATAGTCTGGCAGAATTATACGGAAACTTGGCGAAGCCGACGCTGGATATGATGATATACAATTATTCTCTTTCGAAAAGTGTTGGTGGAGAGGGTAAGGTTGCTCGGAAGAGATTGTACGGCACAGCTGACATTACCAGGCCTCTTTTTCATGTCACTACTCGTCCAATTGTCGGCGAATGTTATGCGAGCATTGACTCCTCCATTCGGCAAATACGTGGCAGACGAAGCAAGATTAGAAGGTGAATTTCGGTTCGAGCATTCAAGAGTAATAGATTACAGTGAAGAAATCGCGCTGTATAATGGCCACGAGGCAGAAAAAGATATGTTAGACAAGGGCTACTTTACCCTGATCAAGCATGTCAATTGTAAGTCAGAAGCTACAGTTTTAACGTACCTAGCTAATCTATTAGATATTTTACGGCGGCGCTTCACCCATGGCATCATGGAGGACTTCATCATCAAATACGTATGGGGAGCTCTGGGACTCGTCCTTTGCAGTGTCCCAGTATTCTTCAAAATCCCTGGGGCTACTGCTCAAACGATGGGAGACAGAACAGAGAGTTTTGTTACCAACAGGCGACTCCTGCTATCCAGTTCCGATGCATTCGGTCGAGTGATGTTTTCCTATAAGGAGGTTACTGAGCTCGCAGGATATACGTCTCGTGTGGCGACTCTGTTGGAAGTAATGGACGACATCAAAGCGGGTCGTTTCGAGAAGACGTTGGTTTCGGATGACAATGGTGGGGAACAGCTGGAATTGATGCGTGGCCGAGGAACAGTAATCGAAAGTGAGGATATTCAATTTACTGACGTGTAAGTCTGATTCCTCCCTGATATTGACTTTCACTAACCTGTCAGACCTATTATTACCCCAGGCGGAAGTGTTCTGGTGAAAGCTTTGTCTTTTTCTATGAAACGCGGCGATCACGTTCTAGTCGTTGGTCCAAATGGATGTGGAAAGTCCTCACTCTTCCGTATCCTCGGTGGTCTCTGGCCAGTTTATGGCGGCACAGTCCGCAAACCTCCTCTCTCGCAAGTATTTTACGTCCCTCAGCGGCCATACCTTAGCTCCGGCTCTCTCCGTCAACAAATAATTTATCCTGATTCACTGCGTATTATGCGCAGCAAAGGAATCACCGACGCAGATCTCCTTTCTATCCTCCGTATCCTGGACCTTGACCATCTAGTCGAGTCCTTCCCCAATGGTTGGGACGCCGAAGCCGAATGGCGCGACGTTCTCTCAGGCGGTCTCCAACAACGCGTCGCCATGGCACGCCTCTTTTACAACCGTCCTAAATACGCGATCCTCGACGAATGCACATCCTCCGTGACTCTCGAGATGGAGAAAGTCATGTATGAACACGCAAAATCCCTCGGCATCACGCTCATGACTGTCAGCCATCGCAGGAGTCTATGGAAGTATCATAGTAAGATTTTGCAATTTGATGGGCAGGGGAAGTATATTTTTACCCGGTTGGATGCCGAGAAGAGATTGAAGCTGGAGGATGAGAAGGAGGATTTGGAGATGCATCTTAGACAGGTTCCGGAGATTGAGAGGAGGATTGCAGAGTTGAGCGCTGCTTGATGGGGCTTGCCGGAATTGCTTGGACTAGGTGTATAATACGAGAGATATGAATCGAACATATATTCCGTTATCTCAACGCCGACTCTGTCGGTTGACTACCATTATTCCTATCTATCCATAACGCCTCAGTACCAGCTAAATGTCCAGCATTACTTTACGCCTTGCCCAGCACTCCTCCAGGTCATGGAGTCTATCTACGACATCATTAACCCCAACTGCAACCCCTCGAAAGTACGCTGCTTCAACCTCAGTTCCCCTAACTAAGCCAAACACCCACCTCCCAAGACCGGACTAACAACCAACCTCGCCACAAACCCAACATCTCCACTAACACCCTCCAACACACCTCTCCTCCCATCCTTCTCCCCTTCTCCCTCATCCCAAACCACCAAGCCATCCCTCTCCCTCTTTCCTTGGCCACCCTCGCCCTCTGTCTCCAGCTTCGAGTCCTCTCCACCACCAACAAACTCAAATCCCAACCCCGCCCCGGCAACCCTCTTCAACAAACTAGCGAAATGCGCCCTCTTCATCCCGTAATTATCACTCCCCATAGGCGTGAGCAAGATTTTTAATTTCGCATTAAACTGGAACTCTCCTTTCCCACTTCCTCCCTCATCTCCATTGCTAATCCCATCTCCGCTTGCCCTCTCCACTTTCCGTACGACCGGACTCCTCGCCGTAAGCTCCACGCTCCCCGAACAATGCGTATCAGTCGAATACGGGAATCCGATGCCGTGGCTGTGTTTGGATAGCATTTCGGCGGTGAGGGATGAGACGAGGGTGGTGATTTCGGAGGGGTCGAGGTGGGGTGGTGGGCAGGACTTTTTCGGTGGTGGGTTTTTGGTTGAGGAAGAGGAGAGGGAGGGTGTGAGCGGTGCTTGGGAGTTGGAGTTGAGGTTGAGATTGCGTTTGGTGAGGGCGGAATGAGGGATCAGTTCGGCGTTGGCGGGGATTGCATTGAAGTCCAGGTAGGACTCTAGGATGCTGGGGGTGGCGGGTGCTGGTATTGGTGCGGGCAGTGCGAGGGCTGTTGTGAGGAAGAGGATGACGGGGAGAGGGAGGGTGAAGAGTGTGGTATGCATTTTTATGATTATTATATCGTATTGTTGGGTTCTGAAAGAAATCCTAGAGAAGTTTGGACTAGCAGCTCAACTGCTTTGATGTTCCAGAACAAACAATTAATCCCGACCACCAGGAAAGAAACATATCACTTCAAGACTCCAGCTCGGGAATCGCAAGAATATATACTTCCTCACCCTCATCCCATCTCATCACAGACTTCCCTCATTGTCCTCTCATTACGAACACCCAGCGTCTCAGTGTTGTTGGAGATGCTCAGGCTGGGGCCGCTTAGCGAGTGTAGCTGCGTTGTTCGAAACCGGACCAGGGGCTCGCTTCGCTTAGTTGATTGTTTGGTTTGTTTGGTGTTTAGGGCTTGGATGGGGTCAGATTGTTTCGGGTTATGAATTTTGAAGAACGGGAGATCGGCATTTACCAAGATCGGGCTGGATCAGCGAAGTTAAGCTTTGATGTGGTGCGAGCATACGGAGGTAACGAAGAAGTGTCTGATCGCTCTCTGTCCTGTGCGAGACAATTGTTCGGTCGCTTAGTGGAACATGTGGTTTGGATGATAGCTGATGCGCTGGACGGTCTTGTTCTCTTGTGCAGGAAGCATGGTTTCAAGGAAGAAAAACATTTAATAAGAAGAAAAATTGATAATTTTCAAAAATAATCGGCTATTGAAGCGAACAATATATTTCCCCCTCCGCCCTCCTCAGTGATGAGACAGTTTTAACGAACGGCACTAATAAGCAGGATGAATGCACACCAACGAACCACATCCCGACATACTCCAGTTCATGCACCATCGACCCCTAGACAGATCAGCCTCGCGAGTTCATAGACACACGATCTTTTGTACCTCGTCCAAGGCTCTTCTCGTCTTTAGTTGAGATGCCTACACGTAACACTCTCCTTCTTCCAACTGGGACTCGCCAACCGAATCGCATCCTGCACACACTTGCTACCACCGGATGGAACCGTCCAAGTGTTGAATTGGAACGTCATCCGCGTATCATGCGGGTTTTCATAGACATGGTAACATTTCCAGCTATTGATGGCTGTGCCCCCGCCACATTGGCCGCGGAGATTGTCAAGCACGCCGGAGCCGCAGCCTTTCGGGGAGCTATGCGTAGGGTCGTGTTTAGCTGTTATGGTCTCTTGATGACGGTTGGGTATATGAGGCGGAGTGAGATGGCAATGGAAGGTGAAGAATAGAATGGAAGGGAAGGGGACTCTTACGTGTCGTCGCTGTTACCCCATCCGGCTGTCCAGATCGTGTACTGGAAGATTCCACTTGGGCTTCTAAACCGCTCACAGAAGGTGTTGGCGATACGTTTGTCGAGCGCCGATTCAGTACTGTTGAATTCTTCTGCCTCGAGAGGAGCTGGTACAGCTGCGGCAAGGGTGAAGCCCAGGAAGGGGAGGACGACAAGGGCTGAGAGCTGCATTTTGAACTTGTAGGAATGGATGAGCGATTCAAAGAAGTATTGAGTGGCCGGTGGATTGAAGTGATTCCGAATGGATGAAGAAGAATCTTCTGAAGAAAATGACGGTGATTTATATAGTTTTTGCAGGCTCGGCCGTCCCAGTTAATGCCTACCACGACCTGGCGATCATTGCTGACACCAAGTTCAGTGACACCTCAATGACACATCGTCAGAATTTAGATGTGATACCAAGGAAAATTCTTATGCTAAGTCAACTAAGAGAAACTGGTCTCTTGTTTTCACCTTGCTCACATCCTCTTCAGGTATGCACCTCGAGATGCAGAAAGTAGACAGTTCACAATTGGCTTTCGGAATCCACTTCGTTTATTATCTATGCACTTTATTTGTGCTTCTAACTGTGGAAATTCTTCCTGGGAGTGTCAGCGCTAATCCTGTGTCAAGATTAGCGCTACCATGTTGCGCTTGTATTGGTTGTGGTATATCTGACTGGAAAGGCCAAGTGCGATATTGCTTGCATTATCTAGTCTTTCCACATTTTTCTGTGGGTCTGAAAAGCATCGACCTCTTCCAATTTGCGGTTTCATTTGCCAGCTCCACCTCGAGCACGAAGTCCATACTCAAAGGCATAGCTTCGGTATAACTCTGAAAGACGTCGTCTTATCCCGAAAATATCTTGTTTCCGGACAATTGTAAAATCCACTGTATTAAATAACCGTGCCATCTAAAAGGCAGCTTTCTTTTCACAACTGTGGATTCCAGACCGATTTCCCCTTGGCATTATGTGCTAGCTCTTACTCCACTTTCTTCCGATCGACCGCTGACAGAGGAACTCTGTTTAGTTGCATAAGTTCACACTTTACTTCCAGTGGAACTCAATATCAGACGATACTCTAGAGCGTTGCGAGTTTTGACGAATTTGTCAGGCCCTTTTTAGTGTCTCAAGAATCTTTCTTTGTTTTGTGAATGATTTCACCTCATGGTCCTCCCTCACAGTCCTCCCTCGTACTTTTCTCTCGTGTCCTCTCTCGTAATCCTCCATTATATTCTCTTGATCTTTTGTCTCTTAAAAAATCAATCTCCAGTTGTATCTTGAAGAATCACGCTTCTATCTGTCGCCCATCTTGGAAATGATCAAGTCTTTCAACGTACACTAGGCTATTAAGATCAGTTCACTCTCACACACGGCGGACCAAATGGGTAGGAGGTTAAGTCGCGCCTGACTTTCGCCTTGACCTGCTCTGCCACATGGGTATTTCGCGAACTGGCCGCACTACTTTGCTGGAGGGGAAAAAAGCGTGGAGATAGGTTCAGTCAGATAATGCCGTAAAGTTTAGGCGGTAGTATAAGGCCTGAGAAATCGAGGTGTGTATTTCGGAATTGGTCAAAGAAAGATGGTATAAGACAAGAGTACAAAGATAACTGGCTGTATGGATCAAAACCTCGTATTGAGAAACCAATGGGAGTCATTCTGTCAAGGCCGTGGAGTCAGAGTTGTAATGCGCCAAGGAGTGAATAGAAGAGATGACGAGCTCTTTGTCAACTTCCTCCAGAATAAGCGTTATGTCCATGGAGAGAACCCATATTGACATGATGAAGGATGAGGATGGGGCTTGAAATATGTTCAAAGTAGTCAGCAAACGCTAGTTCCACGCTAAAATGTGTCTAAAAATAATTGCTTCCTCCTTCCCTCAACTCAATTCCAACATCATTCCTACATATTTCGATTCTCTGAATATTTAATTCCAACGATAACCCCCCTCGCCAATATCACGCTTCAGTCAAGTCAAGTCAGGAAAATGAAATAATCGCGAAAGGCTTGTACAACCCAGATGAACTGTGGACGAAATCCCCCCTTGCAATGAAGTGGCACATGCATCACGTGCTGTGTCTGTTGCCTGCGTCTTTACAAGGTCCCTCAACGTCCACCACAAGCTCCTGATGCTATAGTCTGTTATCCATGTTAGCTAGGTTGACTGGAAAAGAAAGCTGTAACCTACGAAGCTCTTGTTATTTGACAAGGAATGCGCCCAATGTCATGATCGCGTCTCCCAGCTCCCTTCTCCTTCCGGCGCTGACACATTTTGGTATGCGATGTCCAATGCCTACAGGTCTTCTCTCAACGTCTCTCTCATGACTTCATCTCCTATAGGGAGAGCAATGGTTTCATTCCTCTTGGTTAATTGAGCACAATTCAATGTCCTGCCAACAAAAAGGCTACCCGACGTCCCTTCGCTCCTTGGCCATCTGAACAGGATCTCAATAGCCTCCAATCGACCACTTCGACTTGACAGCTTTAAAGTTTCCGATAATCTTATGGGATCTATCATGCCCTGAACGACCATGAAATGGGCATTTGACCTGGTTCGGAGACCATCAACCACGATATTCGATTCATGAATGATCTCCGCTATATTTTGTGTATCTTCTTCCAATGATACATTTTCCTGCCCTATGATTGTGTTCAGCAGCAGTAAGCAAGACCTGTATCCCAGACGGAGCAGCGTTACAACCAACTCGTGGTGTAAGAAAGGTTGTTGTTCGAGGAGAGAGTGGAATGAATAGATCCATCTGTCCAACTGCGACCGGTAGTGAATGTACTCGAATTGGAAAGTGGATGGATTTATAGAACTGTCGGAAACGAGATCGTACAGAAACTGTTCTTCCACATATCCTTGCTGGGACTGACTGCTGGTACGTCCCTCTACTGCATTTTCGGTGTTGTGGGATAGGATAACACTATGCATGCAGTGCAAAAGGCGCTTGATGATTAGCTGAAGATATGCACGCGCAGTCTCAAGATCGTTGAAGCAAGCCGGCATGTTTTGGACCGTATCCTCACCTCCGTACATCATTGTTCGATGCTGGTCTGCTGTGTGCTTTGTACCAAACATGCTGCTCTGAATGTCGAGACCGAAAAACATCTGGATCAGCAGGTCCTCGACCACATCCGGTGCAGGAGAGGAAAGTTCGGAAGCTCGACTCGGATATGACTTTCGCCAACTATTTATCAAGCCTATACCACTCTCAACCTGCGCATCCGCCAAAGCATAGTTCCCGTGGCAGCACTCAAAGCAGGCGATCAGCAAGGAGGTGATCAAGGTGGTCCTCAGATCTTGCCGCCCCTCACTGCTTGCCTCTCTCATCAGTCCAAGGGCTTTGGAATACTCCGTGATCGCGGCTCCATGATGCTTTCTAGCGTCAACTGCACATATGCTTGGCTGCTTGTCCTTCTGTTTGTGAAAGGTCATGCATGCTTTTGTCAGAGCTCCAATCGCAATGACTACTTGTCGAATAGCCGGCACATTGCACGACTGAAGGACCAGTATGCGGAACGAGTCCGAGTCAAAGAATGGGCTTAATTGAAAAGATGTTTGATCCCGGAACATGTCGAAGTACTGCCTGTAAGTCTCGAAGATAGATGTCGATTGTCCACCTGTGGTTATAGGTAGTGAAGGTGTTCTCGCCCGTGTGATGATTTGAGAACTGGATCTTGGACTCGGCGTTCTGGATTGACGGTTATATCCATCGCAAGCGATACCAAATTTTATACAACGGTTGCAAATCTGCTTGTCAGTAAAAGGCATCAGGATGGATCAGGAGTTCTTACCGGCTTTTTCTCATCGCACTTCACTCGGCCTAATCAACCAGATTAACTTTGACCAAACCGTTTCTTTTCAGTCACTTGATGATGTGATGCATTGCGACATCGCTCCTCTGCATAGCAAAAGGGGATATCTGCGGAACAAGGGAAGCAAGTTGAATTACTCACGTATCCTAGACAAAAGTCAGCATATGGTAAAGCGCGAGCACAGTCAGTACGTACTTGCAAGTCCCACATCCTGTCTTCGAGTGCTTCCTGATCGTATTGTTAGCAAATGTATCGGCCCCTTCGTCAGTATCAGAGAAAAGGGATGAGATTCAAGGTCTTCGAACAAGCACAGGCAAGAGCATACGAACCCTGATGACCGGTTCCTCTTAGCCAGCGGTCTCGTGGGTTGGTCCATCCCCAATATTTTTCGGGAATCTCCTGGATGTATGATTTGCGATCCACCCCAGGTGCTAACACCCTTCTTTAGAGGCATAAGTATAGATTTGAGATGAGCCATCAGTCTTCGGACTTGCCGAAGTATTCCATGAGCTGGTCAAGGCATGTCGTCAATGTGCGTTGACCGCACCCTCGCCAGATTTCCCTTCGCGTCAGGTAGCTTGCTTGACAAGCTATCACCATATAGGCCACTCATTTAGCACACAGACGTACAGCAAGATAGCTGCCCCTGAAATCTGCAGCGAAGCTCTTGTCCAGCGAATAGGCTGTGCCTAGGAGTGTCTGAAATGTCGAGCAAGATGGACACCGATGATGCAGTCAGCACTAGGTGTCCACCCTTTTCCAAGAAACCTCTGCCCTATAACCCCTGAACTACCGCACCTCGGCTGGCTGAACTGGCTAGTCAGCACCCTAACCATTGGGTCACTTTACTCGTCCAAAAACACGAGAAGCGAAGTCATCGTCTCTGGAACTAACAGACATCCGGGACCGCTCACATATTGGCCGGAAAAATATCTACACTTGGACTCTCTGTCGCTGGGGACGGCCACTTGGATCGAGAAGTCCTTCTGCGATTGACGCATCATCAGGAATGATCATTGACCTCCGATTCTTATTAGGGATCTTTGAGCCGATTGGAGTAGGGCTGCACAAGATCGAGATGCAGTTGGCATAAGTCTACGCATCCTTCAGGGATCATTCCGCCTCGGCGCTGTCGGCGCCTGTGCCTTAGCCAATGACTGTGTTGATCAAGAGCAACGCGGCGGCTATCTCGATTAAGTAGGGCTGAAGCTTCATTTCATTTGTTGTCTCGTTCCCACGGCGGTAAAGTCACTGAACAGGTCAGGTGACGACATCATCATCCTTACGACAGTGAGGACGACTGATGCTAGGGGATCTCAACTCTGCCCGCTTCAATTTTCTTCAACACTGTCCCCTATTATACTCATGCATAGGGTTAAATGACCTCAGCTACGAGCCAGCGAATCATATTCAGGCATCTCATTGCGCTCACCCGCTAGTGCACCGAGATTTGGGGGCCACGGTAATGGCTGCGATCTTTGGCTGGTGGCTTGACTTTCTGATGCGATGTCGAATGCGAAAGCGGTTAAAAGCCTGGTCTCGGGGTTACAAAGAGTACCGTATTTGATGTCCAAATATCGCTCGACGGCACCAAGCTCCACTTCAGCTCTCTTGTGCGATGTTGTACATGATTATGTATGAAGCTGCAGAGGGATATTTACGCGAGAGAGCATATCTTAACGTACTCAAAACACCAGGTCAGCAGCCATTGCCCCACAACCATTCTGTGGTGGACTGCGGATACCCCGCTTATAGCGGTCGTAGCGGATACAGGAACCAGCTACCAGGCCAAGGTTGTCACCGAGTACGGCAAATGAGCTTGGTCGAGCCCACGAGAAAGATATCTTCAGGCTGACTCGTACGACGTCCCAATCGTCATCATGCACGACAAAACATTTGGCCACAGATAATATTTTGGCACTGGTCTGCCATCAATTGAATCTTCGATGAGGCTTTGATGCGCATTATGGAAACGGTGTGGGGCTGTAACCTCGCTTACACCGAATGCGATTTCAAAACGAGTGAGCCAGATGAGAGAGGCCACATGGGGGTGCACTCACCAGGTTCTCTTACTTCGTCGTTGATGAAAGCAGATGAAGCTCAAGTGGGTTCAATGAGGAATCGAAAGGTCACGAAGCAAGCAACATCCCAGTCTGTCAACAGCTCGTTTTGGAGACTCTTAGACTTTCTATCCAAGTGGTGAGATCAGGCACGATGAGCTTCAAATCACATACTCCTGTGGTATGTCTGTCCAGCAGAAGATTATCGAGCTCCCATGCCCTCCATGTATCTCCTAAGATCGCCATTCCATATTTTGCGGGTACATTTGCGAGCAGTGATTTCAATATGGCAATTTACGATCTCGTGCGTCAGACACAGGAAACACCTCACGATAATGACTTGGCAACCATTCTTGAGTACCGAAATGTGTCCCAGCTCTTCATGTGGGGCCCAATCCATATTCCCATGGGCTGGGGAATATGGGACGTACCCAGGTGAATGCTCTGTCAACTTTCTCATGATAAAACAACCCAGCTCGGATGGTAGGTCAAGGATATCCAACGGGAGAGTCGGACGCAGGTGACAAGTAATGCAGGGCTGCTAATCTAAGCTTGTTGGATATTCCCCGGCTTTGCCCATGCATGAATGTGCATCCTCAATGCGAGCTTCGAAATCGGGTAGTCTATAAATATCGCTAAGGTTGCACAATTAATCACCGTTGGACAGCTAGATCAAGTATTCCGAACACCTAATGCAGGTGCGGCCGCATGGGTAACACACGAACTGCTTGCTTGCGGCCCGATGGTCACGTATACTACCACATCTATCACTTTCAGCCATACACAGGCCTTGCTTTCTGCATCAACAGCTGTTCATGACGCGCAGATCAGCAGGTGACACCGTCTGGCAGCTTCACGAGCACAGGCTTGGATATCTCACCGACGGCTCGTAGTGGAAGCCTGTCGATGTTACTCAACGTGCCGAGCTGACATGCTCTGGTAAGTCGTGATACCGGCTGCTGTGCTCCTCGGAAGAGCATTCAAACCCGGCTGACTTACCGATCATTCGGGAGCGTTACAGACGCTTCGGCAATAATACCATCATCCTCGGAACAGAAACATCCCTCAAGGCTTGAAGTGGACTGAACTAGCTTTGTGTATATCAAAAGTTTATTTTATGCAGCAGTGGGTATGAAACTCTGCATACAAAGAAAATATTGGGTATCGGCAAATAAAGATTGAAGAAACCTATCAACAACAATCTTGGTGTCTTATATTCCACTTTGTTAAATACCAACAGCATGAAAACCTGCCACCGAGAAATAGGCGGCAACTCCCTTCAAATTGCATCGATGTCTATCTCTATCTTGACATCGACGACGACTCTGAGCTCGCACCTCATCCATTCCACCAAAACGCGAGATTTACTTCCACTTCTCCAAATCAAATCCGCAAAAACTTCTCCGCAGGCTCTCTCGGTCCACAGTTGGTCAATAACTGAATTATTGTCTTATTCCCTCGTTTCGTGGCGTACTCGAGCATTGTGTCGCCATTGTGCATCCTCGAAGCTGGGTCTGCGCCTCGGCTCAGGAGAAGAGATACAATGGATGTGCTGTTCACGTAGATGGCGCGACTCATCGGTAGCTCGCCGTTCGGGCTTCGAGCTTCAGGATTGGCACCGTGTGCGAGCAGTATGGAAACACTCGAGGTGCTATTTCGTGACACCGCTGGAAAGAATCAGTGAAATTTCTTCGTGCGAGTATTCACTATCAGGTGGGGTTGAGATGAGAACCTACCCATATACAACGGTGTCTCGCCACTGACAACTTTCAAGTCTGGATTTGCACCTTTCCCCAAAAGCAGAGATACAGCAGAGGTATCGGAGCGGTAAACAGCTCTCTGCAAGGCCGTCTCTCCTGCCGGATTGCGAGTATCTGGACTAGCACCCTTTCCGAGCAGCAGGGACAATACAGCCGTGTCTCCGCGACAAACAGCCTGAAATACCGGTGTCTCATTCGATCGACTCTGCTCCTCTGGATCTGCGCCTTTCTCCAATAGTAAGTGTGTAAGAGAAGCACTACCTCTGACTACAGCTAGATTCAACAGCGTCTCTTCTCCCGCTGGACTCTTCCCCGCATTTGCTCCTTTTCGGAGCAGCATCTCAGCGATGGTGGTATGTCCTCGATAAATAGCTGTCCAGAGTGGTGTTCTCTGTTTTTCGTCTTCGGCTTCGACGTCAATTTTCTCTTGCTCGAGAAGAACGGATACGATTCCCATGTCACCGCGGCTGACGGCCATGGAGAGTGGTGTTTCGCCTTTCTCGGTGCGGTGTGAGGTCGAGGCGCCGTATTCGAGAAGTTGTTTGACCATTGTTGTTTGACCTCGGTATATGGCTGAGAAATGGTCAGTATCTTAGGTAGATAACATAGGGATGCGCAAATTAAGGAAGGGCAGTCTTTACCTCTATACAGTGGGGATTCTCCTGCCTTAAGCTCCTCTACATTCGCACCATGCTGCAGAAGCATCTTTGCAATGCTTTTTAGATCGTGCGAGATACACAGATGAATCATGGTGTCCTTCCCGATTGGCGTTACATTCGGATTAGCCCCGGCTTCAAGAAGAGTTTCCGTGCAGTCTTTTCGGTTCTGCCTTACAGCAACATACAATGGAGTCTCGCCTTTCCCGTTCAGTTCGTCAATCCTTACTCTCCCAGATCTGACGATAGCTTTGACAGTGCTTTTCGCATCGGTATTCACAGCGATACTCAGCATACTGTCCTGACCCAGAGGTCGTGAATTTGGATCCGCGCCAGCGTCGAGCAAGACTTCAATGCAGTCTTTCTGTCCTCGCAGCACAGATGTATATAATGGAGTCTCTCCTTTTGCGTTCGGTTCTCTCAAATCGACCCTACCACTCTCAACCAGTGCTTTCACAATGTACTTTCTGCCGTTTAAACAAGCGATATGCAATGGGGATTCTGAGCCGGGCGGTCTTGCATTTGGATCAGCACCATATTCCAACAGCAATTGCACAATATCCCGATCTCCCTTGACCGCGGCTCTGAATAGTGGAGTTTCAATCTTCTTGTTCAGCGCTTCGATGTCCTCTCCTCCTTTTTCAAGTAATTGCTTGACCGGTGATTTCTTCCATTTCCCAACAAGTTGGTGGAGAAGAGTTTCCTCAGCCTCAGGAGGCGGTCGTTTCTGCAAGACATTATTGAAACTGCGTATTGGAGCGACAGGATCAGTTGGACCCGTCGTCGGTAGGGCATTGACATGGATGATAATCTGCAAACCACGCGGTCCAAAAAACCCCTCATTCCACTGCGAACTCACCGCTTCAACACGTACTCTCCTCAGCCGTTCCTGCTCCCTACCCTGAGACTGATTTGCTTGCCCTGGACCAGCAGGACTCTCTCCCAGCAACGGCCTACTCTGATCTCTCGACCTCGAACTCCTCAAATTCAGCCCTGACGTGTCAAGACTAACATCCGCCTCCAGCTCCACCAACCCCTCCACATCACGCCTCGCATCCTCCCAGTACGGCGTTAACAGGAAACTCAAGAACGTCTCCCAATCATGCGCATCCACGCCACGACTCGTCCACGTATCAACCGGCTGCGGAAACGGTAAGTTCTTCGCGCGCGTCTCGGCCGCTAGCGTCATGTGATGATAGAATACATTGCGCGGTCTTGACGGCGGTGCGGTGCGCAGTGCGAAGTAAGATGTTGCTGAGATGAAGCCAGCGCGCTGGAGTTCGTCGGGTGGGATGTTTGTTGTGCCTGGGTAGTTTGGGGGGAGGGCGCTGGGATTGGGGAGGTTGGTGAGGTATTGTTGGCGGTGGGGGAGCTGGTGCGTTGGTCCTGAGGTGTGTGGATCGTGGGGGGAGTATGGAGGTGGAGCTTCTGTCATGTTGGGGGCGGAAATATATCGACCTGATATTGAGAGCGGATGATTTAATTCTTGCTATCAAAAATCAGAGTCTATCACTCCATAGTAGAGAATATCATGGCAATTTGAGGAGGTTGGCGTAGAATTTGTTGTTCTCTGATCCAGGTTTTCCAACTGGTGTGGCTGTGTTGGTTCTGACGACGCTCGTTTAGGCACCAGCTTTTTGGACCTCAGCTCGTCCTGTCAACTTAACACTTGAAGCTGAAATGGGGGGGACTGATAATTACGGATCTTAAATATTGATATCTAAACTGAAGTATTCGCCAGTCTGAGTATGGCCGTTATCGTGGTTGTTTATACTGCCGCTAAATTGGAGCGAACGTCTTAGACTTTGGATGATCCGGTCCAGATCATCTGCCAGCATCCCTGTCCTAGCTTCGAGATCTTGTTCCCAGCTAGAGAACCAAGCGGATATCACAAAGCTTGATTTTGAGAATCCAGAGAGACCCAAGTTTGGATGTTGCTGGCAGGTCAGGCATGGCCAGGGCAGTCTAGGTGGAAGTGGGGGCGGTGGACTGCGGGTTCACGGTTCTGCACGCGACTGTCCTTGGCGTCGCTTAATGAGAATTAATACAAACAATAAAGCTCTGAAAGTTTAAGGTTCTGGTGAACTGAAACATTCGTTTCTGAAATCACGAAAGACGAACTATAAATTCATCGGCAGCGACGTGGCTGTTGCTGGCATGAGTGTTTATACCGATAACTGCACAGCTATCTCATCTATGCTTTCCATGCAGTGCGGTAGACGTCGAAGTTGGCTTAAGCTTGTTGGAGAAGGAATCCCGGGACCAAGACGATGGATGAAGCAGAGAAATATGTGGTTGGGCTTTACAGGCGTCTCTCTAAGTATTGCAACGATGCGTATATGATGAAGAATGAATTGGAGTTTTTGGAAGGTAGAAGTGTGTTTTACGTAAGTTCTTGCTCTAGTACCGGCTTTGCCTCCGACGATGCAGCACAACGAACTTTATTATATACCTTTTCATGTCGGCGTTGATGATAACTCGTACATATAACTCTTATTTCAGACAAAAAGAGGCTCTGGCATTCTATAAATTGATTGATCTCTCCCTCTTCGCTACAGTCCCATTGCATCTTGAGACTTGTGAAAGTCAAACCTCGAATATAAACACGCACTCTCTCATAAGTAGACACTCCTACGTTTTTCTGTATTCTCAAGCGAATCCAATCAAACTAACACAATCGTGGCAACGGTCACGGGAGTACGAACGCTTGATACCTACGTACTCATGCACAATCCAGCTCAACCCCAATGAACGTCTCTCACACGGCTTGGTGAATGAAACCCTTCACTTCTACACAACTGTCGTGAAACCTCAAAACTGTACGCGGGAAACTGCACATAACTTCAACTGGCTTCTTCCATTAGCTTTCTAATACTTGTGCTCCTGCTGCTTTTTCCGGTTAGCTCCAGGCTCCGACAATACAGGCACAGGGGGGGTTCTGTGCCGCGCGAGAGAAGGTGCGGGTGCGGGTGCGGACGGCCGCATCCGCACTTATGTAAATAAGCAACAATGTGATATCTCTCTCAGTCCTGCTTAGCAATGGGTATAATCTTATTTTCGAGTGCAGACAGGGTACCGAGATGGTGTATCGATTCGTAGCCTCAGTGTTGAAAGGGGCAGAGTGAGATATTGACGGCAATGGCGCGGTTTGACGACCATACAAGCATTCTCCATGTCAACAATGAAGGTTCGCAAGATATAATAATGCCGGGGACATTCTAAATCCTAGTCAATAAAGGCATTGGTAAGCTAAAATTGGCACTCCTGAGATGGAGCTAGGATTTCAGATATACAAGTCATTGGGCGTTAACTTATGCACCCAAGCTGTCATGCTACTCTAGCCTGGTCATCGTAGTCCGCAAGCATTACTACTCACTATCGAAGTTTACTTCCAGATTAGTTTACCTTCTAGGTTTCAGGGTCTTGAAGATCCGTGGCTTTCGAAAATGCATTTGAATTTCTCCAGATGTTGACAACTAAGCGAGCATTGGCAAACAATGTGGGGGGAAAATTCTAGGGTTGATGATTTTGAAATGTCAAGGGATGACGGGATACGGTCTATTGACAGTAAAATTCTTGTTGACAGCTTGGAAATGTTAAGGACAGGCGATTTATCCAGGAGGTTTGAACATAGCCAGAGTCTGCCTTACTATGCGTGCTGACACAAAATATATGGAAATGCTAGGCAACGGAATTTTTCTCTGTAATGATTGGGGAGAATTCTCACTTCCAAACGCATGGTATACTTGAGCGTTGCGGGTTGGGCAGGGGCCATCATTATGATCGTTTACGTACAGCCGAATACACTACGAACAGCTAGTAGCAAGTAACATGACATAGAAAAGAGTAATCAATCTGCGATCAGATCATTCAGATGAGTGTCCGAATCGTCTTTTGTTTCTATGTGCAGCTCTCGAATTATTATATAACCTCCCACAAGCAGCTCGCTCACATTCTCCTTGTCACATCCCTCCGTTTGCGCACAGATAACCCCCTATCGCTACCTCGGTGGAGCAACATGCATGCCACTCCCTAACGCCGCATCACCAACCGACATCCCTCTCCCTCCACCTCCATCCTATCCTCCCATCAGCCTCCATATAATTCTGCCTACACCTGACCAGGGCTCTCCTCCTCTGCAAATCCAGCGTTACGCACTCTCCCCATGCACGTGCACTCTCAGGAATGCAGCCATACTCGTCCATGCCCTCTTCCTCAATCCCCATCATCCACTCGCCAATCTTACCGGCGAGTAAAGAATCGTACATCCATTCGCGGCGATGGGTCGATAGGAGGAGGAAGATGGCTTCGCGCCGGAGAGTGGGCGACCGGCATTTTGTTGCGACAAGGAAGAGGGGGGCGATGGCGCGGACTTCGTGTGTAAATGTTTCGGATTCTAGATGGTGTTAGTAGGATTTTTTTTTTCTTTTTTCACTTTGGTTTCCCTCAAAGGGTATTTAATTCCGAGAAAAAGAGGTGAGGTATTTTGGAAGGATTTGAGTTTCGGTGGATTTGGATAAGGGAGGGGTACTGCCAAGATGCAGGACAGGATGCACAACAAGGAAATGTACGTACCAAATACGCTAGGATCACCTGCGGCTTCGTACTCCAAAGTTTCTCTCGAAATATCCAGAAGATACTCGAAATAGGGTAGAAGATCATCGCAAGCTGATTCGGGAGCGCCGAGACTTGACGTCAATCTGATAAGGAGCACTGTGGTGTATAGTTTGATGGATTCTGGTCTGGAAAGTGGGTGGCAAATGAGATCTGGCTCCATGTCCAGCATTAGGGAGTCCAAGAGCGAATGGAGAAGATGTATTTGCTCAATCAGTTGATCTCGCAGTCGTAGAATGGAGGCGGGTATCTGCTCTGGGGACAAATATTCGTGTTTAGCTGCTCGGTAGTAAAAGTTGTATCCTTCCCATACAACCATATTTCTCGTGCTGCGTGCTTCTTCGACGCTGCTGAATCTTGCTGGGAGGCTGAAACTTGGGGTGTGAGCTTGAAGTGCTATGAAAGTCCGGCTCTCTTCAATGCCCATGGCGCATAGGGCTTGCATATCGAGACGGAGGAACATGCTGGCTAGTTGATCTTCTTCTGAGCTCTTGGATGTAATAATGGCAGGCGCGACAATTTTAGATGTAATGAGGAGTCCCCTCGCGTGGCGTATGTGCTGTAGAGCGAATCCCCCATTTCCGATGAAATTGTCGAAGAAAGCAAGGACCAAGCACGAGATGACGGATGCTCGTATGCATTCATTGTGTTCGATACTGTTCATAGATTCTCGCAGTCCCTGGATGGCTTTTTCGTACTGCTGGAGGGCAAACTCTCGATGCGAACTATGAGAAGTGTCCATCCGATGGCTGCCGCAGAGAGATCGATCCGTACTCTTAGCTAGAGCTCCAATGGCTACAATTGCGTGACGGACAGAGAAGTTGGTTTGAGATTCTTGCAAGGCAACACCACGCCAGAAAAAGGTATCATGACCTTGTAGGTGGATGGAAACATCATCGATAAAGCTTCGAAAGTATCTTTGCTCATCATCGTATAGATCGAGAGAGAGAGAAGGTGCATACAGAGATGCAGTGGGCGACGAAGATGGAGATGATGAAGAGGAAATAGATCTTGGTCGTATTGGAGCAAGTGTCAAGGGAGCTGCGGATGGGAGAGTGACAACATGATCATAGCCATCACAATGCCAGCCCGACTTCAAGCAACGATGGCAGCTAGGTTTCTCTTCGCCACATTTAAGTCGTCTGATCCTGTTTTAAAAGCATCAGCACAAAAATATGCCTCGCGGGAACGAGATAACGTACTTGCAAGTAACACAACCGGTTTTGCTTCGGGGCGTCGATGCTCGTTTCCTAGCCTTATGAGGAGGTTTGAGATTTGGACTATCCATCGTGCTTGGGGAAAAAGAAATGAGTTGCTACTATAAACTTGTCATTACAATGATGGACAGTTTTCTAGCGGAGAGTAGGCGGGGAAAGATTTATACAATGACACTCGGCCCAGGAGGATGTTATCAACTTGCGGTAGTCGTCACCCATGTGCCGTCCAGCGGCGTCCGGGTAGACCGTCCCCCGTAGGTACAGAGGAGCCCTGCAACACATGCAGGGCACCGCCTGATCTGCTACCTCCACATGGAGTCACTTGTGCTCGCCACGACCGAGAATGAAACACACTTGACGGCGAGGAGCTTGGCAAATCGATTGGGGGCTACAGGCTGTGCAGACAATATACGTTAAGACGTGGGTGGGTGTTCATCTTGCAGCGTCCTTTTGCTCCCTACTAGAACCCATGGCCCTTTTCCTGAAGAGGACTCTACTCCGATGCACTTGAGAGCGGAGAGGATGGACCTGGAGGTCGCAAAGTGACGAATCAAAGAACGACGGCAGCAGCGCAAGCAAAGACAAGTACAGGGGTGAGATGAAGAGTCGGGATGCTATAGGGCTGAGCCAAAAATGGAGAGATTGACTAATAGGCTCCAACAACTCTCCCACCCTGACCAAGCATGCAGGCTTGAATAGCGACTCTAACCACATCGAGAAATCATCGACAACTTTGTCCGGCGTTTGTTAGAGCATCTTAGGCCCTCTAAAGAAGGAAAAAGGCCTGGGAGAACTCCATTGCTCGCTTCATATGAGGATATACGTTGAAATAAAGCTGAGAAACATTGTTGCGGGGGGTTAAAGGGGTGATTAACATCGCGATCTGAAAATAGACGAGGAAATAGAACGGCGCTATATTTAGCGACAGGATATTTGTAAGTCACCATACCAAATTTGACTAAGCGAAGCGGTGAGCCCAGGCAGGAAATTTATTTCTACCCCGCCAAATTGTTCAGAGCATCGATGCATCCATCCATCCATCTCACGCAACAACACCGCATCCTCCCTGCACGACAGCCATCCATCTGCACCTCTCCGCACCTCTCAGTACGCAGCCGCTCTACTTGGCACCTCAATATGGCCGAGAACATCTACGACGAGATTGAAATCGAGGACATGACGTACGATCCAGCCTTGGAGATCTACCATTACCCTTGTCCGTGTGGTGACAGGTTCGAAATTGCCATCGCGGATTTAAGGGACAACGAGGATATCGCAGTATGCCCGAGCTGTAGTTTGATGATCAAGGTTATCTTTGAAGTGGTGAGTTCTCTGTATTCCTGCACACATGGGGCGACCCGGCGAGAGAGTACAACCGAACTGGCTTTCCGAGAAATATATGGGCTTGGGATACCGGAGTTAGCACAGAAACAAAAAAGACTCTGTATTCTTGAAAGGCATCACTGCGCTATGGAATATAACTCATGCTTGACTACATACAGCTAACCAGTTTACGATTTGTTAGGATGATCTTCCAAAGCCAGAAGAAGATACAACTACGGCCGAAGAGACAACGCAAGTTCCTGTTACGGCCTGATTCAGCACCGAGCACCGGCGGAAGCAATCGTCTACCGCCCTGGCACACCGACCCATTCCACCAGAAGACGAGTCGTATTTCCGGGAATATGAAGGGGCACATTTCCGCCTTGCAGATAATCTACAAGGACCCTTGAATGAAGTTGCAGCCCTGCAGACGTGAAGAAATCAAGCACCGGCAGGCTGGCGCCTAAAGACCGCCATCGATAAGCTCCCGAGACAAATAGAAAAGTAGTGTCGAGCAAGTGGCGCAATCTTCCGCGAATAGGAGGCGAGGCGCTTCTGGCGTAAAGGTCATAAATCCTGATTATGTAGAAGCTGCAGCAAACCGGAAATGTAGCCGCGACGGCTGAAAAACCAACACCAACTCGCGCGAAACGGCAACGGCAACGGCAAACTATACCTGTCTCGAGATGTTCTTGGGCAATGTTTTCCGAAGTACCTCGCGGAATACAGTCAATCTACACGGATTCGTTGTCAGTTTTCTCAGCAACAATTTGCATGAGCTTCTGTGAGATTCCGATGTACTACCACACATACTTTCTTCAAGTGTTTGTGTGATATGTCAGCTACATTGTTGCGTGCCAATTTTTAACACAAGATCGTCACTTCCAGAGTTACATTTCCTTGCTCGACTCTGCATATTCGTTCTCACATAAGCCGCGCTTCATCCTGCATGCCGCGCTTTTATCTGAACGCCTTGATAGCGCATAGCGCATAGCTCGTGTCTCTTGTCAAATTGTGATCACAAGGAATGGTGTGCACCATAGAGATCCTGAATTGCACGCCCCTCATCCAAACTTCTCGCGCAAGAACCGCCAAAGGCAGTCTGTGGTACCCGACAAAGCTGGGGTACGATGCACGCATCGTATTGAGATCCTATCACATCTCATATATTGGCGCGGGCCAACAAACCCCACCACTTCATATGCAAGCCAGAGGCAGGGTTGTGTAACCGGTTTACATCCAAACTATCGGGGCTCGCTTGTCGTACATAGTAACCAATCATTGAATCGCCAAATCTACATTAGGCAATTAAGAAGAGCCGACATTGAGTTTCGACTGGGCTGCAACCGAGTGCGGTTCCACCTGCATGCTTAGTTCTTTCACAACTTCCATATTCTCTCTCGATAGCTTCGGAGACTTTTTGGAAGAGAAAGGCGTTCATGCGCATGCAAACCAGACTTGGCAGCGCGGCAAGGGGGAAGACTTTACTGGATAGTGAACAGGACGGCGGATTTACACGGTCAAATTTGATTCCGGAATTTGCACTTCCCAAAGACTGAGCATTAGAGGAACAGAACAAAAGGACCCTACTTTCGACTGCAGACGCATCATTCCAAGGCATGCTTTAAGACTGGCAAACAGACCGCCATCTGGGGTAACACAAGCATTGTGGAAACAAGTCCTCATACCGAGGTCGAGCGATCTCTGATACCATCTTCATAGGCGGAACAAGGATGAAGATCCAGACCGAGAACATTTCTGGAAGCCGAAGCGAATTAAACGAGACTCATCAGCCTTACAGTCTCATGTCTGAAATATAGCCAAGTGGTCAGACCGGTAGATGTTAAGCCGAAATGAGCTGACTGCAGTCCAATCACTGCTGATGTTTCGGTACCCCTACCATCATCAGCTTATTCAGACAAGCAAGGAGAAGTGCAGTCTTGGCATCTCGTCTCGAAGGCTGAAAGGAAACGAGGCTGTCTTCGATCATGCGGGGAGACACGACAAATGAAAGTTTTCCATGGACACATTTGCGGTTGTTGTACCGAGTGCGAAGCATCTGCTTACCTAACTTTCCTATTCTTGAAAACGAGCTGAATTTGGGGATGCTTGGGCCATGAGGAATCCCAAAACAGTTCAAGTACAGGCAAGCTGTACGATGGAGCCAGTAGATTGCGTGCCAGCCATAAGACTTGGTCAGCAAGCGGGAGCCGAGATGTAAAGGTTGCATTAGGCACATCAAAAAGTTGGAACCAGGATACGTCAGATCTACAGAAGTTTGGGTCGAGATTCGACTTCTATTCAGCAGGCTTGGTAGTCTGGACATATTCTTACCAGACCGCTCCATGGAACTCAGAGGAAGTGGAAGTGGGATGATCAAGGACTTGGACAAGGTACGAGCAAATCTCGCACTTTCCGTCTGTATGGAAATAAACAACGCTCGCTAGATGCAACTTGGGATGTAAGCCCGAGGCCGAACCCTAAAGACCGGGCCCGAAAACCGTCAACCTGCATCCGCTCGTGCAGCGGGAGGCTGCCGGATGTGGGCCACAATGGTCTCGCCGATCGGGAACCTTGTTCACCTCCTGACCTTGCGCTAGGGAACGAGAAGCGAAGCCGAGATGCACGTGGAGTCAAACTGGAGGAGACGCGAATTGAGAGCAACCTAGCCATCCTAGGTAATGGTGGAAACGAGAAGCCTATTTGGATCTCAGGATTTGGAAAATACCAAGGCTTGTCCAAGGTCTTCATTCAAGTGGAATCTTACCCTTTGAACTCGTGCAAAAAGGAAGAAATATGGCGACAGATTCAGCAGCAACTGGCCCAGACCTGAGGTTTAAGCACAAGTGGAATGAGAGACAACAGCTGAAAGCCTTCGTCAGTTCAAGATATCCAGACACCGGACCACAAAAGAGTCTTCACATACTTTTGTTTTCAGCTCATAGGTAAGTTTTCAGGAAATGGACTATTCTCAAGAGTCAGATATACAGTCGTCTTCGGCCCAGTTCGTCTGTGACCTCAACTTCAGATGGGCCATGAAATTCGGGTCGTGTACTTTTCACCTCCGAACGTCATCTTCATTTCGTGATACACTCGCAAGTCGCATATCATCCTGGGCTTCGAGGTAAATATCTTGAACTTACAGTCATCTGGACCGTATTCAGACTCCATTCATCAAGCTTTTAAATACCACCTTTGATTGACCCGATCTCCATGGCCAATCAACTTTGGATTCTTGGGGAAAGCAGATGTACCAGAAAGCAAAACATGTGAGCTTCCTCTTTTTAGAGACATCATCCGACTTCAGATGACCAGCCAAGATTAATGTAGAGGTAAGTTAAAGTCCTCAAAACTGCATGATGAACGTACACACGGATTCTTACATCTTCATGACCTGGGAGCATACAGCAGCATGATTCACAGTCAGGTCACGTACAGCAGCAGCATATCATAATGCACATGCGGAAGAAATGTAAAGTAGGAATTTTCCCAGTTGGTCTCAACCACTGTCGTCTATGAGCTATTTCCCAAGCTCTTTCTGTCTCGTTCTTCTCCTCTCAGACTCGGATCTTTCGGTCCTCTCCTCAGCGGATGAGAACACGAGAGTCGTTGAAATCATGGACATCTTCCCCCAATGGCGGGGGGTTCTGAAGTAAAACATCCAGAATGAAGAGCGAAATCAGAGAAGTAGTGCATGGTCTTTCCATGAGGCAAGGAGATTAGGATGAAGTGTCCCCAAACTCCGGGGCATATCTGAGAGATCTAAGAGAGATATTGAATTCCTATTTCTTTCCTCACTGCACTCGAAATGAACTACCGATTTTGCATGATTTCTCGGTACAAATGCTTCTGCAATCCACAAGACAATTCGGCAGTGTTGCGAAATCTGGTTGCCTCTTCACATTCTTCCACCTCCATTATGCTGCTTCATATCCAGCATCCAGTTTTACGCTTTTCGCAGATTCGTGAGTCGGATATAAAGATACATCGGAATCAAAAATATATTATAAAAATGATGCATGTATTTTACTTGTTTCTCGGATTCGGGTTCTATTGCTCTTGATCAACAATTTCGAGCCCGTCATTCAAGAGGTATCTATCTACCTTTCAAGATCCATTCCCATGTATTGATCAAGATCATTGAAGGCGTTTAACATGCAGGCGAGGGAATGGATATCTGCCTGTGATATGTGCTTGATAGCACTAGACGTTCAACTTCATTAACAGAAGTCTGGCCTTGCGTGAGGTGCTATTGTCTTCCATTATTGTTCGTGGACTGATCTGGCCAGGAAAAGTCTAAGATTGGTGAGAATCGAGGTCTCTGGTGATGGGAGGTAGGACGGTGGCTTGTACAGTACGAGTCATAGCTACATGAGAGACATGCAGTGTATTGGGAAAGATTTGAGAGGTGGAGGTAGAGGCGGAGTGTCGCTGGGTAACATCGCCGGAACGACATCTGTCAATGTCTTCCTCAGTACAGTGGTATTATCTTTTTCTGTCCTTACACCCAGGAAGATGCCAGTTATCCCGCTAGGAGTAATAATCACTATGATTGTAGTACATCCGCCAACGGATTGGCTATCATTCGGCAAACGATGGGACAATGAAGAGGCAGACGATGGAACGATGAACGCTACCCAGGATGATGCGACTTGCAAGGATGGGAAGAAGTAGCTAGATTGGCTAACGATCTTGTGGTATTCAAGACAAGAAAAGATCATGACACTCAGAAACTCCATCCAAACCATCCACCCCTTACGACAAATCCGACCACTTCCAGATCCTACAATTCTCCCTCTTCTAGAAGTACCTCTCACTTCCTTCTCCTCCTTATCCACTCCCCACTTCCTACACACTATATCCCATCTCACCTTTACTCCTCAACAGTCCCATCATAATTCTCCTCGACCGTAACTCCAATCTCCTTCTCTATCAGCTCCGTCAATGAGCTCCCATCCCTCAAATACACCCACTCCCCACGACCAGTGCCTTCTTTCGCATCCTGGCCCTCGCTTAATAGTACGTAGTCGTAGCGTTTAGGACCTGTGAGGGGGGATGAGAGCCAGATCTGCTTGTTGGGCGGTTGCTTGTTGACGACATAGGTTCCGTTTGGTGGGAAAGCAAGGGTGAGAACACCAGCCTGGAAGGAACGTGTATTAGTATTGTTCTCTCTAAAATTACGGAATAGATGAACAGTAGTGAGACTGGCTTGTCCACTGTATAGCTATCCTGTACCTGGGCTGTCCCGTGGATAGGCCGAACGAAATGAGTAAGGAAGTACTTACACTGTACTCCACATCAACTTCTTCCCTCTCCTCTTGCAGCTGCTCCAACTTCTCGATAAGACCATTCAGATACGCGTCCGATAGCACATGGTACTCTTCGATCGATATATCAGCCGGTGCGGAAGACGAAGTCGGCTCGTAAGCTTCTGGTTCAGACTCCTTTGGTGGTGGATCGGCGGATTCTGGAGATAGGCCCTTGAATGTGCATGGCGTTGTGGAGAATGCTCTGCTGAATGAAGGAGCTGTAGTGGGGGTGGAGTAGCTGCTCTGGAGGAAAGAGGAGGTTGTGATGGCAGATGCGCGGAAGGGGTTGGCCGCTGCTGTTCGTAGAGCTGTGGGGGAGGGACGGACGAGCTTGGAGAGCTTGAGAATGGTGTTTGGGCGGACCATTGTGTATGTTATCGCGAGCAAGTGAGGCTGATGGCTTGGATATGGGGAGATTGAAGGTCGATTGATTGTTTGGGATGGCTGTACGATGAATGATGCAGCGGATGAAGTGGACGAAGCTTGGGGATAAAGTAACCTGGGAGTTGGAAGTTGGAGCTACCCCACAATTCGCTTGTTCCATCGAGATGAGATCCACATGTGGCTCCAGCTTCAACGTCTCAGCCTTCTCTTCTGTGCCAGCCTCATCCAATATCAACATCCGTCGTCAACGGCACTACTAACAAGCTCCGCCCCTTCTGCAACGAATATACACCTCAGACAAGGAATAATACGAAGCTTGAGAATCTCTACAACCATGATAAACGCCGTGCTAGTCTTCAATAACGCAGGACAACCCCGCCTCACGAAATTCTATACACAATTGGCAACTCCATCTCTTCCTCCAAGTAAATCCTCAAATATCTAACACAGCCAGGAAACATCCGTCCAACAACGTCTGATCTCCGAGATCTTTACCCTCGTCTCCCACCGCCCCTCAGGATCCTGCAACTTCCTTCCCCTACCGCCCCTCCTCGCCAGCTCCGGCACCTCCCACACCCCGTCCCATTCCAGCACACCTCACAACGACGTCCCTTCTCTCGTAACCTACCGGCATTACGCAACCTTATACTTCATAATCATCTCGACGTCGACGGAATCGCCTCTTGCGCTGATCGATCTGATACAGGTGTATGTTGAGGCGCTGGATAGACTGTTTGAGAATGTGTGCGAGCTGGATTTGATCTTTAACTTTGAGACGTTGCATGCTACATTGAGTGAGATGGTAGTGGGTGGTGTGGTGGTGGAGACGCAGCTCGAGAAGGTTGTGGAGGGTGTTAAATTGCAGGGGAGGGTTGCGAAGAGGCCGGTTAATGAAAGGGGTGGTGGGATGGGACTTGGGGGGAGTGGGTTTGGTTGGGCGGGGAGGTGAAGTTGAAGAGAGGAGAGGGGTTATTATATCTTGGACGGAGAGCTCTGTCGATCTTGGAATGGGGCAAAGATCAAGTTGAGGTACTGCTATGTGTAGCAGTGGAGTGGGGGAGGAATTGAGAGTGCCTGAAAAAGCACTGTTCCCAGAATGACAGCACTTCGTCGAAGTTTAGAGCGTTTAAAGCATCTGGGGAGGAAGAGCATGATGATGTTAATTTTGGAGGGTTCGGAAAATAAAAGGGGCTACTACTTGCAGATAGTACCCGTCACAGGACAAGGGGTTGGGTAGAGCTCAAGTGCCAGTAGAGTGGTCGGCTTGGAGGTCCGAATATTATACTCAGAAACAATAGTCTAGCGAGCCCTACTATGTCGGAGCGGCGATTCCATTTCTGGTTGCAAACCAGTGACCAGCCTTCCGCTGCCTGTGCATGTACAAGCCCTCTCTTGGACGTTTATGATCCCGTGTTCTGGGAAGGCTATATGCCTTCAATCTTTCGTCTGATTGTGGACAGCCTTGAAACTGTCAAGTATCTTCCTCCACAACAAATGCTCGAACCTTCAAAAGGTATGTTGATACCAACACCAAACGCCTATGCTTCTATGTTGATGCAGATGTCCATCGTAGTCATACACGAACTCCATGATTTTCTCACCTCGCAGTACTCGTAGGCGTAGATATCGTCTCTTCCGAATTCGGTTTCCTCCTCACCTGATCTTTCGTCCATATCGAGTCCGTTAACCCAAAGAACCAAGACCGGATCTACAAACATTAGCACATTCCCCTTGAACACCAATACAGCAGCGCAGTCGACTCACCCCTTCAAAAGGCTTGTGCTCAGGATTCCCCTGTGAATTCCAGTCCAAAAACAATACACCATAAACCGCGATAACTGTTATATAAAATCCATTAGCCCACCATATATCTTTCTTTCTTTCCACTCTTCCTTCTGTCCTTTCCCCATTCAACTTCCGCTTCGAACTCCAAAATCCAAAGTACTCGGAACTGCTTCACATACAAACAATACTCCCCATCTGCGCAACCTTCACGAACTTTGTCCACCTCGGCCTCGCCCACTTTAGTTTCGCCCGCCTCTTGTATTTCCTTTCGAGTCTGAATTGGTGTTTGCGGTCTATCTTTGAGAAGTCCAGGGGCCAGAGACGGGTCGCTTTATAAGGGTTGGTGTAGATATTGAATGGCGGGGTAATTGGGGATTGGGCTGCGCGGAGAATGGAAGTTGGACGAAACATGGTGGTTGTTGTGTGATCTTGGGAGGTGATGGACTCCAAGTTCATGCTTGAGGTCTTAAGTGTAGCTCTGGCTTGCAGCTGGAGCTGTTGAGGCCTTGAATCTAGGGCATAGGTGGCTCATGCAGGTCCGCCCGGCTCTGACCCCACCAAGTCTAAATTTGATGTTTTGGCTGTGAGACGAGCCGAGAGAGGAAGAGTCAACAGGACGGCGAAGGGTGACTCAACAGCAACACAAAACTCGAGACTCCACGCCTGTGAGATCTTCAATACATCTGACATTATGGCGGCCACGGTCGAGAGTACGGCGAAAGCCTTGGAGACTGCGACAATCTCCAAGACCAAAGAATTGAAAGGTGTAAGTACCCCGCCATTTACTCAAGAAGTCATTATTTTTGTCACGAGAGCTTTACTGATGCAGGGAAACTCCACAGACCGAGAAACGAGATACCCTCATTGCCATCGAGAAGAAATACCAGAAGAAGTGGGAGGAAGATGGCGTCTTTCAACCCAATGCTCCCTCCACCGACGAAATACCCCTCCATTCGATTTCCGCCGCCGAAGTACGAGCCCAGCACCCCAAATTCTTCGGCACAATGGCATATCCATATATGAATGGAACTCTCCACGCAGGCCACAGTTTCACAGTCAGTAAAATTGAGTTCACAGCCGGATTTGCGCGCATGCAAGGAAAGCGGGCCTTGTTTCCTCTCGGATTCCATTGCACAGGTATGCCAATCAAGGCGTGTGCCGACAAACTCATCAACGAGGTCAAGCTATTCGGAAAGAACTTTGAGGGATACACAGAGGAGGATGCGGCGGAGGATAAGGCGACTGCGACGGCCACGCCTGCTCCAACTACACACCACGAGGATGTCACCAAGTTCACTGCGAAGAAGGGAAAGGCTGCATCGAAGGTTGTCAAGATGAAGTACCAATTCCAGATTATGCGCGCCTTGGGAATCCCGATGGAGGAAATCCACTTGTTTGCTGACACCAACCACTGGTTGGACTTTTTCCCTCCGTTGTGCAGACGGGATCTTACGAATTTCGGATGCAGAATTGACTGGAGACGCTCATTTGTTACGACTGACGCAAACCCATATTACGATTCCTTCGTCCGGTGGCAGATGAACCGTCTTAGAGAGTTGGAGAAAATCAAATTCGGAAAGAGATACACAATTTACTCCCCCAAGGATGGACAGCCATGTATGGATCACGACCGTAGCGAGGGAGAGGGCGTTGGACCACAAGAATACACGGCATTGATGTTGAAGGTCAAGGAGTGGGCACCTGATGCCGAGAAAGCTCTCAAAGGCAAGATTCCCGACGATTCTAGTGTCTTTTTCGTTCCTGCGACCCTTAGACCCGAAACGATGTACGGCCAGACATGTTGTTTTGTTGGACCAAAGATTACATATGGCGTTTTCAAACTTTCTGAGAAGGAGTACTATATCATCACTGATAGAGCTGCGCGAAATATGGCATATCAAGGAGTGTTCCCTCAGAATGGAGTCTTCGAAAAAGTTGCAGAGGTGGTTGGTTCGGCTTTTGTTGGCACACTCGTCAATGCTCCACTCTCTGTTTACAAGGAGGTCAGAATTCTTCCTATGGACAATGTTCTTCCTACCAAGGGTACAGGAGTGGTTACTTGCGTTCCATCCGACAGCCCTGATGATTTCGCGACCGTCACCGAGCTTGCTAAGAAGGCAGACTACTATGGAATCAAGAAGGAATGGGTCGATTTGGAGATCCTCCCTATCATTGAGACGCCGTCATACGGTAACTTGACTGCTCCATTCTTGGTGAAGAAGCTCAAGATTTCGTCACCAAAGGATACCAAGCAACTTGAGGAGGCCAAGGAACTTGCATACAAGGAAGGCTTTTACCAAGGTATCATGTGCTATGGAGAGTTCAAGGGTGATAAGGTCGAGGTAGCCAAGCCAAAAGTCAGACAACAGCTTTTGGATGCTGGTGATGGATTTGCCTACTCAGAACCAGAGAAGAAGGTTGTCAGCAGATCTGGAGATGATTGCTGCGTTGCCCTTATGGACCAGTGGTACCTTGACTACGGAGAGGCGTCGTGGAGAGCTACTGCCTTGGATTATGTGGACAACAAAGATGGAAAGGGTCTCAACACATACACACAAGAAACCAAGAACGGTTTTGAGGGTGTTCTGAACTGGCTCAACCAATGGGCTTGTGCTAGGACTTACGGTCTTGGTTCAAAGTTGCCCTGGGATCCTCAATTCTTGGTGGAGAGTTTGAGTGACAGTACCATTTATATGGCATACTACACCATCGCTCATTATCTCCATGCCGATATTTTCGGGAAGACTCCTGGATTGGGCGGTGTCAAGCCAGAACAGATGACCGACGAAGTGTGGGATTACGTTTTCGCTCGAAGAGATCTCGGAGATGAAATCCTCAACAGCAAAATCTCGAAGGATGTTCTTGCATCAATGCGCAGAGAATTTGAGTACTGGTACCCCTTGGATCTCCGAGTATCAGGAAAGGATCTCATTCCTAACCATCTTACCTTCTTCCTCTATATCCACATTGCTGTCTTCCCACCTGAATACTGGCCATCAAGCATCCGTGCCAACGGCCACTTGCTCCTCAATGGAGAAAAGATGAGCAAGTCCACAGGAAACTTTATGACACTCGAGGACTTGACCAAAAAGTACGGTGCTGATGCAAGTCGAATTGCCTTGGCCGATGCAGGCGATGGAGTTGCTGATGCAAACTTCGAGGAAGATGTCGCTGACACCACAGTTCTTCGCCTTTTCAACTTGCGCGAATGGTGTGAAGAGCAGGTCAAGGATCAAGACAAGCTCCGAACAGGACCTAAGAATGATTTCTTGGATGCTCTCTTCGATAACGAGATGAACGCCCTTGTTCACGATGCAAAGAAGCACTACGAGGATACCGACTATAAGCTTGCGCTCAAGTCCGCATTCTACGACTTCACCACTGCCCGTGATTTCTATCGTGAAGCCAGTGTTGCAGCAGGAATCAAGATGCACAAAGACCTTGTCTTCAAATTCATCGAGTTACAAGCTCTTCTTCTTGCAGTTATCGCACCCCATTGGTCAGAATACATCTGGCTTGAACTTCTCCACAAACCCACAACCATCCAAAACGCTCTCTACCCAGAGGTCCCCGCTCCCATCGCCTCCCTCACCGCAGCACGCGAATACGTCCGCGCCACATCCTCAAATATCACATCCGCAGAAGCTGCACAGCAAAAGAAGAAGGCAAAGGGCAAGGATATCGGCTATGATCTCAAGAAGCCTAAGAAACTTACCATCTTTGCCGCAGCCAAGTTCCCAGCCTGGCAAGAAAAGTATATTGATCTCGTGCGCGAGGCCTGGAACGCTGAGACCAAGTCCACGAATGACAAGGAGCTCAATGGCAAGATTGCCAAGATGGGTGAAATGAAGAAGGCGATGCCGTTCGTTCAAGCACTCAAGAAGAGACTCATCGCAGGCGAGAAGCCAGATGTCGTTTTCTCCCGTAAGTTGGCCTTCGACGAGGTGGCTATCCTCTTGAACATGGTACCTGGCCTCAAGAAGGCGGCTGGTTTGTCAGTCGTGGATGTTATCCGGGTTCATGAGGGTGGCAAGACTGGTGTTCTTGCTGGGGAGGAGACGAAGCTCGATACACTTCCTCAGAGTGCTGAGAGTGCTGTTCCGGGGGTTCCGACGTTCAATTTTGTGAATGTGGAGCTTTGAGTGAGAGAGTAGTCAGTCCTATGTGCGATTGACTGGCTTGTAAAAATGGCTGGCAATTTCGCAGTTATGAATTGAAAGTCATGAATGATAGAGGATATGTTTTTGACGTGAAATCTAAAAGCGTGCATGAGGGTTTTGTTGATGTTTATTGAGTTCTGTGCGCTCATTCGTCCAGCCCTGCCATTCATTGCACACGGCGACCACGAACCGGGCCGTCCTCAGGGCCGCATGAGGCACAATTCACACCTCTGCTGTCTTGATGGTGCGCATTCGTCCAACCTCCACATTGAAGACCCAATCATTTATTCTCGCAGTAATCGCGAGCCTCAACCTCTTTGCACCATGCACCTGCCCTCTACCCACGCATACAGCGCAGTGCATCTCTGGTAAGGTACCACCTACCCTTCACGATCACGATCGATCTCACACCCTTCCCACCCCAATGCCCCATACCATCCATTCATCATCCCCTCATCCAAGCACATCATACATACCTAGTACCTACACAGTAAAATCCAGTCCATAGGTGGGAATCTCTCATATTTTTCCTGCTTTGCTTACATCTTTTTGCCCCATCCTGTCCCGTCATTCGTCTCGCCTTATTTTTTTTTAAAAAAAAGATACGTCCCGGTTGCGTTGCGATGTTTATCAGTTTGCAAAAACAAGGCACAGCCCCTGTCCGCTTCTCTTCCCTCGCCTCGCTTAACATCCACACCTCGAACTTCCCGGTTCCTTATGCGCCGTGACGCAGTGACCCCTCACCAGCCACCTCATTCTGTTTTTTGCTCCTTTGTCGTTTTGTTCAACTCATCCAGTGGTATGGTGGGATATATATTGGGGCTGGTGAGGAGCGGGAGGGGGACCAATCGGTGGGTGTGAGGTGATGTGGCTGGTGACAGGGATGTGGTGAAGAACTTGGTGGTGACCAAGTTTAACGTCTTGCCTTGGCTTTGCTCTTGCGGGTTGACGAACTTGAGCGATGAGTATTGGGGCAGCTTGGAGCTTGGAGTTTGGAGAGGAGTTCCCGCCGCTGTTTCCGTCAATTTGTCTTGCTATCAGAGGAGTTTGCTCTGCTTTGCCACCTAGTATCAATGGCTACAGCCGTGCTTGCCGACTTGATATCTAGGCTCCTAAGCTGGGCTGATGGCCTCTGGAGCAACATCGAGCTTGTCTCTTCATCCGTTACTGCTGTCAAGCCAGAAACCAGTTAAAGAGACCCCGACTAAAAGGTAGCGGCGGGGTGGCTGAACAGAGCAGGGTTCGTGGAAGCCGGCCAGCATTCAAGCTTTCGCGGTGAGTGAGTGCTCCTCGCTACAGCAGAGCTTGGAAGCTGGCCTGCCCAGTGCCCACCTGTTCTTCAACCCTCGTCAACGGTCAACCACCTCTGCCCTGCTGCCCTGCATATTGCCCTGGTGGGGTAGGTAGGTAGCTATGATGGCATTTGCACGTTTGCCCGCTCTGCATATCCTGTCTTTCTGCCCAGGTTTCTTGGACTGGACTGGATGTCGGGCTCCTAACCAGGGAATGGGGACTGTTTCTCTTTCTGTTTGGTTGGTTTTGGTGTTGGCGTACCTCACGATATTTCTGAGGTGGTGATGGTGGTGATGCCATGTTTTTTTGAACTCCCCTGTCGAGACGAGAGCTGTTTCTTGGTTGGTTGAGGGGTGCTGCGAGAGGATAAGTAGGTGTGTCCCAGCCCTCTTGTTTTGTCTTCTTTTTGTTTTTGTTCTGTATCCAAAGCATTCATACATAAGTATCACCGTCGATATCATCCATCCCTCTTCTTACACTCTCGCTTCTATCGACGTCTCTCATCATCATCATCATCCTCCTCCTCCTCAATCCTCATACTCTCCACCTCAAGAGCCTCCCTCCATACACCGCAAACATGTCACGCTTCACAACCACCAGCATCCTCCTCCTCCTCCTCGCCGCCTCGGGCCTCAACGCCCAAGACAGCACCACCATCTCCCTCACCGACCTCTCAACCACCCTCGTCCTCCCCGCCTGGCCCTACCCCACCACAACAGTCGAAAGCACCACCACCCTCTACAGCGGCATGACCACCACAACCACCACCATCATCCCCTCCTCCTCAGCCTCAGCAAGCGAGAACGCCACCTCAGCCGCCTCCACCACCACAGCAACCGTACAAAGCACATCGACCATCACCGCCCTCCCCACAGGTCCATCCGACGCAACAAGTACAAGCACCAGCCCCGCGCAATCCTCATACATCTCCTCTCTGCAGAACCAGCAATCCAGTATCAACTCTGCTATCTCGGCGAGTTTGAGCGCTACTGCGTCCTCGCTGTCGTCTGTTGTGTCGTCGGTGATTTCGAGTGCTACTTCTGAACTTGCAAGTGCGACGTCTGAGATTGGGGCCGGCGTGACGTCGGATATTGGAAGTGCTGCTACTTCTACCGCTACTGCTACTGCTACAGCTACTGCTACGACGCTGGTTGTTGTGGGAGGTGGAGCGACGCCTTCGACTGGGTTTGGTGGGAATGCGACGAGTACGGCTGAGGGGCCGGCGTTCACTGGGGCGGCGAGTGCGTTGGGGAGGGGGAAGGAGGGGTTGGAGATGAGTGTTTTGGGGTTGTTTGTTTTTGTTGTGGGGGGGTTGGTTATGTAGATGAGTTGAGTGAGTGAGTGAGTGGGAGAAGAGGATGATGATGATTTTGAGGAGAGGTATGCATGAGTGATGAGTTTATGGTTTCATGGTATGAATGAGCTTGGAGTTTTTTTTCCCTTTGGCGGGTTTGGGAGTTTGGTTGCATGTTTGTGTCGAAGCATGGAGTGGATGGGTGGTTCGTTTCTATTAATTACTTAATCTTATAATTGAAAATGATGATATAATATACTCAATGCTCTGATACTTTTTGGTACGTGGAATTGTGACTATTATGTCTTGTCTCTATCATGCTTATGCACTATGCCTCATGGCAACGAAGACAAGAGTCAATAGTCAATGACTTTCTTTTTTATATTTGGGGATTGATGGTGGGTTCCTAAGACGATAATTCTGAGTGGTTGAGAGAGTCCACAAACACAAGAACAGAAAATATGCTTGATATGATCGCATAAAGTGCATTATTATATTGTCTAAGGAATATCTAGCTAAAGCTTACGAATGTATTCAAGACACACTTCAACCATCGTTGGAGTTTTCGGCTGGTTAACGCCGCGAGGGCATCTAAATCTTGAAGAATGTTAGCGATCAGTTCAAAGTGATGCATGCAAATATGATAGAAATTGAACAGTAATCAGACAGCAGTTGGTACTTTTTGAGTCCTCATGGAAATCAGAACAGGTCTGTGAATAAGTGGTATCATCATGTTACTGGGAGAAACGAAGGAAACTAAGTATGCGAACGTACCATTGCATGTGCCCTGATGGATAGTTGGTGAGATGAAGGTCAGGGCGGCCTTCACTCTGTTCTTTTCTTCTTGAAGAACGAGTCAACAGTCTTCTGATTCGAATCATGTTCTAGGCTTCCGATTCCGCCTCTAGTCTTCTTCAAACCAACCAGGTGTTCCTTGCTGTTCACTGCTTTTACCAACAGTGACATGCGGAGGATATGGGATGCAGGATTGGGGCTTTCAGGTATAGCAGGCGGCGGGGTAGATGGATTCTGTGGGAGCTCGGACGTATCCTCCGAGGACTTGGGTTCTGTACCTGGCCCTGTCTTTTCGACAGTCGCAGATACGCCCTTTGCCTCTGGCTTGACTTCCAGGTCCAAGTATCCAGTATTCGACCATCCACCAAGGTGTTCCAGGCCGAAACCATTGCCAGCAGGTTGGATACCCTGAGCAACGGACACCTTGAAAGGATGGAAGCGCCTCAAAATAGCCCGCCACAAATGTGACAAGATGATGCCATGAGCCACAATGGCGACAGTCTTATCATCAGAGACTGTGTGCAGTAACGAGATCAAGTGTATATCGATGAAGGTGTCCGACCGAGCCTTCATCGAGTCCTTACTCTCCACATCCTTGAAGCCAGGATCATGACGATGCGCTTCCTGGTGTGCTGCCTTGCCCGAGCTGTTTCCCTCTTTCGGTCGCTCAATGAACGATTTCCCTTCGTAGAAACCGAAGTCTTGCTCTCTGAGGACTTCCAACTTGGTTGTTTCGGTTGGGGCTGGGGATTGAGCGACGCGAATGGCTTCTGCGGTCTTGAAAGCGCGTTGCAGATCCGACGAAAAGATATGGGAGATCTTCACATCGGTGTTAGCAAGATACGTAGCCAGTCGATTGGCCTGCAGAACGCCGTGGTTCGTGAGCGCAGAATCGGTGACGCCAGCACTACAATTGTTAGCTAGGTCCATCTTCAGGAATTGCGAAGCTTACTAGACTGATGCCACATTGTGAACAGTCTCACCGTGTCGGATTAGAAGAAGCCTCATCCTGCCACCGGGGAAGGATGGGTTGTCGTCGTGTTCAACTGCGAATCATGCTTGATGTGGAAGAATCAGTCGAACGATGGAGAAGAAGATCGCGAAGGAAAGAAAAGTACTTGAGATTTTTAGCGGGGCGCTAAGTATTTAGCGCCATCGCCTTCATGACTTCCAACCTCAGGCTGACGTTGAGACCACATCAAGAGACCACATCAACATCGCATTAACATCGTATCAACATTACATCGACATCACCAATTCTTCGATCGTCTCGAGTAACATCGAGATTTTCCATTGAAAATTGGGAATCACTTAGAAATATCTCTTTATTACTCAAGGACCATTCCTATTATACAATTTCTCAACACACCCCCGACTTTCCTCCCACCAGCTATGACAGCGCGAGTTAAAGTGCTGTCCACGGCATTTGGCAATAAGACGCACTGGTGGTAGCTTGGGAGGGCCACTCACGAAGTCATTGCGCCCGAGATCAAAATGTATACCACTCTTCAAACTATACAAATTGCAGTTGCGCTTCCATGGGCCGACATCGCTTTCATTGCTGGGCTCATGATGCTCTACTCCCGCATCTTGTACTGGATGGAACGCGACGACACGTACCTTTACGTCGAAGAAATTCTCGCTCACTTCTATCTGGTAATCTTGGTGGTATTCTGCGGTATTACCTGGCTTTGGCGTGATATCTTGGCAGATATGCAGCTGGCTTTTGCCCCTTGGATCAAGTATGGTAGTCTTGTGATGCCGGCGATGGCGCATGAGGTTGTGACGAAGTGGGCTATCCTGGATCGTATGGCTCGCTCTGAGCAAATGAATGATCCTATCAAGGTGCAGTATGCCGTTTCAATTATCTTCGTTGCGTTTTGCTGGACGTACCTCACAAATATGGAGTGAAGCGCCTTGTTGATCATTCAACATTGGTCCTAGACCCGCGGAATTCCTCTAGGAGCCTAAACAGAGCCTTTGCAGAGGTCTCCATGGGTAATGTTTGCCAAACATGTTGGACCGAATCTCTCCTGCTGTGGGATTTCTCCACGGCTCTGGTTGTTACTGGAAGAAGTCACGCTCTGACATCTCGCGACACTGAAGAAAAGTTGTTGACAATACCCAAACAGTCTCTCGTTCAAGTCCTTTGGGTATGTAAAAACTTACTGGGTCACCACTGGGCCTGGTACACTCGTGCTCGTTGCTGGTGAAAAGCGTTTTAGGCGAATCTGGAGCAAGTCAGTCTGAATCTTCCAACCAGGCATTCAATCCCCGTTGTGCGCATGGCTGTCTCAGCGTTTCCGTTTTCTTGTTGCATGTGGTTTCTCAAGGGTAGAGACCAAGTAGGGGTTAATTTACTTCTCTCGGGAGGGAATGGCTCAGATCGATGTCCTGGACTTCGACTTCCAACTCTGACCGTCACAGAGTTCTGGCCAACAGTTGGGCGCAAGGAATCCAGAATCATCGTCCGATCCTACTTCGTTTGGCGTGTCGTTATGGAACATATTGCTTCTGCGTCGCTCATCCTCTTGTTTGATTCTATGAAATCCTTGTGTTTGTCTGCTCGTATGTGTTGTGTTGTGTTGTAGTTCGATTCATCTTCATACAGCTGAATTCTGAGTCGTGGCTTGCTGCAGCATGCTTATCGTGCTCGCTAGGAACGCCAAGTTGTAGTCTCTTGTCTTCCTTAGCATGCAATCGTGCTCCTACCATGGCTTTCATCCATTGATGTAAGCTACGAGGGCACAGGCCTTGATTCTGGGTACATGTACTGTCTTTGAACTTCAACGCAGCCGCAACACTTCTTTTCTTCAAAGAGGCACACTTCAATATCATTGCAACTGAATCCTTTTGGCATGATGGCTCTGTTTTATCTGTTCGCGCCAAAATTACATTTCCATAGGCATGTGGTTTGATGCTATTTTCGCTGATGAATCTGCTGTCACTCGTTGTCATATTGCCTTGCCTGCCCTTGCGCTTGGCAAAGCATCCTGTGTTTCCAGACATTCAGCTTATCTCTGTGTTTTGTATGTGAAGTCGTTTCGATATCCACCTACATTGTGATCTGGCATTGGATTCAAAGTTCCCTAGAGGTTGTGGGCGGCGCTTGGACTAGCCTACTTCACCAACATCGCCAGCCTCACCCACTTTCAACGACAACACCACGCAACCCAGTTTCCGCAACACAACAACCACGCCCTACTGCGATTAGCACTCTATTGCATACTTGTCAAGAAGGTACCTAGTATCACTTTCCCAACTTTCTGTGTTTAATTTCCTAAGTAAGTTGCTTTGCCCACTCACTTTCTTGTCATGAGAATTGTCTCGGGCTCAGAGTGACAAGAAGTTCGCCTCGCTTGAGCAACCCATTCAGAGCCACTCAAATCCATACATCAGTTCCAATTCAGCTTCAGACCCGATTCATTTCCGCCCTCTCACTTTCCTTCGAGTTCCTACATCCACTCCCTCACTTCGAAGTGCAAGGACTCATCAAACAATGCCACTGCACTTCACCCTACATGAACTATAGATGAAGGGTTGCAGTCATCATCGTGTACAGTGCTTGCATACATTTACCATCCATTCCCATATCCTAACTGGTCATCACTCGCAACATTCATAGCGCTAACCACGCTTCAAGGTCTTTATTGTTTACTAATTTTAATATCGGCACACAGGTTCATCCATTGCCATCATGGACGGAAATATCGAAACACCGCAGACACCTCCGACTACTGATACAACTATTGACAGCGATGATGAGGACGACAATCAAGAGCCCATGACTTTCAATTTCAATGGCCCACAATCAACAGAAGAAGTCCGTGACCAAGCAGTGCAAGAGTCGGCATCCTTCAATAGAAGATCCCAGTCAGCAGATTCCTCGCAGGATGAAGCTCCTACACAACCAATTTCTTTTAACTTTGGACCCCAACCAGTCGAACGCCCAGCAGCGGATATCATTAATGCCTTCACAGCAGGTTCCAGACGGCCCCAAATGCCTGCTGGAGTTCGCGAACTTGCCGCTGCCATTAACAATAGAAGACGTGCAGCTACTAACAGAGAATATCGTGGAGTCGCCACTGCATATATCGATGAGGATGAACGTGGTACTTATGATCCGATAAAATCACGTAGGACTCCACCATCTCCATTGAGATCAGCAAAGCGGGTCAGGGTTTCCAATGCGGTTAATAAAGATGGAACTCTCAAGCCCAAGAGACCTACCAAGCAGATTGGCTTCCGATATGAAATGCTGGTCAAGTTTAAGTTTCAAAGCAACAAAGCTTTGGACTATCTTCGCACTCTTCCACCTGGTCCATACGAATCTCAGTCCAGCAATGCAGATGAAGAAGATGACTGTTACGATTCTGGATATGGGGGCTCATTCAAACGAAAGAGAGAAGTCAAACGGCCAAGAAGACTTGGTGCCACAGCTACCAGGTTAGTGACTGTATTGATCCGCTCGGTACTTTCTAACTTCGTAGATCCGATGGTCTTACGATTGATGGCCTTATTGAGGGTCACCCTCAACGCCGTGGCTGCAGATGCTGTTTTAGTCAAGGCAACGATGAGTGTACTCTGATTGAGCATCCAGATGAGTATCCATGCGAAGCTTGCGACGACGCTGAAACCGACTGTGTTCTTATCATCTCTCCCGAGTTCAAAAAGTCCTGTCTCCGGTGCAAGGGAAAACGACGAAACTGCTCATACTCCCTTGATGGTGGAAAAGGTGCTGATGCTTGCGATGCTTGCGAAGAAGAAGGCGTTACTTGCTGTGCTGAACCTCTGAGAGAACCCAGCATTACCAGAAGATTCGCCAAACTTCCAGCTCGCGTCAAGGGCAAGCCAACTCCAGCAGCAAAAGTCCCAGTGCGAGAGCGCATGTATGTTGCTTGTAACCAATGTCGGGGTACAGGAAAACAATGCACAAATCGAGGCAAAGCCAATCCGGGACCCTGCTCTAATTGTCGCAAAGCAGGCCACTCTTGCAAGTTCGTTTATCCACCAACACGAATCCCCCAACTTCCAACATCCTCATCCAAGCCCAAGGCCAAGACTCTGTCCTCGTCAAAAGCCTACGTCAAGTCGGACTCGTCAACATCACCTCGCGACCGTATAGGCACACCCCACTCTCCCAACACACTAACAGCGACGATTTACTCGGAGCTTGAAAAGAAGAACACACGCAAGGCGGAGAAGCTCATCGCCAAAGGTCAGCTTCAGTCACCTTCCCATCCACTCTACCAATCTCTCCACGGGCCTAAGAACTCGAAACTCTCCTCCCGATCCTCCAAGAACTTCCTCAAGACCTCCCCCAAGCTAACCGGCCGCACCCTAGGCATCGCACACATCAACATCATCACCTCTTTCTGCCACCCCATAACATTCAACTACGTTCCCGATCCCCTCCTGAAGAATCCCTGCTCCTGGTGCGACAACCCATTCTTCGGACTCTGGGGGCTCGCAAGCACATCCGGCCCACGCAGAGTTGAAGGATTCTATCTACCCAATGGTGGCGGATTTGAAGAATTCTTCAATGGCTTCTCAGAGCTGGGATATAGCAGGAGTGTGATGTGTATTGCGTGCACGTACGCAAGAGTAAGAATCACGCAATGCCCAACTCATCGCCTTCTTGCTCTTGATGTCAAGACCGGTGAATTCGACCTCGACATACTGAATGAGAAGAAGTGGGGACTGGCTCTCCAGGCGTATGAAGATGGTGATATGAAAGGCGCGGAACTCGTTCGGAATGCGAAGTGGTGTAGTGTCTGTCCCGCCACGGCGACGTTCAAGTGCTGTTCCCCGCAGTTCTTCGATGAGAATGGAGAGCCGGTTACGCCTCAGCAGCATGCACAAGGCCATGGACTTGAAGGATGTGGCTTGCTTGTCTGCGAAGACTGTGCTGATTTGATGGGGAAACTCGTTCGTGGAGGCGCGAGGACGGGAGCTAGACAGCTTGATACGATGGTCGCGGAAATTAGAAGGAATAGATGGCGGTATACGGAGGGTGTCAGGGCTGATGCGGAGTTCCTTACTTCGGGCGGGGAGTTGTTGAGGAGGCTTGGGGAGGGGATGGGCGCTAGTGAGGGGAAGGTGGATGATGAGGGGGACTTTAAATTCTCAAAAATGAAGGGAGAAGGTGGGTGGATTGCTAGTGGTGGTAATGGTGGAGGTATGAAGGAAAGGAAGAGAGATGGCTGGATGAATGGAAATGGCAAAGGCAAGCAGGCTGCTCGCATATCAATGGGTGGGATGATCAAAGGAAAGACAACGATGGGTACGGACGAAGGGCTTGATGGAAGCAAGTCGATGAATGGAAGTACAGGACCTCGCAGTGTCTCAACGAGACCATCTTCCTCGACGACCTCATCAACTGGCAGTATTTTCAACATTACCAACGTCAAAAGCGAGCGTAAATTCTGCACCACAGCAAAGTCAAGCCAGAGCACCACCGCATCCAATCGAAACCAGTCATCACAATACGGCAACAACGGCTCCATGCCTCCACCCAGCTCTCGGAGCTCCCACAGCTCCTCATTCACCAACCCTTGGTCATCTACCTCACATTTCGCTTCAAGCTCTTCGAGGGACATGAATGGTGCTGGCTATACCTATGGATACGGAACTAGGAATGAGAATAGAGGCATCAAGCGCGAAAAGGACACGAGGGGCGAGATCATGTTTGGTGGGTTGCTGAAGGAGAGGAAGGAGGATGTTGAGAGGGCTTTTAGAGGTCAGATGGGGTTTATTGATTTGACTGAGGACGACTGAGCTATTAACCTAGGCATGGCCGAAGGCAATGAAAGAAAGGAAGGGAAGGGAATATGTCGGAGTATCTGGACTCAACGAATCGATGCCAAGCATCTCTTCCTCTTAACAGATCGTTCAAAAATTGAGGTACATAGGGTGAGAATGAGGAGCCAAGCGATAGCAGTGGGTGACCTGGCAGCATTTATTTTAGCTAGGAACGAGACGCAGGGAATTAGTCTTTTGCAGCAGGTTCCAAGATGTGTAAGTAGCTACGACAGACAATTCACATCTTTTTATATATACCTTCATCAAAGCGAATTTCAGCCATGAAATACGAAGCATTATATGAGCTCCTTCTTGTGACACAGGAGAACCTCACCCACCATAGCTCAAACATGCAGATAAAGAGTTGAATAACCTTTAACAGCCGGTTTCCCTCCGCTACCTTCGAGGACTCAGATAGAGTCAGTGAACGCAAGTGTCAGGGGGTAAGGTTAAGGGTCGAGTGAAATTGTCAAAGCTTTCCTCACCAAATAATTGTACAAGTGACAGGTATAGGAAAAAATGCTATAAGTGATATTATAATTTTCAAGAACCAGATGTATAAGAGAACTCAATTAGTTTATTCAAACTTAAGTATGTTTAATTATCCCCATGTGTCAAACAAGCTGCAAAAATCACTTATTTTTGCTTCCACGGACTGTAAGCGAGTGCCCGCAGCTTCACAGAGGGCAACGACTATTATTCCGAAGACTAGCGCATAACAGGTGGTCTCAGAAAAATTCATAGATCTATTTGCATATGCGGTATGATGTTGGCCTCAACAGATTAACAAGGCGGAAGAAAACCAGCAAAAAGAAACCCTCAGATACCAGGTACCGTTGATCATTCTTTAAGAGAGAGATCCTTAGCCCATCAGCGCCATTCAATGAGTATCAAGCTATCATAAGTGCCCTCGGAACCTGGGTTCCCTGCGTTCGGGTTGCGTAGACGCAGCAGGCGTTCCGCTTCCTCTAGCAGTGCTTGAGCTTCTTCTTCGTGTCGAAGTTCTTGTTCCAACGCTTCGGAAAGTTTGAAGAGGACTCTTGCATGCTCAGCCATCATAAGATGGGTGCGCATCTGGGTGATAGCAAGTGCATCACGCAGGTATCGTCTATTTTAATCAGTTACGAAAGCACTGCCTACATGCGACTTTGTTGGTACTCACACTGCCGATTCCACCTTTCCACAATCCAGTGCAACGCAGCCTAAGCGGTACAAACAACCTGCATTAAAGGGATGTGTTCGCATCTGGTCTCCTTTCAACCATAAGTTCTAGGCTTCCAGGAAATGGGCCTCTGAAGATTCAAAATCAACATTGTGACGATCAACCAGACCAAGGCCGAAATGTGCACTGAAATGTTAGCATCCTCAGGTGGTACGAGGAATGGAGTGCTTACCCCGCCGCTCTGGCCCAATTGGAAGGGTTTGTAGATTCGATCTGATTAAGTGCGTTGCTGAACAGCTCTCGTGCCGTTTGCTGCTGGCCAGACCAGACCAAACACGTTCCCATTTCTATCATGATCGTTGGACTTAATTCACCCCTATTCTCTTCCTGTTGATTCGACCATTCAAGGTAGTGACTACGCGAACGCTCGTACCATTCGAGGGCTTCGGTAAAGTTGTTGAGAGTAGCTATCCCTATTACAGCATTATTCGCGGCCCAAGCTGATTCTCGAGAGCTGAATAGTACGTCGTGGCTGCGAATTTCGTACGACTTCTGCAGCCACTATACTCCTTCTTCTAGTTTACCCAAACAAAGGAGCAATTGGCCACGGTGAGAAGTAAGGGAACCTTACACACTAATTGCTTGATCTTCCGGAGGCAGGGTATTCAAAGCTATGGTGTTAACCTCGATTAACTCTGTAAGATCATCCAAGGAATTTATTTCTAATAGATATCTGCATAAGTCAGTGATGAAACCTTGAATGTAGTTTGTTGTTGTGGCTTACCGCTGGCAAGAGTTGTTGAGACTATAATATAGTGGTAGTGCTGTGAGTTTAGGGTTCAATTTCTTCTCTCCATAGAAATAATCTTTGAGACTGATGATATGTAGAAGATACTTGGCACACAAGTCCTACACCTGATACAAATTTGCTCTGTTTGCGTTTCTCTGGGGATAATTGTGGTACGTCAAGCTTGTAGCACTGTTGAAAGCCTCTTGTCGCTGCTCAGACGTCATAGAATGTTTAAATTTTGCCTGTATAAGTCGGTGTATCGAAAAGGTCTTTGATGTGCGATCTCTATTGACGAGAGTAAGAGTGAGAAGAGGCTCGATCGCACTCGAGAAACTAGATGTTTTCGTTACCTAGGATCCGAACCCAATATATATGTTATCTTACCTCAATGGATCCGAGCAGAAGCTGAGTGACTCGGGCATATCCTTGGAAAATTCAAGTTTGAAGAGTACTTGAGGGATACTGTCCGGCTCAAGAAAAGCTATGAATCCTAAGATTGTATGACTCTGGGATTTGAGAGACTTGAACGAGATAGACCACAAAGCGTTGATGGAGCGATTACCTGACATTTGATGCAAATGGCTCGGTGCCTGATCGTAGAACTCTATGCACTCAGGGGTGGATAAGGCACGGCTATGTATTAACCTAGCTATCGCCGAGATCGTGAGAGCGTGTCCATCCAGCTTTTGCGAGAGTTGTTGTGCAGATGTAAGTTCGTCTTCTTTGAGATCAGACGTAATATCTGTGGAAAGAAGGTGGAGAAGAAAGCTCAATCCAGTGTGATTGTTCCAACTGGTGAGTTCTATTATACTATCTGCGAGCTCAAAGGCAAGTGATGGATTGCGTGTCGTAATAAGAGCCTGGCCACGGGTTGCAAGCGGCCAGAAATCACGGAGGGAGTCGATAAATTTAGCATTGTCATAGACAATAAGCTAGCGACAATCTAATTCCATGTCAATAAAATAGGTTGTGAGGTGAGAAAAGCGTGACATATGAGTCTGTTGAAGCCAGTTCAGTATAAAAGCAAGGTTCTTGTCGTGATCACCTTGTCGCGCGTCTGGCAATTTAAGACGAAGGGCAATGTCTGTGAAACTCTGCTTAATGGAGACAAGCTTCTCACTATGCACCTAGAACAGTGTATTAAGCTCACCCTTTCGCAGCTTGTTCTTAGCATAGCTCTGGGCTACTATGCTTTTGCTAACACCTCCAGGACCGTGTATTGCCAAAGATCGAAATGACTGTTCCGTGCTGACCTCGTTGAAATGCTCCTCTATCTTCTGCTCGATATCAACACGCTTAAAATATCGTGACGTTCTAACTGCTGGGAGGACTACATAAGGCGGTTTTGCCAAGCTAGGAGATAGTAAGGGCTGTGCCTGGACCGAGGGAGTTCGGCTTGCCTGGCTCGATCGCTCTGCGAATTTGGAGAGCATCTCAATTCGAGACAATACCTCGTCAATGCGATGAGAAGTTAACGAGAACTGCTGCTCTAAAGGCTTCCACTGGATCTCAAGTACAGTTCCTAGGTTCTCGAGCGTTAACGGTGTCTTATTGCTCCTTTGCCCAGCTCATCACCTACCATTTGTTGTGTATGTAATGTCATTTCGCATGAACTTTACAACAGAAAACAGGAAGGAGAGAAAGGTAACACCAATCTCCACACAGCACTCCTTCAGTTCTGCTGTAAAAGTCCTTGCCTCAGTGAAATGATTGTTGAGCATATCGATCTGGCGGCAATTCTCGCGCAGTATGCGAATAACATTTGCGGCGGCGCCAGTCTCCGGCACAACCTGAAACCATTAGTCCATGTCGCCAACTAGCAGCTTCAAAAATGGCAGACCTTGAGGATAACTCTGAGAAGTCCCCAGAGTACGGATGTGTCTATTCTTGAAGAAGCCTGCCGCATCCAATTGTCGGTGAAGGTTCGCAGTTTCAAGAGACCTTGGGCAAGCATCGCGAAGTCTTGGTGAATCGAAGGCTCGCCTCGACTTGATTGAATTTGGGTCTGTACATCTTCTCAAGTGCCGAATTCGAGGATTTGTAGTAAATCATCGTGTTCGAGCTGGCCGCGACCGGCGCTCCCTGTAGACCTCCACTGATCGAACAGTAGCTGTCCCCTATGATGATGAACTTAGCTTCATATATGTTCCAGTAGGTTCGTTTGCCCTCACATTTGAGATATCTCCATCTTGAAGTTGTTCTGACCGTAATTGAAGGAAACGGAAGGAGGAGAAGTGCGTTGTAATGAAAGGGTTTGTAGATGTTGTTGCAGAAGAAGGGACGAAGAAGGCGGCCTGGGCAGTATTTATTCACCTTTCCAGGCTAGGTAGTCAAGCCTCCCAGGCTCGTCATGGATCCTTCCAATAGGTCCAATATTCACGCGATGTTCTAGATCATGGACTGTAAATGCTTAGATTTTAATATACAGGATGTCAGGAAATATTTGGGGTTGGGGCGTGAAATGAATAGTTGAACTTTTCTAAAGCAGTAGTTTTCAAGTTGAGAGTTCGAATCTGCACTAGGATGCTTTTCTTGGTCTCACTTTTTTCTTTCCTTCTAATTCCTCCCCGTTCCTATGATCATCTCTATTTTTTATTCCTTGAAACGACTTTCGCTTCTATATTCAGTCTTGGAACAAAATGCAGATAAACACTCGCTCCTAGTCACAATACTCAGCATGAGCTAATCTCTTGTGCTGAGTCGTAAGAGATTGACTGTAGGAGTGAAGTCTATCAGACCGTGTGTTGATGGCATGATGAGACGACTCGCGACCAGCGCGACATAGATAAATACATCTTTAAGGGTATCTTTTTCTTCTATGTTAAGCATTCACTTTCTCTTCGCGATGAGGCTATGTGTCTGTCGCTTGTGGGTAAGTGACCATATCTTCTTTGGGCGATTCGAATTTGCGATAGAATAGAAGTGACTTGGCCACGGGCATGGTATATGAATCAAAGGGCTCAGGATATCTATTACAAGTCGAAACGCTCCGCGAGAGAGTTTAGAAAATGGCAATGACGAGGATATTGATAATGATAGCAATGTTCGGACCTTAAATGATACCCCATTCTGATGTAAATATTGATGTGATATCAGCTGGTAACCATGATTGAATTTTCCACTAATTCAAGCTCTAAATTTAAATGTGCTCCTCCAAAGAGAATTTTACCATGCTGTGTATTTGTCGATTTGAAAAATGAGGCTTTACCAGGGCGTCTGAAATCTAGGAGCTTCTGTCTAAAACTCGGGAGCGTGAATCTGCTTTCGCACCACCTACGGTGCTTTAGAAAGTATATTCTGGCTGGCTAAATCTGAAACCATGCTATTCAGACAGTACCACGCGTTTGATATCACGCTTTGCGTTCTCAAGACCCGAGCGTGTGCTTTACCATAATATTGACGGACTGTTGACACAGACGCTTGAGGAGCTTATGTCGTAAACTCGTTCTGATAGGTTCCTCTATCATACTTTTCGTCCATAGATCAGAGGGCAGTATAGTAGGGTATTTTTAGCGTGTCTTCATCCTTTCGAAGCATAGAAAGTGGTAGTTGTCCAGTCTACTTTGCCTTCCATCCACCTTTTCACGCTACCTTGAATAAGCGAGCCTTCCCTTTGAGAAGCGAGGTCTAGTTCTGAGTCATTTCGAGGTTCACTTCCCAACAACTCAACAAGCACCATCCTTGAGCCCAAAAGATATATCAGATTTCTTTAAGAAATGTTCTTGGATTTGTTTAGAACATATCCTCTCGAGGTTGGAAGCTGTTTTAGGGCTAGAAAAATTGTCCACGTGAGAGCGGCGCTTGGACCAGCGCACGGTGGGGAAGTAAACAAAAGCTTTGAACTTCTTCGAGCTTGCGATATGATTCAAGAACAACAGTAACATGGATTGCTTGGAGCGTGAGTACCGTTTGTGTTCTCCCTTTAGGATCCCCAAGCTTTGAGGCTCCATAACATTCTGCGAGCCTTTGAGGATATCAATTTACCTCCTGTTTCCTCTACTTCCTCCTCCATCGCCTCATTCTCCTCCTTTTCATTCTCCTCTCGACCTGGCTTTCCTTCTTCTTCTTCTTCTTCTTCCTCTTTCTCCTACCTCTTTTCCTCCCCTAAGTTTAAAAGGACACAGCTAACTCCTCCTTTCGCACAGCAATTACCAACTTCTTCCGCGGTCTCCTCCGCCGCTGCCGCCGCCAGCAGGAAGCTCCCTCGTCTGGGCTGGCCATCCAGGTTCCAGAATTCGACATCCCTCCAGTGCACAAGCTGAGGGAGATGTCTGCGGCCTGGATACCCCATTCTAGGGCGTCGAGTGCTGGTGGTGGTTGTGGAGCTGCTGGTGCTGGTACGTACCTCACTGTTGCGTTTCTGTTTAGGAAGATATCTGGTTTGGTTGGGTCCGGAGGTCATATATTGTGCTGGAAAACATGATCTGGGACGATTATGGGAACTCAAAGTGCAGTATGGAAAGATAGTTGAAGGATTGAGGGGAGATCTTGTGTGGCATGGAGTCTCATCTATGGGAACACCATGGTTGTATTGAGATGTTTGGTGCTTGGTGAAGGGTCTCCTCTGGGACGATCAAGTCTTTCATTCTAGGGCATCTTAAGGGAGATTGTTGACTTCTTCCTTTTCTCACAGAACCGTCGCGTGTGGGCACTTCTGCTCCTAGTACGTTCAATCTCTCTTGCTTTCCCTTTTCAGACAGCACATTCCATTTCCATATCTTTACCTCACGACACATCATATATTTCCTCGGAGAAAGATCCCCTCTGGAGTCTGGATACAGTGTAACTCTAGTTGATACGTCAAAATTACGAGAAATCCTGTTATACTAACTTTTGGTATCCAGTTATTGCCGTTCCTGCTCCTGCCGTAGCACCTACTCCTGCTCCTGCCAGTAAGTCCAAACCTCTTCAACTTCCATTATTGAAAGTCCCATATCCCTTTCAGAACATTCCAATCCAAACTCAAAACCTTTTTCCTATGCTGACCTTGATATCCAGCTGCCGCCACACCACCACCCTCTGCTCCCTTCTCCGACGTCGGTAAGTTCACTCAAACCTCCAAATCAATGTCCTGAATTCACCACAGAACATTGAAAATCACCTTCAATACTGACATTCACTCAGCCGCACCACCACCACCAACCCCTTCCCTCTCACCCCTCTCCGGCCAGCTCGCCACCATCCCCCCTCTCCTCCTCCCATCCATAACTTCCCCTCCTCCTTCCTCATCCTCCAATAACACCACCACCACCAACCTCCGCATCCTTTCAGTCTTCGATCTCACCTACAACGTCTCCCCTCAAGATCGAGCCACCATCTTCACAACCCCCATCATCTCTTCCCTCGCCATGGCATCCTCCTCCTCAGCACCTCATAACGCCGGACTCTCCCAATCCTGGATCTCCCCCGCCGCCTCCAACGCCGCGCGCTTCACGCGCGTGCAGACCGTCGCTTCACACCTCCATCTCCTCAAAAGTCCTTTCTTCCCAAAAACAGCAACAAAATACAACGCGCACAATGCTGCGTATGCAGGAGATTTAGCTCGTCGCCAGAGACGAGTCCTTGAAGGCAGGATTAGAGAGTTGGAGGGTCGGAGGAGGGAGAGAGAAAGGGTTGAGAGTTTGAGTTTGAGTTCGGGTTTGGAAGGGGGTTTGTACGGAAAGGTGAACTTCAGGAGAGATGAAGAGGTGAAGATTGCGAAGTGTGAACTTACCTGGGCATTTAAGGGTGAGAAGGTGGTTACTGAGGAGGAGAAGTGTGCTGAGGTTGGGTGGTATGTGGGGTATAGTGGGGTGTTAGGGGAGAAGACTTGTTTTTGGGGTGGGAGTGAGGGAGGTTTGAGGGAGGGGAGGGTGGATGAGCGGAGGGGGATGAGAGCGTTTTGGCCGGAGATGGGAGAGTTGAAGATGGAGGGTGAGATGAGGGTTAGGAAGACGCGTGAGTTTCCCCTTCTATTTTGCTTATGACTTTTCGAGTTGGAGAAGAGAGACGCGATGCTGATGTGTTATCCAATAGGCCAACGACGATTCCCGCTTCCTCGAGTCGATCTCTACAGTACCGGCATGATGAGACACTTCATCCCACCACACATATCTCTCACGCCCACAGAAAAGCTCAAACTCATCGAGCAGATCGTTGCCAAGAAATCAACAGAAGATATCGCATGGCATGAACGTCAAGTCGTACCATTCAAGCACAAGCTCGATCGGCTGCCTACCCTCACCAAAATATGGCGCCAGAATGAGAAGACCGACAACGGTAGACCGTACCATACTCCTCCTGCATCCGAGTATGGCGATGACGATGTTGATGAGGAAGATTTTGCGGTTCAAGAGGGTGCAGCTATAATTGAGGAGGGATATGGAGCTGGTGATGGATTCTCCTCGGATGGAGAGGTGATTGAAGATGAATATGGATACAATACCGGCACCACCGATCAGGATCAAGCTGAGACCGACATTGGCGGTCGTGTTCGGTACAGTAGCAATATTCCCGAAGCCGTCTATGCAGTAGATGAGAACGGCGTCGTTCATCGCCAAGTCTATAACGAGCAAGACAGTCCCGTTGAAGATTACGGCTTTGAACCATACACTGGAGGAAACATCTACGATGGGCTCGGCCTACCGATGGGCTATTCGAACGGTGTTGATGGTCCTGGAGATGGCGTGCGTCCTCCACCTGGTGGATGGTTGTTTGATCAAGTTGCGCTGAGGGAGCGTGGAGCATGGGCTGAGATTCTTGATGAGATCGACTTTGTGGTTGATGCTGAGGCCTAGGCATGATTCGATTGTTCTGCATTTGCTGGATGCGCATTTTGCATCGGTCTCGACGGCGTTGGATTCTTCAATCGCGGATATTGGAGCTTTCACAATCTCCTTTCGGGTTATGCCTGCTTTTCTGGAAGCTTTGTGGTTGTTCTACTCCATTCTCAGGCTTGAAAGAGCTTTCTTCCTGCTTTTTGCAACTCGATGGATATGCATAGCGTAAAGAAGCATCAGTGGATATTGAATAAGCGTTGTGTCTTTGAAGCATGGCGTTGGTGGATAGTTGGTCATACCGTCATCCTCAAAATGGCATCGTCTTTCATGAGGGTTGGACAATCAGGAGTTTTCCTTGGCTTGTTGTTAGATCAGACTTCAATGCGAGAAGGAAAAAAACAGCAATGCGATGAGACGATGACTTGCATAGAAATGCCTTTGATGTGACATGTGACCGTAATTCCTGCTCTTGTTCTCATTGGCATTTTCGTGAGGGCCTTGGGATTCGGAGAACAGAAGCCCATAAGAATGGCTCGATGCTTTGGTTTCAATGTCGCCGAGCCCAGATGTGATATTCGTAATTCATCAATTGCATCTTTCCAAGACAGGACAGAGCTTGAAATCAAAACGACCCTAAGCAATAGCAGGTAAGAAGGGTATCACAGGAGAAGAAACACGGGCCAGCTCAACCGAGCGTAGAGATATTCAAACCCAACCAGAGTCATGAAATTCCAAAAGCAGCAGCACATCACTCACCAACACAATCGCAATAAAATTCAATCATAATCACAATAGCAAGCAAAACCCACATCTTCAAAACCTCACACTTCAAGCCAAGCAATCCTCAGATCTTATCCAAACAAACAAACCCAAGCCAAGCGAAACGGCCCGCTCTCTCTTTCCGGGGACGATACGATTCAGCCTCATGCTCAGCTAAACCTTGAGGCTCTGCTTGGCTTGACGCTCAGCTGAGAACAGTGGAGTTTGGAGATAAAAAGTGCACGCGGATTGGGACGGGGGGATAGAAATCGAAAGGATCAAAATGCAAGGGCAGATGTAGATAATACCACTTCCAATCCCTCCCGCATCCCGTGTGTCTGTGACCGAGAATCCATCGAGAATCCATCAAGTTTGATGGTATAGTCATCAAGACTTTTCCACTGGATTGATGGTGAGGGAATTCTGGGCGAGGAGTTGCAATTGTAAGTTAAAGATCAAGGGCTTGAAGTTTGAAGTCTGATCTAAGAATAGCTGGAGGTACCTTCAACCCTCGCTTGCAGGCTGGGCACGGAAGAAGCGGCCGCGAATCCCGACAGGGCATGCTCATCCCAGCCAGGCATTTCCATTGGAAAAAGCATCCATCTTGCAGGACGGACAGGAGAGCGTGGGATGTGCTGTTAGGCGTGGATTGACAGGTGGGTATCATTTCGATTAATATCTCGATGTCATAATCCAGAATATTACACTGGCCGCTCTCCAACCTCTTCCTTTTCTTGAGAGAACTCGAAATTCAATGGAATCGTCGTCCTAATCTGGGTAATCGCCGGACTTCTTCTCACCCAGCCCAAGCCCAAGCCCAAAGCCAACCCCTCATTTCCAAAGCCGCTTTAAAGTAATCCAGTCAACACATCGCGATAAGGATTTGTATCTCTGGGCAGCAGCCAGCGAGAGCGAGGGGGGCAAAAGTCAGACAGATAGTCAGACGGGCCAAGTCAGAGCAGATCGAACCAACAGACAGACAGGACACGCAGTGACAAAGAGAGACAGAGAGACAGATCTCACAACCGTCTTTTTGTGTCAAGGGCGGGCTCAGCACTTTCTCCCTCTCTGGTCTGGATTTTCATATCTTTAAGAATTGCGGTTCTAATCGTCTGATTATCTATCTGTGGCTACTGGATTCCATTTGTGAAGAGAAGCGGTGTGACGAGACACGACATCCTGCTTATCGCTTTTTGTATCGCTATTTCAACCTGTCTGTTCGGGTTTGCGCACCAATTAATCGAAATCGGTATTTTGTCTGATCTTATCGACCTGGTTACTGGATCCTGGATCTCGGACGGATTGCTTTTGATAGGAAGTTCGGGTTGCTGGTAGAGAGTACCTAAGAAATGGCGGGAATCCCAGCAGGTGGGAATGGCAATGGCGAGGTTCGGAGAAGGAGGGGGATGACTTATAGTATGGGAAATGTGCGTATACTTCTCCATTTCCCTTTTTGCAATTGACGTGTTACCTTGATTAGCGACTCGTTTATCTGTTGGTACTTGCTGCATTGCTTTATTATTCAATCACCAAATCCGCGCTGGTATCGTGAACTTCATCCAAGCCAGCCGAACACGTGCATGAGTTCATGCATAGTGTGAAGCGGTGTGAAGAGAGAAAATGTCCATGCTGCTTATGAAGAAGAGAGAGATCTAGACCCCGATATGCAAGGGGAGTTCTCTGCTTTCTGAGTGGGATGATGGATCTGATCTGATTTATCTCTTTGTCCTTGTTGCCGTCCAGCCGTCGACCCGATCCAGTCTCGGCGAAATGGACCTTCGGGTTGTCCTGCAGCTGGTTGGAACATTATACCACGAACCCGATATTGGGGATTGAGGATTGAGGAAGAAGAAATTATTCCTCGGAATCGAAAAATGCTAAGATTCATATCCTGTGTCTGGAATTAGCTTTCAGTTTTTCCTAATGGAGGAACTGAGGTTAAAAAGCAAATATCAGGAGAGTTGAGGGCATTTCTGCCATGCACAGTTGTCCATCCATCCCTTGGCCCAGGCTCTCTCTCCGTCAAGTCTTCTGATCTCGGCGCATGATATTCTTCATCAAGCCTCTTTTCCTCTCCATACCAGGCAGGACACCACGATGCATGTGTCGTTATTGTATTTTGCCTGCAGGAGAAGCGCAGTGTCACGATATGCTCGCAAGGCGGGCTGCATCCTCATGTCTCGGAGTAAAAGACTGGGTGGGTCCCTTTGGATGGGAAACTGCATGCATTCCATTGGTGACAGCAAATGTAGATGCATGTTTCATTGGGTCTGGGCTGGACTTTGAGGTGCAAGAATTGCAAGTTCCCAAGATCTTTGTTGAAGTTGATGACTGAGTTGATGTCTGGAAACACAAGTTACTCTTTAAAGCATTATTCCAGAACATTATCCCACCTTCCATCTTCCATCCCTCCTCTCCTCTCCTCTCCTCTCCTCCCCTCCTCTTCCCGTCCCCTCGGTCCACTTCAGCGAGTGCGGGGTTAGCTCGGCAGAGATTGTGCGGATTTACAGGGGTCCCAGGGGATCTATCCAATCCCTGTCAGGCTCTAAAAAGTTCCCTAGATCACCTCACTTGACATCCCGATCACTTCCCTTCAACTCCAACACCACTTCACCTCTCCCCCTCCACACAATACAACTCACCTCAATCCTCCTCTTCAATCATCACCACATGAAGATATACTCCCTCCCCAAATCAACCTAGTTTGCGATCAACCAATTGTTTCCCTCCCGTTTTCGTTTGGTTTGCTCTCAACAGCGGCCGCGTCCGGTGCAAGCCGTGAATTCCCGTTCCCTGATCAAAACCTCACGCGATCACCTCAACAAGCACATCTTCGAGCCTTTCCCCTCTTCAATTCTCCTGCAAATTCGTTAATTCGTTCGATTCTTCAATTTCCAACTTCTTCAATCTCGAAAATTAGGAGAGAATAGCAAAAATGGAGCTCGCACGTCCAAGCAGAAAGACTAATGGGAAGGGTGTCCAGGTCGAGGATACGCAGATTTGTGTGGTAATGGTGGGATTGCCCGCGAGGGGAAAGAGTTTGATTGCGCAGAAGGGTAGGTGACTTTCTACTCCCAAGATTAAATGGTACTTGGAGTGGCAGATGTAGAGCTGGCAGTAACCTGCAAATTGATCACTGCTGGTGAACCGCGAAAGTAGCAGGCGCTCTGTTCGCAGATGCCTCAGTGGCAATGGCGCATCCACTGCCTTCATACACTATATTTACTCTCTTTCGAATTTCTGCTAACTATCCCAGCTCAACGTTACCTCAGATGGCTCTCGATCGACGCTCGTGTCTTCAACGTAGGCAACTACCGCCGTAAAGATGCCGCCCAACCCTCCGCAGACTTCTTCGATGTCAATAACATCGAAGGTGAACGTATGCGCCGAGCAGCTGCCGAAGCAGCCGTCGCAGATATGCTGAAATGGTTCAAGGATGGAGGAATTATCGCCATTCTAGATGCTACAAACAGTACGAAGAAACGCCGCCGTTGGATCAAGGAACGATGTGATAGCGCAGGTGTTGAGACATTATTCGTCGAGAGCAAGTGCGATGACGAGGAGCTGATCATGAGCAATATTCTCGAAGTCAAGACTACATCACCCGACTACGTTGGCCAGGATCCAGAGGAGGCGGCGCAGGATTTCCGGAATAGAATTCGAAATTACGAAAAGGTGTACCAGACGATTGATGAAGAGGAGAGTGATTTGACATATTTGAAGATCATGAACGTGGGAAAGAGAGTTATTATCAATGCTATTCAGGATTATCTCCAGAGTAGGGTGGTATATTACTTGATGAACCTGCACATTAAGCAGAGATCTATCTGGCTATCACGGGTAAGTCACACGCTGGGTTTCGAAGTACTTTGCTGATCTTTCTAGCATGGAGAATCTATGTGGAATGTCTATGGCAAAATTGGTGGTGATGCAAAGCTTTCAGAACGTGGTGAAGCATATGCATTGAAGCTTCCAGAGCTGGTCAAGGAATCATTCGATGTAGGCTTAATCTTCCCAGTCAAACTCGAAGCTAACAATTCCAGGGAAATGACCACCCCCTCACAGTCTGGACATCAACCCTTCAACGAACAATTGCAACAGCACAGCACCTTCCCCAGGAATGGAACCAATTACAATGGAAAGCCCTCGATGAGTTGGACTCTGGCGTCTGCGACAATATGACCTACGCGGAGATCAAGGAGGAGTACCCAGAAGATTTCGAAGCCAGAGATCAGGATAAATACAACTACCGCTACCGTGGCGGCGAATCGTACGTTTTGCTTCCCCACACCCCCACATTGCCCTCCCTTGTTCTCGACCCCTTTGGCCCAAAATCCCCACTTCGAATACACCACTAACGCTTCCTAGCTACCGCGACGTAGTCATCCGCCTTGAGCCCATCATCATGGAACTCGAGCGCAGCGAAAATATCCTCATCGTCACTCACCAAGCCATCCTCCGCTGTATCTACGCCTACTTCATGAATGAAGACCAGGAGAAATCACCTTGGCTGAACGTTCCTCTTCATACGCTCATCAAGCTCACGCCGAGGGCTTATGGCACTGATAGACAGGTTTACAAGGCTGCTATTCCGGCAGTCAGTACTTGGCGTGGAAAGGGTAGTGTCGCAAAGCATGAGGATCCGTTGGAGGATACGACGAGTTTAGATAAGTGAGCTGGCTATTGGCCAACGTATTTGTCTTTGCTTTCATTTGGCTTTCATTTCCCCCTAACTCTGGACCGAGATCTGGATCTGGAATCGATATGAGTTACGATATTTCTCGAGGATTGTGACTGTCTCGAAACTATGTACATCTACCTGGAAATGTGGCTCCCGTGGGATCCAATCGTGTTCCTTTTTTGCATCAGATCACACCAACACTGGAAATTCAACATCTCCTCGACGCCCATGCTGGCATTCTATAAACAGACAAATGAGTGGCCGGTCTACTCTAGATGAAAATGGATGGAGAAATTGAATTTCGGCTGGATCTGGATGTCTTGAGAAACGACTCTCTGAAAAGTTATACATACATGGTTGGCTGGCTGGCAGGCAGGCAGGAACGCATTGCGCTGAGTTGAGTTAAGTTGAGTTGCATAGCGAGAGGCTGTTTGGTTTGGTTTGTTTTGGCGTTTGGGTCTGGTTGAGCTTATGACACGATGTGCTTGCAATGCAATGCATGGCTTTATCATTGATCCGCTCAATGTAGGCGGGTAGGAAAGGCAAGGAAAGCATGGATGGAAATGTGTATATTAGACTGGATGGCTCCCTTATGGAGGTAAGCGGAACATGAATCGTTGAAGACGACACCTACCTTTTGAAACTGCACCTGCGTGTACTTGAACTTATTGCTATTACTTGAATTGACTTGACTTTACTGCTGTTATTACGCCTATTTGTGATATCACCCAGATTTAGGCCTCCGTGTCTGCAGTACCGATGAGAGCTAGGGGCTTTTGATCAGGAATTGTGTCACTTCAAGAGTTCTGGACAAGTCATGGAGCAAGCACGACAGATGATACACAGAATGTATAGTTCCGTCAACGAAGATAAGAGAGAGCTGCGTAACACTTTCGAGTATTGGAAGGTAGAAGAAGCCAGGCGGGAAGCGGCTGAAGCTGAGCTCCGGGCAATGAAAGGACATTATGCAAAGTCAATGGATACCTTAAAAGATGCTCTTCGGCGGCTTGAGGACGATAACTCACGGTTGAACGACGAGAATGCTGTTCTCGAATCTACGAAGATAGATCTCGGTCTTGAGCTCGCCCTTACAACGGAAAAATCATCAAACCTGTCACAGAACAAGTGCAGGTACGTGGACAATTGCAACTTGATTGAATTGATTGATCACAAGGAGAGAAGATATCCTTAAGGAAATCTGTCTTGTTATGTTCGTTTACAAGTTAGCTTGTGCGGCTGATACAAAAGTTGTAAATAGCTTCATAAAAGTACGAAAGTCACCTGATTCGAGCCTTTGACAGGTTGTGGGGGACCTGTGAACTTGAGTGTTTGCAGGTGGGTGGCTTGCCCGTATATATTGTGTAACATGACTTAGGTCTTACAAACAAGTTCTATCTGAGGCTATGTTTTTTTTTTTTTTTTTTTTTTTTTTTTGCAGCGGGTTTGCTCTCTCTCACTACCAGCGAGAGCGCTCGTAGAGTGACGGAGCTGAAGCGAACCCGACGATTACTCGTCTGGATCAATGACAGAGGCCGTGAGTGTTTCCATAAGTCCTACAATGCTCATCCCAATCATCGCCATCAAGACTCTTGTTTGCGGAGTAGCACTCGAAAGGCGTTTGACCATCATACGCTACATTTTCCCGGAACTCTCCTAAATATTACAAGGGTTAGCCAGTTCACAATTGTATCATTAATTTGAAGGCCCCTTAACAAATAATCTTTGATGATTATTGGGTCATGAGATTATTCCACGAATAATCCGAGATACATACTTTGATGTGCTACGCTTTGGGTAAGTTCACAAGCTATTTTAGTACGCTCGAGGTTGCCGACACCAGTGTAAATATCCTGTAGGTTTATTAGCTACTTCTATTTCTAGGAGCGTAAGCTTTCTTTCTCAAGTTCAACTTACAGCGCAGATACATTCTGTGTTTACGCGCGCTAGCGTAGCCAATCTGGCTAAGGAGAATGACTGCTAGGGAGAAGAATGTGGTCTTCATGATTGTGTAGAACTGATGCGGCGATTGAACTGAAAGCGTAAATGGGTGATATGTTCGTGAGAAGAGGTGAGTTTTGTGAAAATAGGATGTCTTTGGTAAAGAGAAAGAGTCAGGTGATCGATCAAAGGAATCAATTGATTGCTTTAGAATAGTTATCGAGAGTAAAGCTCTCTTAATATATCTCATTGTCATTTCTAAAGCTTTCCGAGCTCTCCGAAATAATCAGCTGTACGCATTTCGGAAAGCTTCAGTCGGAAAGCTTCAGCCGGAAAGCTCGGAGAGGTCTTCATGTCCTAGCCTACCTTACAGCGCTCACCGTATCGAGTTTATCAAGGATTTCCCAAGAAACCTGAACCTACAGTACAGCCTGAAAAGTCTAAAAGAAAACAATTGACTGGATGAGCCTACAGGCGAGACGGAAAAGTTTAGTTAATTAATCACAACTTTAAACTTCAAGGCTCCTTTATTCCCGTACTACTAAGTTGGTCATTGGAGTAGACTAAGAATATCATAAAACAAGTGCAAGTACGTAGATAATTGTAACTTAGTTGAATTGATTAATTATAATTATTGACAGGGTTGGAGAAAACGAGTTACTTTATCCAAGCAAACTGTATCAGTGGCACTATATTCAAGGACAACAACCAGATGATCTCCTGATTTTTCGTAATATAATTCTGCTGGGATACGACCGAGTAAGTCATCATAACTGATGGAAGCGAGATGATCCATCATTGACTTTGGCAGGGGCATTCCACTGTCCTTTCTTCAATTCACTCTCTCAAGGACCCCCTCGCCAAAGCTGCGAAGCTCGATTTGTTGCATTTCGATGAATGCTGGATAACACATTTTCTCAGAGATCATCACTGTAGAGCATCATCAAAAGACATTAGCCCAACAAAATTTCGTTGTTACCGTGAGATTGGTGAAACGCCCGGCAAATGGTACCAGTGGTAGCCAATAGAACATCTGATCTTCATTGAATCCAAGCAGTAGTATTTGAAAGGGTATCTATCGTCTTCCGCGTCTTTCACTCTTCTTTGACATCTTTGCGAGTACCTCTGATAGCCACAAAGTTTGAATCTGCTTATCAAAACCCATGTCTGCTGCTGCAACTGCCGCTTTACAATCCGACAAGAATCCCCACGCTCTACAACAATTCGACTCGGCGCTTTGTTGTGCGAAACTTGGGTTGCTCGTAGCACAGGCGTCTCTCAGCAAAATGGTGTCGAAGCCTCGGGAATAAGCATCTTGTAAGGTACCCAATGCCCATGACACATTGGTCTGTGTTCATGCCTGCGAATAAAAGTGACGAAATGCCCATTTTATTAAGATACCTGTTAAGATCGCCATGAAGAGTCGTATAGGCCTGAGTTCCTGTTCTTGTAGATGATGACGTCTGGTCGTCGAGCCTCCTGCCCTTCTTGAAAAGCGGACAACAGCGGACCATGAAGATCCACGTTCCAAGTTTCTCGCATGAGAGCCCGACCAGCGTTAACCTTTGTACTATCAGGCAAGACGATTTCTCCAAGGATACTCCCAGGGCGTCTCCCAGAAGGCTTTCCCCCACATCGATTTATTTGCTTAGTTCTAATGGGAGCAAGTGCAGGAGCAAAAATCCTGTAATCCAAAGCGAAATTGCTCTCTAGCCAAAGACTCTTATCGCGGCAGGAGGAAGAGCTTCGAGGTCTCTCTCAGCAAGGCCCAAGTTTAGGAATATGACCTGAATGTTTGCCTTCCGAGCGGCGGGAATCCCGCATTGTAGAAGCGTATCTTGCGCCAGGAAGGCAGTATCAGGCACATCAGTATTTAGAGCGCTACTCAATGAGAAACTCTGCATGTCGATGATCAACAAAGCAGTCTTGTGAGGGTCGAGAATAACGTCACTCACTGATCTCGCAGTTCAGACGAATCGGTTGCGTTGTTGGTCGAGCATTTGGACAGAGCGGATGTGTGAGATCCCATCCCAACTCAAAAGACCATATCCAAAAGTTGCTAGCTGGTCCAACGACGACTTTCGGCGGCGGGTGCGCCATTGATATTTATAGTCTTGTAGGGGAGAGTGAGAATGTGGTGTTGACGAAGCAAACCAAGACCCTCACACTAGGTAGTGGCAGATATGTCAAAACGACGCTACCTAGGTTTGTCCTTTGATAGTAAGGTAAGAATCTGCCAACCAGGTCTGCCTGCCACATTAACACTGCAGGAATGATATATTGACATGTGTGGGCTGCCTTCGCGCTACGATAGCGGGCCGCTGTGCTCTCTCTCAGTCTGTGTGTCTGGCTATGTTGTGTTTGTTTCGAAGCTAGCTATACCGCGTAAATAAAAGTGGCCGATTGAGGCAAGGTCACCAGTAGCACAAATTCGTGGATTGCGCAACAACAACTTTATAAGAAAATAAACCCTCTGGCTGAAGTACGTATATGCTATTTCTGAAGATATTCTCAAAATTTTAGAGGTTTTGATTGTTTGGGCGTGGAGAAAAACATTATTTAGTGCGCTAGTTTTGGTGTTCTTGAAGTGCCTCGATCGGCCACTTTTATTTACGCGGTATAGGCTAGTATCTAGAGGTACCGCGAAGCGAAGCGAAGCGCCAAGGTTCTGGGGTTCTCTGTACTACAGTACCGGCACGTGCGCTAACCTTGGGTCCTGCAGGTAGAAAGAAGGAGTGTTCTGCACGGCAGCTTAGGGGATGGGGATAGGTAGGTATTGTTGCGTGCTAGAACTCCATCTTGTGACCTATGCTTTCCACGCATGCATGCATCTTCCAGCTTTTCAGAACGCACTGCTACTCTTTCTGGGAGGGATATTGTGTATGACTTTCACCTCTTTCCTGCTCTCTTCGTTCCCATCAAGATACACCAAGTTTACATGCACAGCCGCGACGATGACACAGTCAAGTACGTAGGAAGGATTCATTCTGTTCTGTCTGAAAAACCAGCCCTCCAGCATACTGACACGATTTGTTCGTAGGTTCCTATGACCCTTCTTCCCTCCTACATCTCACCCTTGAAAATGCCTCGAAAGGGCTACAGTCAGGACGGTTCACCTCAGTGGATCTCGTCGAGGCATATCTAGCCAGAATCGAGGAGGCTTCTGAGTTCAATGCCGTTCTGCAAGTAAATCCTGAGGCCGTGAGCGTGGCGCAACATTTGGACGAGGAGCGTTCACGTTCAGGACCGAAGAGCCCACTCCACGGCATTCCCATTCTGGTCAAGGACAACATCGCTACCAAAGACAAGCTGGATGTCTCCGCGGGTTCTTATGCTCTTTTTGGAGCAAAGCCCGCCCTCGAGTCTTCTCTGATCAGCAAACTCCGAGCTGCCGGCGTCGTGATTCTGGGAAAGACGAACCTTTCAGAGTGGGCAAACTTCAGAGGCTTGAATATCAGCAACGGTTGGAGCCCAAGAGGTGGCCAAACATTGGGCACGTATTATCCGAACTCTACACCTGCGGGAAGCAGCTCCGGTTCGGCGGTAGCTACTGCACTTGGACTGTGTACTGCCGCGATTGGCACCGAGGTGAGATATAGGTAGTCTTAGCTTATCATTGCAGAAAGCTAATCCGACGAGCAGACCTGGGGCAGTATTTTAGGCCCAGCCGAGCTCAACAATGTCGTAGGCTTCAAACCAACCCGCGGCCTCATCAGTACCGAGGGCGTTATCCCTGTTTCGAGCCGGCAAGATGTGATTGGTACTCTCACAAGAACAGTCAAAGATGCAGCATACCTGCTCAGTGAGATGGCAGGGAGAAGTGAGCGGGATGACAGAACTTGGCACATCCCATTCGACCCCATCCCCAGCTTCACGACTTTTTGCAAGGGAACAGATCTAACGGGTATCACTATCGGGGTTCCTCGGAACACGTGGGAAGGCGAATCACCAGCACCGATCCAGGCTTCTTTCGAAGCTGCGCTGCAGACATTGAGCTCTGCCGGAGCAATTGTGGTAGAAAATGCTGATTTCCCACACGTTGATGAATTCAAGAAACTCAATGAGCAGGTCAAAGGCGTTGTGCGGTCGTCCGAATTCAAGCGAGATATTGTCCGCTATATCCAAACTCTGGAAACCAATCCAAATAACATCCAGTCGGCAGAAGACATAATCGGGTTCACAAAAAGCTTCCCGGCTGAGGAATACCCAGACAGAGACATCGGCAAATTCTTATGGACGCAGGCAGAGGGAGTCGATGTTGACGGAGATAAGTACCAGGAGATGGTGAAGCAGGAGCTCTTCTTTGGTGGTGAGGGGGGAATTCTTGGGGCAATGGAGAAGTACCATCTTGACGTGCTAGTCGTTCCCGCCGATCAGGATATAGGGAACGACCTTGCTGCAAAGATGGGCTTTCCAGTCATTTCTGTTCCGCTCGGATTCTGGCCCGAAGACACACCTGTCCAACTTGACAAGAAGAAGCCGAATTTGGTCAAGGTTGCGCCTGGAATGCCGTAAGTCAACTTCTATCCTTCTCACAATACAAGAAACTGACTGCGCCAAAGTTATTCCCTGATATTCATTACGAAGGCGTTTTCTGATGGAATCTTGCTAAAGGTAGCTCATGCGTTCGAGCAGCTCACGGCTGTAAGAGAGACCGGACCACTGCCCTTTAAGGTTCCAGAGACGGAGATGCGGGTGATCCAGCGCAAGGAGGAGAGAATCTGAGGGCGTGCTTGGAATTGTTGATTCAACATTTGTGTAAATTACTATTGAGTCTGCGGTCCCAAACTGCCCACTTCCTTTATAAGTACATTGCGAACGATGGTAGAAACCGTTTCTCTTACATAATCCCACCCCGCTTAAGAATCCTAGCTAATTCGTGAGCCTGCACTTTCATACTCTACTTAATTATAGCCAAAGCGAACAAATCAGTAATAAGTTCTATAGCTATTATTATAATATAAAATAGAGAAGTAGTACATTATTATCTAATGTAGAAGATACCCTAGGGTAAAAGTTACTACTAGTGTAAAAGTTCATACCCCGTAACGTATTATATTGTAGTGTATTGTATTGTACAGAAAATCGAAGTGAACAAACCATGCAAGCGCCGAGTGGCAGGTGAAATATCACCCAACACCACCAAGGCAGACATCAAGCGACGTTCACAGTGCCTGGACTGGATAGCGTAACAGGAGGAAATTCAGTAGTGAGACTTTGAACGATATCGTGAAGGAATGCGGCGCGTTATGAAGGGATTTCATGGAAAGAAGATTTGCATGATACCTTATGATGTAAATGATTCAGGTAGGTAAGTCAGATTACGACGATTTGGCTGTTTTGTAGTTTGTGGTTTCATCAACTTCCATTTCTACACACCCATCTCCTCTGTTTCCCACCCTGGCTCTCTCAATCATCACACACTATTTACTCAACCATCTATCCCACCCCTCTCAGCAAGGTATAATACAATTCTCCCCCTATTCTCCCTTCATTCTCTCCCATATCTCCACCCCACAAATTCTCGAAGAAGAAATAATCCCCAATTACAAAAAAATGGTGCTAGTAGTGGTGGTGAAGCCAAGTCAACTCAACAAACAACAACAACAACAACAACAACATACAATACAATACAGTGCAAAGAAAAGCAGACGGGGGGGTATTGTTTCTCTCCATTCAATTACGCACGCAAAAATCCTTCCTTCCATCCAGCAATCCTTCCCTTCCACTCCAAAGAAAATATGGTACGCGCAGCCCAGGCCCAGCTCCACGCTCGCTTGTTTTGTTGAAAAGAAGTAAACCCAAACACAAAAAAGGAGATCGAAAGGCTCGATTACACATCGTATGTACTGCACCGGTTTGAGCGCAATCAAGATATATCCAGGCTTTTCCTTCCCTCGCCTCGCTTCTGCTTCGGGAAAGGCATATCCCAAGCTTTCAAATGCCGAAATGTTCAAGAAAGTCGAAAAATTCCACCATTCATCGTTGCGTCCGAGGTAACACTTCATCACCAGGAAGACGAGCGCTCAATCCTCCTCAGCCACACTCCCCACCAACACACTCGCCTTACTACTCTTCTTCCCCAGGGTCAGACGACTCAACCTCTTCCTCACACTCCCCACCTTACTCCCCACGCTCCCATCCCTGGACAAACTCACACTCATCCCACCAGCACTACTCTTTGCCGTAGCCGGGCGGTTACTACTCGAGCTTCTTTTGCCCGTATACGCTCCATGATTTCCATTCCCATATCCATTCCCATTCCCCATCTCATTAAACTGGCTCGCAAGATCGCTCTGAGTAATCCACTCACTCTCATCATCTTTCTCCAGGCGGCCGCGCCCTCGACCTATGGAGCTCAGCGCAGAGGTAGTGCCGCCGAAGAAGGAGGAGCGCCGATTGTCTTTACTCTCACTTTTGGAGCGGGACTGGGATTTCGAGCGGGAGCGGGTGGATGTTGAGATGTTGTCCTCGTGGTCGGCTGTCGTGCCACGGGGTGCGGCCGGGAAATCTTTATGTGATACTCCGTTTAGTGAGAGGCCGTTGAGCATTGGTTCGGGGGTTTGGGATTGCGTTTGTGGTTGTTGGCGTTTGAGGAAGGAGAGGCGGTTGCGACCTGCTCGGGCACCTGGAGTGTCGAGAATTCCAGTATCTGTTGTGGCGAGAGAGCCGTTTGTAGCGCTGTTTGGTAGACGAATACCCAGCATCTGGGACTCGCGGCGAGAGCCGTCACTGAGAACTGGACTTGCGATGGCCCAGCTTGGCGTAGGGGTTGGAGATTTTGCTTGCTGGGGGAAGGCGAATGATGCGAGTTCAGGGGCGAAGGTTGCTTCGAAGTCTGCGTTGCATTAGTAGAAGAACATATGGATGCGAGAAAAATACTTACTCTGCAAGACAGCTTCCCGCTCTACCGAGCCGATAGCGGGAGTCTTCGAAAGCATAGCCAGACAGCGTCTGATCATCACGGCATGATCGATAAGTGCAGTCTTGAGTGCATTCTGCAGAGGACTCAATTCTACTTCTTGGACTTCATCTTCTTCAGCTGCAACTGGAAGCAATTCTCGATATCGCGCAACTGTGGTTTCTGAGCCTGGATTGACCGAGATCTGAAGAGCGTCGATGAGGAGAGGAGCCATATCATCTTCACCATCAATAACTCGTTTTTCAACCACAGTCATTTCGGCAGTCTTGCGAATAATGCGCTCGACTGCCGTTTGTAGAGGATTGAGTCTCAGGCGATCTATAGCAACAATCTCACTTCGTCGTAGGATTGTCGGGAATGCCTCGGAAGTCCTGTACAATATTTTCTCTGCTGAATGCTCCTGCACAGGACCTGCCGTATTCCTCTTGCTTGTAATTGAGAATACCTGAGGGTGAGCTGATAGGAAGTAGTCACGGACAACTTGTGGCACACGAGCACGTTGGAAGACATGATGCCCAAGATCCCGATGTGGCGTGAGGGCAGATATCTGCAAGAATTGACCCTCAACATCATCCACATCACCAGAAGTGACAATCTGTGCTGAAGGATGTTGCTCTTGCATACGATCTGTGAAAGCGCTCGTCCGCTCAGTCGGTGAACCTTCAAACACAAACTCCTTGTCTCGTAAGCTTGGCGGGAAGCCCATGCCCCTATACGTAACGCGGAAGTACTTAGGAACCAATTTATCAGCCTTGGCAATGGTCTCGTAAATCGTAGCAATGGCGCGTTGTGCTCGAGCCAGCTTAGGTAAATCGTACACATTGTCCTGGTATTGCGCTTGGAGTTCCTGATAAGCAGACAATGCACTACTCCAAGCCTCACCCTCTTCGAAATGCTTGATGATCTCAAAGTAGATGCGCTCCTTGCGGTCAAACTGAGTCTGCGCTGGAAACTCGGGATCCGTAAGCGGCGGTACAATCTTCGTTGGGTCCCACTCGTAAAGATCAGCATGAAGCCGAAGTGCAAGACCTGCTTCTGTTGGGTTTCGTGCATCCGCTTGTAGCTGGGCAAGTTGATGGACATATCGGATGAAGATCTCCTCTTTCTGCATATCTCGCAAGAACTCCATCAACCTGAGCCTGTGGATCATATGTGACGCTTCATCAGTAACATCAGTGCTATGAACAGCAACTAGAAGATCCAAGAACTCGTCAATCGTAGCAATAAGATCTCTGATAGCGGCATATAGCGAATCATCCTTGACTTGGGCAAGTGGATCGAAAAGACCGAGAAGCTCGTTGATGAAGAGCTTCTGGAGGATACTTTCCGTCAAAGGTTTCGACTTGAACAAGCGGTCCAGGCAGTCAATCATCTCCGTCTGGATAACAGAGAGATCCTCGCTCAAAGTCCACTCACTGACGATCATTGTCTGGAGGACTTCGACAGCCACTCGTCTGAGTCCTTCATGGACACTCAGGCAGAGCTCTACAATAGGTCCGACAAGAACTGGGACGTATTGCACTTGGTATCCACCCATCTTGGCCAATGAGTATCGCTGTCGCTCATCTGAACTTGTCTCCCACCCGATCGCCTCCCAAGTTCGTCGAAGTAGGTCAGCACCGTGTTCTCGTACATCTCCTGCAATCTTCCATACAGCACGACGTTTCTGCTCAGGGAATGTCTCGAGCGCAAGTGCATCGCTTCCAACAAGTTTCAATAGCACTGTGAAGAAAGCTTTCCATACTTCCGTGTTATAGTTCTCGGCGTCATCCGGATGAGGCAGGAAAGATTCATGCAGAATCCCAGCCACATATTCCAAGGTCTTCATCGTCGATTTGTGGTGGAAGATATGCACACTCAACCAATTCGCAGGGAAAGCCTCGCAATCCAGTATACTCAGATGTACATGCATTATATCTTCCAAAAGCACAGCCATTTCCTCGTCCGCGAGATCCAATTGCATTCCTGCAGGTAGTGTTGATATCGAAGAGAGGATAGCAGACAACTCGATGAGCACTTCATCGAATTGCACTTTTCCAGATATTGGCTTCGTAGGGAATGGATATGTCATTGGGAAGAGCAGGGATAATCGTGTCTTATCTGATTTTGGAACTGCACGGACAGCCAGGTACGAGTCGACGATCTTTGCGATGTAATCTGGAATCTCAGGCCCAAGATTGTCGATTTGTGTGGAGAGAATAGAGCAACAGAGTCGAATCTGCTCTCTCCATTGATCGGTCACCTCTGCTGTCTTTCCCCAGTGAGGTGCGATCCATCGAACAGTATTCGTGCAGAGGGCTTCTCTTTGTTCGGGGTTCGCGAAAAGTTCAAGTCGAGAGTAGTTGATGATTAAAACAAGCTTGTAAAGTACCAGCTTTCCCTTGACCAGAGCACACGAATCCATGAAATCAATCGCAATATGTAGAATCTCCTCGGTGCTTAGTAGACCGGTGAGTTCAGGAAGCCAAGTATGGAAATGCTGCACGGCAAGCGTTTGACTTCCCACGAGTATTGGAGCATTGCTTCTCATGAGTCCGTCTAAAGCCTTGAAGATGCTTCTCAGGTGGCGGGTAAATCCAGGGGAGGTGCTCGTGATACCAATGCCTGCTTCTTTAGCTTTTTGCTGGCCTCTTGCGTGTGTGATGAACTTTAGGATATGCCTCACGACTTTGAATGTTGCCCGCAATTTCCTCGAGGTCTCAGGATCTGAAGGATTGGAGAGAAGCCTGGTGAAAGATCTCACCAAGCATGGCGTTACGAATGGATAATTGAACTTGTTTTCCGCATAGTGATCAACCAGAGGACCAAGGTTAAATCTTCGATCGTGTACAATGCCCAGGACTGTGACCAGCGCGCTGAAAATAAGATCCTCGTAATCGTCATTTCCACTATGTTCGACCAGGATGCTGAATATGGCATCAAAGACATCGTTCAACAACTTGACAATCTCGATTTCCGGCACGAAAACCAGTCGTTTCAGCAGCTCCTGTACGTCTCCTGGCGGCTGCTCTTTCCACTTTAGTAATCCAAGCAGAACCTTGTCTTGCGAGAATCGCGTACTGCAAAGGAAGGTTTGTAGCCTCAATGTCGCGATGGGTCCGGTCACAGCCTCATCTTTGCTCACATCATCTTTGCCCCTTGCATTCCAAGGTACGTTCAGGTATCCGACCCTGCCTTCCCTTCCTTTCGCAGCACTAGTCTGGTCGTCATACCGGTAGAGCAATAACGAGTGATGTCCATCTCTCATGAAAGCCGATTGATCCCAAAGCGGTATGTGAGAGATCGCGAATGGTGAATTAGGAGCATCGGCAAGTGTCATAGCCAGATGACATCCCGGCACATCCGCTGGAGGAATAGCAAGCCGTAGTGTTTGGTTCCAAGCATCGCCTTTCTCCGCTGCAGTAGACTCCCAGGAAGATACCGCCAGCTCTGAATTCGAAGATGGGTATATACAATTCTCCAGCCTTTCACCACTTGCTCGACATACTTCAAGAGTGATTTGGAGGTTATTTCCAGCAATGCTAGAAGATAGGGGTGATGCGCTGCCGATTGCGCGCGAGATAAGTGCATGTCGTGGGAGAAACGCTTCGTCAATCGTAACATAAATATCGGATCTCGCTTTGGTTGGAGCCCCAGAAAAGCCCATTTTACTTGTCTTGGCAACTCCAGCGAGTAATGTTGGGGTAGCTTTGATCAGCACGTCCGCGTCAGGGCTCTGAAACGCTTTGAGGTGGATTTGTAGGCGTTCTGCTCGTCTCGACTTCGCGTAATTACCAGATTTGCTCGACATTAGGTCTTTGATGACTTCTTCCCAGCCTTCACCTTCCTCCTTCTCTTGACCAAATCCCGTTGCTGGAGCCCAAATTGGAAGGACCTGTTCGATTTCCTCGTCCTGTTTCATAAGAGAGTTGATTCTTAGTGTCCCAATACCGACTGTTTTGTTGACGATCCGGCTTACGGAACTCGACTTTCGTTCTGAGGCTTTCGATTCCGCTGTATTTGGTGGCCCATCCCGACTTTCCTGTCCTTCTGCAAGGGAATTGAGTTTTGAGGATATGGGAGCATTTCGCGAGAAAGCAGTCCTTTGGGCTTTTTGGCCCCACATTAAGCTCCTCCTTCCAGACTTGCTTCCCACAGTAGATGGCGGCTTGTCACTCCTATGTGTTTGCGAACCATCTCGTGAGCTGAGTCCACCTCTCGAAGCTGGCTTTCCTCCAATGACCTGCTGTGTTGACTGGATCTTTACCACTAAGTACAGCTCACTATCGGCAGCAGTCGAATCCCCAATATCAGACGCAGCCAGATCCGTAAACAAAGTCCGCATCTGCCCTGCCTGAGCCAAACTAGTCATAGCTCCACTAGGGGGAACCTCCACGATATAACTCTCACTCAGCGCAACCGCACTTTGTCCAGGAGCTTTCGATGCCAGAAAGAAGACTAGTGTTGTGGATTCGGTGCTTGCGCCGACGAAGGTGCGTACGTCGATCAGTAAGTGGTGTAACGTCAGGCTCTCGTTCGCAACCGGCTGCGGTCGTTCCTCCAGCAGACTCATCATAGACTGTAACTTTGTAATTTCCACCGCGGAATCGTCGCCCGTAAGAACTCTCCCTCTTTCAGCAGGATCCCGTACTATGACCTCCCCATTAAATACTTTGTTTCCCTTCACTAAATCCCATACTGTTTTCTCCCTGAGTGCCACCATCTCGTGCGTTGTCAGCACATTATGCAAGAACTGCCTCCTCGACAAATCCAATGTCTGTACCAAGCTTGTCATCTTATCCAGCAGGGGGTATTGCCTCGAAAGCAGCAGCTCGTGTAAATTCGTAGAATGCCATTCTCGCAGACAGGACGCAATTTCGTCGACCAGCGGTTCCGAAGTAGAAGTCGGTGTCTCATCTCCAATCTTCAGCATCGGCACAGGAGCAGGCGGTTTCGGTGCATTGGGATCTCGAGGTACGGCCAGAGACAGCGCCGATCCATTCGTAAGGCGTTTCTTCCTACTCGAGCTCTTAGTTCTGCTGGGAGATACCCCATTGCTCTTCACAGGTGGCTTCTTCCCCAGCTGTATACTTTTTGGACTAGCCAGAGGGCTTCCGTCCGCATCAACGCTGACATGTGAACTCCCCTTGCCATTGACAACCGTCGGCGCCTCACTGTGCTCCTCACTTTGGGAATCCTCCTCATCCTCGCCCAGCACCTCTCTAACTTCTACACAGCTGCGCGGGAATATACCAGAGAAGACGCGCGCCTCGAGGGTCTGGCCCTTGACGCTCGTGAGGCCGGCGAGCAGACTCGGCGGCGCAACGAGATACCCGCGAAACCAGTCTCCATTCTTGCCGCCCTGCTCGATGATGTACAGCTCGTCGCCGAGTTCGAGAGGTAGGTCTGCGGCATCTTGGGCTGTGAAGGGGTAGGTTGCGACGGCGAAGGCGATGCGTGGGAGGGGTTGCCAGGGCATAGCTTCGGGGGAGATAGGCAAATCGGTCAGTCGGTCGGTCGGGTCGCGAGCGTGGCTATTGGAATGGAGAGTGATTCATGGGGAGGAATGCCCGTCGCGGTGAGGTCGTGGGAGGGACTGAGACAGCAATTGAAGGAATTCTGAGACTGGGATGTTGGTTCTGCCGCCCTTTGGTGTATTTTTGGTGTCGGTAAGGAGGATCCGACGACTGGTGCGGATCAAGACTTTGAACAGACGGGAGAGGAATTGCAACTGCCAATACAATAGCCAGATTAAGTCGTAGATGGCCCAGGTATTTTCGATCTGTGATGGGAGATGGGGTGCAGTGTATGTGGTGGTTGTGAGTCTCTGTTCTGCGCACAGATTATTGCAATTATTTGGAGCCCCTGAAGATTGCTTGCTGTGCCCGCGAGGCTGGCTCTGGTTGGCAGGCTGGCAGGGATAGGATGGTATCCCGCTCTCGTTCCGCCCAGCGAGTAGTGGTTGGATATTGATACACTATCGACTATCCCAGAATCCTATTGAATAACGATACAGATCTTCAATGCACGCTTGATACGTGTAACGAGAGTCTCATGGAATTCTGTACACTATACCGTATTGATTTCCTTGGATCGAGTGTCGTTGAAATTAAAAAACGGAGTCCTTCTCAGCCCTCTCGTTTGCACAGAACCAGTCCGACCCTAACCTGGTCACTCAACCCCCAGGGCCAGTCCCTATCGGTGTGTTATCAGAACCGTTCTATTGTAACAAGGCCCCAATATCAGTGGCCAGCCTCACTAGTCCAGGGGTACAGCATCAGGTGCTTCAGGTACCGACACGTGGTTTAGACGACACTGCATTTTAGCATTTGTGAATTTATATTGACTTAAACTCCATTCCATTGAGTTTTTAGCAAAATTTACAAAATGGCACAAGCCGCAATAGAGTTGTTTGACTTGCAAGCCACCTCAAAACTGACAGGGCCGATCTATCCACTCACAAGCGAGAATGGTTTCGAGATTTGGCTCGGACCTCTCTTTGGTGGAGGTGCGCAGATCGGTATATTGGGCGTATTATAGCCACTTTCGATGGAGTCCTTTTATCAACTGTGTCAAAACATGATCCGAGCTGCAAGCTTGAACTTCTCTAGTCCGAACCGCTGAGAGACGCAGAGAGTAGCAGTCCTTCGAGGTCTCATAGACATTGAAAGTCCCTCCTGTAGTACGATGGTCTCGAGCTAACTCTGCACAGATATCAAAGCGCTGTCAACAGCTGTCAAACAAACGGGCTCTAGAGAGAGTTCAGCTGATGATCCGAAGAGCATAGCGAAGGACCGGCCCGCTGCTGGTCATTCAATACGTGAAAAGTCTTGTCTACCGGTAGTCTGGTATGCAATACATCAGATGATGTCAACCCAACTATCTTCCCAACTCATCAACTCCAAAACACAAAAAAAGTCTTGTCATCTCACCATCACACGAGGTGAACAACCCAAAAACTTCTCACAAAAAGAACCCCATCCCATCCCATCCTCTCCAATGATCATGAGCCCCCTTCCACCATCTCAAACCACCCCAATTCTCCCACCCTTCTCATCAATCGCCCTCACAATCCCATAACTCGTCCCCGCCGCCAAAACACCAATAACCAGCGTCTGCGCCGCGCCATAGAATCCCGCCCTCGTAGTCCTCATCATGATATAATTCTTTGCGAAGCCAAATAGGATGAGCACAACGATCGTAACGGCGATGGAGACGAAGAGCGCATGGGTGACGTTTGACATGATGAAGTAGGGGATCATGGGGATGAGACCGCCTGGATTTGTGGTATTAGTTGAGACCCCAGAGGATGAAGTTACAGGAATGAAGATGAGGGTGGGATTGAGGAGTGAGGATGAGAAGTGAGGATTGGGTGGATAGATGTGATTTGAATGAGGCGAGAGTGGCGAGAGAGGCAGAAGTACCGATGGAAAAGAACATACCAACGAAATACGACAGGCCCATCGTAGCACCCGAGATCCATGCCCTCGAAACATTCGGCTTCTCCAGTCTCAACTCAAAATCCATCATGAACTAACTTCAATAGTCAGCCATCGCTCTCCCCTCCTCACCCACTCTTTCTCCCCCTCCAAAAACCCCAAGAATCTCAATCTAACGTACCTGCACCCACCTCTCCTCACTCCTCGCCAACGCATCCACAACCGGACCCAGCGTCTCCCTCGCCACTCCATACCTCTCCAAAACCACATAACACTCCTCCTTCTCCTGCTCCGGCATATTCCGCACCTCGTCTCTCTCGCGCTGCTCTTCACAAAGGTAGTGATCGCGTTCCGTCACGGCAGCGAGGTAGGCGCCCAGACCCATGCTGATAGCGCCGCTGAAGAGTTCGGCAAGGCCGCCGATGATGACGAGCTTGGTTGAGCCGAGACTGTTGGAGGATCGTCATGTCAGCTTGGTTCTAGCTTTCTCGCATATTACCTGAAAGGGGGACAGGAATTGGAAGCGAGCAGAGGAAATAGTCCGAACAAAAAACTGTAAGGGGAGGATACTCACGAACTCAACCCTGCCGTCAACGCAAACGGAACCGTAAGTCCATCCGCGCCTCCAATGATAATATCCCTCACAATTGGTCCATGATCCGTATGATACTCCTCATGAACCTGCTCACTCCCATTCCCATCACCTCCCTGTCCAGCTTCGCCACCCTCCTCTTCGTCCCCGTGACTTCCCTTCCGCCTTCTTCCCATCCTTACACCCTTCAAACGTGGAGTTGACGTTGATGAATTCGTCGAGTTAGCAGCAGTTGAGGTAAAAGTAGATTCCAGACCGGAAGTACCGGTACTCACGGTCTCGCTCGTATGGCGCGGTGAGAGTGTTGAAGTTGACGATACTCGAGGCACAGCTTCCAGCCTGAAATTCGTCCCCTGGTTTCCCTGATCTTGTTCTCGTTGGAGAGGAAGAGGAGGAGGAGGAAGTTCCCCTCTCAAAGACGGTCCATACCACTTCCCCATCTTCCGATTCTCCAACGGGATATCCTTCGAACCAATCCCGTAGCCGTAACCGTAACCCTCGTCTTCGTGCCCAGTATCGAATTTCCCCGATGCCAGTGGTGGTGCAGGCACTGGTACTGGCAGCGGCCTAGCCGGGGTACAGTCGTACTTGTACTCATGTTCCTGTGTTTGAGACATAGCCGTTGAGTGATTCTCGAACTAGCGAGATGAAAATCTCCTTCTTTGTAGTTCCGGTTTGTGCAAGATGAAGTGCTTGTCGTGCAGGTAGAGTGCCGTTACCTGGACGGTTTTCTGTTATAACAACGGGCCTTTGAATGAGATGAAAGAGAGCAGGCGAGAAGGGAGGTGCATCTTAAAGGTCTTCCAATCCGCTCAAAGTGTGAAACCGACGCGGCAGGATGTCTGCATATTTCCAGTGACATCTTGCCCCTCACAACCGCATCAATCTCGCTCCAATACAAGCCAAAGAGCCAATGTCTAGACAAGACTGACATCCCACTTCGCAAGTCCTTTGTGACGGCGTGAAGGGCACAGGTGGTTTGTTGTTGTGCATTGACCAATCAAAGAATCGGTAATTGTCAGCTGTCACCCTGCTGCTTGTACGACAGGACACTAGGAACCACTTTGTGTAGCTGAGTAAGAACAATCAGTCGAGCTATCGTTCGAAAGGAGAGAAGGGCCGAGGGGTGTGTTGCGAGGAAGGAGGACGAAGGGGTGGATAAAGGGGGAGATTGATTAGATTAGATGAGATGCAGAATAAGCGAAGAGAATGGAACACAAACGGTATTAGACAAGTTAAAGTATTGAGAAGATAATGACTACGAAAGAAAACCCAATCGTGTCTGAGTGGCAAGCAAATCAAGTATTTGTGAAGACCCAGTGCATTCATCCTGCTTCAAGCCTTGCCAGAAGAGACGACTTTTCAGCGTAGGCACCAAACCAGAAGATGCTAGAGAAATTTGCCAATGCAACAAACAGGAGAATGCATGTGCGCAAGAAAAGTAGCATTAACGATTAGATGAACGGAAGCAGTAATATCGTCTGAAAGAAACCTTCGGCATTGAAAGAAAGGCTCTCCCACCAGACCCTTCATTGTTCAGATTGTATGTTCATGAGCTGTAGCTGCTAAGCACAGTCCTGCCTTGGACGAGGACGAGAGACCTTGAGAGATGTTAAAGGAACAGAAATGCGGCTCTGGTTGTCCCTTCATTCTGTTGTTGACGTATTTGGATATTGTAACGGACCTAGAATTGTAACCGAGAGTTAAAAGTAACAGATATTGATTATGATGGGTCACAGAACCAGGCTTTGCATGGGCCGTTCGTCAATCCGATATGTTGGACACGCACATGGATTCGAGTGATAAGCAATACCCGGACTCCGCAAGGCGCCTCAGTCTCGAAGTAGAGCCTCTATTTTCCCTTCTTCCCTTCACCATTTTGAGCCTTCCCCACGCCTTACCTTCCCCACAGTCCCAGTCTATCTCCCACACATCTCTTCAACCCAACAAATACTTGACAACCGCACCCGGACTCGGCAACAAAACGTATTTCTTCTTCTTATACTTATCCGGGAACTCCGCTCTCAACGCCTTCTCCTTCTTGATAGCCCATTGATGCATCTGCGCCCACGCAATAGCATTGAAAATAACCGTCGCAGCACTCTTGCTCACAATCGCAATTCCAGTCCATGCAATCAACTCAAATAGATAGTTAGGGCAAGTAACCAGTCCGAATCCATAGCCCTTCGGTATGCCCCTCTCTGTTCCTCCTCTTGAGCGCAGATTCGACAATGTCTGGTGTGCGATGAAATTCGAGACTTCTCCGTAGACATACAGCGCCAATCCAGCGTAATTGATATAATCGATGGTTGGAGAGGATTTTGCGGTGTAGGAGTTTGGTGCGTAGATCCAGTACGCGATGTTGAGGCCAGACAAGAGCCAGTAGTGGGCAGAGTTCTTGAAGATGTTGAGAAGTGGCATTGTTGCCAGGGAGAACTTGTGGACGAAGATAGTTTCGTACTCGCGCTTGATGAAATGTAGGACGATCATAGCCATCGAGAGGTATTGCGAGGAGGAGAGCGGAGGGGCGGAGGAGTACAGATATGGTCGAAGAAGGAGGGGAAAGGCGAGGTGGATGAGGATTGGGCCGAGGTATTCGATGATGAACACGGTTGTCCAGGATAATTGAGGACCTGCGGATATGTTAGGATAGTACTGGGAGCTGCAACTTCGGTACATACCCAAGTCCTTCACCAAGATCTCCTTTCCTACCATCACATCCTCACTGCTGCTTACCAGCGCCTTTCGGTCTTTGAGAAGCTTCTTCTTCTCTGCATCGTAAATTCCCAGGCGCTCTGGGTCCATGCCACCCGCTTTCTTGGCCAATTGTTCCTTGACATCTTGAACAGTGGTCTTCTCCGTGATTTCGATGCTGGTAGGAAGCTTCTTGATTGGCTTCTTTGGGACTGGAAACGTTAGGTTCTGGATTGACGGTTTGCTGGATGTACGTACTGCGATTGCTCACTTTGATCGTGGTAGGAGCGGCCATTTCGTCGGTAAGTCACAGTTGTACTGCGAATATCGACGGGAAACGTTTGACGTTAAGTGTTGAGTGTTGGAAAGTATTAAATAAACATGTCCCGCGCTATCTTTGTTGATGGACCAGTCAAGCATCTCATCCACGTGATTCTACTTCGGTGCCTCGGCTCCTTGAACGCCGACCTCGCGAGCCTATTGTTTATCCTGCACCGTTTCGCTCGCTTATGCCAAAATTTGTTGAATCACTCTCTATCTTGAGGGCTATTATTTAGCCAGCAATAACTTTGAGTAAGTGGGCTGCAAGTGGGCTGCAAGTGGGCTGCAAGTGGGCTGCCCTATCCGTCAGATATCGGACTCAAGTAGCTGGATGAGGTACTTGGATTGGGAACTCTGGATGATCGGCGTGTGCATTTTTGAGAAACACGAGAGAAAGCACAAGCTGGAATATTTTGGTATTCAAATAATTTATTGTCTACATAATAAGGGTTCTCTATCGGCGTGGTATAACGAACGCTGAGCAACGAAACCTGACCACACCCTACCACAAACACCAATCTAAACACCCAAAAATAGTGACCCGTCCGTCCCATCACAAAATTGACACATCAACGAAATCCACCATCTAATTCTTCATCCCCTTCAACCACCTCGCAGTCTTCTTTCCTGGCCCAGCCCTCCCATAATCATCAACATAATCCTGCTGCTGCGGAATACTATTCGTGCTCGGCGCTCTGACCGGAACCTCGGGATACGAAGGAGTCGAGCGATGTCCATTCACATTCCCATTTCCATTAGTCGTTTCCTCCGCAAAATTCCTTCTGCTCCCCGAATCAGGTGGCGAGACAGGATAGAATGGATCATCGATTCGCTGCTTGTCTGGACGACGTGGTGGGGGTGGAGGATATTGTGGCTCACTTTGTGTGGGATTGTGGTATTCGGCGTCGTTCCATCCGCCAGGTGTACGCGAGTAATCATTGCCAGTGTGCGTTGGTGTGGCTGTGGATGAGTACTCGCGGGGTTCGCGGGCGGGAATGTAGTTTGTAACCGGGGTGCTGACATCAACGACTGTTGGCGTTGCGCGGATAGGAGCTGCTTGCTGAGCCTGCTGAGCCTGCTGAGCCTGCTGAGACGGCTCTGGGACCGGTTTATGGGATCTTCGCTGAGTTCGACTTTGCTCCGCGGAGGAGGGCGTGGGGATGTCTTCATCGTCGGAACTGGCGTTATCCAGATCATCTTCTTCATATGACCTAAGCTCCTTGCGCATGGAGAGTTTGGCGCAGATATCTCCAGCTTCCTCGATGGCAACCTTCTTCGCCTTCAAAGCGAGTCGCTTGTCGCGTGTAGCTTTGTTCTCAGCTGCAATTCGCTCGATCTGTGTATCTTTGAGGTTATAGATCTTGACTGATCCGAAGATCCCATATAGTCCTTGCAGCAGATGGCGCTCGATGACTTGGGTAATTACATTCGTGATAAAAATTCTGGATGAAAGCTGAGGAATGTTAGCGATGATTATGTAAAATGGATTTCTAAACTTACCTCATAATGGATGAGCATCTTCTCCAAAACTTCTTCAGCCTCAGTGTATGGGCTCTCGGGTGGAGCGGCAGAACGCCACTGCTTAATTCGTTCAGTATATTCCAAGTCGTATGGCTGAACCTCGAGATGCTGGTCATTCTCCAGATTGACGACTTCAGCCCGAGCTTTGTCCAGCATCTCTTTCATCTGCTGATCCAAGAACTCGGTCCGAAGTGGTTCACGCATCCGCTGTGGCCAAACATCATCAATGACTTCAGCCAGAAACTCGCTACAGATAACACCAAGATTGTCCTTGTGCTGTTGAGCAAGTCTTGGCCAATTCTCAGAATATTCTTGGAAAAGCGAGTAAACAAGGCGGGGGTTGTAATCGAGAGGAAATTCTGTTCCGGTATTCTGCTGGATCAGAGGTTCAACCTCCTTCTTGGCGAACTGTGCTTTGGTCATCGTTCCCTTTATAACCCTCTGCACAGGATTCTGCGTTTCAGGTCCAGGTGTGAAGTTGTGTTTGTGGCCGATCAATCTCACACGAGCTGCAAACCGACGATTCTCATCCACGACCCGAGCACGAAGCTTTTGAGCTGGCGTACCGCGAGCATCAACTCCTCTAGGGAAGAAAGATTTTCCAGGAGGATTCTTGAATGTACCGTCGACCGCGGGCTTGACGAGATCACTCGAATCGGAGCAAAGTGCAATAAGTTCACCACGCATCTCCTCGATCGTATCCTTCCCAGTACCCATACTCTTCAGCTCTGCCTCGCATTCCTGAAGTGCCTTTGAAATCTCATCTCGGAGGGTCCTGACATGCTTGCCGATATGTCTTTGAAGTTGCTGGCTGAGCTTCTGCTTCAAGGCTGCCACGCCGCACATGTTCGGTGAAAGTGATGCCCATTTGCCGTTATTGAAAAACTGGTCCTCCTTTGCCTTCCTCTCCTCAGCCGTTGGCCATTCCTGTCCTACATCTCGAGGTCCAGGATTAAGAAGGACGTACCATCCGAGTTTGAAGTCGTTGTGTTTGTCTTGATTATTGACCAAAGCGATGAACTTGTCTTCAAGACCAATTGATTCCGTCAAATCCGGCTTGGTGAGGACACCGATCGTGCGAGAACCTGAAGGGTCAAATTTCCGAGCTTTGTTCAGGACAGGTGCTTGGACGTAATCTCCATTTCCACCGACAACTGCGAGAATGATTGTCCGAGAACTCTTCATATATCTGTCCGTCAGATCGTTGATGGCTTTGATGTCCTCCTCGGATTGATCATTGTTTGCATTTCGGACGAGACCAGGCAAATCCACAAGAGTCAAAAGAGGCTCTGTTGGACCAGACTTCTCGACTACCAAGATATCTCTCGTGGCGAATCGGCCGGGGATCCGTTTGGGTGCGATCTGTTCCACTGCATGGCTCATGAGAACATCAAATGGTACCGTCTTATCCACATGATTCCCGAAATCCAAAAGTCGTTTTTGCTCAGCCATCGGACGAGTTCTGTCAGGTATGATTTTTATCACGAACTTCAATTCGTCTGATCTTCTCAACCTGATTTCTGTCGCGAATCTCGTGCAAGCGCCAGCTTCCCTTGGGAATGGTGTTGAGGATATCGCTTCTAGTACGGAACTCTTCCCAGCTGATTGATCTCCAACCACCACGATCTGAGGAAGTTTCACATTGTCGAGTTGGGCGAACTGAAGCTTGTCAATAAGATCTAGCAGACCTTGTTGCTCGCCTGCGAAATCTTGCGCATCTACGGCAGCGCCGACGGATATTGGGCTAGGTCACGTGTTAGCTTCAAATATCAAAGATTCTGGTAGCATACTCACTGTTTCGTCATTCTGACGACTCTGAATTGTCCGTCCGTCAAACTTCAAATGGCAGATATGTTGGGTCAGATCGAAAGAGAGAGGGAGAGAACTAGACCAAGATTCTGCGAAGTTTGCGAGGCCTTCTTTATTAAATACCAGCAAACAACCCCCAGCCTCTCCACCCATCATCTACGCCCGGGAGCCGCACATGCACATGCTGAAAGCCACATGGTTTGCTAGGCTTCCCTGTATCGTACCTAGGTATCGTCCAAATGGCTGGGTTCAGACATGACGAGGCGGTAAATTGTCCATACGATTCAGACCTGTGGCGTATAGAGACGTAATCAGGCTGCGTTTCCCCACTGCCAAACAAGCTGGTGATCTACCTTAACCCTCACAAATGAGGCTTTCCGAGTCCCGGTGGCGATACTTGCAAGGCTATCATGCAGGGCAGTGCTGAGAAGGAAACATGGTCTGGAGCCTGCCAAGTGTTTTTGATAGGCAGTGCAGAATTCGTGACGAGGAACATCCATACTGAGGCGATATAAAACAACGCATCCCTCCATAGCTTACTCGAATGAAGCCTCGCGATATTTGGCGGTGTGCCAAACTCAAATCTGTGAAGAACGATGCACTCGCAATCAGCTCAGGCTCCCAAATTCCCGGTGTCACCCTCGAAATTTCTTCGATTGAAAGATGTGAGAAGGCTGCCTGTCATGTCCAATGGAACGCGTCTTACTGTGCCAGTGACGTGGACTTTGGCGATCGAAGAATCTCGCTACGGCGGCGCACAGCCACAATTGTGAAGGAAAATATATTCACGTGATAGTTGAAGAAAACTTGGCGTTTTCGATCATCCACGAACCCAGCAATATGTGTCCGCGGAGTTGAGAGCCAATTGGAATGAGATCGCATTCGTCAAAGAACCTGTGGCTCAACCGGCCGCTTCCCTTGCTACTATCCTTAACCGAGGAAGTAAACAAACTGCCTATTATTCTCTTCGTGTGGAAACACCTGTCATCGTGGTCAGAGTACACGTAAGACCAGTGTATGATCTCAAAATCTTATTGTTTTAATAGCTTGAGCACAATTAAGTGACCTTCCTACTTTACCAGCAACCAAGAAACTCAACTCGCCTCTCAAAATTCAAGTAAAGAAAGGCTCGCTTATTCAGGAGCATGCCCCTGAGGTTTAGCGAGATATATCGCTGTGCGCTTCATCTCTGCACCTGACACTTCACAATGACTCCTCGCCGACATATTTCAAGACACATATTACTGGATCCAAATTTCAATGAAATAATTCTTTCAGCAATTAAAGATGCCCACGAGCCCAAAATCCTGGTAACCGGCTTTGGCGTACCTACCCCGTCCCCCACTATCCAACTCGAACTAATATTCTCCAGCAATTCCTCAACATCAAAACCAACCCCTCTTGGGAAATTGCCTCACTCCTACCATCAACTGTTGATGGCGTCCGGATCATCGTCCCTCCCGAGCCTCTTAAAGCAGAATATCATTCACTTCTCGAAATCACGAAACTCCTCGACGAGCATCAGCCTGATGTAGTCATCCACATAGGCCTCGCTGCCGATCGTGACTATTTCGCCATTGAGAGAGGCGCGGATAGAGACGGATATCATCAGATTCCGGATGAGAAAAGGAAGGTTTTCACGAGAGCTGAGACGAAGAAAGTTTGGGGGAAAAGTCCGGCGAGGCTGGATACTACACTGGATGTTGAGGAGATTTTGGGCAGGTGGAAAGAGAATTTAGCCTCGGGTGCTGCAAAGTCGAAGGGTAAAGAGAAGCCCAAGCCAGTTGATGTTAGAACCAGTGATGATGTTGGAAATTATGTTTGTGGTTTTGTTTACTATACGAGCATGGAATGGTTCTGGAGGAAGTATGGGGCACAAGGCGAGAGAAGGGTCTTGTTTTTCCACGTCCCGAAGCAGGAGGGTGGATTTGAGCAAGGGAAAGATGTTACTATTGCGTTGATCAAAGGTGTGATTGGAAGTTGTGGGTTGTAGTGTTCAGCACAGGCAGCCTCGCTCAGCTGGAAAGCCTGAAGGGCATTTTGTGGTGGCGCAGCCGCCTGGCTCACACGCCAACATATAATCATCAACGATGCTGTCAATTCATTCAACTCCAGTCAGCTTTAAAGTATTACAGCCTTGTGTACGATGGAGCCTAATCCGACCGCTGTGGACCCCATTCCTGATTATGCTACGACGTTCTCGCGCCAAGAGCACGAGTGGCTGTATCAGTTCTTACACCTACCCGCCGACGACAACCCGGTCACGAATCCCAGTCGTAGATCCGATGCAGTTGAAATTTCCATCATCGATATAATCGCCAGTTCTTCAGCACGAATCCTGTCATTCCCGCCGTCTAACGATGCTGAACTCACGCCCAATTTTCTTCAGGCTTTATCGGAAGTACCGTCAGATTCCATGGCGAGGATCCTGCTCGTTAGCCATCAAGCCTCAGATCACATCCATAAATCATATCTCAACGCGATAGGCTGGACATACAAGATAGACCCGAGTTTCTTCGAATACCATTACAGTCTGAGTTGCCATCGCGACTTCCAACAAAAATGGAGGAAGGGTAATATTCCCACTCCACTCCCTTCTCGAGTGCCTTATCTTCAGATCATATATGATTCGTTTAGTCATATGACAATGTGGAAGGGAGGCTTGGAACACAACCCAGTTAGTACGTCGTTTTGTCCAGATCGTTTCTCAAATATGGAGACTAAATTGGAGTTCAGTCGTAATTTTAGAGCACAGATCCTGGTTAATGGAGTTTGAGCTCAAGAAGAGTGTTTCTTCCATTTTACCCCCAAATGCTCAAACCCGTAAATTTGTGCCGGAAATGGAGTGCGTGTATCCTTACATACAATCATCCCTCAGCAAATTCGCAGGATTTTGCAATTTCCATACCTGGAGTAGCGACGGCCCAAGGTCTGGGAACAGCCATCTGTTCCAGAACGTGTTGGGAACATGTCTAACTCATCAGAAGGAACTAACGTATTCCATGGATAACTTGGCACGATTCTTATCACGTCAAGGCTTACTAGAAACTTCTATGCCTGCGACATGGCGGGATGTGATAAACGACTACAAGGCATTGATTGTGCAAACTGAGAGGACGAACCACGAAATTCAAGCATACTTGCAGGCAGTCCAGGGGATGGATGCTCTCAACGAGACAAAAGCTGCAATCAAACAAGCAGATTCAGTCAGGAAGTATGACCATTCATTCATACATGCCTTGGAACTTACTAATTATGTTTATTAGACTCACATTCGTAGCATTCGTTTTCATTCCCCTCAGCTTTTCTTGCTCCTTCTTCGGCATGAACATCAAACAACTAGACTCTGGCACCGTCAACATTGGATATTTCTTCCTCCTTGCATTCCTCTCCGCTCTGCTAGCCTACATCATTTCAGCGTCCATCAAGCCTTCCGAACAAGGCCTAGCGAGAGCGAGAGATAGGTTTGCTGATAGAGAAATGTGCGATGATTCTGAATCGTTGATAACAGCTCGGCGAATACTGTGGAAATGGATGACGCGAAAATTGACTGTTTTACGGAAGCTGGACGACAAATGGGATCTTGCTGAGAGGAAAGCGCTGGAGACGCATGATTGGGATGATACTGCTTTTACTTGGGTTCAGGTTCTGTGGCCTTTCTGTTTGGAGATTGCTCGTGGAGTAGGGGAGCGTCTGAAGGCTCTTGGCTCTAGAGAAACCAATAGTAACCAAGGTGCGCCAGAAGAAGGATAGTTCTTCTCGCACTCGCTGAAGTCAAAATGGCCCCATCTTTGAGATGGTTACACTCGTAATGCAAGCCGAAGACTTTGGGCAAGAATATAAACTTTGATGTCGCAGTGCCTCATATTCAAAATTAAACATATCGTTTCCTCTGTGGACATCATGATACGTAAATAAAAGGTTTAGAGCTAGGATAAAAGAATAGAAATCTTAGAATATGCACAAGATTGAGTGAACGGAGGCAATCCGCGAATTCGCAATAGTGTGTCTAGAATGCGGACCGAAGATATCCTTGTCTCTGGGTGTGATGTTGGCCTAGAAAGGAGCTTTGGTGTCTCGGGTGTGTTGACTCGTAACCAGGTCTTGGCTCCAAGCTATGTGGGTACGCTCAGCCACGGGCTCGTACTTCGCATTCAAATTTGCCTTTTTGGGACTCTATCAGTGATCTCGTATCCTTGACATGGCACTCATTTCCACAGCAAGCATTTTGGTGGTCCGAGCCTCGTCAGCGCTGCGGGCGTTTCACAATTCTGATTGAGTCTTATCTGACGTCTACTGTGGAGGACGTTCAAGTTTTTCAGGACCGGGAAACTTGAACTTATGACCGAAAATCACAGCGCTTCCCCAAGTGGATCAGCACACAGTTGTCTAGCGTTTGTCGAGATTTTAAGGGATTTTAAGGGATTTTAATGGATTTTAAATGGACAGGTTAGGAGATTCTCCCGACAATCAAGGGAGGGGTAGTCTGGAATTGCCTGAAATACTCTATCAAATCTACAGAAAAGAGAGCTTCCGAACATGAACACCAATATCCAGCTGCCAAGAATACAACGTCACACAACTCCAGGGACTGACATCTAATAGCGACCTATACTTCGTTTTTACTTTCCTCACCTCCGTATTCAGATTTCCAAATGTTGCTCGGCCTTATCGCTCAGCACTTCTAAGCAAGAAATTGCCTTCCTGCCCTTCCTTAAGACTGCGGGCATCTCGAACAAGCTTTCCTGGGTAAACCACAAGAAATATCCCAATTACAATGGCCATTGGCGCAGCATCAAATGTATAGAGAAATGCTTCGTGCGTGATGATGTAACCTCCTTCGCCTTGAAGATACTCAATCGTCCGGACCAAACCTCGCACTATCATTAAGCTAGTAACTATTTCAATAGCGATGAAAGAATTTCGCCATTTCAAGATAGCACCTTTCAGGAGTATTTCTGGAGGGTTCTGTCTGAGACGAACATACGCGTGCCAGCATGTAAATAAGAAAAGTATCAGAGCAACCAGCTGAGTGATCAAACCAGCTAGTAATATAATTCTGGATTGCTTTTGAGCAGTTGGATCTCCGGAAGCTGGGATAATGGCGCCGACAAATTGACTGACAATGCAGGCGAAGTCAACGAGAACATAGATCTTTGTCATCCAGCGGATATTCAGGATGGAGTGGCGTTGAGCATTGAGGGCCCTGATTATTCTTCCAAAACTCATGTAGACGCTTGCTGCAAGGAATGGTGTGGACGTGAGGATGAGGAGGTTTTGCAAGATGAATGGTGTGACGTCTTCAGGCCTCTCTGAGGCTATTAGAAATATAGGGATTATAGGCGTAGACTCAGTACTGTAGGCCGTACTACTGAGTACGCTACCCCTTTATATAGGAGATTCTCTCTCTCTGTAGTAGCTCCTTATGCAACTGTAATTATGACATAGTAGCAATTCCAATCGATCGAAAAAGACCTTAAAACTTCATTTTTATTAAGATCTCCACTTTATTAACTCTTAGTGTATCTGCTACTACGCTACGATATTATCCTAATTAAAAGTACTAATTCCCTACGTCGCCGGAGCCTTAAAAGGTAAAACTCTACTAGAGTTCGATAACTTCTTTAAATAGGAGCTTAAGACTAAATAAGAGCTAGCTAGGGCTAGTGTTTTTTATTACGTTCTTACTAAAGTTAGTATGCCGAATAGTATTAATTAGCAGAATACTTACGCTAAGGAAAAGAAGGAAGCTTTTAAAATAGTTATTAACTTAATCTCTAAGCTTCTCTTTCCTAAGTATAGAGATATTATTAAACTGAATAACGCTAAGCCTCTCTAAGAAGCTATTCACGTAGATGAAAGTAAAGTAGTTTAAGGGAGTCTTGCCTTTACTAATATAAGAGACGATTTCTTTAAGATAAAGTTTATCCCGGGGGAGGAAACACTTTAGAACTATATTATAAGGCTCTTACTCTTTAAAGTAAAGCTCAGCGGCAATAGTAAACCTCTTACTAATAAGGATATATATCTTAAGCTATTATAGTTGTTACTAGCGTTCGGAGCTTAGATTACTATAGTACTTACCCTAGAATCGTAAGACCTAGATCTTAGAGATACTATACGAAAGCTTAACGAATATTAAATTTAATAGAGGGAACAACTTCAACCTATAGCTACTAGTAACGCCGCGAACTACACGAATAGAGGCTATAATAGAGGGAGAGGTAGTAGAGATAATAAAGGCTAGAGGGGTAGAGGCTACTCACGTGGGAGAAGTAATATATATAAGAACAGGAGAGGATAGGAAAGACGGAATAATAACAGCAGGGGTAGTAGCTAATAAAGATATAGAGGGCGCGTAGAAAAAAGAGGAAATCGCCTTAAATTAGGCCGAAATCAGTATACCCGGTGTAAAAGCTATAGCTACTAGTACGTAGACTACACGGAAGCTAAGAATACTTACGCGAGAGATAGCGCTAATAAAGTAGAGGAAATTAAAGACGATAATACTTATCCTATATTCCCTTCGGAAGAGATTTACTACGCTAAAGATATAGAATATACTTTATTAATAATCTCTATTATAGAATCTATCTAGAAAATTAACTTTAGCGCTACTCGCTACTTTAGTAGAGTTCTAGCTAAGTTCAAGTAACTTAAGCGCTAGCGTAACGCCAAATATATTAAAATAGCGACTAATTTGTACTCGATAGCTAAAGGTTATAGAGATATTACCGTTAATAGGTTAACCCTTAAAGACGTGTAGTATATACCTAACTTTAGAGCTATAAAGCTAGTATTAATATATTAACTCTCAGACGAAGGAATTAATATAGAACTAACTAAGATATCAGTAAATAGATACCGGAATAGTGAACTAGCCTTTATAGGCATAAGAAACAGAGGTTTATATATTCTAGATACGAATCCTTGATATTAAGTTGCGTATAATATAATTCCGTTAGACTTAAAGCTACTGAAGGAACGAATAGAGAGTTAGCCTAGCACAGAGGAAATAAAGGCAGATCTGCTCTATAGGCGTTTAGGCCATATAAATTACGCTTATTTAAAGAAACTAGTTACTTATAGCAGTTATAGAATAAGACCGATTTCTATTCCGGAGCTAAAGGAAGAGAGGTATTATAAGGCTTACCTTACAAGCTATATAAAAAAGCACTTTAATAAGAAATCAGATAGTAGAACTAACGTACCTATTCGTTAACTACACGCTAATATCTCTAGTATCTTACTACGCTTAATTCGCAGCTATAAATACTTCCTTTTAGTAGTAGATGATACCATGAGGACATGTTAAGTAAATCTCTTAGTTAATAAGTCTGCGTTAACTATTCAATTAGTGTCGTGCACCTGACGCACCTGAGGCACTCCCTAAGGCGCTCTAGCTAACTAGAGGCTGCTTATATAACTAGAACTCCTAGAGCTTCCTCTTATAGGGGAGCTCTAGAATACCTTAATAAATCAAGACTTTCATACTATATAAAGCTCCTCCCTATAGTACACGATAGTTAAGAGCTATATTCGCTCGTTTAAGCTACTATACAAGTATACTATATAGTACAGGTAGAGTTGCAAGTAGTGTTAAGAGATACTCACACCGCTACTTAAAGAACTCCTTTAAATACCTCCCCGAACTTCCTGAAATACTCTTAACGCTATTAGTTCTATAGAAAGCCTCTCTAAGATATTAACGTACCTTTAAGATAAGTTAATTAAACACAAGGGCGATACTTTTAATTAGAGAAAGCAGTAGCCCTAGTAGTAAACGACCTTCTAGTACTATACCGAACTTAAAGGAATCTAAAGATTTATTAACCCTAATACCGATGATATTAGAAATATCGTCAAGTAATAACTGAATCTCCCGAGTATTAACGATTTTATATAAGAGGAGACGAATAGTCGCCTTAGTAAGTGGATAGTATTATTAACATAAGCCGACCTAGATTTACTAGTGAAATAGAACGCTGCTACTACTAAGGAAAGAGAGAGTATAATAGAACCGCTGGCGTCTATAAGTAAGCCCTTAGAAGCTAAGTTTAAAGATATTAAGGTACTCTAGGAAGCTCGAATAAGGGAGTACTCGAATAAGCTAGCTAAATAGACAGCGCTTAACAACTGTATTTAGAACCTCTTTAACTAGGTAAATAGTACTATCAGCTAGTCTATTCTAACTAACGCAATTAATAATAACACGGCTGAGGGCGCTACAGGACTATAAGCACTAGTTAGGTCTATCAAGCGTGATATAGCACCTTTAGATACGGCAGTGCTAACCTCTGTTATTTCGGACTACACTAATACACTTAGCCTACTGACACGTTAAGATAAGAAGTCGCGAATTAAACCTCGCACGTAGTATAAGCTATAGTAAAAGAACTTCCGTCTTACGAGAGCGTATAATATTCCCGATATATAAGAAGTATATAGTATACGAGCTTTCCTAAATATAGTATTAGTTTAGTTAGAGACTTAGGCCGCTTAAGCACTTACTAATATTACAAGAGATAACACTCTAGGACATTAGTATAGTATAACGCTAGAGGAGTATAGTCTAGTGTTTATAGCGAATATAAAGGAGCACTACCGGAACAGAGGCAAGGGAGCTAATAGTTTCTACGCCACGCTGATACTAGGTAGTTATTCTAATACAGGAGGCTCGTAAGACTATTCCGGAAGCTCTCGGAATTACTCCTGTTTAAATCAAGGAGATAGGAAGACTAACTACCTCTATAGAATCAGATACTAGCACCCTCTAATCAAGTGCTAGAAGCTCCGTTTCACTTATAACAGCTTTTAAGCTAATAGTATAAGATTCTATCTAAATAATAAGCAAATTAAGAGGATTCATAAGACTATCTAGGCACCTAAGTACATAGAACTACGCTGAGAGATCTCTAAGGAAAGCTAGACTATTATCTCTATAGCTCAGATTACTAGAAAGAAGCCTAGTAAGGACTAAGAACCGTTGTCTTAGTAAGCTAAAGGGAAGTACCCCGGAAATGTTAACGTAGCTACTATTAATTCAAAGCTCTTAGACCTTAAAGAGACGCTCGGAATCTACGCTACGGACTTTATCAACGTTCCTTACGCACTCTTAGAAAGTACCTTAGTTAATAACTGCAGCGCCTAGTACTTAGTTAATTATAAGAATAAGCTAGTTTCAGGTTCCTTTAAGAGATTAACTAATAACGACTACGTGAAAGCTAAAATATAACGAATTCCAGTAGTTAGTAGAGGGAAACGAGTATTTAAGAACTCCTTAGCTAGGCTGAACAGTTTAAATACTTAAGATCTGTCACTTAATAATATCGCTATAGTCCGTGATTTCTATATTAATATTATCTCAGAGGCGTTACTAAAAGACGCCGGGCTATAGTACTTAGGGAAAGATACTACTTTATAATACAGGGAGGTTCAGACGAGCGTAGTTATTAGATAGCTAGTTCGAAAGTTCAACTTGACTTTCTTTAAATATAAGTCTTTCAGATACTCTTATCGCTCCTATAACCTAGTGACCTTAATACGCACGCCTATTATAATATACCCGACTCTAAGTCGTAGCTTAAATAAGTAAGGTTTCTAATTATTAAGTTAACTACTTAAGAAGTGTTCTGTAACTCCGCAACTATAGTACCTACGTACTAGCTATTTAGGAGAGAGTGCTCTACGGGCGTTACTTAAAGTAAGGAGAGGCGTATAATTCGATAGAGTATCGAGAATCCAGTATAAAGACTATACTATTATATACGCCGGAAACGTTATGTTAAGATAGGAGTTAGAGAATAAGGTAGCTAGGCTGTTCTACCGAATCCTCTAGGACTTATTCGACTTTAACGTAAGTTATAATAGCACTCGCTAGCTACTTGTTATTAAGGACGAGTACAGTAGGAAGCTCTTTAGCTATATATTACTAAGTAAGTCAGCTAGCTATGTTATACTAGTCTTAGAGAACTTCGAGCGTTAGACTAAGTGTTAATATAGACTATTAGTCTATATTATTCGGCATGATAATAACACTTTAGTTATAGCTATTCGAGGCATATTAAGGTACAAGGAATAGACTACAAGAGAAAGGATAGAAGTAGAGAATCCCCCGCTATATACTAAAGAACCTATAGGTAGCGCGGAGCGCGTAAGATAAGAGATTATTACTAAATCTATTAAGATACGCGTTTAGGTGAACCTACCGGAGAAGCTTTACTTAGAAGTATATTATATAGCAATCTACCTTTATAATATAAGTCCTCTCATACGCCGAGGGATAAGGAGTCTAAATCAAGTACTCTAAGAATAGTTTC